TACATTAGCAAAATTAGATAAGATCCGGCAGATTGAGAGAATAGGTAAAAGAATATACAAATTAGATAAAAAAAACAATTAGCTCTCATATCTGACGTAAAAGGCATCAATGAAATGCGAGATGTTTAATTCCAGGAGATTTTGCTGCTTTAAATCCCTCCACTGCCTCGCAGACACTCCCATCCTTTTTTCTCAATCAAGTAACAGCAAATTAAATAACCGGTGCGATTAAAACCATAGTGGCAGTGGACTCCAACAAGTGGGTTAGGCTCATTTGTTGACGCAAGAATGTCGTCGATTAGCTGGATAAAGCGCCGCACAGCAGTGTGATCTGGAACAACTTTCGATACAGTAGCACACTTGTAGTAGTGGATATGCTTAAAGGATTTGGGGCTGTATGGTGGAATATCAGCTGAGATATCGACCACAGCTATTAGGTTACCTTTGATATCATTTTCCTTCGATGAGCCGTAGAATCTCTCTTCGAGAACATGTGGCAGATGGTTGGGATCACCTTCACGCAACGTTTTCATACCCAATAATGGGGCCAAGTCTGTGTTATTACGACGAGTAATGTTGAACGAAACTGCTTGTGTCTGCAGCCACTTAAGCTCATTCTTCAACCCCCACTTATCGCCAGAGATTTCTGCTTTTAATTTGAGAACCCAAGCCGGAGACAAATGAAGGCGTTCAGGAAACTTCAGCTCTAAGTGATTCAAGATGATGCCACTGATAAACTCTGGTTTTGCCAAAAGCAAAGAATGTCCAGCATTATTTACCTTTGTAACGTGTGACACTGTCCTTTTTGTATGCGCACAGAGGTATTCGTGGATATCATCAACAACCTTCACCGGAGTGACCCGATCATTCATTCCGCCAATGAGAAGCGTTTTCTCGTAAGTGCTGGGATCTTGTTTACGATCATTGTAACGCGAAACCGCCGATATAAGCTCCTCGTAAGTAGCCTTTTGGAAACCATCAATGTAACGTAAAACAACGCGTGTGTCAACATCCATGTTCCATCTCAATTGTCTCACTTTCGTATAGATACTTGAGTTTTCTGGAAGTTGTCTCAAAACACTTTGACTTGATACACCTTCCAAACGGTCCCACACCCTAAACTGGTTCACAAGGTATGCGTTATGTCTGATGTTCTTTAGTAGGCTTAAGCGGGTGTTGTGTGTCTCCCACTCAGTTCCTTCTTCAGATTGCAAAGGTGGAGGGCTAAGAAGAACAAGTCCTTCCACTTTGTGCTCCTCTAAGGTGCTAGCAACCTTGATCAGAATGTGTGTACCCATAGAGTGACCTATAAGAATTATCTTCTTCTCTTGAGGAATGTACTGGCGAATGAACTGTACCACGATTGCTACAATGCAATCCGTTTTAAAAATCCAGCCACGCCATGGCCTGAATACTGGAAGATATGGCCTTCTGGTGCTCTGCAGAAAATTTGTGTTTTGATGGGAATTCGTATCGAGAATCACCAAATCCCGGTAGATCGAGGGCAAAGATTTCCAGACACTGGGAAAGCAATCCCATCAACGGTTCGAACTGTGACATCTGGCCACCCAAACCATGTATAAAGACCAAAGCCGGAGATTCTTCAACTTCTTTTAATAGTTCTGGTGAGAGTGGCTCCTCTTTGGCAAAGTTAACCAACGGATGGCCCGTGTGAACAGAGTGCAAAGTTAGCGAGTTGACGGAAATGCAATCACAAGAACGAAGATCTAGATCCACGACTTTTGAGTACTTGGCCACAAAAGTACAGTCATTGGGTTCTGTTTCAAGAATGAACTTTTCCAATGGGTTTTCGTAACCCACAGCGGCCCTCTTGAAAAACTCCAAGCATTTCCTAGGGAAAGTAGAAGTGGCCTCCTCTTGGGCCTTTACAAGAGCAAGGAGACGCGACTCGGCTCCATTTGGGGCCACAAAATTGTCATCTGTCAGGCTAGCCGACAAATTTTCGTCGGACAGCATGTGCTATAGAGAAGATCAATCTGTGAGGATACTAATACCAGGGCTCGCTCAACGTGTAAAGGTAGATGCAGGCATGGGTCTTATCTAGTTAAAGAGAGCAAACACGTCACGAAAGAAGAGAAAATAAAAACTGTCTGGAAGTCAACCCCACAGATAGATAGAGCGAGAGAGCACAGATATAAAACGAGAGACAGTTGCAGAAACTGGAACTTCGAAGGACTCATAAGAGTAGGTCGATCCTAATGGCGGAGCTAGAACTCGCGGAACATGATCCTCCATATAACTGCGCCATACGTACAAGTAGCATACCTTAAGCTCCAGGCGCTTGTCTCACCTTCAACGAAAACAACATGCCCAGTGGCAATTGGAATCGAAGCACACAGCTGGAACTTAACACGCGCGAAAGCTCGTTCGATGACTTTGACTACTCGCTCGACCGAGCGCTAAACTCCGCCTCCAACAACTTCTTCCTGCGTTCCACCTCGCGCCACGGATCTCTGGGGTCGGTTCTGGGCATTCCGTTGGTCAGACTAGATAGCAGAGAGGATGACGAGGAGGATTTGAACGATGCCGATCACGATAACCGCCCGCTTATACGACACAGTGACAGTGCCACGAGGATAGCGCGATCCGGCTCTCAGACCCAACCTACACCTTCGGCTCTGGGGGTGATTGGCAGCATCAGGCTGTTTTTGTCGAGTACTGCTGGGATCTACAACGTGCTTCATGGCGAAATTAACCAGGAATTACAGAGACGGGCCGGCGAGTTTGATGAGAGTCATTTGGGCGATGAGCGCTATGTGTCACCCCGAAACAACAGCAAAAAAACCTTTGTGTCGAATGCCATATCCAACGCCAAATATAACCCAGTGACTTTTATCCCGGTGATTTTATACGAGCAGTTCAAATTCTTTTTTAACTTATATTTTTTGTTGGTGGCTTTGTCACAGATCATACCTCAGTTGCGCATCGGTTACCTTTCCTCATACATTGTGCCATTAGCTTTTGTCCTTACCGTTACGATGATGAAAGAGGCCGGAGATGACATAGCTAGACGCAGAAGAGACATGGAGCAGAACAACGAACAATACGAAGTGCTCAATCGTCAATCGCCTCTTACGCAGGATGTCAGTCTAATCCCGTCGAAAAACTTGAAAGTAGGAGACTTGGTCCGGCTACACAAGGACACTAGGGTCCCAGCAGATATGATTCTTCTCCAGTCTTCCAGATGCGAATGGGGAAGCGTTCATCAAAACGGACCAGTTGGATGGCGAGACTGACTGGAAACTCCGAATCGCATGCAACATCACACAAACAATCACAGATGTGTCTCGCCTTGTCAACAACATTTCTTTAATTGTTGGAAGACCCACAAAATCTATTCATAGCTTTGACGGGAAGCTTATTTATCATCAAACATCTGCAAACACAAAAACAGTGCCTTTGGGGGTGGACCAAACGTTATGGGCGAACACAGTTTTGGCATCAGGTACCGCGATTGGAATTGTGGTATACACTGGTGTGGAAACCCGACAACTGTTAAATACCACCATGTCTGGGGTGAAAACAGGTTTATTGGAGCTTGAGATTAATAAGATCTCGAAAATTCTCTGTGTGACTGTGTTCGTGTTGTCTGTGGCCTTGGTAATGGCTAACGGATTCCCCTTGAAAGATACATGGTACCTTGACATTCTTCGGTTCTTAATTTTGTTTTCCACCATTATTCCTGTTTCCCTTCGCGTGAATCTCGATTTAGCGAAGTCTGTTTATGCATCCCAAATCCACAAAGACCAAGATATCCCAAATACAATCGTCAGAACTTCGACAATTCCAGAGGATTTGGGTAGAATTGAATATTTGCTTAGTGACAAAACGGGCACCCTAACACAAAATGACATGGAGATGAAAAAATTGCACCTTGGCTCCATTTGTTACGCTGGAGACACTTTAGATATAGTGTCAGAATATATAAGCAAATCATTCTTTGCAGAACAGTCTGGCACAATCTCCCTGAAAAGAAAGGACCTTCGAGCAAAAGTTTGCGACTTCTGTCTTGTCCTTGCATTATGCCACAATGTCACCCCAACAGAGGAAGATGGCGTTGTGTCATACCAAGCTGCATCACCAGATGAAATTGCCATTGTCAAATTTTGTGAGAGTGTTGGAATTCGCTTGTACAAAAGAGACCGAACTTCAATCACCCTTATTCACATGTCTACAAACCAAGAGTTACACTATGAAGTCTTGTACAATTTTCCTTTCAACTCGGATACAAAAAGAATGGGTATAATTATTCGCGACCTTCAAACGAATGAGCAGTGGTTTATGCAGAAAGGGGCCGATACTGTAATGGCGAAAATCGTTAATAGTAATGACTGGCTTGACGAAGAAACTAGCAACATGGCTCGCGAAGGCTTGAGAACACTCGTCATTGGACGAAAGCGCCTTAACACCACCTTATTCCAAGATTTCGTTAAGGAGTATGAGGAGGCATCATTACTTATGCATGCTCGGGAGTCAGCCATGCAAAGAGTCATCAATCAATACCTAGAGACTGAAGTCGAGCTTTTGGGTTTGACAGGAGTTGAGGACAAGTTACAGAAGGATGTGAAATCTTCAATTGAGCTCTTAAGAAATGCTGGAGTCAAGATCTGGATGTTGACAGGAGACAAAGTGGAAACGGCCAAGTGTGTTGCTATCAGTGCGAAGTTGATTTCAAGAGGCCAATATATTCATGAAATAACTAAAGTTTCGCACCCAGATGCTGCCATGGCTTTGTTAGACCAACTCAATGTTAGCACCAATTCATGTCTTTTGATAGACGGAGAGTCTTTGGCAGTTTACATGAAACATTTCCCAGAAGAATTCTTCCGTGTGTCTATTGGATTGCCTGCCGTAATTGCGTGTCGATGTACTCCACAACAGAAAGCCGACATTGCTGTGGCTATTAAAAAGGCCACAGGCAAAAGAGTCTGCTGTATCGGAGATGGAGGAAACGACGTAAGTATGATCCAGTGTGCTGACGTTGGTGTGGGTATTGTGGGGAAGGAGGGTAAACAAGCTTCGCTTTCTGCAGATTTTAGTATTGACCAGTTTCACTTTCTTCTGAAGCTTTTACTATGGCATGGAAGAAACTCCTATAAGCGGTCAGCAAAGTTGGGCCAGTTTGTGATTCACAGAGGTTTGATTATGTCTGTAGCCCAAGCCATATACTCCGTGTCATCTCATTTTGAGCCTTTGGCTTTGTATCAAGGCTGGTTGATGGTGGGATACAGTACACTTTACACTATGGCACCCGTTTTCTCCTTGACATTGGATCACGACATTGACGAAAAGCTAACTAAGTTATACCCCGAACTTTACAAAGAGCTCACATTAGGCAGATCCTTGTCATACAAAACATTCTTCATGTGGGTTAGCATCTCCTTGTTTCAAGGTAGCGTCATTCAGCTACTTTCACAAAAATTCCAAACTCTCAAGGAAAGCAAATTTTTAGCTATGGTGACTATTTCATTCAGCTCTCTTGTTTTCAATGAGCTTATTATGGTAGCGCTCACAATTAATACGTGGAACAGAACTATGGTTGTGACTATAGTGGTTACGTTTATGATTTTCATTCTGCTGATTCCCTTTTTGGGCGATTACTTTGACTTGACGTACATAACCAGTTTTGCTTTCTATTGGCAAACCGCAATTGTGCTTGCTCTTAGTCTTTTGCCTGTTTGGATTGTGCAGACCGTCAACCGGAGATTACGTCCTCCGTCGTATGCAAAGGTGCAGCAGTACTAAGTTGGGAAAAGCCGCACTAAGGTATGTACAGACTTTTGCGAGCATACGAGGCGCTTGCAACCATAACCATTTTTTTCGTTCCCTGATCGCGTCAGATCCATATGTCCGCGCTCTTATCCACAACAGGACTGCACTCTGATGGAATGCTGGGAGTAGTGGTTTCAATTGTTCGGATTTGTTTCGACCGAAGTGGAAAATTTTAAATGGTCAGGAACGTAAAGAATTCCCTAGGTTATGATCCATCTGCTTGAACAGAGAAGTGCCGGATGTCAAAAATTTGCTTTGCTTCCACTCGTGCGAGCAATTCTCCGGGCTTCTTCCAATGTCACCCGATGGCTTAGCCACAGGAATTATTTGTGTGGCTGCGAAATAAGAACTGCACATTACGCCAAGGCACCTGACCATAATGGCACCACTTTATCGGCCATATAAAAGGAAGCAGATGCCTTTACTCAGCCGTTTCATTGCTAAACATAACACATTTAAGTGTCCAACGACTCCAACTTCTTTCCCTTTGTGATTGCTCCGTTTCCCATACGTGTCTTTTCTCAAACTTTGATTACTTTTGATAAAATGTACGGCAGTCTCACCACAAAAACCTCGCTTTTGACTCTAAGCTACTTGGCTTTCTCCACAACGGTCCCATTTTTGTTATCTTACAAGGAAACACAAGATAACTCGGTATACACCAAGGGGCATCCCAGCACCAGGTCTCTATTTAACAAGATCTAGCCTGGTGCTAAAGATTGTTTTGTTTGAACACATGGGATGGCTACGGAAATATTGGTTACAATAATAAAATGCATATTTGAATCGATCAGTAGACTAGTTATCATCTGTCATAAGTAGCAGATAACAAGGATTCCATACGGAAGTTCGAAACTAGCTTTGGTACACTTTGTTTATACGGTATACGAGACAATCGATCAAGGGGCGCAAAACAGAAGATCGCATTGCTCAACATGTACTAGACGTGCATAGATTTTCCATCTGCCCTAAAATCTATTTTCCTCTCGGGAACAGGGGAAGGCCCTGTATGAACGCGACGATTCGGAAGAACCGATCAAATGAAAAAAGAAACCCTCCGTCCACCCGAAGGAAGCATCTCTACTTCACACTACTTCTCTATGGAAACTAAAGAAATTCTGTTAGCCTAATCATTTCTATGTACACGATCACTTATTCCACGCAGCATTTTCCACCAACAGTTTTGCTGACTTCAAGCCTGAAGCAACATCGAAAATTGTCTGCTTCTGGGCTATATCCAAGTCGCCGTTCCTCATCAACTGAGTTGCCGTAAAGACGGAAGAGGTGGTTGGCTTCTCGCCCATGCTAATGTTTTCAACTTCACCCTTGACTGTTTTCTTGATTTTGTCTCCGAAAGTGGCCACGTCCACATCTAAAGTGTAGTCCTTTTGCAAAAGGAATCTGTTACCCGTGAAAGAATCATCCAACTTGTCAATGATGGATTTAGGCAATTTATATGGATATTTGGACTCAAGCAATGTTTCCTTAGCCACAGCAGCGACTCTTGAAGTAGTACACGTAGTCAAAGTTGTTGGCTTTCCATAGAAGAATGCATCTCCGGAAATGGATGGCTTTAATGGGCTTGCAACTAGTTCCTTACTGACAATATTAGAAGAGGAAGAAGGAGACAAAGCACCAGCAGAAGGTTTGGAGGCTGGACGTCTTCTGGCTTGAGGTCTTCTTCTTGGAGCCTCGGATGTCTGCTTGGGTTTGGAGTTTCTAGATTCTGGGTTTCTAGAAGCAGCGTTCTTTCTGAAGTTGGACTCGTCCATCAACTTGAATGTGTTTCTGCTCAACGGATGGTCTTTCACAGAAATTTTGGCACTTTGACCTTCAAACACACCTTGGGTCTTGCGAGGCGCTTGAGTTTTTTGGTTATTCTTTGTCTTCTTTTCTGAGCTCAGGGCCTGCTTCTGAGACTTTTCAGCCTTTTGTGTGTGCTTTGAAGCCTTTGGCTTGTTCTGTTTGACGTCCTTCAACTTCATGGTTCTGGCGTTGATGGTGTCGATTCTTTTCATCAAATCCGACAAAAACAGAGCCCCTTCATTGTTTTGGCTTGAGTACAAGCGAATCCCACGCGTGAAACTAGCTCGGGTAAACATGGTGCTCATACGTTGAAATGCTCAAGACTTTTTTTCTTCACCTAAAGTTGAAGTCGCGTACAGGAACACCATATAATATGGCGATAATGGAAAAGGCAAGCGGAATCAAATGCGCTGTAGTTGTATATATTTAATGATTGTTCTCTCAAATGGATACATTAAATCGTTCACTTTTGAATATTGAGGATGGATGAAAATGCCCAATCTTCATAATTGAGCGACAGAATAATGATCCAGGCCCGATTCGGTACCTTTATACTGCGTAATTAATATTACCTTAGAGAACCAAAGGGAGTACAAATAAATAAAAAAAAAGAACAGAATGCAATAATCTTGCAGAAAGAAATTACCTATTATTTTATTCCTTCATCTATGGGTCCCTTTAATGTCTTTCTCATGGTCGTCGCATGAACATAATAATATATTGAGGTTCTCGTTTTGTCCACGGCCATATACAAGCCTGGCCCACCGAATGATTGAAAAAAGAAAAAAAATCGATCCAATTCCGCTTCAAGTAAGTCGATCGACTTCAATTACGCTTTCCCAGACCAGACACGAGACTATATTTGATTGCAAACATACCCATGGTGCCCCATTAACCACAGACCAATAGTCTCCTACACATAAACACGAGTCGAATTCTGGTTGGAGGCGTGCACACAATCCGGGAAGTGTGAAAACCACAGCGGTGCGAGCCAATCAGAATGCTTAGTGCCAGGTATTCTCCGGCCGATTATGGTTGAATTTTCGCGCTCCTCTCACTCACTGAAATATATACTAAGGCAATTTTCCTACCTTTCTCTTTTTCTTCTTCACCTGACTTTTTCACAAAGCTCTAAATAAGTCGCCATGTTGTCAGCTCGTTCTGTCTTACGCACTGCTGCCCGCGCAGCTACCGTTTCTAGAATGCGTATCGTATGTACCTTGGCCTTTTCATGGTGTTTTTGAAGTTGTTTTCCCCCACCTGTTTTGGAAGTGATTTACTGGTTTCCTTCGAGTGAAACTCAGCAATTCCCCGGTTAAAGTACCAAGCAATGCTATAGTACATCATCCAACCTTCGCTGAGCTCAATTGGCGGCTCAATGTCTACTGTTGGTTGGCGGGAAAATTTTTTACGCCGAACAAGGAGGAATAAAGAAGACACGAAGATAAACAAAACAAACCAATACTAACATTTTAGGCCCGTCCAGCTTTTACTGCTGTCCGTTACGCTTCTGCTAAGGCTGCTCCAACTGAAGTTTCCTCTATCTTGGAAGAGAGAATTAGAGGCGTCTCTGAGGAAGCCAACTTGAACGAAACCGGTAGAGTTTTGTCTGTTGGTGACGGTATTGCTCGTGTTTTCGGTTTGAACAACGTTCAAGCTGGTGAGTTGGTTGAATTCTCCTCTGGTGTCAAGGGTATGGCTTTGAACTTGGAAGCCGGCCAAGTTGGTATTGTCTTGTTCGGTTCCGATGCTTTGGTTAAGGAATCCGAGCCAGTCAAGAGAACTGGTAAGATTGTCGACGTCCCAGTTGGTCCAGAATTGTTGGGCCGTGTTGTCGACGGTTTGGGTAACCCAATTGATGGTAAGGGACCATTGAACGCTTCTGCTACCGCCAAGGCCGAAGTTAAGGCCCCAGGTATTTTGCCAAGAAGATCTGTGCATGAGCCAATGCAAACTGGTTTGAAGTCCGTTGACGCTTTGGTGCCAATTGGTAGAGGCCAGAGAGAGTTGATTATTGGTGACAGACAAACCGGTAAGACCGCTGTTGCCCTCGACACCATCTTGAACCAAAAGAGATGGAACGACGGTAACGACGAGAAGAAGAAGTTGTACTGTGTTTACGTCGCTGTTGGTCAAAAGAGATCCACCGTTGCTCAATTGGTTAAGACTTTGGAAGCCAACGACGCCTTGAAGTACTCCATCATTGTTGCTGCCACTGCTTCTGAGGCTGCTCCATTGCAATACTTGGCTCCCTTCACCGCTTGTTCTATCGGTGAATGGTTCAGAGACAACGGTAGACACGCTTTGATTATCTACGATGATTTGTCTAAGCAAGCTGTTGCTTACCGTCAATTGTCTTTGTTGTTGAGACGTCCACCAGGAAGAGAAGCTTACCCAGGTGATGTTTTCTACTTGCACTCTCGTTTGTTGGAGAGAGCCGCTAAGATGTCTGAGGCCAACGGTGCTGGTTCTTTGACTGCTTTGCCAATCATTGAAACCCAAGGTGGTGATGTCTCTGCTTACATTCCAACCAACGTCATTTCCATTACCGATGGTCAAATTTTCTTGGAAGCTGAATTGTTCTACAAGGGTATTAGACCAGCTATTAACGTCGGTTTGTCCGTTTCCCGTGTCGGTTCCGCCGCTCAGGTTAAGGCCATGAAACAAGTTGCTGGTTCTTTGAAATTGTTCTTGGCTCAATACAGAGAAGTCGCTGCTTTCGCCCAATTCGGTTCTGACTTGGACGCTTCCACCAAGCAAACCTTGGCTAGAGGTGAGAGATTGACCCAATTGTTGAAGCAAAAGCAATACTCCCCATTGGCTGCTGAGGAACAAGTCCCAGTCATTTACGCTGGTGTTAACGGTTTCTTGGACGACATTGAAATTTCTAGAATTGGTGAATTCGAAGAGTCCTTCATGTCTTCTTTGAAGGCCAACCAACCTGAGATCATTGACGCTATCAGAAACAAGGGTGAATTGTCCAAGGAAGAGTTGGAGTCTTTGAAGGCTGCTACTGAATCTTTTGTTGCTTCTTTCTAAGAGAGCTCTGTGTAGTGCACAGACGTGACCTATGAGGATCACAGAAGATACACATTTTTTATAAATTCACAATGAAAAATATTTACGATATATATTCAAAATCATGAAAACGATTTGAAGCATTTTTATTTGCTCGTCTAGTACGTAAAAGGGTCCAAGTTTATATCCGATCATTCCTGTAGGTCACGTGTATAACACAGAAGAGCTTTCACACTTTTGAAACAACATCAACAATGGCCCAAACAGCGAGGAAAAAACGCCTGGCGCCGAAAGTTGATTTATCTACGGTGAATGCTGTGGGTGATGCATCAAAGTTTCAAGTTGAAACATACGACTATGACGAATTGCAGACAGGAAAGCCAGCGAACGAAATCCAGCTCGAAAACGATTTGTTGTACTTACTCCACACTCCAGCAGAAAATGGAGACCAACTTCCATCTGTAGACGAAGGAATCAAAATTGCCCATGCGAGACGATCTCGCAAAACTAAGAATGGAAAAGCTCACATGACAGTCAAGAAAGAGGAGATCACAGCAGATATAGATGAAATAATCTTCTCGAGCGATGATGAGGGAGAAAGCGAATCCAAAGAGGGAAAGAAAGCTAAAGGAAAACAAAAATCTCCTCTGCGTGGCAAGATGATCAAAAAAGACAAGCTGAGCGAACCTACGGAAGATACACTGTCAATCAAAATCAAACCCTTGAAAGAAGACCAAACTGTAACAAAGGTACTGGCTAACAGTTCTGACAAGGCGGAAAAGAAGAAGAAGAAGAGGAACAAAAATAAAAAGACGGAGAGTTTGGCAAAAACAGAACCAATTGTTGAGAATGATCGTACTGATGGGGCAGACAGTGTCGGAGATTCAGAGACACCAGGTTCAGAAACGCCAGAAGGTTCAGATGTCAAGGAATATAATGACTTGGCTGAGGGTGCTAAGGAATCCGCAAAGAAGAAACGCAACAGAAGAAGTAAGAAATCAAAGAAAACTAAACAGGACGAAATGGCAACGAATGAAGAGGCGAACACTGCCTCAGGATCGGAAAAGACAGGCAACGGGGCACTTGAAAAGCCTACCGGAGTGAATGACGCTACAGAAACATCGGATGATGCTAAAGCAAAGCAACAGCAAGATATGAAGCGGCCCAGATCGCTGGCTATCGCACTTTCAGCGACTAACTTGCCTGAGATACAACCCATAACGACTATTATTGGACTCCCGTTTGACCAGATACTTCATATGAAACCAACAGATGTGAAGATAAAAACTATTCAGACAGTGAGCAACTTATCCAAAACCTGCAAGCATGTTCTTCAGTTCACACTTGGTGAATCAGAAGGACTTTTCAAAGACAAGCAAAAGCAGACCATTTTTGTCGAGCTTTGCATTAACGTGGCGCTTTACGAGTCGGCCGGTTTTAATTTAACCGCTAAAAAGTATCCGGATATGGCTTCGTGGCTCGCTAAGTATGAGCCACTAACTTTGCAATCTACCAAGACGAAGCTCACAGTATCTAAGAAAGCTGCCCACACAAATAATTTTGACTACACTGTGTTCTCTTACATTGGACATATTATTCTCTGGGCTCTGCATTTGCAGTCATCTAATGGCATAACAACGGTTTTAGAAAAATTGAATTTGAATGTGACCCGAAAGCAAATTATGGACGAATTGGGCGGATACCATTTGTGGGACCGAATTCGCCGCAACCCCAAAACCATCAACACAAAGAGATGGAAGCACATTCAAAAATTTAGACAAAATTTCCCTTTCGAGGTTGACCAATTTGTGTTGATTTTGCGCTACATGTGTCTTGACATCAGCATGCCTTCGCATTGAACTTCTCTATTTTAGCGCGTGGTACTTGTATGTAGACGCCACACCATGACTCAAGTACGTCGCGTTTGTTCCATTCATAACTTTCACTACATCAATGTACGAACTACTCATCATAACCAAAGAATGGCTCCACCAATCTAGCAGCCCCAAGAAGTTTGATGACCTCACTAGCATCATCAACAAATCGTACTCAAAACCAATGAAGAAATTTGGCATTATCGAATCACCTCGCATTAGCACACCAAACGAGTTTCTCGAGGATTTAAGACTAACTCCAGGAAACGACGCCTTTTTGGTAGTTCTACTCGGAACCAAATCACATTTCGACTTAATAGAAAAAGAAACAGGCTGGAAGCGCCATTTTGACAAGGATATTAGACCGTTATCTGGATGCTACAACAGTGATATACCTAATGGGCACCTCTCTTATTTTGATAGCTTGAGTCTGCGAACAATCGTAAAAAAGACAATCGCTACACCTGGCCACGACCTTGATGAAGATATCACGGATCGTGTGTTGGCATCAGTGGGATACAATTATCATTCCGAAAGACCTTCTGAATCTGCTCGAGTATACGAAGTAACAGCGTTCACATCTTTTCTTCGTGGTATGGGCACGCAGCTTATAAACTATACACTAGACAATTTCCTTCAAGACCCCAACTGCCAATACCTCGGGGCAAACAAAGTGTCGAAGCGAATTATTCGCGCAGTCGTTATCGAAGAGCATTTGTTGGTGCCATACTACGAGAAGCTCGGCTTTAAATTGACTGGCGAGAAGGAAAAAATGTCTCAAAAAGGATTTGGTGAAGCAGGACTTCGATGCAGCGAAGACTTCCACTGGACGATTTTAGAAAAACAGATAGAGCCATGTTTGTGACATTATCATGTATTAGATTGTAAGATATGGTATTATAGACATACTACAAATAATTATTGGTAGTAGCCGTTGGACTTGAGCCATTCAGAGACCGCTTGGCTATCGCGAGAAGCCCAGTTGTGCTTAGCAGTAATCATATCCAAGGATTGGGCTAAACCTTTGTCATAACCCTTGGTGTCCTTCGAAGAGAAGAATTTCTCGACCTCCGCCTTTTGCTCAGCGGAAGTGAAGCCAGATGTAGAAATGATGACAACAGAGATCAACATCGATAAACCAGGAGGTAACAACTTGTAAATCTCATCCCAGTGAGACGTGAACCATGCCCATAACTTTTCAACACCAGTCTTGTGTGTTCTCATACCTTGCATAGGAACGTACAAATCTTGTGGCTTGATGATTTCAGTTTTCAATAACAAGGAAAGAGTCTTATCGAGAACAGAAGCATCCTTGAATTTTCCAAGAGACCTCAAAACAGCAAGCTTTTCTTCAACTGACAGTGAGTTGGTGTAGATCTTGTAAAGCGAGTCGAAGGTTTCCTCCGAGCCGACACTGGCAACGGTGTTGAAAATGGATGCTCTCAAGTTTGGGTTAATGGCACTTTTGTCACCAGCAAATAAACTTGTCAAAAGCATTCTTCGCATACGAAACGACATCTTCTTGGCCGGCAGAAGCAGCAGATGCAAACAACAAGGATTTCAATTGTTGGTCAGCAAAAGAGTCAGAGTCTGAGAACTCATAGCCAACTTCCTTGATTTTCTGTGAAATCAAGTCAATCGTGAAGGCATCAAGGGCATCCAAGAGAGCTTCATCTTCGAACAAGAAAGCAGCTCTAAGCTTACTTATACTAGTCAAAGCAGAAGTCCATACGACGTAGTTAGACTCACCAGACCATGCCTTAATCAAGTTTAAGAGGTCAGTCAGACTAATGAAACCAGACGAGGCCAAGGAAGCGGCGTCAGAAACCAAACCAACGCGGTCTTCCACAGACAATTTTCCAGCAACACCAGCCTCGCCCAACTTCGTCCAGCGGTGAGGTGGGTACGCAGTACGATAGATACCTGCTTGGTCACCGTTGATTTTGTAGAAATCATTTTCAGACTTCAAGGTGATCTTTGTAGATCTATTGTCCAAAACCAAAGATTCATCAATTCCCTCAGAAGTCTTCAAGCCCAAGAACACTGGATACAACACCTCGGTCTTCTTCAGCCTTGACATCCGCAGTGGCAAGGAATCTGTGTTGAGTCAATGTCAATTCCTTTCCGGACTCCTCGACAGACACAATAGGGAAACCAATGTTCTTCGTCCAGATGTCCATGACCTTCACGACATCTTTTCCACTAGCCTCTGCCAAAGCAGTCCACAAGTCAGAAGTCTGAGTGTTGCCCCACTTGTGCTTTTTCAAATAGTTGGACACACCCTTGATGAAGGTCTCCTCGCCCAACCAGCGGGAAATCATCTTCAACAAAGAAGATCCCTTAGAATAGGAAATGGCATCGAAAATCTGGTTGATCTCGTCGGCACGCTTGACAGGAACCTCAATTGGATGAGAAGATCTCAAGGCGTCCAAAGTCAAGGCACTTTGAAGAGAGTCAGAAACATACGATTCCCACACTTTCCATTCAGGGAACAAGGCATCGCAGGCGTACCAAGACATCCACGTAGCAAAACCTTCATTGAGCCACAAACCATCCCAGAAATCCATGGTGACCAAGTTTCCGAACCACTGGTGAGCTAATTCGTGCATAACGACTTCAGTGACACGTTGTTTGGTGTTGATGTTGGTATGTTGTGGGTCCAAAAGTAAGTCGACAGTACGGTAAGTGATCAAACCGAAGTTCTCCATGGCACCAGCAGAAAAGTCGTGGATGGCCACCATATCCATTTTAGGTAATGGGTAAGGGATGTCGAACTTCTTGTCGAAGAAAGCCAATGTCTTAGCAGCAATGTCAGCAGAGTACTCACCCAAGTGCTCTTGGCCTGGAGTGGCCCAAACCTTGATTGGGACATTATAAGAGTTGTTTTCAACACATCTCAAGTCTCCCACAATGAAAGCAACCAAGTATGTGGACATCAATGGGGTTGGGTTGAAAACGGTTTTCTTCTTACCGCTGTCCAATTGTTGCACCTCCTTGACGTCCATGTTGGACAAGTGTACGAGTTTGGCGTCAGAAATCAAGGAAATGTCAAACACCGCCTTCAAAGCAGGCTCGTCAAACGATGGGAAGGCGCGGCGACAGTCAGTGGGCTCCATCTGTGTGGTAGCCAAGTAGCGGGTCTTTCCCTCATCGTCAACGTAGGATGAACGGTAGAAACCAGCCATCTTATCGTTCAAAATACCGGTGAATTTAAGGGTCAAAGCGGCCTTGTCGCCCGGAGTCAATTGCGAAGCCAAGGCAAAGGTGGCAGTTTGGTTGTCCTCGTCAAAGTCAACAGAGGATACAGCATCGCCATTGACGGAGGCACTGTGGATGTCGATCTCCAATGTGTTCAACGTGATGGACGAGGATGGCTCGTTGACTTTCAAGTCGATGGTAAGATCGCCTGCGAAAGTGAAGGCATCGAAGTCCGGCTCGAGAGTCAAATCATAGCGAAGTGGTTTGACGTTCGTGGGCAAAACCTCTCTTTGAGGTGTGGAGGAACACATGGCTGATAAAGAGGTGGAGAATAAGCGCTGGCTGACAGGCTTAAGTATGGGGGCGTGGAGTATGGAGGAGAGGCACCGGCGCGCGCCACCGAAAGGCGTGGCTCGAAGCGCGAACATCAGAGAACACTAAAGACAGAGACAAGATCTGGAGTAGGGCGGGCGGAAAGATGGGCGGGAAAGAGACGTCAGGGATAGACCCAAGGGATTCAGTGCAATCGTTCACCAGGGGAGCAAGCACGGGATAACGGGCGATCGAGTGCTGATATGGTCGTAAGATGTACTTGTTTGATTGGGTGGTTTTCGACCGCATCAACGTGCAGGGCAACCTGCGGCGTTTTGGTGCCACGCACTCGAAGCGAGCCGTGCGACGGAGACCGAAGTGGATTCTGAGTGGCCGACAGAGTAGCAGAAGCGCAGACGGCGCGGAAGCACAGCCTTCTACGAGACAAGTGAAAAAAAGCGGCCGAATTACATGTGCGGTGTAGGGAGAATAGTGAGACGGAAACAGTAGAAATACTTAAAGCGGGGAATGCGAGATAACACTGCGGCAATAGACAAAACGATTCTGAGGCCAGATAGAGGCCGAATATGGCTGATTTCCGTTGCACCGCCGTTATGGAGTGTGTGTTGACCCCGGTAACGGTGGTCTGTGCACACTTGACTTGCTGAGGAATGTGCCAAGTATGTATCGAAGCAAGAATACGCGGGTGGTGCATGCACTGTCACACTGTCAAGCGGAGCATTCTGGCTAGCGAAAGAGCCAAGTTACACATCAATACGGGGAGTCGTATGTATAATGATTGTTGGATTCTTGGCAGGGATTTGAATCAAAATTGAAGCAAATCGTCACTAGAGGCCCTAAGGCATCTATCATGAGGCAATTTGTCATTTGTCATGACAGATGCCATTTTCTATGTCGTTTGTCTGTAATTGTGTTTAATAGCGGTGTTTCTGTTTGTTCACTGGGTTCCTACAAACTGTTTGAACAGCATAAACTTATAATGATTATACAATATGTACCGTTTTGAAAAACTTATAAACTCCAACAGTGCATTCGTAGAGATCTTCTGAGTTGAAGCAAGTAACTGGTTGGCAATGTCACATACAAATGCTATCTCTCGTAAACAATTTTACATTCTTTTGTCTGTGGTTGAAATATGTCTCTTGCAACGCCATGAAGTGTATACGTGAATACTTGCACAAAACCTTAGCTGACCACAGGAAACAACAGTAAGACTACAAATGCATGCGAAAACTGTTTTTTTTTATGACTAATCTCATTGTAGACCGTCAAGGTAACTGATATTAGTCAACCATTGCGAGCTTCCATGCGAAATATTTAATTTGTCTGTGCAATAGCCTCGCCAGCTATAGTTTTGATAAGATTCGGGGTTCGCCATTCTCTACCACATCATCCAGTGCGTTGGATCAAGTGCACACCACTGTCAGTTTCCACAATATCACTGAATTCACCCACATTCAAAGCAAAAGCTGCCTCTTCAAAGGCGGGTTGCATCTGGCCGCGGCCGAAAAATCCCAAATCTCCACCACTGGCATGGGATGAACAGTCACTTTCTGTCTTGGCCAAATCAGCAAGCTTGACTTCGCCGTTCAAGATACGCTTTTGGTACCCTTTCAACAAGGCGATGGACTCATCGCGCGAAGTAGTCACAGGGTCTGGCAGTTTCCACGATTTCGGGCGGCGCGACGTGACATTTTTGATTAAGAGATGCGATGCTCTGATCTTGCCATCTTCAGCTACAACAGGCTTCATTCCATTGGCACGAAACTTGTCCAAATACGCCTCGAGCTTAGCCGTGTCAGTACCATATGGAGGTTCCCACGACGACTCTTGTGTAGCCTGGTTAAGAAAGTACTCTTTATTATGCGTCTTGCTGACCCTGATGCACCAGCTGGGAGGTAAACCGGTTTCCATTGTGAAGTGTAGAATAAGAATGTGGTAACTTAAGAATCGTGAAGTTGAGTGCGAACACTAGTGCGAAATTCAAGAATTTGACCGAGAGCGATTCAAAGTAGGTTTGGATTGCAAATCGGCACTAAATAGATGAAAGTTTATTACGTGACTCGAAAAAGTTAAATTTCAGACTGTAGTAGATTGCCTCTTTGTACAACAAATTCGGTGGCAAAAATTCCTGCAGAGGTCACACATGACACCCTACAGTTTTTGGTGTAGGCAAAATTGGCTCCTATAACTTCCTTGTGTCATTCTACGATTGGTCATTTGTTAGATTATACTTTAGGAACTACTAATTTCAAAATATAAAGAATTTGTGCAAAAGAACAGCTGGAAAGCTACAGGAAAGCTGTCTCGAACTTGCGTTGTTCCAATTATTTGTTCCAATTATTTGTTCCAATTATTTGTTCCAATTATTTAGTTACCATTTGATCAAAAAGAATTCTGGCGAATTCTTGCTAGATTAGCCCAAGTAATAAAGCCGAAATATTCATTAGAGCGTAAATGTGCAAGAGTTAGATTACCTCACTAACCAGAGCGAGAAATAGCACCGCTGTATGACGGTGGCTTCATTCGAATTCATAGCAAAAGTACCCAAATTAATATACATAATTAGCGATTTCATCATCAGACACATAGATATTAACATTGGCTACATTCATTCGCTTAAATGTACATTGAAATGTTCAGTCAAGGAGAGGAGGTCTGGGTCGTGAAACCTATACCACGCCTTTCTTCTCTAAAGCAGCCTTGACTTCCCCATAGACAGAATCAATGGGCTGGTCACAGCTAAGTTTGACAACTTTCCCCTTCTTGTCGAAGTAATCAACCACAGGCATCGACGTATCAACAAAGGTACGGAAGCGCTTCCGAATGCTATCGATATTGTCGTCAGTCCGACCACTTGTCTTTCCACGTTGCAACAAGCGGTCAAGCATCACTTGCTCTGGACATTCGAAAAAGAGAGTGAATGCTGAAGGCACAATTTGCTCCTCAAAGACAAGCGCCTGGTCCATCTTCCGTGGGAATCCATCCACAAGGAAACGAGAGTTGCCCTTCTTGTGTTCTTCTGTGATTGCTTGTTCGAGCAACGCCACGGTGACTTCTTGTGGCACAATGGTACCTTCCCGAATACACTCTGCAATCAATCCACCGTACTTGGAGCCTTCACGCTTTTGTTCAGCACGCAACAAGTCACCAGCAGACAAATGAACAAAGCCCTTCTCTGCCACAAGCTTAGCACATTGGGTGCCTTTTCCAGAACCAGGACCACCCAAAACGAACACCACGGTCACCTCGTCCGGAGAGAACGTGGGCTTTTTCAATGGCTTGCCCAGGGCAGCTTCCTTATTGAAAGCAGCCGGGTTCTTAGCTGGCTCCACCATAGGCATTGGGTGGCTCTTGTTGTACACCAGAGCAACAATGGTAGTACCTATAGCCAAAAGACCCAATGCAGCGAGAATCTTTCCCTGGGAGGGAGAAGGAGGCGAAGGGCGACCTGAGGCAAAACGGACCCGGGCAAGGTTTCTGCTTCTGGCAAAACGGGCAAGCGGCGTCACTCTCACGGTTCTAGAGTACATGGTGAAGAAAGAAAAGTTGTGCGAATTGTTTCAGCCACGATATTGGGTGCAAAATAATCGGGACAAAGGGGTGTGCGAGGAGACAGAAGACAACTGGGCAAATGGCAACAACAAATGGATAAATATAATTGACTAGAACCAATTGATCAATTTACAGCTTATGTGGGATTGATGTTGAAATGTGATTAGGATTATCACCAGGATTTACTAATGTAGGACAATCGAGTTCTAGGGGCCGTGCATGGGAAGAGCTTTATTTATAGCAGAGCCTCGATCAGGGTATGACTTTCCCTCATAGAGATAGCGTGATTGCTAGAACTTGCTTTGTTAAGAGATTGCTCATTGGGGTTGCTCAATTGCTAATAATCACACCTAAGTGGTCAAGACGAGAAAAGAAATGTGCGACATGCGTAAAGAGCAATACTCTTCAAGCAAACTATCGTCATAGAACACCAAAGTGTGGGGAATGGGGTCCATGAAAGTTATGATGGCGGCAATGACAAAGATGAACATGATGCCACACTGACTACTCTAATACAAAAATATTAGGAAATGACGTTGATCTTTCAATCTGAGAGTAATACAATGTAGATCCTTCTGTACAGAAAACCCCAAGCGTCGCGGCTTCTAGTTATCATCTAGCAGCTTACAACAAGGATCATTGTGCCGAACATCCGAGATGTAGCCCGCACATTGCAAGACTCACAAGGTCGAAGTATTAAAAAAAGAAAGAAATACCGGATGAAACGATCAAGCTAAGGTAATAAAAGATCATTCTTGATTTATTGAGTGCTTAACGAAGACCGAGAAGACCATGATATTGAGTAGATTTCATACTAACCAAAAGCTATACATTTTATCTCACTGTAGAACCCGAAATTTCAAAAACACTATGGTAGTCAGGTTTAGTCATAATTGCTAATGATTACACCATGGGATGTCATATTTCAGAAAGAACACGTTCTATTTAGGTAAAGTCGGTGTAAATCAGCACTCGCCTGACAGAACTATTTCTCAAGCAGAGTCAGAGTCCTCGTACGTCTTCAACGCGGAATCGCCCACCCTGAAGTACTTGCCGTTCATTTCCTTCGTCCAGCCACGTACGGCTAAATTGGTATAGACTGTAGCAGGCAATTCTGGAGGCAGCAATTTCCCATTGGTATGCAAATCAACAAACCGCTGCAAGCTCTCGGGTGTCATGTTGGCTCCGAATTTTTCACGGATATCCTCTTGCATCGAAGTCGCCACAACACCAGGAGCAACAGAAATGGCGCCCACATTCGGGTTCTCTTCTGCAACCAGCATCATCAAATGATTGAGGGCAGCTTTGGAAGAGCCGTATGCGCACCACCCGAAATATGGCTTCTCACAAGCACCAGACGACACAGCCACAATTCTGCCATGGGATTTTTCCAAGTGAGGCAAAGCCGCAGCCACGAGATCCACAACAGAGAAAAAGTTGATGTCGTACAAACGGCGCCAGCGCGAAACGTCTGCTTTGGCTACGGTGTCTACCGGATCCAATACACCAGCATTGGCCACGACAGAATTGATGACACCAAAGTGGGAGATGGCCTCACGAACAGCACGAGCTGAGACTTCAGGATCAGTGACGTCGCCAGAGACCACCACTACACGAGATCCAAACTCAGCTGCGAGCTGATCCAAAGAATCTTTTGTACGAGCAACAGCGACGAGATTATGGTCCTTGGACTGACTCAAGTAGATGCGGGCAAGAGAAGCTCCGATGCCTGAAGTTAGTATGTGAAAACAAGGTGTGTGGTGGTAGACATACCTCTGGAGGCACCGGTCAAGATCATGGTGTGCGACATGGTTGAGAAGAATGTAGTTGATAAAGCGAAGTATGCGAAGTAGAACGATTCAAAGCACCGAAATATATAAATATGGTGTGTGCTGTTCAGAAAGTGCTCAGAATCCGGTCAAATAGCCGAGATTGGACGAAAAAGCCGGATTGGATGGATGCGCCGGAATGAAAGGATGTATCCGGAATTGAAGAGCGTAACGATATTGCTACATAATGAGCGCGCTTGTTGTCGTCCATGTCTGAACACTGTAGTACAAATATCGATATGAATGCAAACCTGTTGGTGGGGTCTATACCACTACAAGCAATTGAGTTCAAGGTGTATTATACTTGTCACTTAGTCCGATGCTGGATTGTACGTCTGGTGTTATAAACCTCGTGGAAATGTCTTAGTTCTTAAGTTAGATATGTGGCAGTTAGCCAGCAGAAGAGGTAGAAGGACAGCTTGGAGGTGCATCGTGGCTTGGAGGTGCATCGTGGTTTCTTGTATAAACTTTATCAAGTGAGACTGTCTAGTGACGTAAATATTCTGTATCGCACCATTGTGGATTTCCCATATCTGATTCGTTAGACAAATTCACGTTTCTTGGAACCGTTTCGCTGCCACTTGCTCTAATTCATGCATGTAAACTTTGATCTTTGTGTATTTTCGTCTTTGGCAGACTGGGCATTTGGATCATATTACACTTATACTAAGGGTGCTCACTGTAAAATATCGTATACGTGAATTATTGGGCAATTACAAATCCCTACGTATGGTTAGTCTTTTCAGTAGATGATAAATCAATTGACAAGTCAACTCTTTTAGCCAATACTTCCTTCTTCATCTCATAATAGATATAGTGCCAGTATCGAAAAGTGTCCGCGATATGCCCTACCAAAAGTTATCTCACCGGACAAAACAACACACACTCTCTAAGAGAAAGCACACTTCCACGCACGGATAACATAGGGAACTCATTTCCATTGCTTCACTTCAGCTAGAAGTTGACATAATACTTTGCTGCTCGAAAAGTTTTAGCCCATAATACATCTTACGACCAACCTCCCCATACTGCTCCTCCATGAACATAAACCCAGACTCGGCGAGGGATATTCCTTGCAAGAACGTTCTCATCTACGGATACTGCAAATATGAAAACAAGGGATGTGCATTTGCGCACCCAGCATCATCCAAGTCATCTACAATCAAGACAAACCTGGCTAATGCCTCTACCATAGCGACCGGAGACGCCACAGACGCGTCACCGCCCGCTGAGCCGAAAAGAAAGTTCAATATGAATACACCTTCGTTCCAGCCATCAGTCCTGGGTCTCACAAACAAGTTCAGTGCCCTTTCACCCAAGCTTAAAGAAATTCCAGTGTTTGTGCCCGCAAGCATGGAATCGAGTGAGAATCCAATTACACAGTCCCTGATAGCTAATGTATCGACTGCGACGAACTCCGGTAGCACAGGTGTACCTGGCGCGTCTGTAAACGCTTCAACTCCGGCGGAGAACAACTCTCCTTTTACGTCCCGAAAATTCAACGTATCCACGCCGTCCTTCACACCGTCCAATACAACTGAAGCGCCATTACTGCTGCCAGCAGCTAACTTTACGCTGCTGGCACCAACTCAACCGAAATTGGCAAATCCGTATGCGTCGTCCTCCGCAGCAGACTTCATGTACCACCACAGCCTGGGTGCTCTGGCTTACCCACTACATCACCATTTGTATGCACCTGCGCCACCACCGAGACTTGCGATGCCCTTAGGTCGTCATGAAACAAACGCTTCGGCTATGTTCATCCCTAATGATTTACGCGAACTCCTTACGCGAAAGAATGAGGCCACACTACAGACTATGCCTCATCTGACATTACCCGACCATGTGGGAGTGTACCATACTTTGGTACCAATTGATTCATCATTTGACAATGTTTCCAAAGAGTACCACTTGCCCTCTCACGTCTACAAAGTCTTGTCCAACGCTGATGGACTCCCGTATGCCATGCGCCGCATTGACTATGGCACCCTGTTGCGGATTGTCAACGAGTTGCCCTTCCGCACAGTTAAACGATGGAGATCCGTGAAGAATCCCAACGTGATCCATCTACAAGATGCTTTCACATCCGTTGCATTCAGCACGCAAGGAGAGCCGTCCCTTTGTCTCGTTTATGATTACTATCCATTGGCCGACACGCTACTGGAAAGACATCTTAGCCGAAAGTTGGGTAGTAAATTAGAGCCCGTGACGGAGGACCTCCTTTGGACATATGCCATCCAAATTACTGGCGCCCTACTTGACATACATCAGGCTGGTCTTTATGCGGGCTCCTCGATTTCTCTTAGCAAGATCTTAGTAACTAACAAGAATAGAGTGAGGCTTGGTGCTGTTTGCGTCGATGATATATTGGAGTTTGAAAATTTGGACTCAGAGCGCAACGAAATAGGCTCCGAAGCTGTTGTTGAAAAGTTACAGCTAGGCGATGTCATACGCTTTGGGAAAATAATACTTGATCTCGCTGCGACTACGCTTCCTGCTGGTTTGCGAAACGGTTCGATAGAGGAGATGATTGACAATTTGCTGCGTTCATCATCAATATCCTTTTCAGGCGAATTTTTGGAGACGCTTCGTGTGCTTAACAGTGCAGAGTCTGAATTCAGCTTGATAAATTTCTACACGCGATACCTCTCCCAGAGAGCTCTTAAACTTATCAACGGTTTGCAAGATCTGACAGACTATTACGAGGGCCAGCTTCTGTCCGAGTTAGAAAACGCTCGTTTATTCAGACTTATGACGAAAATTGATTATCTACTCAGCCAATCAGACAAAGAGGACGAGGTGAACGGCAACCTTTTTGTTATCAAATTATTCAGAGATTTTGTCTTCCAGACCACTGACGAAACAGGAAAACCAAAAGTAGACTTGTCTCGCGTGCTAGTCAACTTGAACAAGCTCGATGTAGGGGTGGATGAAAAGATCTTACTAGTGTCGAGAGAGGAAGACAGTTGCTTAATGGTTAGCTACAAGGAGATCAAAGACATCATGGATCAGACGTTCCGCAACATCTTCAGGTAGATGATGCAAAGACAAAACCCGAGGGGAAAATTAAAAAATAGAAAAAAAAAAAACGTGAAAACATTTAATACTAGTAGGCACATACCCTTTTAGTCACACCATCATCTTCACTTGCGTGCTTCGTTGCATATCTAGGCGCATACTTTAAAGAAGAGTCATTGCGAAATCGGTCATTAACCACTTATGAGTAATGCGCGCCTTGGTACTACGTGACTACCCAACCAAAATATGGGAACTCCGGTAAATGAAAGAACAATAAGACCTGAGTACAAACTTATCCCCGCATTTATAGGCAACGTAAGAGGAAAGCAACTACTTTCTCCTAATTAGTACAAATGTGGATCTCTTGAGGTGAAGCGCTGAGAAAAAACGCCACACCGTAGCAAAAGGCTCCTCCTGCACATTGTGAATCATTCATGACTAAATGTATATCTTATCGGGGAATGAGTAATTTTCTGGGGGACATACACAGGAACGGCTTCTGTGGGTCACCTATATAAATATGCTCGACCCCAAAAGCCACACCAAGCAGTGTCTACACGGCAATCTCCTTTACCAAACAAACATTTTACCCTTCCCTTGACTTTATTGGCAAGAGCAGTGGAAGCAACAAGTCATAATCTCCGCATTTTCTACATTTTTTTTTATATCTGGCGTTTTTTATTTGGGTATCTAGACGAACTTAGTCCGGCGGTTTTATCTTATCAAGAATTTTTATACTGAATTTTTCTGTTCCATTTCCATTTTCAATTTCCTTCCCATCCATTTGGTGTGATTATACTGGCTGGCCATATCACCCAACCCACAAGAGCCTGGAACCAAAGCTCTTTCATTTAATTTCTTTTGTCCAATCTTCTCCAGTTCGTTATCATTAAAAATGTCTTCTTCTAATTAATTTAGTCGAAGCAAGTGATTGGTTTAAGTTGTGCAAAAGTTTTTTAATTTCATCCCTTTTTATTTTGTGGTTCTTCCTTAGTATTGGTCCATGTCAACCATGACTCCAGAGAATTCTGTGTCGCCCCAATACAAAGAGGAAACACCTTCAACACCTTCAGAACATCATTATCCAAACCAGTTGAAGTATTACAATGATCATTTGAACAAGAGTCAATTTAATTTGATTTTGATAAACTGCGCTTTGAACTTGCTTAAGCTTATCTACCCAGAACAACAATGGGAAGAGCACAAGTTAAGATTCTTTATCATTGAGGTGTTGAGAAGATCCAAAACTTCCATCCAAACATTGCAGATTTGCTGCTACTACATGTTTAGGATCGTTAACAGTGGGGTTCCAGCTACACCTTCATGCCCCAAAAAATTGTTTTTGGGTTTGATCATCTTGTCCTCCAAATTCAACCAAGACCACAACTACTCTTTTAAATCGTGGCTCAAAATTTGTGGCTGCAAGACGGAAGACGACTCGAGCTTAAACTTGAAAAAAACTTCAACAAACAGAAGTTGAATGTCTTGCCCTTCTTGACTACAATCTTTACATTAACTCTTCAAAGTACGAAAATTGGTGCAACGTTTTGTTGATCTTTGGTTATGACTTCATCTCGCTTCATGAAGTTAATAACGGAGAGCTAACATGGTGCAATTTTGAGCAAAGTGCTCAGAAGTTGTCTCGTTGGCGTACGTTTTTGACCCATTTGGACGATAAACAATTGAAGGAAGCAAATGTTAATTTCAAGGAATATTACGCCAACCAAATTGGATCAAAAGTGGTCCTCACCACTTCGCAAAAGGTTAATCTGTTGTTTTCTAAACGCAGCTATGACGATGAGTCAACCTCTGCCAAGAAGATTTGTGCAGCAAAATAGGTGCAATATATACTTCATCTGCAAATTGTGCTATGTAATCTTCACTGATACTTGTTTAGGATTACACTACTAATGTTAGCGAATGTTATGTATAATAAAACAGGATATGCTTGGGAGCCACAGTTGTAAGAGGGACACAACGTGAAACCCGAAGAAGATAGTATTACAAAGTTTGTAAGAAGGAATCACGCGGAAGCAGAAACGAACGGAACGTCCGAAGTAGAACCTTTAGTAATAATGTCTTGCATAGATTCTTTTGCGTTCTCTGCCGTAATCTGAGCCTTCTCCTTGTAAGGCGAAGCTTTCTCTTCCACATAAGTTTGTGTGGTATCTTTCAAAGGCTTAATGTAATCGTCATTGACTGATTTGAGCAAAGAAACTCCAGTGTTGATGGAGGCTGAAGCCACCTTAGCGTAATAATTTTGTTCGTTTGCAGCAGAATCGAACTCTTTGTTGTAAGTAGATATGACAGTATTGGAGAGATCGTTCGACTTTGAGGAAATCAAGTGCTTTGATCTGTTCAAGGTATCGTGGACAATTTCAATTGACTTGTAAATCTCATTTGATGCCTCTGCTTGCGCTGATTCTCCAGCATCTTTTGCCTCCTTGACTTTAGGCAATACTTTATCAACCGTGTTCGATGCGTAATCGTTAATGGGCTTCAAATAGGATGACACTGTGTCTTCACCTTTCTTTTTGTATGCCCCAGCAATGCCCTGAGCTTTCTTCTTATACTCGTCTCCGACTTGCTTGTATGTGGAAACATACTCATCTCCCTTCTTTTTGTACTCTGCCAACACTCAGTTCCACTCGTTTCAAAATAGCCTCAGTTATTGAGAGCACGCTATCAACAACAGATAAGACAAGACCGTCAAAATTGTTGTCAGCAAAAACCAAAAACCGGGTAGCAAACGGGATGTAAATGATAATGTTGGAATAGATAAAGTTTGTCAAAGCAGTAGCGTACAAGTATACTGTATTCACTAAGGGAAGCGAAAAGACAATAGAAAGAATCTTTTGCACCAAAGGATACTTCTTGATATGTTCAAGGGACTTGGAAGAAAAGGGTTTGGTCATGGCAGCAGGTTACAACTAATTTATGAGGATGAATAGAAAGCAAACTGCTTGTACAAATGAGCTATGGGAATAAAGAAAAAAACGACGAACTACGAGGAGTAAGAGATGCCACAATATTTATAACGGGAGATTTATTACGAAACAGGAGATGAAAGATGGTGCGCCCTGAACCTGTATTATCAGGATATGCATTACTCCTAACCAGAATCATCAGAGGTCAATGCGACGAGGATAAGAATCTGACATAAACAGTAAATATACCACGAGATTGACAGATTGTAAGTTTACATTTTTGAAACGGTATTGGAAAGCTAAAAATACATCAAAGTCATCCCGGACTTTCCCGCCGGAGCATATAGCGTAGGTTCATTGCACGTTTATTGCAACTAAAGACAGAGAAGTGTTTGATTGTTTTAAATTACAGAAAGTAGAATGTTGGAGTGCCTCTTGATACAATTTGGAGCCAATTCCGATTAGCTACAAGCCCCTATGCGCAACGTATAACTTATCGATAGTTTTGTTTTCTTGACTAAACCTTGTACCAGTTGAATATTTTTTTGCTTTTCTTTTCTTTTCTTTACGTTTCTTTTATAATTCCGTGAGAACTTGCCTCCGTATTCACGTATGTTCTACCCTTCAGAATCTGTATCCGTGTAATTCGACAGTTCTAGTCTAAGGGGGTTTCTCATTTTATCTCTCTTTGCAGTATTCTGAAGTAATCTCAACATACTATATGTCTTCGCGCGATAAGCAAATAAATTGATGGATGATTTACGAAAGTCCCTTTTTTCATGTTGCTTTCATTTTTTGCACTAATCCAAAGAAGAAAATCAACCTCGGTGATCACATTAGTTGGTTCTTCTTCCTCTAATTGGACTAATGGACTAACTAGTGTAATCCAAATGGTTTCAGGGAAGAAGCGGGCGTGCATTAGATTGCTTGAAATTATCCCGGTAGTAGAGGTGCATAGAGGAGCAAGCATGTGCAAAAGTCGCCACGACTTTCAAATATAGTCGCTGCTTCTGAATAAACAGATATCTAGTAGCACTAAAACCCGCCTATTTCTTTTCTTCAAATTTGCCTCCATGCATTTACGACAGTATTACTCTACTTAGAAAAACACTAGAACACTTTTATTGAGTGTTTGAGGCGCTATAGTCAAATAATATATGCAGCTTCCCTTGATAACTAGATTCACGCCCAAACCTGGCGTACGTTCACGTCATCGCCAGTCTTCGGCACAACAGTTTGGCATGCTGTTTGGAAACTGCATTCAGAACACATTTTACTTCACACAGCCGGCACAAAATATACATCGCGGAAATCCGCTCTCTGGGGCATACGGAACACACATGAGCAGACATAGCAGGAGTCCATTACACCAATGGACTGGATGCCATTACAAGTAAACCCGTATCTGGTCATGAGAGAATAGAGCAGCGCTTCTTATTGTTGCTTGCACTCTTGAGGATTTTCCTTTGGGCCAGGTTCGTTGATGTCATCGTCGTCGTCATCGTCAACATCTTCGCTGTCAAACTCTTCTTCATCTTCCTCAGCAAAATCTTCAGGGTAGTCCAAGCCAACAGCGTCACCTGTAAACCAATCAATGGCACGTGGAATCAACCTGTCCTTGATCTCCTCACCCAATTGATAGTCCAATTCCAATCTTTCTTCCAAGTCTGCGTCTTCCTCGTCATCTTCTTCCTCTTCTTCCTCTGCATCAGCCTTTGGTGGCTTTGGTGGATCGAAAAAGTTGAAGAAAGACTCTGTAGGTGTCAACTTCTCTATAGTACGTGTTTGCTTGGTTGTTTTGTTTCTTTGCTTTCTGCGTTCGATATTGATAGTCACATTCTTTTCCTTGGACTTCCAGTTAATCTCACATCCATCGGCATGGTCGTAGACAAAGTCACCAGAGTAACCCAATTCGGCTTGATAGTGGTAGGTTTTGGTCAAAACCAGGTTGCTCAAGTATGGGTTTTCCGAGAACTCGAAAATCAATTCGAATCCTGGAGTGCTTAAGTACTCCATGCGAATATCCTTCAAGTACTGCAACACTTCGCTATCTCTTTCTGTGATAGCCTCACTCACGGTACTCAAATTCTCCAAAGCAGTCAACCAGAAGTTAGGAATACCCTTTGGTGCGTCACCCTCCTCTGCTTCTTTCTCCTCCTCTTCTTCATCCTCTTCATCTTCATCCTTCTCTTCGAGTTCTTCTCCAACTTCGATTTCTTCTGGAGTAGGTTCTTGCTCACCATTCACAATGGCCTTTCTGCGCTCGTACAAAGGTTCGTACTTGCTAAAGTACTTTTTCTCCAACTCCAATAACTCCTTTTGGAACTCAGCTTCCAACTTCATTTGCTGTTGTTGAATGGCCTTCAAACCTGAAACTCTTTTCTTCACAGCCTTAGGTAATTGGTCAATATATCCACTTTGTTGGCCTACCAAAGTGCCCAATTTACCTTGAATCATCGACAATAACGCTGGATTGTTAGCCAACTGTTTCGTCAAGTTATTCTCATCTTCTTCTGTGATAGTGTTAACACTGGGAAGCTGCTGCTTCAAATACAGATTTGCCACGCTGGATGGTGTGTTCTGGGGGGTTGGAGCTTTTGAAATATCTCCGTGTTTTCTGATTGGTTCCGACATTGTTTCTCTAAGATGAGGGAAAGAAGATCTGTTGCAGAGGATAATTTGCTCGATCGTTTAAAAAAGAAACGCTTCGTTCGTCACGTGGGTGGGCGGCGAGTGTGTGCCTTTACATTGAAGGCCGAGAAGGGAAAAAACTAATATAGTGTACATAATGAAAAATATATTGGGAAAACAATAGTTATAGAAGAAATGAAGTTGATTATTCAACGCCCAATACGGACTGTTTAGAGCTCAAACGAAGCAGTCATTACCATATTCGTGCTTTCGGGAATTTCATCATACTTGCCATCCAAATATAATTCGATGTCATGTTTTCGCTTTTCCCATTCCTGCACACGATCCAAATTAGCCTGAATATCGCTGATTTCGTTATCAATCGACTTCAAGTTCTCCTCCGATGTCAAGTCGTGGAAAAGCCATTCGTGATTTTCAGACGTATCCCCTTTGATCTCCAACACGTAGTCATGGTATTTCATCAATAAGGGCCTATGTGAAAGCGTAATGAATGTGATTTTTTTGCTCTGAAGAAGTTCAAAAAGATAATCTTCAATATCAGTACTCACTGCGTTAGTGAATTCATCCAAAACCACATATTTGGGGTTAGCAAAGAGTACGCGAGCGACACTCATTCTTTGCTTTTCCCCACCGCTGAATACATCCTTCCAATCCTTCTTCACATTGAAGTTTCCTTCTCTGGTTAAAAGATACTCCAATTTCACTTCCCTCAATATGTGATACAAATGATCATCATTGTACCCCATGCTCAACATATCGTCGTACGAAAAAGGATATATGATTTGGTCTCTCAAGTTTCCATTTGTGAAATACGTTTTCTGAGGCAAGTAAAATATCTCCTCGTCGCTAGGCTTTGATAACAAACCATGATAAATAGGCCATAACCCAGCCATAATGCGGGCAATCGAAGTTTTTCCACATCCATTCGACCCCAAAATCAAAAGGTTTTTACGTTCCTGAACTTGGAAATTCAACTTGTCGATCAATAGAACACCTTCAGACCCTTCAGTGCTAGGTATAATGACGGGAATGCTTTCAAAGCGGATTCCGTTACCGTAGTTTCGTTGAACTGTTCCCTTAAGGTCTGCAGCACCATACTTAGATCCAAAGGCAAAAACCGGCGAGTGGCTCACATGTAAGTTGGTCAACAACATAAATACTCGGTTGGTGTAACCTGTAAGTTCCGAAACATCTTTGATAGAGTACATGAGCCGCGAACCAGCGTCAGCTAAAGACAACATCAATCTTTTGTTGATGATAAACTGCCTCATGTTCTGGCGCTCATCAACAGGTTTATTACCTTTAGGTATTGGTTCAATAAGCTCGCCTTCGTCTTGGTGGGGTGTCTCGGAAGAAAAGAATTCTTCCATAAAAACTGGCAAACAAGCAAAGACGTATCCCCAAGCAGACCACGTGTACTTCAAAACATAATCTTCAATAATAGAATAAGAGAAGGAAATATTGATTTCCTTCGAAACATGACCCATAAGCTCATTGAAAGTCTCTCGCAACTTTGCTTTCTCGATTTTTGAGCCTTTATAAAATCCGATTTCTTCGGAGTTAGATATGAGATTGAGATGTTCGTTATAGTACTGACCTTCCAACTGAGTTCTTTGGGATGAAAGTTTGCCAAAAGAAGGGGTGAATTTTTTCAAGAGGACAGCTGTAGCGAAATAATTGGCAAAAATGCCAACAATAGCACCTGTCCCCAAGTTATCTCTCAAATAAACTGAGAAGAATACCAAGTCAATTAATGGTTTACCCATACTTGAGAAGAGACCACAAATGGAGTCACAAAATTTTGCCACATCATTAGTGATGTATTGGTCAATATTCTGAATATCATTCGAATTCAACAGAATTTTGTAATATGCCATTACTTTATCCAAGTACATGTCATGGATGTACCGGGTTAAGTTTGTCCGAAAGCCCAATGAAAGGCGATTCGTAAGGTATTTGATGGCTGCATTGGTATATGACGCTGGGAACGCAATGAGAATCCAATAAATTAAATCTCTAACGAATTTTCTGCCGTTTGCACTAATAATATTCTTAACAATCTGGCCATCGAGTTTGGCAATGATCAAAGAAAGCCAAGTGCGGAGAACCAAGAAAAAACATTGCGAAAGTAGCAAGTATGTGTTTTTTGAAGCGAATTTAGGTATCAAGATTCTCCAAATGATAATTAGCTGGTTCAAAAAGCGCGAGTTGAACAAGTTATTTTGCAGTTTCAACTTTTGATCTATATGGAAATTCTTGTATAGATACTTGTCAGCAGCATATCTATCCATATTTGGCTTTGGAATAATGATCCGTGAAGTGCCATTTTTTCCTTTCGGAATGTAAATCTCTCGAGAACCATTTTTTAGTATAGTCGAAGATTGCCGGATGAGAAGGGGGCGACGAGCCAGTCTCTTATCTTTCAAATCTCTAATCCAGGTAATGAAGGAACGTAGAGCAAAAAAGGTTCCGATACCAAAAGTGGACACAACCGTACCAATAAAGAGGATGACCGGTCGACTCTGATAATTGATGGAGACTTGGTTGTCTTTGTATACGAGCACAAACTCGCGAAGAAGAGATAGCAACTTTCGAATATCTTCTCTCTTATAGAGCTTAAGCTTTGATACTCGATTCATGGTTTTTCAGCGGTAAGAAGAGAGACTAGCAATGAGCCATAATGACCATGTAGTCGCGAATACTACCCCACATTATCTTCCGAGGGTGTGCCGGATAATTTAAATGGCAAATAATAACCTATAAGCATGAGAGTATCCATTTAAGAAAATGCAAGATAATATAGAAGTATATCAAATGGATGAACTATCAAAAGCTTATGGTGAAGTTGAGTATTTTAGGTTTGATTTTTCGACTTTACAAGAGGGGGAAAAAATCAGGTGCACGAGAAGAAATAAAGGTGCCGCAACTGTCAATCAAAAAAAAAAAAAAAAGTCATTCTTATATACTGGTTAATAAGGAAGAGCAAAACAAGAAATCCAAGCAATGGTTTCTTTTCAAAGAAACAAAGTTCATGCTGGGAAGCTAAGCCTCTAGTAAACCGTAAAAAAATCAAAGAAGAGTTTATTTGAAGAAGCATGCAAATCGAAATAGAGAGGGTTCGAAGTAGGATAAATTTGAGGATCACTGTCATTTCTACAACACGATAAGTTGTAGCGATCATATCTTCATGTATCGTCTTGTTAGTCTAGTCAGCAAATAGTTGAAGCTCGGAGTATCAATAAGGCTATCAGAAGAAAATGAGCTCTGAAAGCAACTCGAATCCATGGCATAGACTGAAATTGTTTTCGGGTTCATATCTACACCAAATGAACATGCTTTGTATTAGAATCCTATTTCTTCATATGGGACGAAACGCATGCCCGGAACAACTGGAATTCTTTGGCACAAGCGTCTTTTGAAATATTCGTATAACATTTGAGAACACACAGCCCATAAGCTGCACCGAGATCGGCACATTTTGCGCTGGCAGACATGAGTCTAGCCGCTGGCCTAACTTTTTGCGCCATGGTGGAGTTGAAGATGAGAGATGGGTCGCGGAAATGTGTATACAAAGCAACAGTAGGAACATACGCAAGTAACATCTACAAACCATCAATGCAATCGATCAACACAACCTGTGCTTGAACATGTATAAATTCAAACCATGAATGCGATATATCTTGAAAATGTTTGAGCACAGTGAATACGATAGGTTTTGGCAATGATTGAGCACCTGTCTCGAGACAAAGTTGCATTTGAGTAGCCTGTTCGAAGAGACAATCTGCGGCGATGAAAAAGATGATGAGCATTGATATCAATTGGTGTCTTCTGGCTACTACAATATGCCAACATATTGGATCTTAATGACGGATGATGGGATTTTTCATCTCGTATGCAAATGATCTATATTCAGCATCTATTTGGTGTGTACATCTCCACGTCTATAATGTCTGTATCAATCGGAGTTCCAATATTTCTAATCTGCATCCGATTATGAGTTTCTATTTTTCCTCGCTCCTGTTCTCGCTTTACAAGAGCTGCTCCGCCAGATAGACCAACTTCATTGCTTGTTCCATAAACATCAACGTCAAAATTGAATGTGGACCGATCCGAAGCAATTGCGCCCAAAAACCCTTGTAAAGCGCCCAAGGACCCTCTGTCTTGATGATTTTTGCAAAACAATCCGCAGGTCCCTTATACAAGTCGCCCTTCTGGTTGTACAATCGAGTCAAGACAACGTCCCATGGGTTCATTACTATTGCCACTCCAAGCCCGGCCATAGATGAAGATACAAAGTGTAATCCAATGGAACCATTCTCCATCAAGTTATGGTTCAACAAGTAGTTTTTGGTCAAGTTGTACACCGGCAATTGAGCCGAAGAGCCTGCTCCCGTACGCAAGACAGCAGCGTCAACACCCCGGAACCAACCGCGTACACCCTCAGCAGCATAAATCTGGCGAAATCCATCCAAAACACCTTTGTAGTAGGTTTGTTGGCCCACGCTGACCTGCAACTTGGAACTGGCCTTGTTATAAGACTGCATCCTCGTCTTGATTAGGAAAAGCGGATTGGCAATCACAGCTCCCGTACCACCAGAGACAAAACCTGCCAACACATTGATAAGCAAGTTCTGCGGAATCTTACTAACATCGTCCGAGTAGTCGGCCGGATGGAGCAACTGTGTCAAGTATTTTCGAGATGGCTCATAGAGACCAATACGACAACCATTGAGTCCCATCTGGTACCAATAGCCGCATACCAAACCTTGTTGCAATCCCCGTATTCCTTCGTTTTTGTAAATCACAGCGAAAGCCTGAAGCGGGTTTGTGTACAAGCGGGGCGCATTGGACATCTTTGTAAGTTCACCTTGCAATTGCATCCGGGTTTTGATAAGCTCGATGGGGTTTCTAAAAGTTACCGCCCCACACGCAGCAATTCCTCCTGCAAGGAAACCGCCCAATGTTGACACCTCTTGGGCGAGCGACTTGTGTGGCTTTTTAGTCATGGATAGAAATGAGAAGAAAGCGTTATCAAGCCGATTTCAGGTGAGTCAGATACAAGCGAGTGCGAAAAATTTGATATCATAGAACAATGATTGAAGCTAATTGTTTGAATGGGTTCTCATGGACGTAGTCTAGGCTTTGTAGCAGTTTGGAAAAGGTGAAGATAAAGTGAATAAACAAAAAAACTACAAAAGGAAATAAGTACGAATTCATTATTTTTCATGTTACGTACTGATTAAGGTAAAATTCATCAGGAAACAGCTTAAAGTTAGAAATATGGATTTCGTAAATGTGGAAAATCCTCATCTGCAAACGCAAGCGATAAAGACCAGATGTCACTACATTTTACATAACATCAAATTTTGTCTCATTAGTGACATTGATCTTTGTTTTCTTCGGTCCATGCTGACGATACTACGTTTCCTTGCATGATGCGCGAAATCTCTCTTATCTTCTTAGTTTAACCATGGGATATCCTTCGCCTTTACGTACTAGCATACGTAAACTCTCTCCAAATGTTGTTACAGTGTCATGTCCTTTCTCTATCAAAAATAAGGCTGACGTTGGAAATCGGATGACGTTGATCAAGTACGATGGAGATGTTGTTGTTTTCTCTCCTATTCCATATGGAGAATACATGAACGAAGCTTTTGAGGCATTAGGTGGACCCAATTTAAAACCAAAGTACTTGGTGATTGTCAACTTCCAACACAATTTGGCAGCTCCGTCATTCAAAAAAGAATATCCGGACATCAAGATAATCGCAGGGGAAAATGTTGAATTGGGACCAGAATGTCCTGTTTCACTCAGATTAACTAGTGACATGGGCAATCGCTTGCTTAAAGCTGAAGATTTGAGACAGAAGTGGGGCGTCGATGAAGAATGGTGGTGCAATTTGGAGCTCTGTTATTTGACTAACCACAAGAACAAGGATGTGGTTATGTACGAGAAAACGTCTCGCATCTTAATTGAAGGTGACGTCGTGTTCAACATGGGTGTTCCAGACGAAAATGACTCCTTTGAGCAATACTCACCTGCTACCGGTTACCGAGAAAAGCACTTTCCTTATACTGGATGGTCCTACATGTTGAGGTTTGTCAATGCTAACAGCTTTCTAGGACCATGGTTATTTTCTCGTTTGTCGAACACTAAAACAGAAGGCGGTAGAAATGCAATTAAATTGTTGTATGAAAACTGGGATTTTGAGACAATAGTACCATGTCATGGAAATGTCATTTCAAAAGACGCGAAGATTGTCTTTAAGAAAGGATTTAATCTCTGAAACAGTTATCTTTCCCTCAAGCATTAGGTTTTAAGTGACGTAGGAAATTCTCTATTCAATGCATATGCTCTTTACGATACTTTAGATTATTAATGTACTAACATCTAGTTCAGAGCGCGAAAACTGAAGCGAACAAATTACGAATTTGAAGACCCTACTCAAAACACTTTGTTGCCACCATGCTTAGAAACAATCGAACCAGCCTAAATCGCCATCTCCAACGTCGATTAATGGCAACTTTTTCTCAGGCGGAAACTTTATCCAAGTATCCAGTGGGTCTTCTGATGCATGGGTTTTCCATCGAGAAAGTTCAGCCAGTGCCCGAATTCTCATTAGTGGCAGTCAAGTTGAAGCATGGACGCACTGGCCTGGAACATTTGCATTTGGATGCTCCTATGGACAAGAACAATGTCTTCTCTGTCGCTTTGAAAACTAATCCGCCAGATTGTACCGGTGTGCCTCACATATTAGAACATACAACATTATGTGGCTCTTACAAGTATCCCGTGAGAGATCCCTTCTTCAAGATGTTGAACAGGTCCCTCAGTAATTTCATGAATGCTATGACTGGCCACGATTATACTTTCTACCCCTTTGCCACCACGAATAGAAAGGATTTCAGCAATTTGATGGACGTATACTTATCGTCAGTGTTCGAGCCATTATTGTCTTACGACGATTTTATGCAAGAAGGCTGGAGATTGGAGCAATCAGATTTGACTGACAAGAAGAGCCCGATCGAGTTCAAAGGAGTGGTTTACAATGAAATGAAGGGCCAGTACTCCAATTCCAGCTACTTATACTGGATCAAATATCAGGAGGCCATTTATCCATCGTTGAAGAATTCTGGAGGAAACCCTGCTAAAATTCCAGACTTGAATTATGAGGATCTTATCGAGTTTCATTCTCTGAACTACCATCCATCGAATGCCAAGACTTATACGTATGGCTCATTTCCTTTGGAGGAACATTTGAAGAGCTTGAACGAATTTTATCAGCCATTTGGTGCTCGCTCTACAAAACCGGTGATCAAGCCATGTATTTTTGAGCAACAACCAACTGTCAAGCTCCACAATGTGGAGGTTCCAGGTCCTATCGATACCATGTCATCCAAGCCAACCGAAGAACAATACAAATCTTCTTTGACGTGGTTCTTGGGAAACCCATTAGAGGAGGACAGACATTACGAAGTCTTCAAATGGAAAGTGTTAAATTCGCTTCTCTGTGATGGCCACAATTCGCCATTTTACCAAGAATTAATCGAGACTGGATATGGAGAAGACTTCTCACCAAATTCTGGCTTGGATATGACGACGTCTATGCTCAGCTTCACAATTGGACTTAATGGATTATCAAAGACTAAAGTAAATGAACTAGAGTCCAAAATTAAAGATATTGTGACCGATAAGGTACTCCCTGAACTCACGAAGAAGGAAAAGAGTGTGTTTCATGAAAGGGTTCAGGCTATTCTTCACCAGTTAGAATTGGGATTTAAAAAGCACAAGCCAGACTTTGGCTTGGGGCTCTTAAATTCCATTGTCCCATCTTGGGTAAATGGACAGGAGCCTGTCAAATCATTGCAAGTCCAGTTCATTTTAAACAGATTTAAGGAAGACTACGAAGAAAAGGGACTAGTCCTCTTCGAAGATATGTTGAAGTCAAGCTTATTGAACGAGCAAACTCAAAGATTCAACTTTACTATGGCTCCTCAAGAGTCATACAATGATGCTTTAGTGACAGAAGAGGAAGCGAGACTTGCACTGCGTGTAAACCGCCTTAACGAAGAAGACAAAGAAGTGATTTTTAAGCGCAGCCAAAAGCTTCTTGAGAAGCAAGCTGATTCAGGTGATGTTTCTGTTTTACCTACGTTAACACTTGATGATATTCCCAGACAAGGTGACATGTACAAGTTATCTTTTAGCTCTCTTTCCCACGACGGAGACACGATTCAGAAACGAGTTGTCAATACAAACGACTTAGTTTACGTTTCTGCGGCAAAGAACTTATCATTCCTTCCACAGAGACTCTTGAAGTACTTACCATTATTCAACTCATGTTTGACGAACCTTGCTGGAACCGAGAATATTCCTATTACGGAGTTGGAGAACAAAATCCAACAAAAGACAGGCGGACTTACTTTTTCTGCAATGGCAAAAACTGATCCTTATGATATTGGTAAACCACATGTCAAGTTCGTGATGTCAGGTATGGCTCTCAAAGAGAAATCTGAAAATATCTATGAATTATGGTTTGAAATCTTAAACAACACCATGTTTTCGGCAAATGAAGCTGTATTAGACAAGTTGCAAACTTTGATCAAAAATTTGGGACAGAACCAAATGAACATGATTGCTGATAGGGGCCACTCATACGCCAATTCCTACAGTAATTCTCAACTTACTCCTACAAAATGGATAAACGATTTGTTGGGAGGTGTGGAACAGGTGAAGTTTGTCCTGGAAATGAACAAAAAGTTAGATGAGAATGGCAAAGAATATTTGAAAGAGGAAATTTTACCCATTCTTCAGGAAATCCAAACATTGATCACAACAGGTTCCACTGAAGGCTTGAACAAAGGCTTCAATTACAATATTGTTGCGGACAAGGTTTCAGTCGCCGAAAACGTAAAGTTGATCGAGAAATTCAATGAGAGAATGCTCACTAGTTCTGGATCTAAGTCACTTGCAAATGAACTGCAAAAGTTGAAGATTTCTGCACCTACTTTGAGTCGGACAATTTTAAACTTACCATTTCAGGTTGGATATGCATCGTTGGCCCACACTGGTGCTGCTTACAGTACGAAAGAAGGAGCTGCTCTTCAAGTCCTCTCTCAAATTGTTACTTACAAACACTTGCATTCTGTAATAAGAGAGGCGAATGGTGCTTACGGAGGAGGACTTAACTATGATGGTTTAGGTGGAACCCTCAACTTTTACTCTTACAGAGATCCAAACGCGATAAAGTCTTCTGAAGCCTTTGCATTAAGTTATGCTAACGCGAAGAAAAACTTGATGGACGGAAAGTGGGATGCTAAGGCGTTGCAGGAAGCGAAATTGGCAATCTTCCAAAGTGTTGATGCGCCTAGCCACATTTCAAGTCAAGGCTCTGGTCTTTTCTTGGAGAATATTACGGAAGAATTACGCCAAGAGAGAAGAGAAAACTTTCTTGACGTTTCCCTTGAGGACTTGAAGAATGTGAATGAGAAGTACTTGGGCCATGCGGAAAACCAAGTTTTCACTGTCATTGGTGATACCAAAATCTTAGATGCTGGAAAAGGGTGGGAAGTTAAAAACTTCTAAACAGCTTTCCAGCTACTAGTTACTTGTATATATATGGATAAATCAATTTGTCCGACCGACCTTTATTTGAAATGGATATGTACATGGAAAAAAATTATATCATGAAAGCCAGGTTATGGTTGCTGAAGAGATGAATTAAACACGGTGACTTCTGTTGTAGTCCTTTGCCACCAAGTCTGGCACTTTCCTCTTCTTCTCTTCAGTAAAAAGACAATGTCTCTTTGCTCTAGGGTCATATAAGATCAAATTGAGTTTCTGGGTATGTCTTGGAATCTTGAACCACTTTTCATAACCAGTCTTTGCCGCGGAAACGAGCTTGACCATCGTATGGGTCGTTTTCGCTTTTGCTGCCATGGTGGGTGTAGTTGAAGTGTTGAAGAGCTCGGATCGAAAATTTGTGAGTAGAGACCCGTACACCAAAGTTACTTTCAAGCATGACTTCAGCTCCCTCTATAAGCAAGACTGGGTAAGAGCAGGTACGCGTAAAAGATTTAGTGATATCTGAGATAAGCATTGGAAGTAAGTAGCTAATGTAATTGTTAGAACTGGGTATTCTATGTTCAAGTTATAGCTGACTTCCAGTTCAATTTGGCAGTTAGGGCCTTCCTTCCATATTACTTTCTACGTCTTCTTTGAAAAGAGAAGAACCATTTTGAATGATCCAACAAAAAAGTAGATACAGACGTAAAAGTTGTCCAACAACACGAAGAAAGAAGTGTCAAGGTGGACCCCGGCTTGCATGTAAGTTGAATCATTTTTTTTTTTTCGTTTCTCCGTTGCGCGTCCTAAACACGAGTGGCCGAATTCCTGTCTATTTTACTTTCATCAACACATAAAATGATTTGGAACTTGTGGTTCGCCATCACTTTTGTGATCCAGCTTTCTGCTGCTTTGCTCGTTGAATTGCCAGCTCTTGAAAAAGCTGAGCCTGTTTGTATCCGTGACTTTATCGGTCAAGATCAATTGGTAGTGGTGAATGTTAAGACCAGTGGTCGTTCAGGAGACGGCCAAAGATTGCAGATGGTTATCAAAGACACTATGGGAAACATTCTTTCCAAAAGAAATGAAGTCAATAAGGATGTGAGAGTTTCGTTCACCACTTATGATGCTGTTGCTGTCGACATTTGCTTCACCAATATTTTGGAAAGAACAAACAACCGCAGAGTCTATTTGAGCAGAGAAGTTGAGTTGGAGGTCGAGTCAGGCTCATCCGCTAGAGATTGGAATGCTGTTCAGGCAGCAGAAAAGTTGAGACCTAACGAAATCGAATTGAAGAAAGTGGAAGAATTAGCAAAAGAGATCTCTCACGAGTTGAAGTATTTGAAGGCCAGAGAAGAAAGAATGAGAGACACAAATGAGAGCACAAACTCTAGAGTTAAGTATTTCTCCATCATTATTGTGCTTTCCTTGGTTGGCTTGGGCGTCTGGCAAATTCAATACTTGAGACATTACTTCAAGGTCAAGCACATTATCTAAACTACACAGCTTGCGTCCCATATTCATTATTCAATAGAAAGCGATCAAAATATCACACTGTAAAAGTGCTCACGGCATTAGGAAATCTATGTTTGAAAACATCCATGTAACTGATCATTTCTCGTTGTTTGTATTGTGTAATTTCCGACAGTGATAGTGTAAAATTGAGATCTTCGGCCTGGACATCTGCATCGTCCCAGTGGCTATCCAAAAAGTCGTGATAAAAATGCTTGATATGTCCGTCAGCTTTTTCCAAGGAGTTCACGATTGAAATTGGATATTCGACTTGTTCGTACGAAAGAGTTTGAAGTAAAAGCCACTGGAAAAGGAAGATGGTACTTTGCCATTTTTTCCAGAAATGATCAAAGCTCGGAAGGGAATAGTCGTTTGAAATATTGGAATATACCTTTTCTGAAGTAATTGCCAGCAAGATTTGCTGTAGTCGGGCATAGTCATCTTTCGTCGTGTCATAGAGATTTAGTTGTAAGCCAGTCAACTTGTCAAGTAATATAGAGCCCAAGTGATTTAGAAAAGGTGTTGCCACAGAACACGTAATGCCCAAAGTTTCCAGAAGAGGATATGTATCGAAAAAGGACTTTAAGTGGCAGAAATCTAAGGTCAAAAGCTTTTCTGCCAATGCGATTAATAGTTCAATGCTGCCGGCACGTTTTTCATAAAGATATAATGTCACTGCGATACGAAAACGTAAACGCATGGAGTGTTGATTGTCAGTATATTCAAGAAAGGTCTTGCATTGTGAGTTCTGAACCAAGGGGTCATGTTTTAGAAGCAGTCTTTCCCGAACATAGCACGGATAAGGTGTAGAGCTCGTAGCCTGGCCGAGGCCTGTGAGAATATATTCGACTGCTCTTTCATAGACTGTTCGAGGAGGACCGATAAGACGAAGAGCTCTATCAAGTAGAGAAAAGTTTTGACACTGAAACTGAAGAGAAAGAAAACGAAACACTATATCAAAGACACTTTCGTATGAGCGATAGATACAGTGAACATGGGTATTCGCCGAATTGAAGAGGAACTTCTGGTACTGGGATGAAGCATCAGCACACGTAAAAGCCCATCGAAGCAAAGCCCAGAAATCATATCCATCGTTTGGATCAATCGCCTTAGCGAGTACAACATCATCAAAAACACGAAGACAAGATACAGCGCTCAAGGAGTCAGACTTTAGTTTCTTCAGATTTTTGCTCCGCTTTTCTTTCTGAGTCCCATAAACCCTACGCTTCGGACCATCAGTCTTCTTTTCTGGCGCATGTGATCGATCCTTCATTTTGCTCTTTCGATTTGCTTTCGCTTCTGTGTCCGTTGCTTCTTCAAAATTTGGGTTTACTCCTTTGGCACCATGGATTTCTGGCTCTGGCGTAGCATGTGCCAGAAGATGGGGCATAGATTCGAATAGAGCAGTGGTTTCTCCGAGGCCAGATGTTTTACGACCGAGGTCTGATAATGAAGTGACAGCAACAGGAACAGAGAACAGACGTATTGGCTCTTCGTCTATGAGGCTATCCAGTCCTTCCGAGTCAGAGATGACTTCCACAACAGCCATTTGCTCTGGGGTAGAAAGAAGAGGTGATGGCAGACGTCGGCGAGTGAAAAAGTCTTTCTTCATAGGCACTAAAGCGGCTATCGCCTTTTCAAAACGAATATGTAGTAGTCGCAAAGCCTCTCGCTCTATTCGGGATGGATGAGACCGCATCAGTCCTTTTTGTGGCATGCCACCAGATATGTCAGACTGACTATGTACATCTGACTGTAGCAATATAAGGTACCGCTCAAGAAGCGCATGTGAGCGTGCTTGAAGCAGACTCTTAGCCAAAACCGCATCGTAGTCGCGATTGACCAGCTTCATGTAGTCTGAGGTTTCTGGTACCATAGATGAAGGCGAATGTGTCCAATTAGCATTCGGACATCGTGCAGCTAGCGTGAAAAGAATGTGGAGGACATTGACGGAAGGCACCAGGGTGAAAGTGCCCAATACCAGTGCTTCCAAATAGGAAAGAAGCGCATCGAACTGCTTGGTGTTGTTGAAGTTAATGACAGAAGTGGTACCCCGCAATTGCTCGAGCTCAGCAAGAAACGAATCGCCGAGAGCCAGCTGTGCTTCTAAAAGAGCTGTAGGGTGCATTTCCCAATAGCACTTCTTGAATCAATACTGTGTTACAGTACCACCCAAACACACTAATGTCGCACTGATGGACGCAATCTAGTCTTGCATCGCGCTTGAACAGTACATCAACTGTTGTCATATCAAACGAAGTTCATCTTTACTTGTTTAACGAATTAACATTCAATTCTCTTTTTTCGTTGCTTCTTGAGAATTTGCTGATTTGAACATATTTAATTTTCCTTTGAGTCGATTGACTTTCGCGTAGTGAACAGAGCCTTCCTCAATCATGAAGAGATCCTCAAACTCAACCGTAAGGGTAGCATAAGATATCCGAAACTATGATAATTCATCTATTATTTCAAACCTAGTATATATGACAAAAACAGGCTTTGTCGAATTCTTATAGCTCCTTCTTGCCAAATCAATCCAATTCGCCGAGCTGGCCCAATATCTCCGCAAAGCTTTTGATACCGATAGAAAGTTCCAGACCCGAGAAAGAAAAATCAACTCTACCATCAGCTGCTCCACATCCGAGCATGTCTATGAGAATCGAATCACTAATGTCATCTAACTGCAAGTAGCTTTTTACGCGGCGTAACTCTTTCGCCGATAATCGGCCGGTCTTGGGAGAGCCTCCAGCATCAAGAAAAAGAGCCCACGCGCTTTCTATCGTTTCCGAACAATCTCGGAATTTGATGAGTCGAGCACAAAACTTCAACAACTTATCTATATCCACAACATCCGATACATCAAACTCTCCATTCACGTAGGAAGAAATAGTCAATTGGGTCAATAAGTCTTGTGCTATTATCCATCGAGGGCCCCCACGGGCGGTTTTGACTTTGGCAATGTCGTAGAACCATTCTATACATTCAGTAATGTCGCGAGTATAAATGTGTGGGATCGCCAAATGATCTAGTAACAGGGGAATGTGTGCAAGAACTACATCTTGTGTTCCCGTTGTTTCTAGAATCCAGGAATAGGCATCAAGGACATCATCTTCGTGCTGCTGATCGAGTTTGGCATAGTTTCTTGACTTTTGAAACTTGGGGGGCATTCTTTGAAGACACGTAAAGATGAAAAGTCTTAGAGATGCATAAGGTGCGGGTGTACACTCGTATCTATGTACAAACATAGTGACTTATCGGAGACGCAAGTAATTAACTTTTCACCTATTTAAAATAGTTTCAGCCATTAACATGGTCCCATGATATCTCAGAAAATGCCTTGATATTACTGGCTAATGGTAACTATATTGTAAGTTCTATTCTTTCTTAATTCGCCGCTAATTCTGTCCAGATAAATCAGCCTCATACTGTATAGACATCATCTATCAGCCTTCGCCCAGCCATTATTCACATACCATGGTCGCTCCTGCCATAAAAACAGAGCTCGTTGATGTGACTGCAGATTTCAATGCTGACTGTCGTTTTCTTTTCAAACTTGAGCACCAGCAACCCTCGGGTTCTTTCAAGCTCCGTGGCATGAGCCGTCTCATCGAGAAATCGATAGCCGACGCAAATGCTACTGGCAAACAGAACTTGCATGTTTTCACTTCCTCAGGGGGGAATGCAGGCATTGCAGCAGCTTACGCATCTAAATTCTACGGAGTGCCTTGCACGGTTGTTCTTCCACAAACAGTGAAGCAAACTACTTTAGATCAATTGTCTGATCTCGGAGCTTCCATTATGATTTTCGGCGAACATTGGGGTGCTGCTGACGAACACCTTCGTAATGTGGTGATGCCAAAGACCGCAAAAGATGAGGCACAGTTGTACTGCCATCCCTTTGATAATGAAATTCTTTGGGAAGGACACGGTGATATAGTGGACGAAATGGTCTATCAATTGAAAGATTTGAATGTGGATCCGGTTCATGTGAAAGGAATTGTGTGCAGCTGTGGAGGTGGGGGGCTTTACAATGGGCTTGTGGCCGGTTGCCATCGTAATCCACTGCTCAAAGATGTACCCATGCTTGTATTGGAAACTTTTCAAACAGCTAGTTTTGATGCAGCAATTAAAGCAAATGAAATTGTTGCTTTACCCAAAATAGAAACATTGGTCACTACACTTGGTTCGCCATATGTGGCAACTCAAACATTGGCCAATTACAAGAGCCATAAAACAAGTGTGCGTCTAATGGATGATTTGGAAGCCGTGGAGGGAACAATTGAGTATTTTGATAAGTATGGTGTTTTGGTTGAGCCTTCATGTGGAGCAACAGTGGCAACGGCCACACGAAAGAAAGACTTCTTGCAGGTCTTTGGATCGTTGGGAGCTGAAGATGTGATAATCTTCATAATATGTGGTGGAAGCGCTACATCCGCCGAAACTTTAGAAAATTATCGGAATCTTCTCATTTGATATATAGAAAATGTAGCAGAACTAAAACCCTTCAATACCACCTACTAGAGAGGCTACGATGCTTCCAATTATGATCGTGTTAAGAGACTTAAGACACTTGAAATAAGTAGTACAAGTAAATGCTTTTTCTAGCATTAATAAGTCAATTTCTTCGCAATCCCATGTCCAACTGCCCACGAAAAAACAATACAAGGTGAGAGAGCGAATATTATACTAGAAAGTAACCGAACAAAAATATACTTTGTGAAGCTTCTTGCCAGTTGCCTAGACTACTGTGCACTCCATCATGCGCAGGTCTTATCGTATTGCACATGTCATTCGCATTATCTACGATCAGCAAAACTTGACTTTCCTAGGCAGCAATGGCCCGTTTAAGCATGAGTGGAGGTTGGTTTCCATGGAATATCGCCGAAGAAAATCATACAGATCAGAGCCAACTTACTGAAATGCATACCGAAGCACCATGTGCGAAGCACGAACAGAATGAAGATCTAGAACCTTCTACAGAGAAAGAAAGTCAAAACCAACTGTTACGAACAAGAGCATCAATGATCTCTCTACCTTCCCTCAACACAGGCGCATGGTTGAATTGGTCGAGCAAAGCCGAGACAAGCTCTTTGGCTGCCGACAAGAATGGAAATGATAGCAATGGAGTTGAAGGTGACAACGGAGTTGGGAGTGGGAATGGGAGTGGCAATGCAAGTGGAAATGGCAATAGCGGAGAAAATGGTAATAGAAACGGAAACGGAAATGGGGGAAACGGTAAACGAAGCGGTAAAGATGGAAAGAGGAGCAAGCTGAATAGGGACAATGAAGATGAAGATGCAGATGACTATCTTCCAGATGATAATGGTGACGAAGTCGAGGAAAATGCCTCCCAGGGCTCTCGCAAGAAGCTGTGGAGTTTTTGGTCCTCTCTGGAAGAGGCACCAAAAGAGAGCAATCATCCATTTCCTGTTGCCAATACCATTTTTAAATCGACTCCCACATTTCCAGCTCAAGAAGACACACAACAAGGAGGTAAAAAGGATGATGTGGTTTCTAATAATGAAGCAGGCGACGACGCGGTTCTATATAAGCCCCACAACAGTGCCAAACAATTCGACAAGATCAATACTTACAAGAATGAAAACCTTAAGGAGAATATCATAGTTCCACAATGGGAGTCGTGTCTCCCAGCCCTGGCAAATTCTATCAATGCATCAACCTCTCAACAAGCGTCAATTGTGAACCCAAGGAATGTACCATTCGATCTCAAGAATTGGAGAGGCTACCTCTCATACATTTCATCACGTTTTGGTTTTGGGTCGACATCTAGTTCTTCTGCTCAATCTTCCCAATCCCCTTTAGAGAAGGAATTCAAATCTTTGAATGATCATAGTTATCCTCTCTATGGAAGATCACTTAACAGGCTTCCACCATTGAATAGAGCGTGTTTACCAAACTATATCTTCTATCATAGACCTGAAAGTGATGCTTCCAGTTCTGAAGGAAAACATGTTCTTGTGAGTGAGGAGGAGCAGAATCCCGTATCTGTCACAAGTGACATGAGCGGGAATTTGCTGATAAATCCTCCTGCTACTGTACCACCGTCTCCTAATGTGACGGTTGTTAAAAGGCCGGTAGGCTCCTTGAAGAAAATAAAAAAGATTTTAATCATTGGAGTTCATGGATTTTTTCCCACTCGAATGATCCGGCCAATAATTGGGGCGCCCAAGGGAACATCATTGAAATTTGCAAATGAGGCAGAAAAAGCAATTATTAGATACTGTTTGGAAAATAAATTGCTAAACGATAAAGAGGAATCTTCCATAAGCATTCAAAAGATTGCTTTGGAGAAAGAGGGAAAGATATTTGATCGTGTTACATTTTTTGTTGACATCTTGACAAAATGGGAACAAGAGCTCAATGAGGCAGACTTCATCTTTGTTGCTGCACATTCACAAGGGTGCGTTGTGTCTATTATTTTGCTTGCTCAATTGATTAAAAGTGGAATTCTCAAGAATGCAATACATAAAAGAATTGGAATTTTGGGTATGGCTGGCGTCAACAATGGACCATTTTACGGTGTGGATAAATCTTTATTCATGAAAGCGTATTCAGCAATTGAACACGAATCACTTTTAGAGCTTTTTGAGCTAAACAAATTCGAAAGCCCACAATCGGTTGCTTACAAGGAATCTATGCAAATTCTAGTCAGCTCGAATGTCAAGCTTTGTCTTATTGGTTCCATTAATGATCTGTTAGTTCCGTTATACTCTGCACTCGCATCACATATCTTTCATCCCAACATTTATAGAGCTTGTTACATTGATCATTCGACCAATACTCCAGAATTTATTACGCGTCTTGTGTCCATTTGTTGCCAGCTTCAAAATCTTGGATTTTTTGACAACAATGTGATACGAGAATTGAGTGCAAGCTTGCCTGGCCCTGTTACTGGTGGTGGACACTCAAGGATCTACAATGATGGAAAAGTCTATAATTTAGGTGTCAAATTTGCTTTAGACACTGACGATTTGGTAATACCTAGCATTGCTCCTGGCTACTTGTCAAATGGTAAAGAAACAGAAAATGATGCTATGGGTCCCATTAACAATCGTGTTTATATCAAAGAGTACAATGTGAGCAAAATCGGTACAAACCCCTTTATATTACCGTGGTGCGTTCGTGGACTCATTTTTAACATCCAAAAGAATTGGGCCGATACATGGGGAAAGACTTGATGACATTGATTCTGAGAGCACAGCTGAAGAGGAAATTCAAGCTTTGTATGAATCTTTTGATAAATGGAAACCCGTCAGCAAGACCTTAAAGCATTTAAGATTTAGGTTAAATGGGATTCGCACAAGCAAACTATAGACTGGTGAACATTCGCTACGACCCCACAAACGACTACTATATATTTATTATTATACAAGTGCGTGCACATATAGCTTAGAATGCCAAAAAAGCATCTGAATACTGGAGAAAATCAAATTTAGAAAGTAAAGTAGAAAAAAACGACAATAAAAAAAGAAGAAGAAGCGAAAAAAAATACTGCAGTAGGTTTTGCAGATTGAATTCGCACATTAGGAATGCACCGCGCTTCAGATCAAACTACACGCTTCTGTTTTTCAACCTTTTCTTTCAATTCTCCGAGTAAAAAAAAAGTGATCCCAGTGGGTGTTTTCAAAGATTTTTTTTTAGTTTTTCCGAAGTTTCGAGTCTACCGCACTGAGATTTCACAATAGCATTCTGATATTAAGGCGGAGAAGTAAGAAAGTTTGCCCAAGCTAATAATGCAATGTTCATCCCTGGTATCAACAATAATGGGCTCACCGAAACCGGAATCGAAAGATTCATTACCGCTATATCGAACTGTTCCAATGAAAGTTTCGCTGCTCTTGAATAGCGAAAGCGGGGAAACAGTGGAAACAATGCCGATTAGCCCCGATTCATTGAAAGTGGAAAACGAACACCTGATTTCACCTTCTATCGCTAAGGAAAGCACGCCTGCTTCTGTTAAGTCAGATGACTACGAGTCTGTCAGTGATGAGCTCAAGAAGTTGACGTACACAAACCTTTTGAGGAGTCATGTTCAAAAACGATTGCCGGATGTTGACTGGGATGAAATCGTGCGCTACGTTGAAACCTTGACATTACCCACAGACTTTACGAAACCGGAAATCGAGCTTATCGTCCTGGAATGGTACAAGGAAGGGCCAGTAAATCACCGAATGCTTGAATATGAATGTTTTGCTCGCACGCGTCGGGAGATCCATCTGAAGATCTGCGCTTTAGAAGATCTTTACGGTCTAAAGAGGGAGGAGCTTGAATGTCTGCAAATCATAGCAATGGAAGTCTGCAATGAGTTACAATTGTTTCTCTTAAGTGATATCAAACCGATGTTGCCACATATGTCGACTTCTAACATAGCGGGAATGATATCCAAACATTACAAATACAAAAATCGTTGGCTGGATCGTGAGGTTGAGTTTATTTCCGATTGTATTGAGAGAGAAGAACTGCGTGAGCTGATCTTAGAAGCTCTTGTATTCAGAAAGCCTTACGAGATCCGAAACAAAATCGACTCAGTGAAGAGGAGACTCCGGAGACAATCTACACCTCCTATCAAGAAAGAACCTTCTCCGGTGGTAATTGCTTACGAGAGTAAGCTTTCAGAGTTGATGAACAGTGATTTGACACTTACAGGGATTCGACTGGTAATGGGATCGCGCAACTTGAACCGAGTTGTTCAGGATATTCAAAGTCGGAAGAAACGTGACATTGCTTTACCCTTTACGTACCCAGAAACCGAGTTTCTACGCCATAGTTTGACTAACAATATGCCGATGGCTGATATAATGAAAGAATTGGTAATCCGGTCGGAGGAAGAGGTGGTGGCCAAGCTTAAAACTCTACAAATGGCTTGTGTTCGACAGAAAAAATTTACAAATACTGTTGAACGCTTAATTTATGAAGCTCAATGGTATATGGCTATTGCAGATGGAGAAAGTGGCGGACGTCCCAAGAGACGCACTAGGAACAATGTTGAACTTGACGATCTTCGAAAGGAAGCGTTGACAAAAAAGAAAAAAGTTGAACGTACGTTGACTCCAGAAGAAATTAGTGAAAAGCAAAAGCGCTCTGAAATACGCACGCAGAGACGAATTGAGCTGCTCCGAAGAAAGGCAGAAGAAAACGAACTCCGTAAGAAAAAGGCAAGTATGCGTGGAAGAAAGCTCCGGAGTACAAGAAAACAGGAAGCTGAATCTAGAGTGGCTGCGTTGATTGAAGAGGCACGCTGGTTTCAAAGTGTTACAGGAGATGGCACATGTGTGAAAGAAGGTGAGAAAAGAAAGAGGAGACCTGTTTTCCATTTAGTGCCAGAATTCAAAAATCGACAACAATTGAAGAACGCACAGAAACGACTCGTGGAGAAGAAGAAAGAGGTGAAAAAGAAAAGAGGTCGTGGCAGACCTAGACGTACACCATCTTCTGATGTCGATGATAGCACCAGCGACTCGGACTCCGAAGACGATTTGGAAAAACTTCAACACGCTATTGATAGTGATGAGTCGGATGAGTTTGCTTGTGTGAGCTCTTTTGATCCTACCGACATTATTCATGACTCATTAGTTCCACTTAGTGGAAGACAGCTTTTCAACAACGCGATCACATCGGGCTCTGTCAATCCACAACCAGTATCCTTCAGCGATGATGTACTGGTTATGATACAAAGCAATCAGTACTTACCGGTGAATGATACGGTTGCAGCGAAAGTTATAAAAGATCACATCAAATCATATAAACCATTGGGAGCATCTTTTCCACCATTGTTTACGAGCGATGTTAACGGCCTGGATGTAATTAACTCCAGAAACATTATTCACATTCGTTATTTGCTTTATCCGCAACACACTGAACAGTTTGTCTTGGCAGCTCCTAAGAGCAACGAGTTGGATCCAGTTTTTGAGTTGCAAAAAATCTTTCAAATTCACTATGCCCTTTTCTTCTCACATTCTTCCCTTATCAAAGATATTATCTATGAGAACTATTGCAAACTGTTGGAAAGAGCTGTCGAAGAGGACAACTTTTCCGATTTCATGACTATAATAGATCAGTGGAATACGCTTATGTTAGCTCTTTCGCCTTATCCAGTGAAGTTTGATCCATCAATTGACATAAATGAGGCTATCAGATTATATTTACCCTCCAACTATAAATTTCAGCCCACCGTCCTGGACCTTAAGTTAGACATTTTCTATTATGACGTTCTTTCAGCTGGAGAAATCAAGGATTCTGATAAAGAAACAAGCATTGACCGTGCAACTTCTCCTCTTATGCGCCCAACAGGTCCTATAAAAGATGCTGATTCTGCCATAGCCAATATTATCACTAGGTTCAGAAACCTTCGACCACTTTCTTATCCTAACGCTTTTATACGGCTGTTGCAAAGAGTTTCAGAGATCTCAAGATTTGCCATCCAACAAATACTTCTTCGGGCTTACACGAGAATCGTTTCTCCAAATTCACGGAAACTCAGATCGTACAAAGCTTTTACAGCCGAGGTCTATGGAGAACTTCTTCCATCGTTTGTCAGTGAAGTTTTAACCAAGGTGGACTTGAAACCTGAGCACAGTTTTTATGATTTGGGGTCTGGAGTAGGGAATACTACTTTCCAAGCTGCACTAGAATTTGGTGTGAAAGAAAGTGGGGGCTGTGAATTAATGAATCATGCTTCGGAATTGACCTCTTTACAGGAAATATTTATGCAGAAGCAATTAATTGTTTTTGGTCTAAAGCCGCTACCTTTGCATTTTGCTTTGAACCAAAGTTTTGTTAATAATCCGGAGGTCAGACTGAAATGTGTCGGCTGCGATGTGCTCATTGTCAACAATTATCTTTTTGATTTTCCACTCAATGTTGAAGTAGGGAAGCTATTATATGGTATGAGGCCGGGTTCAAAGATTATAAGTTTGAAAAATTTCATCCCACCTAGATATAAAGCAGGCACAGAAAAGACAATATTTGACTATTTGAAAGTTGAGAAGCATGAAATGAGTGATTATCTTTCTGTTAGTTGGACTGCTAATAAAGTCCCCTATTATATTTCAACTGTTCAGGAGTCTGTGCAACAGGAGTATGTTTAAGTACACATTTTCAACTATTACTACAACTTGTATTGGTGAAATACAGCATGAACTTTTAATCGATCGTAAATTTACATAAGCATTCCCTTAGTCATTCTCCACTTTAACTGTTCTAGTTTCCACTTCAGCCTCTCCATTCGGGCGTTTTTTCGCCTTGTTATTAGGAGACTCCGAAAAAGTTGGGTCAGGCGTTGCTTCAACTGTGCTAGGGTCAACAGAACTTTGCCTCGTAGATGCCCCGTTCAATTGCTTAGTTTTCCTTTTAGACCCAGATGCACCGTCTGATTCTTTTGCTAAAGCAAGCATGAGTGTGTTGACCCTTCTGCTGATCTCTTGTGGAGTTCTAGAGTTGATATACCAGTCAAATCTGAAAAGATCGCTCTCCGCTATATCTTGCTTTATCTTTTCACCAAGTCTTTCACTTAGAAGACCATGTTTGTGGACACAGAACATGATAAACCTATCTTCAAGTTTAGAATAGACACGCTTGGAATTATTTGGAGGGTATTGGATCTTGAGATCCTCAAGAGGGTCATCTAATGCTTCAATCTTAGAGGCTAACAAACTTTGCTGGATATGAAGCTTCGCCACTTTCTTTTCGCTTGCTTCAATCTGAGCGATGTATTTCTCGTACCCTTCAATCTCCTTATACCTCTCCCAGAACTTCTTCGTGTATCTCTCAATCTCGGTAACATCTTTACCGAGAGCTTCAGCAATCTGCTTGTATGAATGTCTGCCATATTTGGCACAACTATGTATATAATTTGTGAAATCACGCCGTGACCATGTATGAAAACTTTCATCGACCAATTCTTCTTTGCGAGTATGTTCTTCTTCTGTAAGTGGAACAGCGTCCTTAATTTTCTTTTGCTCAATTTTGAGACGTTCTTCTCTTGACATGTCCTCATCTTCACTCAGAAATTCTTCTTCACTATCACCAAAATCATCCACAGAGTACACATATCCTACTTCTTTCTTGTATGCAAGTTGCTCCCTTTCAAGAAGATCAATCAATTCGGGGGAGAAAAATTGGTGGTCCTGCGGATGGTATACTTTCGGTTGTTTGATTTTGGTTGCGGGTCCTTGTTTACCTTGGCCCGCAGGAGCCTTTAGAACATCCTTATAATAGTTGTCTATCGAATACGTTTGTTCCTTTCTTTCACGTTTAGTTGGATGAATCCAAGTAAGACCTGCTTCTTCGTGTTCGCGTTTAGCAAAATTTTGCCCATTCCACTCGTAGACAGAAGCGTCTGACGTAAAGTTTTGAAGGTCATCAAGGCCTAATTTGTTGAATTTTGCATTAAGTGAAGCAGTTTTCTCTCTTCCTCTAGCAAGAATAGCATCAATATCATCATGGAGCATGGTACTTTTGTTCGATTCGAAGACAGCCTTAGCGCCATGTTGAATCATACCTAGCAAATCATCAGCAGAATTTCCAATATTCCCAGTAGCCTGTCGACCCTGTTGAATCACAAGTTGGTCTAATCTCAATTTTTGGGCAGCCCTGTCCATAACTTTCTCCTCTATTGCATTTTCAGTCACGAACCTGAATACCTGAACCTGTTTCTTCTGTCCAATTCTATGCGCTCTATCCATAGCCTGCAAATCTGCCTGGGGGTTCCAATCAGAGTCATAAAGAATAACAATATCAGCAGTAGTTAAATTGATACCCAAACCACCCGCTCTTGTTGTCAACAAGAAGATAAATTTTCTTTGAATCTGGTGCATTATAATCATCGATAGCCTCGATTCTATCCTCATGAGACGTCGAACCATCGATTCGACAATATTCATATTCTCTGAAATAGCAGTAATCCTCGAGGATATCTAACAACCTAGACATCTGCGAAAATATCAAAACACGCGAGCCCGCTGCTTTGAATTTCTTGAGCATTTTGTCCAATATGATCATCTTTCCGGAGTTGTAAATCAAATGCTCGTCCGTCGTGAATGGCGGTCCTGGCTCGGCGCCATCAAAAAGATAAGGATGGTTGCAGCACTTCCTCAATTGCATGACGATGTTCAATAATCTTGTCTTACCCTCTCTCTTTCCGACAACACCATTGACGGCATCGATGTCCTTCTCGAGAAGCTTTTTGTACCATTCGATTTGCATTTCAGTCATGCCGATGTAAACATTTGTCTCTATCTTCGGCAATAGAGAAGTCTCGACATCTGCTTTCACTCTTCTTAAAAGAAAGGGACTGAGTACTTTGTGGAGTTGCAGGACGACTTGGTCTTGATTTTTGTCTTTATCTGCTTGGCTATCAAACCATTCATCGAAAACATTAGAATCACCAAAAACATCAGGTAAAAGAAAGTTCAATAGGGCCCAAAGCTCATGCAAATTGTTCTGCAAAGGTGTTCCTGTGATTAATAGCCTGTTCTTCGAGTAAAACAATCGTATGATTTGGGATAACGAACTGTCCTCGTTCTTAATTCTGTGTGCCTCATCCACAACAATGTATTGCCAGCGGAACTTTTTCAACTGAGATTTTTCTCTAATAACCATCTCAAAAGAAGTAATAAGCACGTCGAACTTAGCAGTTAAAAGACGGGAGCGGATGATTTCTTGGCGCTCTTCCTTTGTTCCTTGTAACACCACAACATCAACCTCGGGTGTCCACTTAGCAAATTCTCTTCTCCAGTTATCTAGAGTCGATTTGGGAACAATTACAATGAAGGGACCATCAATTTTCTTGATATACCTCAAGTAGCCTAGAAAAGAAATAGTCTGCAATGTCTTTCCCAACCCCATTTCATCGGCCAAAATTCCACTAAGTCGATTTTCATATAACAGAATGAGCCAATTCAAGCCCTGTATTTGGTATTCTCTCAACTGTCCCTCACAAATATATGACGGTGATTCAGTCAATACTGTTCTTTGTTGTTCTGCATCACCGATGTGCTCTTCATCTTCTAAAAGCTCTGCATCCTCCTCCTTCTCTGTCTTGCGTCGGGACAGCTTCTTTTTCGGTTGCTTGAAATTTAGCTTAGCATCTATCAGTTTCACCATTTTCTTGAATTTGGCGTCCTTGGACATGTTAATATCAATGAAGTGACGGAAGATGTCAGTCAAGCCTAATAGATATTTGAACCGTATCGTAGAATCGTCCACATCGCGTTCTCTCGCTACTTTGGGATCACAATCAAGAATAAATCGGGCCCTTCGTTCCATGTCAACGTCATCTGTATTGATATCAATCTCATTGCCCGACGGTGGTTGATCTTCCGAATCACTCGATTCAACATAGTCGACCTGCGTTTTCTTCCGCCCAGTCATTTTTTGATTTGCTTTAAGTTTTTTTCTTTCAACTTTGAGAGGAAATGTTATTTAGGAGAAGGGTACTCAAAATCTCACTTAAGCCCCTGATGCAAATACGACCGTTTTTTTCGTGGTGTTTATGCAATCGATATATGCCATGTCGCACGTCGCACGCAATGTCGCACACCTACATATGTTTACCATGTTTGCTTTATACACTATTTGGCCATATTTCTTCCAACCTCGATGCATTGTATTTCACCATAAAAAATTAATGAGATAAAACTGAAAAAATTGAGTGCTACATCAACTTTTTCCCACTTAACTGTTGCTCAAGTTTATGCCGTTACAGAATTTCCGTCAATAATTCCCCAATCAATTGGCTGTTTTCCATTTTGGACTAGCCATTCATTGCACTTCTTGAAAACTTTCAGATCGAAGAATCCCCGATTGGCGGAAAGTGGTGATGGATGAACTGTCTTAAGAACGAGAAACGGTGTCTCTGGAGAACTCAATTGGGTACCAAATTTTGCAACACGCTTTTGAGCTGGGGTGCCCCATGCCATTATGACAAAACCCTGATGATTTTCCTTTTGAGCATACAAAATAGCTGTTTTGATTACTTGCTCTGTAAATTGTTCCCAACCTTGGCCTGCATGGCTATTTGCCTTGTGTGCTTCCACAGTTAAACATGCATTGAGCATTAGAACACCTCTTTTTGCCCATTTAGTAAGGTTGCCTCCACCTGGTCTCCCCTGCTTGTTCAATGAATTGTAATCGGGAATCTCAAAGGAGGGAAAGTCAATCTTGAGAGTCTTGTAGATATTTATAAGCGATGGCGGCGGACGAGTGGGCTCTAAAACCAGGAATGCAAGTCCATGTGCCTGGTTGAAATTATGATAGGGGTCTTGCCCCAAGATCAAGCATTTCACTTCAGGTAAAGGGGTGTAGTGAGACCATGAATATATATGGCCTGGTGGAGGGAAGACTGTTTTCCCTGCTTGGGCTTTCAAAAATCTCTTTAGTTTCAAGAAGTAAGGCTTTGTTAACTCTTTGTGGAGAAATGCAAGCCATGTAATATGTAATGTGTTCACCTCAAGTGCTAAAAGTTGTCTTTCTTCTTCAGTGAGACTAGCCACCCATTCCTTTTTGTTGAAATTGAACTTTTGGCAAAAGTCGTCATACTCATCTTGTGCGATAGAAGTCGTAGCTACCACAGGTTTAGAGATGGAGGTTTCTTGCACCTTTTCAGTAGATTCATCTTTACTTGAATGAACATGTGTGATGGTGGTAATGTTTTCCATTTGTTGAACCTTCTTTTCCGCGACTTTGGTAAGCGGTTTCTGTGCGGTCACTGGCTTTTTACTCAGCTTGGGTTTTTGGTTCACTTGTGCGAAGAATTCTGTGATAAGTTTTGGTTTTTTGGACAACTGTTCGTGTCCACTCTCCTGTTCTCTTTTGGACATGAAAAGACTTAGTTGGATGGAATCATGTGTAAGACGCGAGGACGCGAAATGAGAAAAAATAGGACACGGAAAAGACAACGCGGGAAAATCCACTAGAACAACTTGAGTAAGCCATATGGATACCCATGATCCTTCCTCAAGAACATGCTAGTTAAGACACTGAAAAAAATGTAAATGGCCCCCAAAGTCAATATTTGAAGAACAGCTAACTTTCCGTTCGCCTTGATTTGGCTATTCTGTGTAACATTGTATTGACCCAAGTAGAAAAGTAGTACAACAGACGATGCTAAAAGAAAATAAATGCCTGCAACCAATAGTATTTCCACTCCAAACTGATACAGGAGCCCTCCGCTGAGATATATGGGTCCCTTTTCGTTATACGCAATGAAGGGTGTCTGCTGGATTGTCGTGAAGGAATAGCCTCCTAAAAGAACAAATAGGCACAACATGACTAAGAACAGCAAGATTTTACCTCTACTCATCACAGATGAAAGGGATTCTGGCATGTTTTTCTTTATGACAATGATGGATCCAAGCGTTACTCCAAAAGTTGCGACAAACTTGGCCATTGCATGCTCTTGCTTCAAAATGATTCTCTTTTGCATGCTCAGAGCAAGCCAGTCGGCAAGCTCAAAAAGTTGGTCATCGAAGTTGGTGTCTGGAATATCAAACAGGGCATGTGGCTCGAGCAAAATGTCAAAGTTGTCGAATATTTCCTCGCCTGCCTCATTCGTCCTGATCTTCCTCGACAGTTTGTGTTCCTGTGCAACGTGAGAAGGGGGTATAAGCCAGATTTGTGGAACCGTTTGCAAATTCAAGAACTCAAATACCTTCAAATTGGAGCGATCAATGATATCTACCTCGGCAAAAAGCAAGTATGTAGAGTCAGGGTAATTCGAGTACCAACTCTCAGACAATCGATTCAATAATCCTTTAAGTCTATTACAATCGGCACACCCGTGTCTTTCGTCAGTTGAGGTCAACACTAACAACGTGAAGTGGTTTCTGTTTGGTTGGGAAATGAGAGATAAGTTAGATTCGGAGATAGGAAGAATTGCATTAGGGTATTGAATTGCTTCCAAATGCAAGAGCACATCTGAGGATAACTCCGCAGTTACAAAAACTGAGAGACAGAGGACAAGAAGAAACCGTTGGAAGTTCATCAGAGGAGGTAAATAGTCCAAGTATGCACTAGGAATATTTGGGTGCGACGGACTCGCAGAAGGCCGAAAAAAAAAAAGTGTACCAACTATACCGAATACAACGAATACAACGAACTACACCATAACAAAGTTCACATCCTATGCACATTGGACCCTCTATAGTCGGGCATTCTATTATACTTCTATGTCAGAGACAAAATCCTCTCTTTCATCCTTATTGATCACGAAGAAGCCTAACGTAACAATTGCCGCGCCAAACACGTACCAAAAATGAATATTAAAACCTTTGATAATCCAATCTCCAACCATCGCCAATGGAATAGTGAGCGAAAGCCCCACTGTTACTGTAAGGGGGCTAGTGAGTATAACGGCTTTGCACCAGCAAAAGTCGCTGATAAATGTAATGAACGCGTTGCCAAGGAGAAGCATGAGTACATTCTTGGAATGTGGAACCTCAAACTTCTCCAAACCAGTAAAATGCAAGAGAACGACGATTGGCCAGAGAAACACAAGACAAAAGAGACCAACAAATCCAAAGAACAAGTGAGTGTCTAGAATTCGTTCCGCTTTCATGTCCGTATGGGAGATTTTATGCTTCAATAGAATAGTGTAAATGCCATACACTAGGGCACCTAATAGAGCCAATCCATTTCCCCATAACACAAGCCATGGGTCCTCTGCAGAAGGTGTATTACTGGCATCCGATGAATCGATTTTTGTCACGATTAAAACCCCACTGAATGATAATATAATGCCCATCACTTTATTGGTATTAATTTTTTCAACACTGTAAAAGTACCCAACCAAAAGGGTGAAAAAGGAAGAAGTGGAGGATAAAATCGTTTGCGATGCCACAGAAGTATAGGAAAGTGACGAGTTTGTAACCAAATTCGCTGTGAACCAAAGAATGGTGAATTGTAACGAAAGCATCACTGTTTCGTATATGGGTACTTCTTCGGGGTTCGAAGACGTAGCTAACGAGGCGTCAGATCCTTCCAAAATGGCCACATTATCAGTGGAAGCTCCATATTCAGGCATCTCTTGTGTTGACCCCTCTGGGTCATTTAGGCGGGAATAGCGGGATTTGTGGAAATCCTGTTTCAATGCCTCCACAAATTCCGGGACGGAAAGGTTTTTGTAGCGCAAATACGGTATGAGGTAGAGCGCAAAGCAAGAAGTATTGACCCATGTGATGAAAAACGGCTTGCGGTAGGTGTCAGTCTCGAACAAGTCATTTACTAGAAACGAAGACAGCACCCAAAAAAGAATCACGGCTGCTAAGTTGAGAAGACCCAAGACCCATTTCTGCCGAGACAGAAGTCTGCTCTCCGGTAGGAAAAACGAATGGAAAAATGTCACCACCGCTGTCAGCAATCGTTTTATCATGTAAAAAGAGAGTATTGGGTGAAAGTGCCGTTTAGGAATGGGGCCTCGTAATCAGGACGATGGTGTGTCACGTGCAAAGGTGTGGTCGGGATCTTGACTGGTCCCAGGCTTAACAAAAGGCACGTAGTAAACTTCGAGAAGTCATCCAAAGTCATACTTGTGAAACGAAAAAAAAAAAAAAGTAAAGATAAAAAAAAAAGAGGTAATTGACATGTTCGTGATTTACAATGTGTAAGAGGGACTTCCTAGTACGGACCATGCTCTACTGGTCAAGTATCGTCTGGAATCTTTCTTTTTTTTTCCGTAGTCTCATTTTTAGCTTCTACCCTTGTTCCTTGCGGCGTTCATCTTTCCTAATGCGGCAATAGATAAGACTTGTTTACCATTGACCATCTGATGAATTTTCTTCGTTGCTCGTCTTTTGTCGAGAAAACCTTAATACATCGTCACCTAATCGAAAAGCCGTGTCTATGTCCACACCCGAGGAAGAGGAGTATGACGAGAGTTCGTCTCTTTTCAACCGCTCTCAATCCCAGTCGTTTTTGGACCAGCCCCATGGGCTGTTCCGGGGTCCTAACTCTCTTCACAATTTTGCGTCGTCCTTTACCAGAGCACAGCTGTTTGCGGCGCTGAAAATCGACTTGGATATTCGTAAGAAGCGTTCCTTCTTTGCTCTGGATGGTGACGAGGATGATGAGTTGTTTGATCCTTCGTTGATGGTTCCTTCCAATAGAGGTGAACGGCTCAGTACCATTTTGCATGACATGAGCTCCTTTAGAAGCAATAATGGTTTCGCTGCTACTGGACCATCGCCTTATGATGAGGTTTTCTATCAGGACGATATTGCCAATGTTCTTCACCGGACAAGATCAAATAATCAGTTTACCGGTAATGGGATTCCGATTCCTTCGAAAAAAGTATTTCCGTCACCATCTTTTCTGTCTATCCGGTCGAGTATCTCTTATGCGAGCACTGCTTCACACTTTGGCTTGAAGAAAATCGAAGATAAGGACGGAAACGTTCTAACCGTTGTTTCGGGTCAGTCAACGGCACCACAAACTGTATTCAACTCTATCAACGTCATGATCGGCATTGGTCTTTTGGCTCTCCCAGTCGGATTGCTTAAAGCGGGTTGGGTTTTTGGAATCCCTCTTCTAATCATTTGTTGCTTATCTACTGGTTGGACAGCTTCGCTTTTGTCCAAAGCGATGGACACTGATAGCACTTTGATGACTTTTGCCGACTTGGGTTACGTTTCCTACGGTTCCGCAGCTAAATTGTTCATCTCATTAATTTTTTCTATTGATTTGTTAGGTGCTGGTGTGTCATTGGTTGTTTTGTTCAGCGACTCGCTCTACTCGTTAATAGGAGACGAAGTCTGGACAAGAACACGTTTCAAGTTATTGGCTTTTATCGTGCTCACACCATTCACATTTATGCCTTTGCCGATTCTTTCCTTGGTTTCTCTTTTCGGCATAATGTCCACTATAAGCATCACCATTATTGTTGCATTATGTGGTATTTACAAGCAAACATCTCCAGGATCATTAATTCTGGCAATGCCTACAAATCTTTGGCCAGAAAATGTTCCTCAGTTCTTGGCAGCTCTAGGGATCTTAATGGCCCCTTTTGGGGGTCATGCCATTTTTCCTAATTTAAAGTCCGATATGAGACATCCTCATAAGTTCACGAAGACCTTGATCCCAACTTACACGATAACATTGCTCACTGATTCCACTATGGCGGTAGTTGGGTTCTTGATGTTTGGTGCTTTGTGTAATAATGAAATCACCAGTTTGGTTCTCGAAACTTCCGGATATCCAGCTTTTGTTTATCCCTTGATCAGTGGACTAATTTGCATTGTACCATTGGCAAAAACGCCTTTGAACGCCAAACCAATCATTTCCACTCTTGACGAACTATTTGGCATCAATACGATTGTGGACAATCAAAGCGCATTCATTAAAACGATGAAAACCGTTGGCAGATTCCTTACCCGAGTAGGTGTCAATGCCTTGTTTGTTATCTTTGCGATCTTGTTCCCAGAGTTTGATAAAATTATTGGGGTTTTAGGATCATCTATCAGTTTCCTCGTGTGTTTCATTTTGCCTTGTCTTTTCTACTTGAAACTTTGTGGAGATCAGGTTGGTGCAGCAACCAGAATGGGGCTTAGATTTGTGATTGCACTCAGTCTAGTCCTCGCTATTTGTTGCACCTACGTGACAATTTCCTACTAAATGTCGCCATTGTGCCAATTCCCTTCAAGATGGTGATGTTTAATCAAATTTTCACGTAATCATTGCATTACTTACTCATTATGTATAAAGAAATACAAGATGTGTCACGTTTTCAAAAACCTCAAGAAGCAGTCGGTGACCTTCCTCATTAGAGGCTCCAACATGTCAGGATCCATTAAGAAATCGTAATTAAGCTTGACGAAAACAGTCCCCTTAGGCTTCTCTTGCTGCAACTCCGTTGCAGCTCTAAAAATATCCTCAAACAATTTTTTATACTTCAAATTCTCGGAATTCAAGTTTTCTTTCAACGATACTTTTAAAAGCAATCGCTTAGCTTTGTCGAACTTATTCCTCTTGAAACTTAAAGAAAACACGATTTTATCCATGTGTACTTTTTTGGAGTTGGGTGCTCCTAGCAGATTGATGTAAAAGAGAAATTGCACACAGTTCAAGTTCGAAAACTTCAGTTCCAACTGTAGGCGGCGAAGTTCGTTCGGCAACCTCTCTTTACTGATGTCTTTTAGAATTTCTTTCAAAACTCCGATTGTCTTAAAAATAGGAACATACTGCTTCAAGTACTCAATTGTCCCCACAAGAGCTGTATGAGACTCATTCATTTGCTGACTCAAGAATTTTGTGATCAACTTGACTAATTGATCCTCATCTTCACTAGGGGCCAACGTCAATGCAGCTAGATCATTTGCAGGAAGGTTTAAATGAAAGTGCTTATACAACGGATCAACATCAAATGTTATTTCACTAAAGGAGTTGTTGGTGACCCTAATGTCAGTCTTCTTGAGTTGATTCAACATTTGAATCAACGTGTTGACTTTTTCAACGGTGCTTAATAATTGGTTCACGAGATTATGTGCGGTATTACTTTCACCATTTTCAATTGATTTAGACGAAAGATCCATCGAGTTCAGAAACTCAAACGTCTGAGTGTCTGGATTAATCTTGACGTTTAGTTTTGCAAAAGTTTCCTCATCTGCCTGGCTGCCACTGGAAAAATTACCACAAATAGTCAAATTCAATTTGCTAGAATTGTTTTCAGAAACCAATTGCACCACAAGGAACAACGTGTTGGACGTGACAGAAACAGGTAACAAATTTCCAGTGTTATGCAACGCAATCACGGTTTGATGGTCTGATACAGTGTTCCTCAATGTATGTGGAATGTTGAAACGAGTCAATACAGAATGGTTTGTCACTTTGACGAACTGAATCGACCTCTTTTGTAATTCCTCCGTAACCATATGGTCCACTATCATGTTCGAGCACGACTTTGACAAATTTGTGAAAAACTTGTAATCGAAATCCTGTTCTTCTCTAGCCTTAAGCATTTGGACCCATTGAATTTTCCATTCACCTTTAATGGATTTAAGTCGTGCAACCCACCAGTATGTGTTCGAGGTGAGACCACTGATCATATTGATCAAAAACCATGATGACGGCCATGTGCGGCATCTATAGAACAGAATGGTATTATGTGTCATGGTTTTTTCATCAAGTATGAAATTGAAAAGCTTTGCTGTCTCATAATCATTTAGCTTTATGATGTTATTGGAAATCCATTCAGTGGTAATGAGTTTAGTGCTGAGAGAGCGATTAAATGTATCAAGACGTAATTGAACCAAATTGCTCACAACATTCACAACCATATCCTGCTCGCTGATAAAGCTCCTGTTCTTTACTTGCGAGGGTTGATTGTTGATTCTATTCTGGCATTGGCTTTCGATCAAAGATGGGTCCATAAAATAAAAGAATCCTGTTAAAGGGTTGATAGCCAAAATTGTGGTTCTCTTTGGTGTGAGTTTGATTGATAGTTGATAGGGGTTGTTATAAGAAACGAAGTCTGTTGTCATTTCTTGTAGTTGTTTGAAAATTTTAGAAATTAACATCTCAGAATGTTTGTTGATTACAAGGTTCAAGATAAAATCAACACTCAAATCTGCCGGCTCACCCGTATCAGAGTCAGCTCCACTGATGTCTTGAATGTCGTGATTAAAGTTGTATTTTCCATTTTTGAACCAGCGAAAGTTGAGGTTGTACTGCTTGTCAATGCCAATTTCAATGAACGACTTCCAATTTCTGGACAAGTAGTGGTTACTCCAGTAATTGATAATGATGAGTGAAGTGTTATACTTGAACTGAATGTTGTTTCTCCATTTGCTGTTGACTGACAAGTCTTTTAATTGTTTGGAAATTAAATATAGTTTGAAAGAAACGGCATATTCATGCAAGAGTGAATAGAGCCCCTTTAATGATTGTTTCAATAAGACTTGATTAACCACTGCTTCCAACTTTTCTCTCGAGGTTTTAGGTAGTCGAGTTATGATATTGGAATCCCTATGCGTAATTAAAGAAGATTCGGGGTTTATGCCAAAAAGGAATGCAAAATCAATGAAGAAGAAAGGAGATTTATAATAATCTTCTTCATTCTCAACAATTAAATCATTAGCCACGGTAATGGAGACCTCAAATTCATTGGGAATTGTTATAGTAACACGACCATCTCTTACAACATAATTCTTTTGAAAACGGGGAGACATATCGTCAATAAGGGCCATTCTGGCGACCAAGGTCAAGTTCAAGTCACGCAAAACCTCTAAAATTCTTTCCGGAGAGATTTTCGGCCTTTCGATGAAATTGTAAGAAGGCAATTGTGGTCTTCCCTTCACCAAAACCTCTAAACTTGTGAGAATATCAGAATTAGGTAACTTGGCACCTGAAAAGTTATTGAGTTCATTTAGCCCATAACCCAAATTATCAAAATAGAACTCCTGCGTCCGGAGCCAGTTTAAAATGTCGATCAATTTGGATACATCCTTCGAATTTTGAGCCCATTTCACTAATGTGTATATCTTGATGAAGTCTTGTCTTAGAGAAATAATCAATTCCAAAAACTTCCTTTTTCGAGAAACATCGCTCTCCGAGGTTCTAGTATTAGCTAAATTTTCGATCAAGCGACTGAGTTGCTTGTATGCTTCTTGTGTATGAAATCGTAAGACGTTAGATAGCAGAATAATGTTGTTTGTAATATGCGGGAGTTCAGGGAGCGGCGGAGTTCCACCTTTCCCTTTGGAAGTCCCATTGGTTGTGGCTGAGGAAACACTTTCATTCATCTTTCCACACAGACGCCTGATGGAAATGTGGAAATAATGTAGGAATCAAGCAACTATTTTGAAGCTCTCTTTGTGTTTTGGCCGTTTGATGTTCTCCACCGACGAAGAAAGGGCACTTATGTCTGCTTGGCGAAGTTGGTGAGTATTGTCATAGATTCCAGAGAAAGGTTATGTGCAGCGCGACAGTCTGGAGTTTACATGATGTCACTTTTCCCGTCGATAAACTAAATAAACATGCTACGGAAGGGAGTATGGAGGGTGCATTCTAAATTCCTAGCACTTAGATTGGATGTAGTGTCTTAGTTTTTTAATGTTCGCTGTTGTTGTCGGCGGTACTCTCACTCGAGAAGAATTTATAATATCGGTCTTCACGATTAGTTATTTAATTCTTTACAAGAGGAATAAATATTATATGATGGTAGTCCCAGGTTTCCATTGTCTAGCAAGAAATGAACAGAAAGTGACTTTTATAATACCTATCAACTTTCAAACTTTTCTTTTGTGAAGACATCTCTACCGAGCCCATGAAATTCTCCTTCCAGACTATGCTGCTGTAGCTCCAGTCTGGTTACCGAATTGGAAGATCGTATTCCTCCTATATTCATCTACTCCCGCTTGTAACCCTTCCTTCATTAGTATAGTACATGCAAACTCGATAAATATAGCTAGCCGCGCCATGCAAGATAAGACGACGGTACCAGCGCTCTGATCCACTCAAAGCCCGCTCGATCCAAGAAGTTTGACGCCAGAACACGTCGTTCCTTACGCACCAACAACAATCCCACCAACTCCATAAGCTGCGTGATGATTTGATGCGCTTCGTCCGAGAGCGACATATCCTTCTGTAAAATAGACGCACGATACCAGTCCCAATCGATGGTTGCAATACGGTAAGCTGGGTTGTTCTTGTTCTGGCGACGCTTCAATACTGATGGCGACATCCCTGAGGCACTTGCAAGCTCTGGTGGCGGCATATCGAATGGTAGTCTGTCTTCCAAGATGCAGTAGGTGAGTACACCCAAAGCCCATGAATCGAGTAGCGCACCATCATAATTCAAGCCCATGAGCAATTCTGGGCTCACGTAATCCTGAGAACCGCATTTGGTGGCGAGGAGTTGCCCTTCGTGACTGAGTTTTTTGGAAAGACCAAAGTCAGTGAGCGTGCAGACGGAAGACAGTTTAAAGATCTCTTCAGCCAATTGTTCACCTTCTGATTCTTCAATATCATAGTCTGCCGTCAACAACACATTTTCAAGTTTAATATCACGGTGCACCACTAGTTTTGAATGCAAGTATGCGACGGTCACCACCAACTCTGCAACCACACGGCGCATTAGGCGCCAGAAATGTATACTGTGCACGGCACGGGCGTTATGCAGAAGCCACAGGAGCAACGAACCGCCCGGAGCGTATTGCAAGAAGAAGCATTGTTCGTTGGCCACTTTGGTAGAATACAAGTCGTACATGTCTGCGCCAGCATGCTGTTCTTCGCGGCCAAAGAAACACGCTTCGATTTCCTCTTCTGTAAGCAGAAGGCTCAAGCTATAATCGAGCAAAGAAATCACTCCTGGGTGTTGGAGATGGGTTAGGATACCCAACTCTCGACAGATGTACAGGCGAAAATTGCGTACACTTGTAGTGTCGTCTGTAGGCACCGTTACAATTTTCACTGCAACTAAGTCCCCCTGTTGTGCCGTATTTTCTGCAGCGACAACTGTGCTGAAGGCTCCACTGCCCACCACTTGTACAAAGCGGTACGTACGACCAAGATGCGGCGCCACGAACTCGCGGCCGGCAAACTGGACTGTCGCCAGTTCCATTGGCGGCAGTGGGAACAGCTCATTTGCTGGCATCAGGGTCGGGTTCGATATGTGACGCATGCCTGCCCGCGATACCAGGCGGCGGCGCTGAAACTCAGAGACAACTCTTGTGTTGGTCGAGGGTGAAGAGCCCGGATTTCGCTTTGCTACCTCGAGAGGTTGAAAAGCACCATGGTTTGTTATTGGCGTCGGAAGCTGTGCGAGCGGGCTGTAGTCGTAGCTGGGCCCGTTTTCGCCCCTTTCAAGAGAAATCGGCTCGCCTAACACGTCTTCCGTGGGAACGGTGATTCGCAATGCCGCACGGGCATGCGCCAATCGGTCGGTATCCTCCATAATGGCGAATATTCAAGTAGTTATGGAATAGAGAACTTTGAACACTCGTGTGGTGTGCTGTGCTGTAATGGGAGAATGATTGTAATGTTTGTGCGGGCGCCGATGACTAGTACTTGCAGTTGGTTTCGGATTGAGGATGTTCTGAATGAGTCTGTAAAAGCCCTGTGGTGCGGCTAGTAAATATTCTCACTTGCCGTAACAGAATGCTATAGGTGTTCCAGCGCTACTTTAGCGTTTGTAGCTCTTCCTATATCCCAATTCCCGTAATGTACTATCTGCGGATAGCGCGAGTTAACTACTACATGCCTGCAGATGGCGGCGTAACACAGATATCATGCATGCATCTCAACTCTTTTTGGGTCCGGGAAAGAGTTTCTTCCTGCAGTTACATGGCATCTTGTCTGCCCAAGTCCTATCTTTGGCCAGCATCAAATGCAATTGGTTTTGGTGAAGCAAGAAAGCCAAAGATTGAAGCAGGTTACGAGCGCTGTCTTGCATCCCCGTTGAAGTGCGCATGACACCAATGATTGGTTTTTGCGCTGCCTCGTGACACATTGTCATCAGCTTTCGTCTCTGCCCATACGGCAAAATATTTGTTTCTAAACTTTCTTGTCGTTTGTTCTTCTTGTGCCCATAGCTCGTGGATGTGGATGCACGTTCATGCACCAGTAAATTTTTGGCAAGCCGTGTGCGCATGTTTTGGGTAACCCGCTTTCCCAATTCGGCATGCGGCGCACGCACAAGTCCTTATTTGCGGTGACGGCGTCCTATACTTTCAATGCTGGTTCTTCCCCATTGCCGACGAAGATCTTCGCACGACACTAAATCCGCTTTATCACGCGGCCGTCTCTTTCCCTATTAGGATAGCACTTAATCTTTCCGCATAAAAAGTTGCAATTTTGCAATTCTGAAATTTTGCAATTTCAGGTTGGGCTCATTGAAAAGTCTCACTTATGGTGGTGAACAATGTGTCAACCCACACGACGCACTGGTTTGTGGCCTCTACATACGAAGGCCACGAACCTACTGAAATTTGGAATGGTTTTTAATTGTTTCTCGTCTAGTGAACATATATCTAAACCACTGATCTTCACTTGCATCTTGCCGTATTTTTATTATTACTATGGACCGTTTATGCGTTCGACTCCCAGTGTCATGCTTGTACCCCTCATTTTCATCGTAGCGCTTTCTCACAAGTTACCCCTCTCATCATAAGAAGCCCTCTAAGGCGCGGTGTGCTTTTTCAAGTCGCTCGATTCCTACGTCATACCGACTCTCGTCCGTAACCATATCCAGGGTCAACCGACTCAACAGATCGACAATCTTTTCTATCAATTGTTTCTCTTTCGCAGGTAAGTTCAACAGCTCAAACTCTTCTCCCACCACCGTACCGTTGATGCTCTCTAGAAGGTTGATAAGCGTGTTGTACGAAAATGGCCGAAGTTTAGGACCACTGCGACGCGACCGTGCTTTGCTCTTGTGTCTCTGGTGACGAATGCTATCCTTCACTGAACGAACTCTCGTAGGCCCCGTGATCACCACTGGCTCTTCTACATCGTAGTATTCGCCTTGGTCCGCCAACATCTCGCCCGCAGTGCTTTGGGCGAATTCGGGCGCCTCCGCGCGCGCGACGGTGGCTTCGCTGCCTTCAACCTCTTCAATGTCCAGCCCCGCGCCCCATTTCTGCGATGCCTGGCGGGCGCGCTGCATGTTATCGGGCGAAGGCCGCTTTGGAAGTGCCACTGGCGCCCGGGGACTGCCCAACACACCACCTTCCGCAGTCAAAAAGCTGTCCGACGAAAATGTGCTGCTCAAACACAGGGCACGCACATCGATCGGACTTCCCGTATCTCTGTTCGTACGAGTGGTGGAGTACCGGCTGTTGCGTTTGCTTGTGGCACCGGACCTCGCTTGTTTTTCCTTCTCGTGTCCTCTTTCCAGGTGTTCTCTATCCTCAACAACTTCAACACCTTCTTTCTGTTCCTTGTCTCCTCCTCTGTTTTCAATCTCTTGTCTTTCTCTTTCTTTTTCTTGCTCTTCTTGCTCCTGCAAATCCGTAGCACTGGCCATGAGCCGATCCAAATCCTCGCTGATATTCAAGGAGAGTCTGTGACCCGCCAGGGGTCTCACGGGCCGTGAGATCATCTCGCTCACTGGCCGACGTCTCAGTCGGGGCGGAATTGTGCCGTCTACGCCTGTGTTGACCGACAATGATGGTGGAGCAGCGGGCGCACCGGCGTTGATGGTGTTTAACCGACCCAACGGCACTTGGCCTTCAGAAAACATTGATTCCAAGTCTGTGTCATGTTCTTCGGATACAGCGTACCCAGGTGTACTTTGTGGAGCCTGAGCCTGTGGCGCCAGCGGTGGGGAATTGGGTGTTACGAGATCCGCATTTTGGGAAAGTGTTGTGTCTCGGCTTGATGAAGTTGGCTCTGATGTATTTTCATGCACGCCTTCGGCCTTTGAAGGATCCGCCTCCAAAGGATCCACGCCGGACGATGCAGCAGGAGTATAATACTCTGTTTCCAGCATCTTCGATTCGGACGGTTCCTTGTTGAATATCTCCTTATCAAATCCATCCGTGCCAGAGTCTTCCTTGGGGTGCGTGTACATGTTGACGGACAGGCCTGCAACTGAAGCAGCTGCTGGTGTCGGGCCCCGAGCTTCAACCTCCGTTTCTGTTTCTATCTCTGTCTCCAATTCCCTTTGTTCTTCTGGTTCTTCGTCGTTGGCACCAGCTACAAACTTTGGCTGCTGGTCTTGCATCTGCACTGGCACGGCCTCGCCGATCTCGGCTGCTTGCACTGAATCATGGGAAAGCATCGACATATACGACTCGCGCTTGGATCCGGGCGCTTGCGGAGGAAGCAAGTCGGGATCAACAAAACCACGCGACGAGAAACTGCCTCCCTTGGGGCTTTGCTTTTGAGACGATTCGCTCGTGTTGCGAGACATATTCTTGTCTGGACTTGGGGAAGGAAAACTTCTGGGACATCGGGAGCTACATATGTGCGCGGGCATGTTTTGCTTTTGCCCAATGCGGCAATGTAATGGTGAAGGGCTCTGTGCAATCGCATCATCTTCAGACACTGTCTGCCGTCTGAGTATCAGCGTCCATATCTGTGTTGGTTATTTTACCGCTTGCAATTGGCTTCGTTCTCAGTCTTGACTTATGCTGCGTCTTTATTGGGAACTAACTCATCATATTTAAATGCGTTGGACTTGGGCCTTGTATCCGCGCTAGATCCATTTGCTTGTCCAGCCGCACTATTCCTATCCTGTCCAACTCTCGCATTCACGCCCTCCGTTATAACATCGCTTACTCCTCGGTCTTCTCTTTTCTCCTGCTGCATGGCCTACTAATCACTCATTTACAATTACATGGCTCGTGGGTTTTTCTCTGCGCCGCCTCTCAACTACGAGACGCTTGCGCGGCGATTGGCGATTTTCCACAAGCGAAGGGCCACGCCCTCACTCCTTGCAGATTACATACGGGCCAATCGCCAGCTCCAGCGGACCACTAATCAAACTCGCCATTTGTCCCCTGGTCAAAATGATCTCGGCTTGAAAGTTAATGTTGCAAGCTCTACTTTAGAAAAGGAACTTTGGGCCGTCATGCGACGGTACTGGTCCATGTGTGTGGCCAGCGATCTAGTTGTTCAGACCTATGTCCTTTCAGCAGACAATGCGGATATTGGCCCTGCGTTTTCGCTTGTGGCTGCAAATCACAAACAGCACTCACAAGATCTTCTGCCCGGTGTTATGGCATTGGTGGCTCTTCTTTTGCGCCGCAATGACTACCACGGATGTTTCAAGCTACTTGACATCACTTTGAATAGTGCAGAGCTGAAGGAAAAACGGCGTGGCCAGTGGCTCAGTACGCTCGGACTAGGAATTGTTGGTGCGACTGGCGCTGGCGCCTTTGTTTCTACATGTCTACCATTAACACCATGGTTATTATCGTTTGGTGTGGCCTCGGTTTGCGTCCTAGGGCCCTTTTTCGGTTTGCGTACAATCGAGGCCGCTGCACAAGGCGCTCGAGTCGCCTGGAGACCCCGCACCGGTTTTTTTCATCGCTGGAGCCAGCGCCATGAATGGCAGTTGGTCAATCGCATAATCACTAGTTTTGAGGAACACCACGAAGTGAACGGACGAAACTTCCATACCAGCGAAGTGCGACGTGCTCCTAGTCTAGCCATGTTTGACCTGAACGATTACGAGTTGCACTTGCCGCAATCGCGTGCGCTAACTTTTCCGGGCGAAAATTTTGTGGCAGACGAGCGAGCGGACGAATTGGCACGGTATTTTCGTGGCGAGCTTCAACGGCGACGCATGGTGTGGAATGTCTTGGAAGAGGAACGAATGTTCATTGAGTGCTGGCTGGCACAGGGTGAAAATTATTTTTGGGGAGAACCTGATCAGGATCCGGCCGAAATGGTTCAATTTCACTCTCGTGCGAAATATTAGCAAAAACATGTTGACTGAATTTTGCATTCCTATTCTTGTGGCCGCTAACTCGCCTAATGAAATGAATGATGCGACCTAAGTTTTTACAGGCATTCGATGAATAACATATAGGATACTCTCTTTTTGGAAAATTATTATGGCAAGAATATGTATCGCTAATTTGTACATTCGAATCCTCTGTGCCCGCACTTTGTATTTTGTCCTAGGCGCGCCAAATCACTGCGATTGTGCGGATGTCTCCAAAGACTACCTGGATTTTCTGCAGGCAATTCTCACTCATCGTGTTCAAATAGTATCATACACAACATAAACACTGTTCTTGTCCACCGTCCTATCCTAATACACTCCTTTTCCTGCCCCGATTTGTCTCTGATATTCTCCTTATGTACGTTCCCCTACCGACGCCTCCGCTAGACACGCTTTCATGTCTTCTGTTTTCCCCAGACAATGTGTTAGCAGTATCCACATACGACGAATCTGTGCTTCTATATAACTGCCAGGCGTCCGACGGGCTCCGCCCGCAACTCGCGGCCCGGATTTCTGCGCCCAGCGCCGCGCTCAAAATGGTGCACACGCGCGCGCGAACTACATTCGCCGGACTCGCCGACGGGTCTGTGCGGCCGGTTGATTATGAGAACATGAAGATGGACCTGCCTGTCCTCGCCCCAAAACAAACTCTTTCCGGCGCCATTAGCGGATTGCAATGCATTCCTAACCAAAATAACATTGTCGCTAGTAGTTTGGATGGCACTCTTTCCATTTTGGACCCGCGAGCACCGCGCGTGTGCCATCAGGCGGGTGGCACCAAAATTCTAGCCATGGATACGACTGCAAAGTATATTACGGTGGCGCGCGCCGCCCTGATCGTTGATATTTACGACTTCCGCGCGCCCGATAAACCACTTCAAACTCGTGCTAGCGGTTTGCGTTTTCAAGTGTGCGCCCTCCGCAGTCTTCCATCGGAAGAAGGGTATGCGCTCAGTAGCATAGATGGCCGGGTAGCAGTAGAGTATTTTTCTGACGACTTTCAACAAGAGAAATACGCATTCAAGTGCCACCGCACGAAAGCAGATGGCGCAGACATGGTTCATGCCGTGACAGAGGTGCTTTTCCATCCACTTGGTTCCATGTTCACGTCTGGAGGCGACGGTTGCGTGTGTGTATGGAACTGGCGCTCGCGCAAACGCATGAAGCAGTTTCCGCCGCTCCCAGGCACGCCGCACGCTATTTCGCACATGGACATTAGTGCGGACGGCACCACATTGGCTTTGGGCGCGAGCGACGATCTGTACATGCGGCGGGCGGACTTTGACGACCGCACTGCGCTTGAGCCCAGCCGAGTCTTTATTCGACTTCTAGGCGAAGCTGAGGTTCGTCCACGGACAGAGTGATAACGTCCATGTGAATTGATGCTATGAAACCTTGTGCTGCATATTTTACGTGATGCCTGTTCGCCAAGATGTTGTCTATTATTACGCGATGTATATTTTCTGGCTGCGATGTGTTTTTCTTGGAATTCCTTTCAGAATTACACTGTTCTCAAGTAGAGTTATGCACACTGTATTTTACAAGAACTGCACGCGACACTCTAATAATGCCACTTAGTACTTAGTATTAATTGGAAACTATTCTCATACATGCCAGCCAAGCTCTCAAGGCTTGAAGAGCCTTCAGGTAGCATGTATCAGCTACCTTTTGCAACAGTATCTTGGAAGTGCCCAAATACTCGAGGGAAAAGTCATCTCGATTGATTCAGGTTCAGGCCCAGACTATTGGATCAGCCATGTCTAGTAAATTACACTTGCGCCGTTGCGGGAAAACTAATTTTAGTGCCATTCAAGGGTCTTCGGTAAAAATATTTCGTGTTCCTCTCAATTCCTAGTATTTGCACATTACAAGAGGATATGTAACATTTCGCGTTGTCGTTTCTGGCATGATAACGGAAATGTTTTCCTGTTCCTTTCAACCAGTGCTCCTATGAGTGTTCAAGAAAATCATGTTCCGAAGAAGACTATATTGTCATTTTTTTTGACAGGTGGATCTAGGGTATATCTCTAAATGCATCTTGGAATGCATCTCTTAATGCATCTTGGAATGCATTCAGTATGCATCTGGTATGTATCTTGGAATGTATATACGTCACTGTAGGCATGGGAGAAAGAAGAAGCGCTATGCGCAAAACGACAAAACGTATTCACAACACCCACATGTCCTTTTCAGATCGCACAAAAGCCTTTGGTTCATGGCTTCGAGAGAACAACGTAGAGCTCTCACTGAAAGTTGAAATTTCAGATTGGCGCTCCCATGGTCAGGGCCGTGCAGTTGTGGCTTCAAAAGATATAGAGCCAGATGAAGAGCTTTTCAAATTGCCTCGCACTGTGCTTCTAGGGGTGGAAAACTGTTCGTTGGTACGGGATAAGGAAGATTCGCTCGAGAAACTTTTAGACTTGACTCAATGGGAGGCGTTGATTATAGTGCTCTTGTACGAGTGGCTTGTAAAGAAAGATGCGAGTACTTGGAAGAGCTATTTTGATATACTTCCTATCAATGACCCGGAAAATTACCGATTCAACCAGTTGATGTTCTGGTCAGAAGAAGAAATTGAATGGTTAAAGCCATCCCTAATCACAAACCGTGTCGGTAAGGAAGCTGCTGTACAAATGTACGAAAAGTTATTTCCTACTGTCGCAGCACAAGTGCTTGGTCTGGATGAATTGGCAGAGGTAACTTTCGAACAGTTTTCCCTCATTGCTACTTTAATCATGTCCTACTCTTTCGATGTGGAACTTCCCAAGAATGATCAGACAAACCCGGATGGTGAACATGACGATGATGAAGATGAAGATGAAGACGACGACGAAAATGACGACGAGTCTACTCCGATAAGGGGAAGTCGCTATTTCAAATGTATGGTTCCCCTTGCTGATACCTTAAATGCTGATACGCACAAACATAATGCTAGTTTGATGTATACCTCACTGTCTTTGGTGATGCGGAGCATAAAACCGATTGCCGCTGGTGAACAAATCTATAATACTTATTCTGAGCACCCCAATGCTGAAATCTTGAGGAGGTATGGTTATGTGGAACAAAAGGGATCTGCTCATGACTTTGCAGAAATCCCATTGAGTAAAGTGAAAACTTACTTTAGTGAGAACACTTCACTTTCTTTGGAGACTGTGGAAGATATCCTTAATGTTCTAAGGGAGGTTAGCGAAGAAGATGGCGAACTGTACTTGGTCGATTCTTATGATTTATTCGCCAGCGGAGAAGTCATTTCCGAACTTACATTCTTAGTTCAGCTCCTAACTTTAATGGCCAGCATAAACGACCAAAAAACATTCAACACTGCAAGTGTGGATGTTAAAAGTAGAGGAGTTAGACGTGTACTAAAAAAGTGCTACCAGCTACTTGAGGGTGGAAAACTCACTAAGGGTTTTATTGTCCATTATCAAAATCTCTTAAAAGCAAGACTTAAAGAATATCCTAAGCTGGCATCGAAGGAATTTCCGGAGGAAAAGCCGGACCTCTCTAGACAAGAAATGGCCACAATTGTGCTAATCTCAGAATACAAATCTTTGCTCAATTGCCTAGATACAGACAAAGTCTATGGCCAAGGCGAAACTGTTTTTACAATTATCGATGATGGAAAGATCTTGCGAAACATCATGAAGAAAGATGTCTTCGAGGGGGGTGACGACCAGGTTAGAAAGAAACAGAAATTTACATAACCGACTTAAATTTCAAATCCAAAATTTGTATATTAAAGTATAAAATTAAAAGGAGCTGCTACCGTACGTGTTTTCGTCGGAACGTTCAGGAGACTTATCGATATCTGTCTCTCTGTCTTCGTTATTATTCATTCTCATCGCGGTCAATGGTTTTGGGCGGTATACTTCGAACCCTCTTGTTACAGGCTCTCTTTTGAACTTAACTTTACGCAAAAAGCGTACAGCCCACGACTCGGGTTGTCCAATATCCTCTTGCATTCCTGATGCACTCGGCGTTTGGCCTGAGTTTCCTTCTAGTCCGTCCATATTCCATAATCTGGAAGCCCACAACTTCTTAATTTCAGGATCAATTACATCACTAGAAAAATACTTCTCATAAATGAGGTCTCCCTCTCTAGTGGTGTAATCCTTGAGTCTCCTTCTCACTTCAAATCCCGTATCGTTGAATATTTCGACATCTTGCAGCGATGTCTCCTCCTCGTTATTTTTCTGTGCTACTGTCAGATTACCGGTGATTTCACTAGTTTTCCTCAAAATTTTATCGCTTCTAGAGCGGTAATACTCGAAATCCTCTTCTTCTGCCGATAGTTTGTTCTAAGGCACGGGTAGTCTTCGTTCCCAATTTTGTATTATCTTCAGCACTAGAAGCATTTCCACAGGAATAAACAACGGGATAATACTCAAAATCATCTTTGAGTTGATCCAAATTACTGTTTTGAATCCCCGATGAATACTTTTCCATTTTCCTCTGTTTTCGGCTTGAAATACGAGACACCATAGTCAAGTATAGACAATAAATTAATTGAATAACAAAAACAATGGAAACGATTAAGTGTATAACCAATTGAATGTAAGCAACGTAAGTCCGTGGTGTTTCAGAGACGCCAAGGCCCCGAATATATGGAATCGAAAGGAACAAAACAAGGAGTCTCGCGATATGTGTAATCAAGTAGAGCGAATGCCAGGTCATTTTCAAGTAGAAAGGCTTAACCGTCAAAAGCAAAACCAACATTATAAATTCGATGATTATGAGGAAGACGACTTGAAGTGCACCATTAACTTGCACTAAAGCAATAACAATCAGAACCAATGTCACGTATACAAAATCCACGATAACATACTGAGTCTTTGCGGGCAGGTAGGAATTATAGAAATAAGCCCAAAGAAGAATCGATTTCACTTCGGTATACAAGCCAGTAACATTCGCATTCGTACTCAATCGAAAATTTTTGTAGGAAATCAAGTATTTGAAAACAAAGTATAACTTTGCCAGTAGCCACGCCAATATTGCCAATGATCCGCAAATGATGCTTGCCACGGGAATGTCTCCAGTGGTAGGCTTTGGGGACAGATGGTAGTTTACCTTCTCTATAAGATTTAGAGGACCCTCCTGTTTTAGGTAATTATATGGTACATTAAAATCAAAAGCTCTTGCCCGCAAAAACGATTGATCCAAGAATATTCTTTTCCCATTTTTCCCTGCTGTATATAGCATGAAGAATGTAAGAACAAGAAATGCAAGCTCAAAAGTGTATAGGAACTGCCTAAAAAAGTGGCCAAGTAAAGCCAATAAATTTTTTGAGACGGAGTAAAGTTTTGGCGTCTGCTTGTTTATCTCATAAGTCTGTTCAATATAGGTAGGAGACTCCTTGTTGAGCAATAGCTTCTTTCTGCATCTTCGTCTATTCACACATAACTTAAGCATGATGAAGAATTGATGAACAATAACTGTAGCAGAAATCCAAAGAAGCAAACAGATAATAAAATTAGGCCAGCTGTAATAGAAAAAGCTGTTGGAACCGTAAAGGGCTAATGACTTCAATCCAGTCCAACTTAAAGTAATGAAGATGTTATCACAGTCCAACAGAGGAACAGATGTATGACGGAAAACATTTAAGCCCAATAAGGCACACCATCTAATTTGTCCCAAAAAAGGTTGCAAAAATCCAGGGTACTGCAAATCAAGACCAGCCATAAAGAAAGCGAATTGGAAGTAATGCACAATGATATTTGTATTAGCCGATAACTGTCGCAACAATCTTCCATTGCAAATAGTGGATGCCTCGACTAAGAATGGATTATTTGACTCCTGATCAGGTGAAAATATCGTGATAAAATAATTGACGAACCCAGCAACAATAATAATTGCAAGAACTCCGTATATCAAAAGAGAGGATAAGTATCTTGGTTGCAAAACAGGAGTAACATGGGTTTGTAAAGCTCCAATGATATCTGATTCTTTATCATTGGAAACCACGGTGAATTTGACGTTGTATGAGCCAAGAGTGCTTGGATGATCGCTAACATCTGCCTGATAATATAAAACGATGGAGTCATTTTGGTATAGTGGGCATTGAACCAAATTACCTGTGTCATTGGAGAAGAATGGAGTGACCGATGCGTTGGAAGAGCCTATCAATCCAATATCCTGAAGAAGGTGTACCTTCGGAAGTTCTTCCACTTTTCTGCGTGAGAAAGTGCTCTCGTTGAAGTATGTTGAATGGGATGATGATGTGGCGGAAGAAGGTAAAGATGAGGAGGAGGAAGAAGAAGATGTATCATCACTAGGAAGCGGGTATCTTGTACTTGGGAAGTATCCTGATGTGTTTTTGACTGAGACGTGGTCACAAAATCTTAAATTTTCCAGGATAAATGTCTTCCCCATGAAATCAATATCGACATGAAGCGTTGTATACTTGTTTGTTTCGTCGTTCACGTCAGTGATTAAAACCTCGTTAGTCGTGTGATTCTTTGGTTTTCTCACTTTGGTATTTATGAAGAACTTTAGAAGATTCCTATCATGGTCCATTCCCACGTCGATGATGAATTCGCTAAGAAGAAGTTTTGAGTTATCGACACCGTTCACGGCAAGGGTTTCGACAAACGCAGCATTCACTAGTCGTAGGAAGGGCCCTAGCAAAATAAATGCTAGGAGGAGTGGTAGAGCAGTCATCATACGGAAGTGATGTAGCGGCTATTAGATGATGGGAATGTTAATGCGAAGAAGATAACTCTGGTGAGCCGTGTAAAATGAGACAACTTAGGGAAGTGAAAGAATGGTCAACAAGAACAACAGTAACAACAGTGGTTACTATGATGATGAACGACTGAATAAAATGGACGTGTTCAGGTCAAGCCACCCTCGTCTCCAACACCTTTCTAACAAGAGGAAAAAAGACGACACTGTGAGTGTGTAAAAGAAGCTATTGAGAAACAAGTCTCGGTAGTTAATGCACATGCAACCTCACAAAATTTGAACTGGGAATGTGTAGGCTGGCAGGCTTTACCAGGCCAAATTTATGCAAACGAAATATCCGCGGAGGTCAAGGGTGAAGTCTATACAATACTTGATCTATGCTCTATGTTTACTCTTTCTACATTCCCCATCTCTCTTATCGTCTTGTTTAATGTACCTTTACTGGGTCATGGCCAGGTCCTTGCTCGCATCGCACGTACTATGTTTTACAAAGATACATAGTCTCTTGTGCTTTACAGGTTGAATGCTTACAGAAAACTATGTCGTGTGAACACTTAATTGCCAGAAGGACTCGTCTAGACTCCAGGCTACCGGTACTAATTTATCTCCGGTAAACTTATCCGAAAGATTCCTGTGGGGCTATTTGCAGGAGTCCAGAACAATAGGTACATTTTCTCGTCTCACAAATCCTGTCGCCATATGCACCAAGGACGTAATTGATAGCGAGAAATTCACAAGGGCTTCGGAAACAGAACCTTAGGTGATACCCATGGCAAATGTGATTTGGAACATGTCAGCGAGTTGAATATGACACCACGAGTTCTTCTTGATCGGCTTTTGATTTCCCTTTTTCACCTATATACAAGCGGTTTTAGCTCAGTTGGGAGAGCGTCAGACTGAAGATCTGAAGGTCCTGTGTTCGATCCACAGAAATCGCATGCCAAAATTATTTTTTTTTCATTTATCCCATAAGTGTGGACATGTTTGCACTTTTTCATTTCCAGACGCCCATTCGCTAGTAATTTTAGTCTGTTTCTCCCCTGTTTGTTTTTCCTACATCGCTTTCCAACAATACTGTAGATTTCTATGTACATGTGTCCCCCAAGTATGCCCACTAATCGTTGACTCTTCTGAACTTTGGATACAACCGACCTGCGTGGTAGTTGATAGAGCTGACCGTTTCCTTCTTAGGCTTGAAAGTTTCCATGCATGTTTTTAAGTCGTTTTCAAAAGCTGAGCACAGAGCAGCACCTTCTCCATTGGCTGCCCAGCAGTTCAAAAGAGATGACATCAAAACATAGCACTGGTTGGTGGATTTTTGAAGGACAGGGTTCCTGAGTCTTAACTTGGGTAACGGAGGTAAGGCTTTGGTCTGGGCAACCTTTTTGTATGCCATGGCGGGTGATGTGAATAGAAAGTTAATGAAAAAACAATTTTTGGACCTGAAAGGTCGTGTGGTGCGAATATTTTCGCATCTTTCTCTTTGGTGCGAGCTGCGAATTCCGCTGATCTCTATCGCCTTTGACACGCGAAAACACTCATTAGACTTCTGGTGAACAACGGATTGAAGAGGAAAGAAAGAAAAATTGAAAATGAAAATGAAAATGAAAATGAAGCTAGTTTACATTTAAATATTTATCATGGGTATCTACCCATCACTTGAGCAAATTGGCAGGGTTCAAGATCAAAATATTGAGCGATTGAGCTTTTCTGCGCACATTTCTGGAAAAGTCCCGCCTCTCTGTCCTGAGGCCAACCCCTGGCTTCCTCACCCAATATATTCTCAGGAAGTTTCCACAAAGAATATGTTTGTGCAATACAGCATTGTATTGTTTGGGAACCTGTATGCGGCTTTTCAATGCCAACGGCATGAGCTTATCTGAAACAGCCTTGTGGATTCTCGCGTAAAGTTTTCTCATGAAAGAATTGGACTCCCGAGCCAGTGTATACTTAATTCTGGTCAACACATCGACGTGTTCGTCTAAGTTGATCAAGATCACGCGAAACAAATGCTTGTATAAGTTATTGTAATGTTTGACTGTGCTCAAGAGCATGCCATAGATAGGTACAAGATCAAACTGCTTAAAGCGATAAGATGTTGTGGGCCCTGAAATTGTTGTTGCGTCGTGATCTTTCGATGCAATCACATATTCGTTAGTTTTTAGTTTCTGCGAGTTAAAGGTGATCACGTCAGTGCCAGTAGGGATCATTTTGCGGGTAATTTCCAAGTATAACGCATCCTTTAACAGTATTGTTTCCTTCTCAATCCTTGTTAAGAACTCCATTGATGGATGTTCAACCTTGCGATAGTTGTCAATGGTGTCCAAGAAAATGGGTTTTCCTACATCTCTGAGCAAGTCTTCTGGTGGTAGCGGCTTCGCATCAAAGGGTGAAATGCTTTCCTTTAGCAGATCATCATCCAAGAAATTAACATCCACCTTGTGGACGGGCACCTTCGTATCAAACGGGCGCATGTCACGAATTAATTCTGTCGGGAATGCATCAGCTGGAGATTCTTCAGATGCATTCTTCTTTAGGTTATTCTTTCCACCGCGTAAAGGAACACCTACCAAGCTGCGATCAAAGCCAACAACATTATATTGATATAGCTTTTTGAACACTCTTTCCAAGCCTTTCGAGATCTCATACTTTTCACCCCTCCGGCCTGAGCTGCACATGTCACGCAAGTTGTTACCCATGCGCAACCTTGTGATCAAATCGTTGTCATCGATGCCAAATTTCTTCAAATACTTTGCGTGAACAGATCTATCCACATCAAGCTTTTCGAGCAGTTTGTACACCCGTTCGATCTCTTCCCAAGGTGTTTCAAGAAGGTCGACTTCGTCCGGTAGCGATCGTATCAACTCTCTTCGATCGAAAAAATGCTCCGAGGGAAAACTGCCGAACTGGCCTCCTTGGTCAAAATTTTCTTGAATGGCAATATCATCTTTGGTCATAAATGCAACTTTTTCAAAACAATCTTCGAGTTCATCTATATTTTCTTTCACGGTTATGTCTAATGCCAGCTGGGATGGCTGCTTCGGGAGCTGGGATTCTAGATCCAAATCAGTCAGTTTCCGATCCTGGGCGTCGCCCACTTTTCCTTGCAGCAATATGCTTCCGAGGTTTTTGAGTTGCTTTTTGTAGTCATCTTTCAGCCGGGAAAAAGAGACACTAAATGGTCTCCTGCCCCACAGAGTTTGTTTAAAGCAAAGCCGAATCATCGGACTAACAAACAGTGAAACAAGAAAAGTGGTTCGCACTAAGAATTCGCACCCCAGATTGTCACTAGCAACTGTGTATAAACCGCAGTATAGGCTTCATTTAAGTAACGCCTAGCTATGCTAGGATAGTAAAATAATTAATGGAATATTAACATTCTCTACAAAGGATGATTTCCGTTATACCCAAACCTTAATTAACCAATCTATATGCTAAAAATGAAACTGTCCTAAGCGGCTCTGGTACGGCAGAGGTTGTTGAGCATCCTGTTCAACTCCATCTCTTCCGTGCGGGCTGCCAACTCAATCCGAGGATCGATTGCGCCGGTGCTCCACTGTGGCTTGCACTGTTCTAGTGGACTCTCAGACTCAAACAGGCTACAGGAGTCCTGTCTGTAGTGGGCTCTGCTGCTTGAAGAAGCGACAGAACTTGCCCTGCTGTGACTTGCGGCATGGCCCAAGGACAAGGTAGAAGAGGCAGAGGAGCTTCTCGAAATGGAAGGAGTCGAAAGACGAGACTCTTCGTGGACTTGCATTTGCGCAGCAACGGCCTGCTGTTGTCTGTGCAAAAACGAGCGCATTTTTGTTGTCTTGATCAAGTCCTCTCTGATTGGCGCCAAGAACTTGTCCAATTGAGCACACATTTCCTCGTTGGACACGCGCATGTCCCAGTTCAAGAGATAAAGCAACTGTCTTTCCATTAAGTTGACGTCTTTAAGAGAGAAAAGCCCTTCTGTGTATTTGGCCCAATGGACGTTCTTGGGAGAAGAGTCATTGTGGAACTTGGAAGCTAAAATCAAGCAGCTCAAGAAGATGCGGTGGCGCGTGCAAGGCAATCCCTGTGCTGTGCGAGGTAACTTTTGCTTCAAACGGTCCAAGTATACCAAAGTGGACATCAAGGTTCCTGTGTAAACATTGGTGTAACGAACCAATCTGTTAATGAAAGTCATCAACGATGGCAAAGGTTTGCCATTGTTTGCAACTTTGGTGTTTTTGTCATCCAGACAAGGAATCACTTGCAACGTGGTCACCACCAACTTGTGGATCATGTCTTGGGACACTGGTGTGCGTGTGAAAATGTTCAATGCTTTAAGGTCGACGGTCGTGGTCATGGTGGCAGTAATGATGCTGATGGCAGATATGTGAAGGAAAGAAGAAGTAGAAGAAGTAGATGTAGAACAAGAATGGAAACAATCGCTAGCGTGAAGGTCTAGTTGTTCTGTCCAGCAGAGCTCCATCTTTATATATGTATGCTGGGCATCTACTTCTCTGCGGGTCGCGACGCATCCAGGCGTCAAGATGTTTTGATCTGGTGCAGCCCGGGCCTCCTGCGACGCGAAATTTTCCGACCCACGCCCAGGCACAACGCGGCGTTTTTCCTGTTTGAGGCTAATGTGCCTCCCCACAAGTAGAAATTTCGGTCCCAATGCGGTTCCTTGCAGACCAGCAACCTGGCTGAACTTTCGTGTTTCGCGTATGTAGATGTGCTCATCTCCTGTCATGTCCCTTCCCCAGAAACGGTTTGGTTCGAACAAGGCGCGGTAGCATCTGACACTCAGCCGAGAATGGATTACATTGCCCTTTTGGCTCGTGCTTGGCGCGTGCTTGTCGAGCTCCTACGTAAGTTTCTATGGATTGACCCACAGTGCTGTTTTTTCCTTGGGGTATACTTTTCGTTCTCATTCCCATTCCCCATCTTGTCCGTGTCTACTATAGCGCTCAATTGACCACAACAAATTATTGAGGTGGTTACAGCCTGTGCTCTCACATTGTCTGCAGACGATATTTCTCGTGTTCTGGGCAAACAAAACGCGACTAAAGGTTTTTGGCGCTGGCCTGCGTTAGCCATTCTATTCCTTAGCGCTCGTGTATGCAGACCCATCCGTAAGAGGTTAACAAGCAAAAGAATTTCGTTCCTTTTGGGCACCGCGACCAGCTCCTGCAATGCAAAGGCAGAAGCTAGTCATTTAGCACCGGAACGGCCCCTTGTGAACCCGGATGCGAATCTCGCAATCTGTATGTTACGATGTTTACGCCTGTGGGGTTCCTTCGGCTACCTGTCGCGACTACAAATTTTACGCATCTGAGCGATGGTTTTTCTTCACGCTTTGGTTCTGAAGGTTAGTAACGAGTACAAAAAATAAAAATAAAAGGGACATGTCAGGAATATGGGTATACTGTATCGATCATGAAAAGAGTACTCTGACTGGTGCACAGCGTTTTGTCATCATCATGTCCTCTCTAGTCATACATACACTTTAGTGTTGTGAGAGAAGAGTGTTTTCTTCAAAATCTCATCGCGCAAGCTCAAATTTATACTGACGGAGTCGGGTAAGTTTGGTTATATGCAGGCCAGAACGCCAAAGCCCTAAATTACACCCATATGAAGTTAGCTAATCACTCTCCATGGAATATTATATGCATTTTCACAAATCGGAAAGATAACAGTTTTTCACTGTGGGTGGCTCACGTCGTAATACATCCTCTAAGATTTTAGCTTTCTTCATTCTCGTTTCCATCTCATTACTTATAAACTTCAATTACTATGACATGGCAGCCTCAAAATCACCGTACATGGCGAAAAGCTTCAAAAGCTCCTCATTGCCAATCATTGACTGCTCATCAAACACATCCTCCTCGTGTTCACTATGCATGTGCTTCTCCTGTAAGACACCATAGGTATTGATAGTATTTTTGTTGGCATACATTGCCCTGTTCGCCGTAGTTGCATCAAAGTCCAAGCCACCTTCGAAACCGCAGTCCTTTGTCGGATGTGTGAAATGCTTAGTAAAACTCGCATCTTCTATTTCTGATTTCTCTTCTTTAGTTGTTGCCTTCAATGTGTTGAAATGACCCTTCAGCCGTCGCATCAGCTCCACCTTAGCTATTTTGAACTCTTCACATAATTTACACAAGCTTCGAAGTTCTGCTGTTGAAAGAAAGTGAATCAAATTAGCTCCTTCGTGGAAGAACTGTTTGCTGTTCACGGAACCCGAAAAGAGGTTCTCGGGATTTTCCATACACTGCCTCAAAACAAAATACGCCATCACGTAAAGCTTGTACGAGTTGATGTATGTGGTACTCAAACTTCGGAAATTGCCAACAAAAAGTTCAGCCTCAATCACTACAATAGTGAATAAAGCGTCAACGGCTTCACGTCTAGTATGCAAAGCTTCAACTGCTGCTCCATCTGGTATTGATCCCGTCTCATTGGTACTCAATTCTTGCATTAAAAGAGTCTTTTTATAATTGACAAGCCGAATGAAAAAAGATGTAAGGAATGCATGTGTCTTGACCATACAGCGTTCGAGTTGAGAAGTGAGCATAAAATCATAACAGCTCCCAAATAATTCTTGAGAGTTATCCAAAGCATATGTCATGATGTAGACTAGCTGGACCACACTTCGGATAAATGTCTTGAAAAGTTCGATTCCAGCACTTATATCAGCATCTTTGTCCTCGTCTAGTTTAGACTCATAATGAAGTGTGATCAAGTAATATGAACAGGACAAGTTTGCTCGAAGCTGAATAAAACTTATAAATTCGATTACCTTCATGTACGACTTACGACGTCGTGTCTCTTCATCCTCGTTAGATAAATCATATAAGGGCGAAGGCTTGCAGACATTCTCACGAAAGAAGTTATTCCCAAACATTTCAAGAAACAATGTCTCCATTTGGCTCGTTTCTTTCAAAAGGTTGTAGATTTTCGGCTTTTTCCTGATGTTCGTTATTATGTTAATAAAATTGCGGTAACACTGATAAACTTCCGCTTGCTTCTCAAAAAATTTAACGCCACTGATATACAAGCTGTCGGTTTCAGGTTTTTCAACATCACTGGCATCTAAATTACTCAATTTGAGTGACATTCCACAGTATATGGCTAGCATAGCATCCATGGTACAAATATAATACCAGAGCGATCTCCATGAGTTGACAAAACTCGGTTCTTTAGAAATTACCCCAATTGAATGTAATTGAGTAGGGTCTCTATTCAAGCCGATTGATAAAGCATGAGTGACTATAGAGCCAAACAATAATGTCGAGTCACTTCCACTCAAACCGAAGCAGTCATTTGGTGCAACAGATCTATAGTAATGTAATAAAGTCAATGCTTGAACGTAGTGGAAAGTCGACCTTGATTGAACTCTCTCTTCAGGAATGCAAAGGTTAACGACTCTCATGTAATCATCGGATTTAAATCGTGTAACATCTTTGATCAAAGCTTTTTCATCTTTACTATAATCTGCTTTTCGGTCAAAATTGGGAATTAATGACATGTAGCCGAGCCTGATCATCAAAATTAATTTGCCAGCAATGCACAATTCAACATCGTTCGTTATTTGCACAGTACTATATTGGCTATCTGCGGAATCAGTTTTCTTACAAATGATTTTTTTCAATTCAGAGGTAACAGTATCCTCATCAAAAATAGGGACAAACGGGTGCACATATTTGAAAAACCTCTTGAGTGCTTTGTTTATACCACGAGTTCGGGGTAGAATCTGTTCAATACTTGATGCGGCAAACTTGTATATATCTTCATTGGTAGAATTAGCGGATAATAGAGCCTGGGCCCCGGTGAGGTATGCTACTGGAAAAGTAGGACTTGATTGCCCCGGCCTTTCCTTTTGGACGTGGATTTTGGTCACAATGAGAGCATCTTCATTAACAATCTCGCCTATTTCAGACTCATTCCCACTATAGGGGGAGGTTTGCTCCGTTTCCAAAACATTTTCCTCGTTAGCCGAACTAGAGCTTTTGGACATCGATTTCTTTTTCCTCTTTTTCTTTGTATACTTTGAGAATTGCTCACTCTGGAAAAGATTTATCGTAAAAGAACGAACCAATTTGATGTAAGGATCGAGCTTTGTAAGTCCCACGTAAGATAATAACCCTTGTTGTTGCCAGTACGGCCCTTCAACCAATAATGAGTTTGAAGCGCAGACAAAAAACGTCAACTCATCATCGACACAGATATCTAGTACATTATTCCCGAAAGATATCGATACATATTCCTTTTGTTCACCATATCCTTTTTGTTCATCATTTATGGTCGTGTTTTGTTCGCATTCTGAATATTTTCGTTTATGAGACGAGGGGAAAGTAATTGAAGGTGGGTATTGTTGTGACTCTAATGGTGTAGTTTCGTGGTCCTGGATTTTTGGGCCTGACGCCGGAGATTGTGGATCGATGATATGCGGGCCTGACAAGGCAAGCTGAGGACCTGTCGCAATAATATGTCGCTTCTGCCTTATGTTATGATATGAAACTATATTAGACGTCTGAGGAGGTACCTCATCAGCTTCTAGCAGTGGTCGCAGGGATAATGAAGGCAGAATCAGTTTATTTGTGGCATTGGTCAACAGTGCGGGGCTTCTCTGGTCGACAGATGAAGAGGAGGCTGACCCTCGGGGTTGATAATAATGAAAAGCGTGTGCTTTCAGCTTCCGCAGATCGGGTCGATCTTGCCATACCTGTGGCAGGTGGTAAGCATATGAGTATGTAGGTGGTGGACCTGCAGAGACCCATGTGGTGGGGATATGTAGCTGTGTTGCAGGTATTCCCGAGCCGTATTGCTCTAGCTGAGGCGGGAAGCCCGCAGGATAAGCGCTATTGATTTTCAAAGCCTGCTGGGGATATGCCACGGGGTGCATCGGTAGGCCTGGTTCGGGGACGATCACTTCGGGGTGTGGGCGTATTGGTAAATATGTCGTAGCCAGGTTTTGTGGCACAGCTCCGGTTTCGTCCTCATACAAGCAAAGATGAGCAATCAGCTTCCGTTTGCATGTTCCACATACCGGATGAGCTCTGTCACACTTGGACTTTCGTTTTCGACACATCAGACACGACGCTGGCGTTCTGTGTCGCTTTTTGTACGAGGCGTCCATAACCTGAGAGAATGCGGGGTCACAGCTCAGAAGCGGAAGGGAAGGGTTCTTTTCAGGTTCTGTCTCAAACAAAAAAAAATTGAAAGTGTGTATTTGGTTAGTCCTCCCCACTGGCGGTACTTTTATTTGCGTTCTTTTTTGTGGAGTCAAATCTTGATAACCAAAGTGTACTGGTTCTGCAGGACGAGATAATTCGCAGTGTTGCTGCGTGGAAGGAAACAAGTTACTCGAGCTATTCTTAGACAGATGCTGAACATGTTTGAATTATTCATTTAAGTGTATTGGTCTGAACATTTTCTGTTGAGTTTTCATTCTTTCAACACTCAGCTTTTAATAGCCCACAGCTTGACTGATTCCTGCCTTGTGTAGGATTGTCCTGTGTGCGCCTGAATACGGGTTTAGCCAAGCGTTAGGGCGTTCTACAAAATATGATTCCCCGCATATAGACGCACAGAAAGATTTTAACGAATTCTATTTCGCACTATTCTTATTTGGAGCAATCACGGAGCACATTGCACGAGTTTTACTAGAATACTTTTCTATTGACGCATAACATTGGAAAACTGACTAAGGATTCAGTGTTGACCCTATAATGCGGGGATAGCTCATAGGATGTCCTATATATAGGAAGCTGACTACTCTTAGATTACTCTGAGTAATATGAAGATATTCTTCTTGAGTGTACTCGTTTTTTGATCCTTTGGTCTCTTGGTTTTCCTTTCTGACACTTTCGAATATGGCGTAATCGAGCTAGTGAATTTGGCTTGTGAGGACTCGCGGTATTTCAATTCTCCTGTGTCTTCGGTGCGATTTTTTCTATCGCGGTACGCGTCTCACCAACTCTTCACATCTACATTGAATCCATGTCTGACTACAAAGAAGATGAAGAGCTAGACGACTTCATTGTTTCTGATGAAGAAGTGCCTTCTCCCCAAGAAGAGGAAACTGAAGCGCCTCAGCAAGATCGAATCACAGGTCTTACTACCATGCTCAGAGTAAATGAATCCTTCACGTCCAAGGTATTGAGAGCGCACATATCGGTTCTCGTGTCGGCATTGGGAGGTCCAGATCATTCTTCTGAGGACGGACTATATAAATTGGGCCACGACGCTTTGGCCTGCTTGAAAGATATCAAGAAGTGGATCCGCAGTGTGGATGATAGGAATAACTCGTCCGAGGTGGCACTCGCATGCGCTGAGAATGGATTAGTTAATAACGACTTGACAGTAATATTGTGTCAATGGGATAAACCGCCTCCAGGTGTTAAGAGAACGAAAACTACGGATAAAATAATGCTTGCATGTTTGGAATTGCTAGTTCTACTTACGTGGCCCATTGAAGTTAATCGCAAAACTCTTCTCAAGGACTACACATCGAAAACCAATGCCAGACGTGCACAATTGGTTTATAAAAAACACATATTGGCATACCAGGGAGGACATACACTAAAAGCTATCATACGGTTGGGATTGCGTGCTATGCAGTTACCCAGAGAAGATAGAGAACCTCGAGACGTGAACATATTACGTCTCATTCTTTTCTTTATTCGTAACTTGCTTTTCATTGAACCTCTACCTGCATCAAAGTCCCCAAAAGCCATAACAAACTCTTCAGATTTACCTAATGGAATGAGCCCGGAAGATGTTGGTCTTAATGCAGTCATAGCTGCATTTGAAAATAATAAAGTGCTCCTATTTCTTACTTCCATTGCACACTCTGTCCTGAGTGAATTCAATGACGAGACTTTTGGTGTCTTAGTGATTGAATGTCTATCTTTACTTACTAGAGGTATCAAAACGGAAAGCTTATTCTCGACCATACCGAAGGCTCCAGTAAGTGATATTTCAGAGAATGTTCCCCCTGCATCGTCAGCTGCTGGATTGCAACTTCAAGATCTTCTTTCAGAGGAAGAAAAACGCAAGAGGCGCCAAAAGAATACAGTTTCCACCAGACATGGAAGATTTGGAACTCTTTTGTCTATTCAAAGTTCTGACAACTCTTCATATTATACTATATCTGGCCAAGAAGCTTTAGCCTCTACACTTGAATCTTTGGATAAGTTGGATCGGACTAAGAAGTGGCATAAAACATCTGGTTTCAAGTATGACTCTAACGAATATGTTAAAAATTCCACTATTTACCTCAATCTGCATTCGATAAAAATCATAAAGAGATTTATTGACCTGTTACTATCTAGCGGGTCTTATAACAACTTACTTCTGTTTGTGGGTCGTCACTTAACGAATATTTCCAATGATCATGACCTCGGGCGCAAAGTCATTCTTGATTCGGTTGATCCACATGAACTTGCAAGTTATTTTTTGGTCATTTCATGGTTTTTTTCTTATAAGAGAGATCGGAATAACTATTACGCAAGGAATAAATTGGCACCCCTCGATGAAGAAGATAGCTTAGATTATGGATCAGTCGGGTCATCCTTGAGTGAGATCAACTTCATCCTTTTGACTTCTTATTTACGTTCTGCTTACGAAGCTAAAGACTATGATTCACTACACGTCGCCTTGATCTGTATGCGTGGAATGCTTCAAATCTCAAATGCAATCTTTTCATCGGAGCGTACCCAAAGGGAAATGAACCCATCTTCTGAGGAAGATATCAACCACGACAGAGAACTCGCTGAGGGCATTATTCGCAAGCTTTTCTCCCAAAAGCAATTTTTGGACATGATTGTCAACATCCCAAGGCAAGCCTCCAGACATTCTCCCGAGTATTTGTCAGTTGTTGTCTCTGTGGTCCACATAGTTCTCAAATGTTTCGAAACGTTAGCGAATGAGGATGTTAAGTTATATATCCAAGGAAGAAGAAGGGTGAACAAGCTAGGGAATCAGAGCGGCCTAAACCATGATATGGACCGTCAGCACTGGCACCTAATCGATGCGGGATCAGATGAAGAGGATTTTGAGCAAGAGATTCGCTATATCAATCAAGAACGGAAATTGGACTTTAAGAATACAGAGGTAAGATTTTTCCATACTGAAACGGTTTCCACGCATATAGCTTACTTGTCGAGGTTTGAGGATCTCACTCATGAAGAAATCAAAAGGGGGATCTCGTTTTTCCATCGCTTGTTTGTCGTACGCAAAGATTTTGCCGCATTGTACAGACTTGATTTTATGAACTTGTTGTACAGATTACGTGCATATCTACCAAGATCTTCCAACATTCGTCGGCATGTTGATGATTTCATAGTTTACTTCATGAAAAAATTCAAAACTGCATTGGACAGATTTCCCGTGGCAATTGAACTTCTCTTTCCTAGGTTTGAAAACCTAGAGATGAAAGGCTTTTTAAGCACCGGTGATCTTGAGAGTACAAGTACATCTTCATCTATTGGAGTGACATCTGCCCGTGGGTTGCCCAAATCTAGTTACTTCTCGGAGGATGCACCGCAGCCAAGAGCAGCTGCCATCCTCCGCTTCAATGATGATAATTTGACGCTTGATGAGAAAATTGGAGTATTAATCTACCACTTGATCAAAAAGAAGAATGGTATCAAGATTCTCAAATTTTTGATTGGCGAACTAGAAAGATTAACAGCTTTGAAGGAAAAGGGAATCAATAATTTGATGTTAAGGCTTAACTTGACTAATAGGAAACTCCTTATAAATGAACCGCATTTGCGACTTTTAGTGGAATCTATCGGTTTTGATTTGCCTTTCTTACAAAACGACGAGACTTCCTTGAAAACATCAGTGGAGGCTTCAACGTTGGTTGAGGCAAAAAACTCCATCGATAAATGGTTGAAACTACACGAAGAAGGTGTTGGCGACATCGAACCATTTCTTGATCAAGTTCATCAAGAGATTTTTACGAAAGAACAGTTGAACTTCGGAATAATTGCTTTATCGGACGTCCGTTCAGGGAGACCGATTGATCTAGCTACAGCAGAAGTAATAGGGCTTAGACAAGATCAGATTGGTAAACTTATTGGACTTGCCAAGAGAAAAGAATACGATGAAATGGTAGCTGCACAATATGCTTTGGAAGATGAGGATTATGATATTGAGCCCTCTGATGCTGAGGATAATAGTTCCATTAGTGGGAGAAGGAGAAAGAGAATGAAGAATAAATCATCTGAAACAACACTCCTGGATTCAGTAATTGATGATCTAGATGACTTACCGAAGAAGCAGCGCAGGTCCAGACGTGAAATACTCAAACGTAGTTTGGACTCAGACGATGATGCACCAGTTAAGTCATCAGAGATGGTGAATGATTCCGACGATGAATCTGATGATGAGAAGGTGAAGAGTTTTTATGAAAAGGAGGAGCAGCTTCGTCAATTGATTTCACTGACGGGTGGAATCATGAACAAAACGCAGCTCGAAATTTTCAAGGAATCATGGCAAAAAATTGTAAACACAAACGAGGATTCTCAGGTTAAAACTGCAATCTCTAGGGCAGCTAGCTTGTTTGTCGACGACCTGGATGAAAATGATGATGAACTGCAGCCAAAGGAGTTTTCACACCAGAACACTACTGATGAGTTACAACTAAATCAGAAACGAACCCAAGATGAGGGCCACGTCATGGTCTCAAGAAAACGGAGAATAGTTTTAGAGGAGGAAGATGAAGAATAGATTAAATATGAAAGCTCAGTCACTGACACAATGTGAATCGTTATCGCTATTGAAACTTGAAACAATAGTCCTGTAAGAGCTAATGAACATGACAGCAAATCCAAATAGTACGCATAGAATGCATGGTAGAGCCTTTCGAAGAACGAACGATAACTTCTCATCCCTGTTTGCTCTTTTATAGTCGAATTGATCGAATGACAACTTTAAGTAACAAAGGGGAGGGATGATATAAGCCATGAGTGATGCCGAGGTGGCACCAATCAACTCCAAAATCATTCCTAAATTGCATGTAAATAACGATACCGACATAGATGATGCAACTAATACCGTCGTGACTATGAAGTTTTGCTTTTTTGAAAGTTCTAAATCTGCTGAGTTATTGTTATCTTCGTCTTGTGCTTCAGCAGTTAACATTATGTCTCGCAAAACATCACGAACAACAAAAATTTCAAGCGGGAAGGTAGTGAGCATGTTCAAGCCGAAACAGAATCGAGCAACATTGATCCAGTTGTCATTGCTTTTAAAATTGTTCAAAATGTTGCCCTTTGTATTGGTACCAAAATTAAGGAGTCCACTTACTCCCATAAGGAGGCAGAAACACATTGATATACCGCAAGCCCAATGCGTTAGCTTATTGAATTTCGATAAGGTAGCATCTTTCATCGAATTATAAATGAAAATGGTGTTATGGTGACACACAAGAGCAAACGAGATGACAGATATACCCTGAAAGATATTCTTATTGATCCACCATTGAGACTTTGTTAAAGAGCCTTTGAGAGATGAATCCACAAATGGGCCACGAACAACAGTTAAAATGACTATTATTACCATACCGACCAAAGCAAAACCAGATGCCTTTGCTAATTTTGAAATATCTCTATTGAGTGAAAGTGGATATGAAACGCAAAGCGTAAAAGTGACAATAATGACATTTCTTCCAAATAGCCAACCTATGACTGAATCTGAGCCTGTAATTGATTTCGGAAGCATTGATTTGAGTACATGAGGGATTGTGTCACCAATAATGACGCAGAATGCCATGCATCCTCCGTATGCAAAGGAACTGATGGATATCAATAACAAAATCTTCCCATATCGTCCAAAACAATAATTGACAGTATCTTGGTATGATCTTGTTTGAGACATAGTCGAATTGAGAATAATTAGTCTTAATGTCCAATCAATGAGAACAGTTAGAAGTATCATGACTATTATACCACCTAAGAGCCCACTGTTCTTGAATGCAAACGGTTGGCCAATAATTCCCGCTCCCAAAATTGAGTTAGCCATGTTCATGAAAGCCATTTTCATCGAGGAAGTCCCGCTTCCTTCTTGTGGTGATGCTTCAAGATCAGCGTCTGGGGTACTCAATTCATAATCTAATGACGCAAGATCGTCGAGAGCCACATCTGTTTCTGTGTTTTCTGGTATCTCGTACGATAAATCTGTTTCAGGAATACTTTCTGCCGGCAATTTGGCATACTTGTTAGTGGACGACATATCTGATCATATAAGGTAAACACGAGAGAATCCAAGTAGATAGATGTACGGATGCCGCTCACTATGGGTCAGATTTTATGGTTTAAACGAAAGATAAATTGAATTTCGATCCCTAGGATTAGTTTTCTTTTCTGTTGAATATTAATACTTAAATAAATTTATTTTTTGTTCTTTAACACTAAAAGCGTGCTCTTTTTGCTGAAAATGACAAGAAACCTATACTTTTTACGTTTCGCATTCAAAAGAGGTAGACTTGAAAGTTACATGTACCGTTCTTAAAAATTTCTTAGATCTAGAAATCAACTAACGTTTCACCAAATGAATCATATAGTATTGTGGAATTCGATCCAACCTGCTTATTTTGTAATAATTGCTTCGGATTTTAGTAGTGAAGTGTAATCTATGATCCCAAGCACATACGCATTTGGTAGATTCCCTGCACAACTGCGATGAGACTAAACTCTTGAAGCTCTATCTCTTTAAAATGGCTGGAATGCATGACAAGAGAAAACCCTTCCAGGGAAAGAAATTTCATAAAGATCTTCGTGAGTTCAAGAATCAAGAGATTAAAAGATCCTTAGTACACAGAGCAAGATTAAGAAAGAATTATTTCAAGCTATTGGAAAGCGAGGGCCAGACTACACCGGAATCCCAGAAAGAAAAGCAAAGTGACGAAGATAATGAAGAGAACGACGATTCTGGAAGTGAAAGCGAAAGTGAAAAAGAGGAATTGCCTGAAACCTCTGTAAGCAAAATTAAAAGTTCAGGACCGCTACCTCCACAAAGGGCACCTCCTGCAAGAGCTCAACCAAAACCTCAACCAAGAAAGGTTATCAATTTTGCAGAGAGAGCAAAATTAGCAAAAGAAAGGAAAGAGAGAGAACGTGAAGAGAAACTTCGTCGTGTACGGGAAAGGCGCCAGGCCCTTGAGCAGAAAAATAAAGAGCGTGAACGGAAAAAAGAGAGTCTATCAAAGAGAACAAAGACAGGCCAACCGGTGATGGGCCCCAAAATAAATGATTTGTTAGATAAGATCAGACAGAACATCAACTAGCAACTTCAAATAAATATCATTATAGTGTTCTATACATGCATAATCACGATACAGAGAGTCTAAGGTTGCGGAAGAACATGTAAATGTCGTACAAATACAACGACGAAATTCTCTTTCGATAAGACAACCAGCTGCAAAGGTTATGGCTGAACCACGTGAAAGAAAATCTGTCCCATTTCTTTGAGTTTTCTTCCAACGCCTCTTCATAAACTGCTCTTGCACAGTAGTTGGCCAAAATTAGAAAGGTCCTCTCGGGTCCCAAAGGGTTATTCAACTTTTCGTCAAGACTTCTTGTTAGATCATTAGTCTTTAAAATCAATAAGACTATTCTAGGCATGCTGCTTAGTATGTACATCAAATCTTCAAGAACACCTTCTTCATTCTGCAATTGGTTTTGCATATTAATCATTTCGTCCTTACCTCTAGCTTTCTTAATATCGTAGTTCAAAGCATTTTCAGGGTCCCTACCGGTGATAGCAGCTGCAAAAATTTGGAATTTGCGATCGCCCTTGATACCAGCAAATTTTTCAGCATAGTACTTCATCTTTGGGACGTCATTGTCCAAAATGGCCAACCAAAAATGGGAATAGTCCCGCTTCATTTGTAAAGGAATATAGCGATACAAACCGTGGTCATAGAGGACGATTTCAAAATTGTGGCCGTTCTTACTGTTTCTCTTATCAACTGCTTTAATGGCCAAATTGCCACCATGTGGGTCACAGTGGAGACCAACACCAGGAGTGAAAATCATGTTGTTGAAGATGTGGGAGAGACAAGAAGACACCTGGGCAGTGTTGATATTATTCTTTTTCATATATTCCAAGTCATCCAAACGTGCTCCAGCAACATATTCCATGATGAGAATTCTTTTGTCAGCCAGGACAATATATGGTATTCTTAAAGCTGTCAAGTTGCGCATATTTCTGAAATTTGCAGTAGTTTGCTGGGCATTAGTGGCCTCATTAACAAAATCTAACTCAACATAGATAGAGGATTGCATTTCATCACCTAACCAAGTCAAGGAATACTCCGGAAACACTTTGTGCATCAAGCCAAACACAGTCTGTGTTAAGAAAATATCCAAAGGAACAAACTCTGCTAAGGATGGGTGTTGCACCTTGACAGCCACTTTTTCGTTAGTTTCCTTCAAAGTTGCGATATGCACTTGAGCCAAAGATGCCACACCGACAGGTTTCGGATCAAATTCACTAAAAATGTCACTTAGATGGACCCCTTTATCCTCGAGGAACATGGCCTCGATTTCCTCCATCGAAGATTGCGGACACTGGTCTTGTAATGGTATCATAGTGTTAGTCCACTCAGGCGGAAGTAAGTATGTCAAAGCAGAAACGTGCTGGCCCAATTTAATGTAAATACCTCCATTTTTTTCTAGTGCTCGTAATGTAATGTCTGCAGCTTTCTGGTGAGCTTCACTTAAAGCCTTCTGACGATCATGCTCGTTGTCAAACGTGCGTTGGAGAACATCTTTGTAGATCTTGAAACATTTGAAAGTCGCCAAAGTGACAACACCAACACGTTGTGTTGTCAAAATGGTATGTTTTGTGGTGTTATGGAAAGTTTCGTTCGTGAAGTAGAGCACAGTTGCACTTATAGCTAGAGTTCCAGCGACTTTAGATAATATGTGAGAGCGCTTTTTGTGCTGACCTGTTGACAGGAACCTATTCACAGTAAGAGACGAGGAATATATCCTGTTCAACCCTCGGGTATGCCTTAGGGATCCTAATCTGTACATGGGGAATATTTAGGAGCGATGAAAATTATGAATTGTGGAGAACTAAAAGCAAAATGTCTCGTTTAACTGGATCTGGCACGTGATTTTTTCACCAATGGTACATGCAAAAGCTTCTGTCTCGTGTCACATTTAGGTCCGTGATAACAATAGGGATGAAGTTCGATATTGAAATGTGTTAAAAGTTTATGCATTGGATATTCGTCTGATATACAATGGGTTCTCTACTCTATGTGATAAGTCTTACACTTGATTATTGTATCGTGAACACATTAGGGAAATAAGTAACTATTGAAACATATTCTCGATCAAGTTTCCTCGGGAATCATTGTTAATTTGGAGAGACAAGTTTTCATCACTAGCTAGGTCGAAATTGAAATTGGGGAGGGTGTCCCAATCGATTAAGTCAAGGTTTGTAGGACTCAAAGGATTATTCTGGACTGGCGTCGCCAAATTCGAGGAAGAAAGTGTTCGGAGCAGAGGCATAGTAGCAGGTCGGGATCTTTTGGAGAAAGGACAACCGTCTTCGGCTTCCTCCTTCGAGACAGACTGTCTCATTTTACTTTCTTGAAAAGTATGGCTGTTGGCGTTTCTGAGTGCCTCATGATTGAAAGGACACAGTCGCTTCTGAGACTCCAGGTCTGATGGCTGTGACTGCAATACAGAGCTGCTCAGTGAAACGGGACATACTGAGATTGTACCTGAAATTGAGGAGGAATTTCGATGACTCAATGACTTGGGAACCATGGGAACTGGTGATGCTGGATGAAGTACGGGACAAGAGCCTTGTTCCAATCGAACCGAAGAGATTGGATAGGACTTCGAAGGATTTGACATGACAGGACAAGCATCAATGAGACGCTCTGAACCAAAAGCTCTCTCGTGAAGCTTTGCATATGCTGCAGGGTTCATTTTATGAGAGTTTCTGATAAACGTCATATAAAACCTCCATATCTTCGTCGCACGAATTTGACTTTCTTTTCCCAAGCTCGTTTCAATAAGGTTAACAGTCTGATATGTCTCTTGTATCACCATTTCTTTTGTTGAAACCGGAATAACAATCGGGGAATCTCTCTCGAGTTGCAAGGCGTAAATGAGAAATGCTGGATTTGGGGTTGGAGAGGATGTACCATGGTCGCCGTTATTTTCGGCTACAAAACGTATGAGTAGCCCAGCAATTATATGACTGAACAGCGAAATTGTTTCACTAATTGCCGCCAAAACGTACTTTGAGTAGGTAACCTTGGAAAACTGAATGATGCTGCTCTGAAGAAATTTATTTATGTCAACACATTTCGAGAAAAGAATAGGTATGAGCTTGCCAACTGTATCAATGTCTCCCTTCTCCTCACATTGTAAGCAAGTGAGGAATGTAAAGAAAAGCAGCAAATGGTTAAGGATTACTTTGATCTCAAAGTAGTGTGTCATTTTGAGTTTTGTAAGACCTAACTCCTCGCTGGCATTTGATACATCTGCCACAAGATTAGTCAAATCACCTATAGTAATTCGGTGGAAAACTCCCATAATCCCAGAGCGTAACAATAGCGACGCTTTTGCAATTAAATAGAAATTTTTTGTCGAAGTTATTAGGTTCTGAATGTGATCGGGCAGTTCTTGGCTTTGACATTGCTCTAGAAAGCTCGTATGGGAACGATATGGTTCCGCTTCGCCTATGCATAGTAGAAAAAAGTCCACGAGACGATTCAAGCGGTCCGTATGCTTCACAATGGGCACAAGGCCAAAAGTGACGATATTTATAATGCGCAAGAGATCACACCAGAGCTGACACAAGAGAATATTCAATTCAAATTGCCGTTGTGGTGTTGATTCTGCACTAAGGAATTGAACAATCGCGGGATCAGTCCATATCTCCAATGTGTTTCCGTCATCATACAAAAGTTCCAACACTGCAAGAAGCTGATTAGAAAAGGAAGTACGGACGTCGATAGCCACATTTTCTCGTTTGTAAAGTAATAGTAGCCTGTTTAGAATCGCCACACGCAAAGAGATAAAACACAACAGATTGTTCATTTCGTACGGTGTGGCAGATGCAAACAGACACACCGAATTCAAAACAAAACTTCGTTTATGTCCCAAGCCTTGATGTAAAGCCTCTAATGGGAACATTTCATGAAAATCGCGAGTGATGGAGTCGTTTATACCACTCCGCATACGCAAAAAATCAAGAGCCTCTTCAACTATCAACCCCAACATTGAAAGATACACACCCTTCAAGCGTAACTCATTGTATACCTCCGAGTCACTCATCTTTGGCAGAAAAACAGCAATGTCTAAACGGGCTTCATCACCATCTTGATGGATCAAGCCCATGATTTCAGCCCCAAAAAAGCGAAAAATGGTGCGTGATTCCATTTCACATGTTGGTATGTGTGAACTAAGATAAAACTTCACCAAAAACATAAGCTGTGCGTAGGTCAACTTTTCGTTGCCACGACCATAGTTGCAGATTTCCAGCCACATTTTCTGGAGCTGCGTGAGCAAATCAACTGCACCACCATTGAAACGTTTGAAAAGTTTCTCAGTTTCATCGGTAGACTCACTCTTTACGCTTACCGACGAGCTCATAGGAGTGCCGGGCCTGCTGGCATCCTCTACCATCATGTTAAACTCACATGCCACCACAGGACACTGTGAATGGCCACAACTAGGCGATTCCGCACGTCTTTCATTTAGGAGCCCCTTCTTGTAGAGATGGTACGATTTCTGCAAATTCGTGATCTTATACCAAAGAGCAGTGAGTTGAGGATCAAGCTTGATGGTGTTGAGCCACAGGTACAAGCTAGGCGCCGTGCTCGTGGCCAACGCTCTCTTTCGACGAAACCCACTCATAGTGTAAAACAGATCGTTTGCAACCCTTGGCTCCCCTGACCCACTCACGCGAAGTTTGCTTAGGATTGAAACCGTAAAATTTTCCCCTGTTGGGAGCATCTCCTTTTGTGGGGGAGGAAGCAGAGGAAGCGCTCGTTCCAATCGGGCTTCGAGTTGACTAACCTCACGCTCCTTCTCTTCCAATGATTTTCGAAGCTCCTGGTACTCTTTCAGCTCTTCAACGGGCAAGACGACCACTTCACCACTCGCTGCAACCTTCATCCTGGGATCTACCCACGAAGGCTCCACATAGACACAGAGATGAGCCACGTTGTTCTTGACACATCCAGTACATGGCTTCTTCTTGTCGCAGCGCACCTTGCGCTTTTTGCAGTTGAGACATGACAACGGCACGCGCTTGCGCAGCTTCTTTTCCATGGCGAGAGAAGAGTTGGTGGCTTTTTGTTGCCGTTGCCTCTGGTATCTGGCCGATAAGTGCTCTTGCCGATAAGTGCGAAAACGGTCTGTGCGACTCGGCTTTTGGTCCTACACTGTTGCCTAATGTTCCAGCCTTGAACTATAGACAAGCTTTTCCTCTTGACTAACACATGTACATTCAATAGCGTCTTAACTGTTATTTTACGACTATATCCTTTCTGCCACTTCCACTTGTGGATGATGTACAGCGTCCTGCAGACGCAGCTCTTCTCTGCCTTCGAAGCTACGCCAACCATCAGACTTTAGCAGTGTCTTCACAACCAAGAATTAAAAACGTTTCAGCCAGGCGATTGACCGTCAAGTTGTAGATCATTTGGACGAACCGTTCTAACAAATCTAACAACGGGAAATCTTTCACGTGACGCTATGCACGTGATAGGACTCCATCTGCGGTATACTGGGCCACATTCAAATATCTGAAAACTATTCTACACCATGTCTGCAGGTGTTCCAGTCCGGCTCTTGAACGAAGCTCAGGGTCATATTGTGTCTCTAGAGCTCACGACGGGCGACACATATCGAGGTAAACTTATTGAGAACGAAGACAACATGAACTTATCTCTCTACGATGTCACGATCACTAAAGGACGAACTGGAGAAACCTCGTACATGAACCAGGTGTTCGTACGAGGTTCTATGATTCGTTTTGTGAGCGTGCCTGACATTTTGCGCAATGCCCCTATGTTTTTTATGAAACCGGGCGAGAAGCCCAAGCCGCCAGTGAGAGGCCCTCCTTCTAAAAGGAGCAAATACTAGCTGTGTGCGAGAACCCGCCTATCATCGTCTATCATCAGGAACAAGCTACACTCTACAGAGTACCTTTAAATGTATAGTAATGTATAATAACGTCTGTATTGGGTTGTACTAACGCAAGGTCACCAACTCCTCAGCAGAAGTAGGGTGGATGGCCACACAGTTGTCAAAGTCCTTTTTAGTGGCACCCATCTTGATAGCCACACCAAAACCTTGCAAGATCTCACTGCTCGAGTCACCCACGATATGAAGACCAACGACCTTCTCTTCAGGCCCTGCGCAGATCAACCTGTAAACACATGGAACCTTGTCATCATCCGAGTCCATCATAGCGTAGTACATAGCATTGAACTTAGAGTTGTAGATCTTGAGGTTGTCCTTTCCATACTTCTCCACAGCTTGTTTAGTAGACAATCCAATAGATCCAGCTTCTGGGTGCGAGAAAACAACAGATGGAACGTTCGAATAATCCAACTTGTCATTGGCGTAAACTTCTTGTCCTGAAAATAATCTGTTAGACAATCTACGACCCGCAGCGATAGCAACTGGGGTCAATTCAATCTTACCAACGACATCACCCAAAGAATAGATTTTTGGGTTCGATGTCTGCTGATAGTCGTCAGCAATGATCGAGCCATTCTCCTGGGTTTTAACATCGACTTTCTCCAAACCCATATTTGTCAAGGCTTTTCTACCAACAGTCCAGATCAAAACGTCCACCTCTAACACATCGCCATTTCCCAAGTAGACTTTCTTTTTGTCGCCTGCCTTTTCCACCTTTGTCACACTACCGGAGTTCTTAATCACATTGACTCCGAGTTTGTTCACATACGTGTCTGTGACAGTAGTCTGAATGATGTCATCAAAAGCTCTCAAAACGGTATCTCCACGGGCCACTAAGTGAGTTTCGGTACCTAAACTCAGAAAAACACCAGCGAACTCAACACCAATGTATCCCACGCCTACAATGGCCACAGACTTTGGTTGCTTCTCCAATTCGAAAAAGCCATCAGAGTTGATTCCCAATTCCGAACCCTCGACTGAAGGAGGGATGATTGGCTGTCCTCCAGTCGCAATAAGCACCTTATCAGCCGAGAAAAGTAACTTCTCATCCTTCTTGAAAGACTTGGATAAGAAAGGCACCTCTTGGTCCGCACTCAAGGTAACTTCGACATCACCATTAGAGTTCGCAAAAGAGGCAAATCCATAAACATACTCGACGTTTTCTTTTTCTAAATTGCGCTCATAGATCCCGTTTAAACGCTTAACGTATGCGTCTCTCTTACTCTTGATTAGGCTCCAGTCAAAGTCGCCATACTTAACGTGGCCATCACCGCCTGCAAAGCCATAAGCCTTCAAGTGGCCCCTCTTAGAGGCGAGGTCAGATGCATACCACATCACTTTCTTGGGCACACATCCAACATTGACACATGTACCACCCAATTGCTTGTACTTGCCTTCAATAAGAAGCACTTTTGCACCATAAGAAGCCGCGCGGCGGGCAGAAGCTACACCTCCGGAACCTCCACCAATGACCAAGTAGTCATAATGTTTGGCAATTTTATCTTGTACAGGAGCCATTGTAAGGTGCTTGTTGATGGATAGGAGACGTGAAACCGGTTTTGGTAGCAACTGTTTGGACGGGGCAAACATGGATAGGCGATAACCTATATATGAGCGCCTTAGAGCTTCTGGTGCACACACGCAAATTATGCAAGCAATAAAGTTACTTACAGAGCTGGCGGATGAAAGAGAAATGGCAAAAAAAAAGAAGAGATTCGCAAAATGTTAGGATCTTAATTTCAAACAAGAGAGTGAAGTTGAAACATGTATAAGAGCAAGATAATCTAAACAATGCTGCTATTTGTCAATTGGCCACTACTTCACTCCTGTGCGTTAGTAATCAATCGAGACTGCGATCGTAATCTTCCCGCACACAACGCTTCAAATGGGATACTGTGCACGCCACAACTTCTGGATCTCCGTCCTGCGGAGCCACAAATTCATTGCTACTAAGCTGGCGATGATACGTAGATGTCAACCAAGCCAGATTTATCTCCAAAAGCTTCACCGGATCAAATTCGGAATCGCAGTCGCCGTTTGCTGAGAATGATGAAGCGTGCGCTTTTCTAGTTTCGTCTAAGGCCTCTTGGAATTCCTTATCGGCTTCTAGTAGTTGAAAAATCTCGTCCTTGTCCTCGTGGAATGCTTTCTGTGCATTTGCAACATTGTCTACCGCCGAATAAAGCGTGTTGTTGGTGATATGTTCTTGATTAAGATTGTTCAAGTAGCCGAAAAGCTTGTGAAGAAACTCTTTCTTGTGGTGGATCTGCACCTTACGCTTCCCAGAGAGCGTTCGGTACGCCATGAATGCCTTTTCTTGCGCAGCACTCTGCTGCTGTCGGTAAAGCCACAATGCCTTCTCTTCCTTCTCATTGTACTCGGTAAAATCTGCCTGTGAGCTGCACGAAAGTAATTGAGCAAAGTTATCCATGATAACCTTGAGCTCTCCTTTTGTGTAGCCCGGAATCGATAGGATAAGCAGTTGCGTAGTTGTGACTTTGTCTTGGGTTCCACGATTTATGCTCGTTTCTGGATCGTCACCGGCACATGTGTCTTCATCATAACTCGAGTCTACTAACTTGTCAGCATCGTCAAAAATAGCGAACGCGTCGCTTGAAGCTGACATATCATGGTCGAAAATAATGTTGGCACTGATCTTCTCAGCGGATTCCCAAGCTTTAATCTGTGATTCTTTCACAGGGGGAAGCAAATCATGCTCATCTATTGGAGTCCAGTTATCTATGAAAACTGAATAGTCATACTTGGATAAGTTGGCAGGCTTGCGCAACACAAATGGTTTTGGCTGAGTGTTGGCTTTTTTCTTCAGTTGCAGAAGATTGAGTAGTTTTTTAGATGTCCGAGCAGTAGATCGCATACCGTGTGAATCATCGGGACGAGATTTAGGTCTGGGATTCTTCTGGAGGTTCTGCTGCTGTACACGGCGAATATTATTGCTAGGGGTGCTGATGATGGATGAAGATGAAACGGTGCGCAGGGATACATTGCCAATATTTGAGTGATCTGCAAAGGATTGAGATGTCACACGAATCCGAGGAAGAACAGCTTTGTTGGATTTTTCGTCCGCCATGATGTTTCTTGTGCGGTCAACTGAGGTGCAATGAAATAGGACTAGAGCGAAAGACTAGAAACAGGTTGATAAGAGCACACTTGAGTTTTTCAAAGTTATTTCAATGAGAGGATTTGGCCAGAATAGATATAACGAGAAAGATTGCGTTTCGCTAGTTGGATATTTTGTATATTTATTGATGGGACATGTACAATACGCAAACAGATCCATAGCGCGCAGATAGCGCGGGGGGAACAGGGCTAATACAATAATGATAAACTCGAATTGCCATTGAACATGAAAGAAGATACAATGTACATTTAGGTTCCATTCTGAAACTAGTCATTTTCATAGACGTGAACGTAAGGGAAGCGTTGAAAATAATGCATCGCCACAATTACATAATTATATCCAAGCTAGCCACATGCAGCTGAATTAATAAGTCTGCGAGCTGAAGAAGCTACACGGAAAACGAACGACAAAAGACATTGTGAGAATAAGCAATAGATTCAGGAAGTGTATTGGAAAAATGAACAACGCCGATAAATGAAAAACCCAGTCCTATTCATCCAAGTAAGGAGCTAATGTTAGCAATTACGGTATATGCAAGTGAAGCTTATATATTGTGATGCATCGCAAAACCTGCGAAGTAGTTTGTTGCTCCACACACGTAGCTATCAGCTTTTAGTGAACAGATACAGTTCGATTATCAATAATATACCAATACCTACTCAAACATTGTTTCAGGCTTCCCTGAAACGTACATCAGTCCGATGCAGATTCACAAACTTTAGCATCACGTGATAATATCAGTATTTCAGTACACCACTTCGTCTCAACAACGGCCGGTGTTCTTAACAAAACTAGAGTGACATGAATGGATCCTTGATCCTATTACGGCAATGCCTGAAATAGTTAAAACGATGGTAGCCTGGGCCTTCTATCTGTGTATGTATTTCCACACATAAGCTCGTGCGAACGGTCACATAGGGCACAAGCCCTGGAAGACCTGCACCCAACTCCAAGATTGTGTCTGGCACGTTTGAAAATTTCTCCCGCGACCATTATACGCAAAAAAATTCTACTCTTTCAATCTAGTTACTAGAACAACAACTCGACAAGATGGCTACTGAATTGACCGTTCAATCTGAAAGAGCTTTCCAAAAGGTATGTTCCATTCCCATATATCCAGTTTAACCCATGTGCCTGGATGCTTCAGTCTCGAGATAGATGATGGTATATTGACGTTACTTCCACTTGGCAGAATGTGAGAATTCTTCTCATGAATTTCCACAATTTGACCAGATGGTATACCAAGAAGCATCTTCAAGCATATACTTCTATCCACTAATGAATACTAATCTTTCTAGCAACCTCACATCTTCACCAACCCAAAGTCTAAGGGTAACAGAAAGACCAAGAGATGGGTCAAGGAAGTCGGTTTGGGCTTCAAGACCCCAAAGTCTGCCATCGAAGGTTCTTACATCGACAAGAAGTGTCCATTTGTTGGTGAAGTTTCCATCAGAGGTAAGCTTTTGACTGGTACTGTTGTCTCCACCAAAATGCACAGAACTATCATCATCAGAAGAGACTACCTCCACTTTGTCAAGAAATACAACAGATACGAGAAGAGACACAAGAACGTTGCTGCCCACGTCTCCCCAGCTTTCCGTGTTCAAGAAGGTGACGTTGTTGTTGTTGGTCAATGTAGACCACTTTCCAAGACCGTTAGATTCAACGTCTTGAAGGTTGCTGTGTCTGCTGCCAAGACCAAGCAATTTGCGAAGTTCTAAATTGCATGACAAATCTGTATAAAGAAATTTGTTTGTGTATTACTTTAATGTTACATTAGCTCAGCTGCTATAAGGTCGTAGAAGTGCTGCTCTCTTTCAGTGGTTCAGATGGGAGTAAGTATGACGTTAGTAAAAATGGTTGCAAAGTAATAGCGGCTCACATCGTTGGCGATGCCTACATTCATGCTAGATGCGCATCGATTCTAATGTAGTGGAGACAAGTTTAGTTAATTACCATTCAGATGATATATCTATGCAGTGGTGCCTGGGATTGATGAATATATACAACCAATAACCCCTCTTGCTGATTCTCTATAGACAGTGGGCACTTTTTAAGGACAGGTCTAGACATTAGATGGTGCCTCAATGCGCTTGGCCGATAACTCCTTGTCGCCCCAGGTGTTCAACATATCGGCCAATTTGTTCTCGCTGTGAAGCGAGAGAAAGTCGTCGCTACCTCCTCGGCTTGTGTGGCTCTTGGTACCGACTAAAACGTTAGGCACAGTGCTTCTGTCCGTTATAGTTTTCAAGTACTCCTGGAGCTCCTTGCCGTGTTTGTGTTTATCCAACTCGACAATAATAGGTTCTGGTGTGATGCTATAGTTATCACGCAAAAGCTGTTTCAACCGTTGCGAGTATGGACAGTACGTTTTGGAAAACACAGTCATGGGTGCAATAGACCGTATCTCGAGAAACTCTTTTGCCGGATCGAAATCATCTGCAGCAGCCTCTTCTTTATTTGCTTTTGTTCCACTGCTTTCACCATCTTTGTGTTTCGAGATCTCATTGTTGATGGCCGCGTCCACCTTGTCATTGTTTGTTGATTCAATGAGAGACTTCCCGCCTTTCCCATTCGCAGCTTCTGGAACAGCCACAGGAGTTTTTGGAGCTTCATAACGCTCTCGTTTGGAATAAAGCACACTAACCACTAACAACGTGGCCACGGCCACAAGGAACATTCGCCATTTGCGTGCTGAAAGCATCATATGTTGAATGTGTTGTTGACCTTTATTCTGACACGCGCTACTTCAAGAAGTCGTGGCTACACCTAAATTAGAGGCGCGGGTTCGGAAGAAGGGACACCACCAGTGGAGAAGAAGGACAGGTGCCACTACGACGTGAAAGAAGAAAATGGTCTCATGACAAATGGTTCTTCAAGTTTCCGAAGAGGTGTTCCCGTAAATGGTGCTTATGCGCGCAATGTTACCCCGGGTTATGCACAATAATGTGGGGCAATACATGTTCTAGGCAAAATGGAAGAAATAGTTGGCCAATCAAGCAATCGAAGCGGAAGCGCGGAAATTTTATGGAATCCCCGGACAAGTCATGTAAGTGTTAGGATCAGTGTTTGTCTCAAGAAGATATCAGGTGGAACCAAAATGAAAGCAAATGATGATAACGCTGCGGTCCACCATTTGCCTTTCTCGCTACATTAGTAAATTTTGTGATAACTTTGCCACTTTTTTCCATGTTTTTGAGCGCGCGATACTACTTCTGTACGCCGTTAGTCCGAATTCGAGGAAAGTGATCGTATGCATGATAGCTTTCGGAGCCAATAATCTATCTCCGGAAACAACAAAAATACCCGGAAACTGAACCAGATAGGGCAGGTTGGGAATTGCCAAGGATATTCAACAGTTCGAATATTCTAGAAAATAGGACTACCTTCGGTCACGGAAAGTCGAATCAGAAAAGACAAAAGTTAGGTAGTGTAACCCTTAAAATTTGATACAACGAAACAGAAGAAAATGAGATCTATCAATCCTCAATGACGTCAAAAAACATCGAGAAAAAAATTTAAAGTCCCAACATGCTTACGTATTTGTAGAATCGTACACGCAGCCATCGCTTATAGTTTACCACATCGTAGAAGTAAGTGGGGTAAACTCAAAGAAAACTCCGGGACGTTTCATCTCACTACGCTGCCTTGCGTCCGGATATGGGGAGGAAGGCTGAAAGATGCACAGAGTTACAAATCGAACGGGAGACATGAGCCCGCTACAGGCAGGAAAAGATAATTTTAAGCGTTTTTTTTTGTTGTCCTTCACCTCCCCCTCACCCCGCCACCCCACTTGCCTTGTTCAAAGAGGGGCAGAGAACAAGCAAATTTTTGACAGGCCCTTACTTTCTTGGCACAGAAGACGTTAGGTTTGACATATTCTGCCAAAAACTGGACAATACCGTTGTCGCTTTGAGCTAGCACTTTCATTGTAACATATTGACAATGTACGTCCCCACACGGAGCTCAAGGTCCGAGATATTACGATTCCGTCTCCTCCAATGAAAGGCGTCAAATTGTTCGCCGCGCGCTCAGTTACATGTGTCATGGCGCGTCTGCAGATAACGTGCAGCCGATGCCAGCCGGGTGCATACTTGCATTCATTGGGTTTGCTTTGGGAAAACGTCGAATTTTTTTTTCGGTTAGGGTTAAAATCACAGCAATAGCCGCCTCTTGAAGTCGTTGTTATTTTTTTGTTAGATTTCTTTTCTTCTCAACTGCGTTTTTTAATCTCGCTTTTATTTTCTTCCTCTTATATTCGCTTACGATGACTAAAGACATGGAGCACCACCTGGACTTGGAGCAACACCAGGACATAGACAGCATCTTGCCCACTGCTGACAAAGTGATGGAAAAACCCTCTTTTGCACCAGCGGACATCCGTCGCTACTTTGCCACAAGATTCTCAGAGTTGATTCCAACGAAAGAGTACATGAATGCAAACAGAGACCTCTTGAACCCATTGCCTGGTTTGAAGGAAATCACCTGGAAACAATGGAAGTTCATTCTCTGTGCGTTCATGGGATGGACTTGGGACGCATTTGACTTTTTCACCATCTCTCTTAACGTTCATGTTTTATCTGAGCAGTTGCACAAATCCACAACTGACATCACTTGGGCAATCACTTTGGTTCTTATGTTGAGATCTGTTGGTGCGTTTTTGTTTGGTTACTTGGGTGACCGGTACGGTACCAAGTGGCCCTTTGTCGTTAACTTGGCATTGATGATGTGTGTTCAAATTGGATGTTCCTTCATCTCCACCTTTAAGCAGTTTTTGGGTGTCAGAGCAATTTTTGGTGTCATCATGGGAGGTATCTACGGTAACGCTGCTGCTCTTGCCTTAGACGATTGTCCTCCACGTGCAAAAGGTTTTATTTCTGGTTTCCTTCAACAGGGTTACGCCTTTGGTTATTTATTGGCTGTTATTTTCACTAGAGCTTTGGCTGACACTCAACGCCATAAGTGGAAAGCCATGTACTGGTTTGCTGCTTGTGTTTCCTTTTTAATCACTGTTGCTAGAGCCTTGTTGCCTGAGACTAATGCTTTCAAGCAAAAGAAATTGAAGATTATTTTGGAGAGAGAATCTGGCATCGTCCCAGACAGTTTCTGGAAGAAGGCTGGAAAAGCTCTCAAGATTTACTGGCTTATGATGATTTACATGATCTGCTTGATGGCAGGTTTCAACTTTATGTCGCATGGCTCCCAGGATTTGTATCCTACTTTCTTGACCCAACAATTGGAGTTTTCAAGCGACAAATCTACAGTTACAAACTGTGTTGCCAACATTGGTGCCATTATTGGAGGTCTTATCGTGGGTCACTTTTCCAACTTCGTGGGAAGAAGATTGTCTATCATCATCTGTTGTATCGGTGGCGGTGCAATGATTTACCCTTGGGCTTTCGTGAGAAACACTGGTATCAATGCTGCCGTGTTTTTCTTGCAATTTTTCGTTCAAGGTGCCTTTGGTGTTATTCCAGCTCACTTGTCGGAGTTAGCTCACCCTGAATTCAAATCTTTCATCGTTGGTATGGCTTATCAATTGGGTAATTTGGCATCTTCTGCTTCCTCCACAATCGAATCCCAATTAGGTAAGCACTTCTTGATCAAGAATAAGCACGGTGAAATTATTCACGATGATGGAAAAGTGATGGCCATTTTCGTTGGTGCTGTTTTTGCTTACAACTTGGTCGTGACATTCTTAGGCCCAGAGAACAGAAACATTCACCTGGAAATCGACAACAAGGAGAACTACAATAAGTTTGTCGGAGACTTAAAGGCAAACTCAGAGGTAAAAGAGAATGTCAGCGCTTCTGAAGGCGAAACGCGGTAGGTAGCTATGGAATTTACGGTATAACATGTGAATTATGGGTGTTTTAAAGCGTATGGAATGTAATGTATCAATTTGCTTCAAATAGGCATATCCTGAAGCAAGAACAAAGTAAAAAGTGGATGCTAGACAATGATCTTCAAATAGCCTGTGATTAATACCCTTATCAGCATAAATGCACAATTTTGGAGGGAGGACTATGTAATTCCAAACAAATGACAGAACTTACAATGCAGCAAACATTTTTAGAACACAATGGGACTCAATTTGAACTTATAGACAGCGTTTCTTTTTCTAATTTTCCTTGTACAAACATAGCTTTGTAATATCTACGTTTACACAAAATAATTGCTAGACATTTGATTTCTGTACAACATAAATAAACTACAATTTCTCAGCCGTAATAGGTCTGCCAATTGTGGTGACATCATTGTAGATCAATGTGGTGACAAAGTCAGAGTATTTCTCTCCAGTAGCCTCGGGCTTGAAGTACTCCAAAGCTCTCTTGAACTTGTTACCTGGCTTTGCTGCCTTCACCAACTTCTCGTATTCCTCTGTCAAAAGCTTCGAGACGTAAGACTTGTCGATGAGCTTGCCGGTGTCAGTAGTAGCACCATGAGTAACCCACTGCCAGAGTTGGGTTCTAGATACTTCCGCGGTCGCGGCATCCTCCATCAAGTAGTTGATTGGAACACATCCAACGTTACGCAACCAAGCCTCAATGTATGACAAACCAATGATACAATTGGCTCTGATACCTTGTTCGGTGATTTTTGCACCAGGAACAAATGGACTCAACAAGTCTCTTGCAGTAACTGGCTTGTAGGGTTCTCTTGGAGGAACATTGATTTGGTTAGGGCCTTTCATGTGCTCATTGAAAACCTTCAACACCACTGGAACCAAAGCTGGATGTGCGACCCAGCATGAGTCACAGCCAGCCAAAACCTCACGCAACTTGTCTTTGGCAACATTTTCCAAGGCAGCTCTGTTTCTGGCCTCATCTGTCTTGATAGGGATCTGTGCGGCCATTCCACCTAAAGCGTGAACCTGTCTCTTGTGGCATGTGTGCACCAAGAGTTTAACATAAGATGACATGAATGGAGCTGCCATGGTCACCTGTGATCTGTCTGGCAAAATGAACTCCTTGTGGTTTCTCAATGACTTGATGTAAGAGAAGATGTAGTCCCATCTTCCACAGTTCAAGCCACCAATGTGCGATCTCAATTGATAAATAATCTCGTCCATTTGGAAAGCAGCAGGTAAAGTTTCAATCAAAACAGATCCTCTGATGGTTCCTCTTGGGATTCCAATGTAGTCTTGTGCATGGTTGAAGATATCGTTCCACAACTTGGCCTCTAAGTGATGCTCCATCTTGGGCAAGTAGAAGTAAGGGCCAAAACCCTGTGCAATGGCCTCCTTAGCATTGTTGAAAAAGTACACAGCAAAGTCGAAAATACCACCAGAAACGGGTTCACCGTCAACCAAAACGTGTTTCTCGTCCAAATGCCATCCTCTTGGGCGTACAATCAATGTGGGGATGTACTTTCCTGGTTCAACCTTGAGCCTGTATTCCTTACCATTGGAAGAAAAGGACAAGTTTCTTCTCACAGCGTCGTACAAATTGACTTGGCCATCAACCAAATTGTCCCATGCTGGAGTCAAGGAGTCTTCGAAATCTGCCATGTATGTAGCCACACCAGAGTTCAAGGCATTAATCACCATCTTTCTGTCGGTTGGGCCCGTGATCTCGACTCTACGGTCTCTCAAGCCGGGAGCCAATGGAGGACCAGTCCAAGTGGGGTCTTCTCTGATGTGAGCAGTCTCAGGTAAAAAGTCTGGCAACACACCAGAATCTCTCAATTTTTGTTGCTCTTTTCTGGCAGCCAATAACTTCTTCCTCTGGCCTTGGAAGTTGCGGTGCAACGTGGCGACAAAAGCCAACGTTTCTGGAGTGAAAATGTGCTTGGCATTGGATGGGATCGGACCCAAAATCTGCACCCCGTGGGCTTTCAGGGCAGTGGTTGGAAAAGGAGAAGACATTGTCACAATAAAAATGGAAGGAAATGAAATATGAAAAGTGAGATTCAGAATGAGGGGCCGGGGCCTTTTATACCGATCCGCAAAAAAAGGAACATGTGTACCCCGGATTTCCCGTTCCAGCGGATACTCGGCGGTCGGAGTCAGCGACCTATTGTGCCTGTGAAGATTAACTATGGGGAAGCCTCCGCACTTAGGCGCCTGCGGTACAGGTTTCCATGCAGCATTCCATCGGACCGATAAGCGTGCATATTACCCGAATACGTATCTCTGATTGGCTGCGGACAGACGGATATTGCAACATACCCTGGCGATCGGTGACTTCCGAGCGCCAAGGGCTCTGGTGCCGGAACTACGTGCAGGAAAAAACCACTATCAGTTCGCTATACACTTGGGACAGAATGACTAGACCATTTACTCTTTGGCCCACTTGATACCATTCTTGGCTGGGGTCAAGATGCCGTTCATCGATGGCACGTAGTTGATTCTGTGGTAGGAATTGATGTTTTTTCTCAAAACAAACTGGTAGCACGTGGCACCCGATTGTCTCGAAGTGATAGTGGAGGAGGCCAAAAAGTATTCCCAGATTCTAAACCACTTGATACCGTACTTGTTGATGGCGTTGTCTTTGTTGCCCATCCAGTTTCTGTACCATCTCCACAAGGTAGCGGAGTAGGAAACACCAATGTTGTCGAGCGTGACAATCTCAAAACCTGCGCTTTCCAATGCGCTCACAACGAAAGCCAATGGCGTCGACGCATCAGCGCCAGGGAAGATGTACTTGTTCATGAACAAACCCCACACCAAGTCTTCGTATTGCCAGTTCTTTCTCAATCCAGCGTACTGCAAGAAGAAAATACCATCGTCTTCCAATGCTTCATGCACCTGGGCCAAAAAGGCACCAAATCTTCTAATACCGACGTGTTCGGCCATCTCGAGACATGTGATCTTGTCGTACTTACCATTGGCTTTCTTTGAAGGAGGTGCGTCTCTGTAGTCACAGCACACGATTTCAGATTGTGAGTTGGAAACTCCATACTTGGACAAAAGTTCATTTCCCCATTTGGTTTGGTTTTTACCTAAGGTGATTCCAGTAAACTTCGCGCCAAACTGAGAGGAACCAAAAGTGGCCCAGGTGCCCCAACCACAACCCAAGTCCAAAACGTGATCTGATTCCTTCAATTGGATCTTGGATGCAACAACATTCAACTTGTTATCTTGCAATTCTTCCAACGTTTCCTCTTTGGTAATGTCACTAATACAGCCAGAAGTGTAGATCATGCGAGGGCCCAAGAACCATGTGTAGAAATCGTCACCTCTGTCGTAATGGTCTCTTACTTGCTCCTCATCTTGAGACTTCGAATGCATGATAACTTCAGGAATCATACCGAGCAAAAAGAAACGGAAAAGAGACAAGGTGAAGCGGAAGTTGGCCCAGTCATGTCTGTACTCCATGACGTCCAAACAGTCGCCCTTGAAGGACACTTTTCCATCGAAATACAACTCATGGAAGGTTTCCATTGGGATCTTAGTACCTTGACCACCATTTGAGTCAACATATTTGGCTTTCAACTCTGGGGTGTGGAATTCCAAGTAGTGGGAAATTGGTTTGCCTGGCAACTTAACCTTTTCATTGAGACGAGGTGAATAAGACGACAAAAGTGTCCAGTATGCCATTAAGATGGGAAGAGCAAGAACCAAAAAAAAGAAAAGCCATGTCTTGAATCCAAGACCCAACTTACGCGTGATGAAATATGGAATCAACACCAAGAAACCGAGCATGGCCCAATTGGAAAAGTGCTTAGATCCAGGGCCATCAGCTGGGCAATGGAACGCATTAGTGAATTGTAAGGGGAGTCAGTGGTCACTGATCCCGCACTCGGCCGAAGCACTTAGGCTGCGGATTTAGCCTGGCGGAGTTTTGATAAATTCAACGTTTGTCCAACATAGCTAAGAAGAAAAGAAGGTGGAAAAGGAGGAAAAGCCGGACGTTTCGAGTCTCGGGCAACGAACCATTATGCAGGTCAAGGCTTCTCCGGAATGGTTGTTCAGTTTATGTTACATGACACAATCTACAGGTTAGAGAAGTATTTTTCATATACATCTGACTGACTTTCACTGAACACCCCACTGACTTTGTTTGCGGTCTCAACAGATTCCTCCGACGCCTAATAAAGCCGTGAGCCAGATCTACTAACACGTTACTTTCTTGGTATGCGCGCTTCGCGCTTTGGTGTTCCGAGTTTGTCGTCTATTTACAGTCTTGAATTTTTCATCACCAAAACGCATGAACGAGTTCCATGAAAACGTTCATTTTCCTAAACATCATCAGCTAGCATAGACCTTATCTTGCAGTATAAACCGGATGAGACACACTTCAAACTTTCAACATAGCACCAGATTGGGAATAACCTTGACACTTTGGTCACGTGGGCGCGTCGCGCCGCCCATCCGTTCTCATATCAACATAGTCCCATCGTTTGACATTGCAAATGGGCTTGACGCGTAACCTGGAAGTGGTACTTGTAGACTCCGATTCGGATGCGGAGCTCGGCCGGATTTCCAAGCGGCAAAAAGCAGAGCCACAAGAGGGCACCATCGCGCCGTTTACGAAGGCCTTCATGCGAGACTCAGACACGGACCTGGTGTCCAGCTCGGACCACCAGGCTAACCAAACGGGCGAAAATGCTACGGAGACTGCCTCTCAAGACTTTGATGTACCACTGACGTCGTCGCTGTCGGCGCCAAGTGTTGATTCGTCTGATTTGGACGAAATTGACGAGGATGATGGCAAAAGCGATGCCGATGCCCCACCGCTGTCCATGAAACAAACCATCTACGAAACACGCAAGTTTTTGAAACTGCGAGGAGTTATGGAGTTCCTTGAGACTTTCCTCCCGCCCACGGCGACCAGCGAAAACATCATGGACCTCATTATCAAGTTGGGCTTCGTGCCTCGCAACATCCCCCCAGTAACCGAGGGAGAAAACTTGTTGCAACTTATCAAACTATTGCACTTGGCAATGAAACGTGTTCGCCAGTTGCGTTCGCGTTTAGAAAATTTCTACACGGTTGAACATGTATTGGACAAGCTCCGTACTGCAAAAAAGATCCTAGTTATCACGGGCGCTGGAATTTCCACGAGTCTCGGGATCCCCGACTTCCGTTCTTCCAAGGGCTTCTACTCACGGCTTTCCAACTTGGGTCTTTCAGACCCTCAGGAAGTGTTCGATTTGGACATTTTTCGCACCGACCCATCCATCTTTTATTCCATTGCGTACATGATTCTACCACCAGATAATGTATACGCGCCTCTTCATCGATTCATTAAGCTTCTTCAGGACAAGAACAAACTTTTGCGCAATTACACTCAAAACATCGACAACTTGGAGGCGAATGCAGGCATTCTGCAAGATAAAATGATTCAGTGCCATGGCTCTTTCGCGTTTTCCACTTGCGTCACCTGTGGCTATCAAGTTCCCGGTGAGACATTGTATCCTCTCATGCGCAAGAAGGAGATTCCATACTGTCCTATGTGTGCGAAAAAGAGAAAGAAGCTCATGGATAACGACGACACGTATATTGAAGAGAGCTATGGTGTGATGAAGCCTAACATTACATTTTTCGGAGAAGCTCTCCCGCGTGTTTTCCACGATAATATAAATCGCGATTTGGCCGATTGCGACTTGGTGATCAGCATCGGTACGTCTCTTAAAGTGGCTCCTGTGGCAGATATAGTCGATAAGGTTCGTCCTGAAGTACCACAAATCTTGATCAACAAGGACCCGATTCAGCATTGCAACTTTGATGTTAGTTTACTTGGCTATTGTGACGACGTTGTAAGTTACTTGTGTCATCGGCTAGGATCTGAGTGGGCTATTGACCATGCTGATTACCCAAAATTAGTGGGTCAAGACGGTCAGAATTTGAAACTAGAGCAAGGAGATGATAAAGGAGTGTTTCACATTCATAATCTACAGCGAGAAGCAGAATTGGCTTCAATGCCACCAGCAACGATCGAGGAGCCTGACTTGGTGATTTTGGAGCCCACTCTTAATTAATGTACTTTGGTTTATCTGCTGGCTTCAGTATCGCATCTTGGTATATACGCATCTCATAATATACACTCCCCTCTCTTGCAGGCGCACTAGAAAATTTGACTTATAGAGAATGCTTAATTAAGAGAAGCCATTTGAAAGCATGTTTTTCCGAGCAGTAGGACACACCCGACTGTGTGCCAACCGCTTTGGGTTATCTTCGTTTACTCGACATGTGAGCTTTTCCCATGTGCGAAACAAAGATCTCTTCAACTTTGAATTGAATGTAGAAGAGCACTTGCGAGATGGAAAGAAAAAACAAACGGAGGATAGAGACGATGGAAGTAACGCTTCTATCGCTACAAAGGAAGAATCATCAAAAGTCAGCCCACAGGAGACTTATGTGAAGCCTAAGGATGACAGCCTTCTTGACGACATCTTTGCAGATTTGGTGTTCGAAAACCAGGCTGGATCAAACGAGCTAGATAAGGTATTTCAAGACATCACAGACAATTCAAAATACGACCATTCTTTACCAATAAATTTGGACAAGACAACTGAAGATCACCTTTTTCCTCCACGAGAAAGTCACAAGAGTAAACTGGTGTCGATGCTAGAAGAGCAGAATCTCTTCCAGAATATCTTTGAGACCTATGCACAAAAGGAGTCAGCTGAAGTCAGAGATGACAAATTGGAAAATCAAGTGTTGCGGAATTTGCAAGAATCTTTTAATGCAAGTGGAGCTTCTTCTGCAAATAGCACTAAACGCACTTTTAAATATGACCAACTTGATCAACCAGCGATGAAGGAAATACTTGATTCTATGGCAGCTGCCCTTACTCCTACCCTTGAGGTTTTAGATGGATTCACGAAAAAACTGGAGGTTATCCAATTTGCTACTCGCATATTTGAGAGATATCATCTGTTAAACAACAATATTGATACTTTCTACTTACACAAAAAGAAATCGGAGACAGCGGCCGAATTCAAAGAAAGATGCAATGCATCATGCAAAGAAGTTGAGAAGTACTGTGCAAGCAAGCCGGACGAACCTGTGCTTAACGTTTACACAATGCCTCTCATTTTCAATCGTGTTCTTCGGGTACTCAACACAAAACTTTACGATGGGCAATTGGCGCTCACCCTTTTCCATGCGATCAAAAAGGACATCAACTTGTACACAGTTGTGTGTAACCAGGAGACTTACAACGAGATACTCAAGACTTATTGGGTCTACATGGGAAAGGCCAGCTTATGCGAAGTGGAACTAGTGTTCCTAGAAATGACAAACAACGGTTTTGCAGGAGATTTGGCTACATTCAGCATTATAAAAGAGATTTTGGCGTCTTATCACACAATGAGAATAGGGAAATCGTTATATAATCCTGGTGGAATGCCCATCTGGTCTCAGGAAGACGAGAGGAGAGCAAAAAATTTGGGAGCAAAGCTTCGAAAATTAGGAAACTCGTTGAGGAAACAACGATTCGGCGCATAATATCATGTACATAGTGGGAAACCCATAAGGTGCCTTGGAATAAACTATTTTATCCGACTAAAAATCTCTTGTAGTTAGCTCTACCGATCTGTCGTTGCTAAGTATATTGATACCTACAACATCATACACTTTTAGACATTAAAGTCTGTTGATTAACTCACGGGGTTCGTCTGTGTCTGGTAAGAGAGCGTTTTCGTGCACCTGCTCTTCTTTAGTTACGGGTCTAAAGAACCTAGATTTGGCGCGCTAATAATTCGTAGTTGTTCTCAAGTCATGACGGTGAAGGTATATGCATCGCCTATGGAAAATGCTCATACCGTTATAGACTTGTACAGCTGGAACCAAGCTTTATATTTTGAAACATACGAAAAAGAGAACACATGAGACTTTCTTTTGCTAGCCAAAAACAAGAAAGATCCTTCCTCTTTGGAATTGATGATAGATGCACTACCACATTCCCACTTTCGTTTCCATTATCCACACTTCTGAGAGCAACAATTATTCTGGTTTCCATGTCAGCGTATTCAGATAATTATTTGCTGCTTTCGGGATCTGGGTCTGGAACCCAGTCACCACGAATTCCTAGCATAAATATCAAAAACGAGCCGGGCTCGCCTGTTAATAATGAACTTCTCAGTCGGTCGCTAGACATCAAGAAACAATTGTCCCAGTCTTTCCAAGGAACTAGTTCGGGCGGGATTTCTAAACCACAGTCTAGGCGCAATTCGGCGTTCCACGTGATGTCAGACCAAGATGACGAAGATGATGGTCAGGGCCACGAGAGAAAACGACGTGATCACATTAATGACCGTATCCAAGAATTGTTGACCTTGATACCTCCAGACTATTTCCAAGATTCATCAAAAGACCAAGGCACCGCAGAAGAGCTTGCTGCACGTAATACAGGTACAAAAGATGGGAAACCAAACAAGGGCCAGATTTTGAGCAAATCCGTCGAGTACATCAAGGACTTGCAGAATCTCATTGATGAGAACAATAGAATGGAGGTGCAGCTACTAGTCAAGTTGCGCAAATTGGAGATGTACGAACAAGGGAAAGTGAATGTTCCCGTCTCTGTCGGTACCACGAGCGCAGAATTGGCATTGGGAGAAATAGGTGTGGGTCCCCACTCGGAGGAATATTTTCGTAAGGTGTTGAAAGACGCCACGGGTTTGGATCGTGACGTTTGATGCGACAAAAGACATTTACAATATCAAAGTTTGTGTTGTTCATATCCGTATCTAATTATCAATGTTTGGCACGTCCCGTGCGTTCCCTTTCATCGGCTTTTTCTTCAAGCATGTAAGCTGGCAAGTACGAGTCACCAACCTTCAAAAAATCATTTTTTTGTGTTGTATCGATACCTCCTAACGATGTGTATCCTTCATCGTAAAGCGAACAGTACAGCAAGTTACACCCGAGAATAAAGTACCAAATGTCTGTGTAGTTCCAATGCAACACCGGGTGGATTCGTATAAATTCGGGCCAGCTGTGATCAGTGGCTTGTTCGTACTTTAGTTGAGATCCATACGGGTCGGAGTATCGTATCCCAACAATAATAACTTTGATATTGGAGTTCACTTCATCTAAATAATACTGAAAGCCGTCCTTTAAGGACGACTTAATCGTGATCTGGTTCAAATGGTACTCGTGGGTGGATTCGTGTATGAAATCGGTTAACTCGGGAAATGGAACCTCGGAATTTATGTAAATAGAATCAAGTTTAAAGTCCTTAGGTAGCAAGTTCAATGAAGGATTCGAATAGACGTCCGAGGAGTATTTCTTGTGAATGGTGGCTAAGAGTAAAAGAAGCATCACAAGGCAGTCTTTACCCCCATTATATGAGATCGCAATCTCCTTAATGCTGTCAGTTAGTAATCCGTAATTATCCTCGACGAATAATCAATAGTTTAACATACCTGTGCTTTTCCAAAGACGTTTCTAATACTTGCAAGGATTTAACCACCTTGTCCTTTACAATCTGTCTTCGCTCCGGATGAAATGTATAGGGTGGGTTTCTTGTCTTTGGGGTTAATTCATCATTCAAGAATGCTTGTACAAGATGGTAGGCATCCAGACACTTTTGTAGAAACCTGCATTGCTCCAAATGTGTCGTTTGCGTCATTGTAGTTGACGGTTTCACTTTGGTACAGTATTCTCACTCATATAGTAGTTCAACCAATTTATCGAAATAGCACTTTTTCATTTGTAGAGAACTTATTTTTACGAACCAAAAATTATTTCTGGGGATAATTCCTCTTCATTTATTTCTGAATGATTGCTTGAATCCATTGACATGTTCTAAAATGTTATTCGTTGTACATTCTTCTTTCCTTCTTTACTGTCCTCCTGCATTGGAATGGGTGCTCACGTAATACTGTTACACATCCGAGTATCGGTTAGTCATACAAAAGGTAATAGAAGAGCGATCTAATCTCATATTTAAGACCAGTTCTTCCTTATTGCGATAGTCCTCAATGTCCGGATTTTCTCTGAAGTAACTACATGTGTAAAACTTAGTGACGATTTTGTCTCTTGAAACCATAAATGAAAACCTAAATCATATGTATCAACCCTTGAGCTTGAAGATTTGTGCGACGGTATCGTGGATACTCTCCTCGACGGTCTTCAACTTGAAGCCCAAAACGCTCTTTGTCCAAGAGTTGTCCAAAGTGAGGAAATTCTTGATAGCTTCTTTATCTTCTCCTGGGTTTCCAGCAGGAATAGCCTTGGTTTTGTCTGGAAAATCTTTGTGCAAGACATCCAAAATGGTCTGTTGTGTGAAAGGTCCGGCACTAAGCAACAATCTTTTACCCTTTGCTTCGTTCTTTTCAAAGGCCACAATGTGAGCATCTGCGACGTCACGGACATCGACTGCAAAGGCATTTACTTTAGGGATTTCTGCGTCGCTTCCCTTGGCTTTCAACACACCGTTGATTACTTCAGCAGAGGTGTTTAAGCTATCTGTCACTAGCGCATCAAACGCTTGTGGGCCGAAAACATACACTGGGTTGACAGTAGACAAGACAAAGTTTGGTTTCTCTTGTTCCACAAAGTCCCAAGCAGCCTTTTCAGCAAACTTTTTAGATCCACAATAACCAACAAGAGCATTTTCTAAAGAACCTTCCCATGTCAATGGGTTCCAGGTTTCTTCATTTTCAACAACTGATGATCCAGCCTGGCTAGGATCCAAGGTTGACATGATTGCCGCATATGAGGAGGTCACAACAACTCTCTTGATCTGAGGGCCAAACTTTTTCACTGCAGACAATGCATTTCTAGTTCCGTTCACAGCAGGTTCTAAAAGGTCCTTCTTAACGTCAGTGACATTGAAGTGGAATGGTGAAGCAGTATGGAGAAAAACTGTGGCTTCTGGATGTTTCTTCACAAAATCATCAAATGCACCGGGTTCAACAATGTCCTTGACAATTTCGTAGGAAAACTTGTCGCTCCCCAACAATTTCTTGAGGTTTTCACCCTTTTCGGTCGATCTGACGGATCCCACCACGGAGTATCCTTTCTCCAATAAGTGTTTGACGGTGTGCAACGCTATGAAACCAGAGGCTCCGGAAACTAAAACAGTTTGAGTCATTATCGAGAAATAATTGATTGGGTACTTTGTAATTGAAAAAGAAAACCAGGCGGGAAAAAGTCTAATTTATATCATTTTTTTTGGGTTGCTCTCGTGTTCTCTCGTGTTCCTCACCACATTCTAGAAAGCGGATTTAAATGTCCCTTCTCCGTAGTTTATGCAGTCATTCCCCATCGGGTTTAAAACCGACAAAGGACCTCTATATAAAATAACGCCATTTTACGCGGCATCTGTTGTGGCATCTTATCTCCTCCTCCTAATCATCCGATATCAGTGTATTTAATCACCAGTTTCCTTGAGCTGATTGATTTTTAAGTACTATCAGTGGATCTCACTTCAAAAAATAATATCTGCGAAACAATGTCCGACGTCTCAGGCCACTTTAACTTTGTCACCAAAACAAAAATCAAGATTGCGATTGTCTACTATTCGCTGTTCGGCACTACAAAGTCAGTTGCCGAGAGCGTTCTCGAAGGAGTTAACTCTGTCGAAGGTGTCGAAGCGGACTTATTCACGGCTGAGGAGGCCCTGAAAAATGTCCAAGTATTTGAGAATTACGATGGATTCATTTGGGGAACTCCAGCCTATTTTGGATCTTTGGCTTCCGGATTAAAATCATTCTTCGAAAAAACAACTCCCATGTTTATGACTAGAGCGTTTCAAAATAAGATCGCGACTGGCTTCGTAAATGGTGCCTCAATCGCAGGTGATAAACAAGGAGCTTTGATTGACTTATTTACTTTTTCGTCGCAACAAGGTATGCTTTGGGTTCCATTAGGACTCATTCCTGCCAAAGTTCCTGTCAACGAGGAGTATGATCTGTTGAACCATGCAGGATTCTTTAGTGGTGCTGCCACTAGAAGCACTGTTAATGGAGTTGTTGGTCAAACTCCTTCTCCAGGCGACTTGAAAACTGCAAGGTTCTTGGGCCAAAGATTTGCTAATGTGGCTCTACAATATTATAAGTAGGTTTTTCTGTAAATACTCTTTATATTTTCAATTGAATAAACCTTTCCCTTGACACATTCCCTTTAAGGTAATGCTCACTAAATATGACGTCAAATGTGCATACACTTCGTTCAAAGCTGTTAGACGCTAACCAATAGAATTCTCAATGAAGCACTTTGTTTGTATCTTACGAGCATAGCTCCGAAATTTGTCGGGTTCAATGTTCAAGATTCTCGTAGCTCATTCTTCGGACTTAGAATTTGTTGTCCAATGGAGTTAATTCCTCATGCAGTATTATACATTGACCACCGCGGAGATACTTGAATTTCCAAACTCGGAGACAACCGTAATGTGGAAATAAAACAACTGGCCATTAATCTTTTAGCTCTTGAAAAGAACCTGGATGAAGAATTCTTTAGAGTCTTCATCCCAGAACCACCAGTAAGAATTGGACATTTCCTCTGATTCCGGTTTGTCAATTATCTTCAGTGCAGGAAACGCTATTGCTATGTTCTCGTATGGTTCGGCGCTTATGACTAAATACTGCCATTTGGAAGGTTCTATATCATCATCTTGTTCATAATCTTCCTTTTCTCTATGAAGAAAAGATTTTGTCGCATTTTGGTTCTTTGTCGAAAGCTCGTAATAAGACATGAACCGAAAAAATGGCTCTTTTACAGTGATCTGTGGAAGCTGGACTTGGACAAGTAATCCCATTTGTAACGAGTTGGGGTCTCTTATTTTCGTGACTTTGGGCGAGGGCCGACCAATCTTCTGCCAATGTCTTTTCTCGACAGAGGTGATAGACACACCATTGGATTCTCCGCCGAGCTTGTTGCGGTTGTTCTTCTCATCCAAAACCCGCCGCCTCTCAAGGTTCATAGAATGTTTTCTTCCGCTTAAGTGCGAAATGTATGATGCTTCATTCGTATGTGTTGTCAAACAAAGACGACATTCTAGAAGACCTAAGTGGTTTCGAAACACATATGGGTCATTATCGAGATCAAGAACTTGACTGGTGAGAAGTTCTTTTATTCTCTGTTTAGTATGGATATTAGCTTCATGCTTATCTGCAAGTGCGCCTGCTCCCTTTTTGGAGTTGACCCTATCTGAGTAGTCCATGGAATAAGATGGTGATGATGAACAGTGCCATCTCTATTGACATCCGTACACCTCGCCTCATCCGTTACTGATGAAGGGCGTAATGATAGTGATCTTAAAAATCCTTTAGTGAGACAGACATTAATGCTAGAACTCTCTTCTTCTACATGATCAACACGTTTCCCTTTGTTTGTTGAAGAAAAAAAAAAAAAAAAAAAAAAAGATAAAGATGGAAGAAAAATGAACTCGCATTACTCACGCTTCGGAAGCGAGATTGGAGTAATAAATGTTGGTATGAAAATAGATTCTCTTTGAAAATTGGGCCATAATGTAGGACCGAATATGATAAAATGTGCATTTGACAAATCCACGCTCCAAGTTGTTCCCGTTTAGTGTATAAATTAGTAAGTAGTAAGACGGAGTTTTGAGGACGGGTCTGCATCTGAAGCTATTTGTCCCAATTGGGAAAAGTGCGCTTCCTGTTTGCTCGCATTAATCCATTTGTTGGTATTGTCCATCTGGCTAAGATATCCTTCCCTTTCTAGCAATACCATTCTGCAGTTCACCGTTTCCATCATGGACTCTCCACAAGATGTTGGAGATACTACTGCGAATTCCATTTCCAACCAGCTAAGCACCACTCACTTGCATCGACCAACAGAAACACCAGTAAGGGCGACCACCAAGAATAATACGCCAACAGTACTGAAAGCTGGTACTGCTGTTGCATCTGCAGTTTCTGCTGCTGTGTATTCTGGACAGAAATTCATGCAAATATCTGTCTCTTTGGAGACGGGGCCGGACAAGCCCATTCTTGTGTTGCGGCGCGTCCAAGACTCGTACGTCAACGTTTCCCAAATGTTGGAGATACTTGTGTTGACCGGACATTTCCTGAAAGACCAGGTGAGTGGTTTTTTGCGCAATGAAATACTCCATAGTACCCAATACTTACCTCGTGGAAACCCGACCCATTTGGCATCGTTCAATGATTTCCGAACACACGCGGTCGAACAAATACGTGGATTATGGATTCCTTACGATAAAGCGGTACTGATTGCAGTGAGATTCGATCTTTATGAGCTTGTTAAGAAGCTTTTTTTGGTTGACGTTCATGACTTCCACAAATTGCATAAACCTGAGCTGGTTCAACTGGCTGCCCAGAAACGACCAAACGAAGAAGACCTCGGAGAAGTCGAAGGATCACCCTCTAAAAAGAGAAAGGCTCTCACTGAGCTGCTGGATCTGCTTACAGTCAGGCTTGCAGCGGAGAATAACTCTAACTACCCGTACTGCTTGGCTCCATTGAGTTTTGAAGAGAACAACATTGCACTTATTTCAGAAGTGAAGCTTAAATTCAGTGAGATTTTCAAGACAGATGGTAAAGATTCTGTTTCGTTCACTATAAAAGACATTGAAGAACAATTCAAGCCATTGTTTTCGAAATGTGAACCTAAGGCAGGCAGTTTCACCTCCATACTAGATGTATCGTTAGATCTGCTGGGGAAAACAGCATTGCACTATGCTTCTACTCTCGCTTCAACTAATCTAGTGGCCAGTTTTATCGAACTCAAGATATGCTCCCCCATCCGTGGTGATAACAAAGGTGAATCGCCGCTCATCTCCATGATCCAGGTTACTAATGCCATGGAGAAAGGAAACTTCACAGAGATACTTCGGAATTGGTTGTGGCCTAACTTATGGTTGTTTGACAGCAAGCACAAATCTATCTTTCATGTCTTGACGTCGCTGGCATCCAACAACTACAAAAGTTCGAAGTTCTATCTCGAGAAAATTTTGGAGTGGGCCGTCTCCAATGAGAATAAGGAGAAAAACTTGTTCAACATTAGTACTAAAATGATCAATGCTCAAGAGTCTGAAAATGGCAATACTGCCCTTCACCTAGCTGGTGAGCTAGAGCTCAAGTGGTTTGTCTATTTGTTCCTCGAGTTACGTGCAGACCCGAACTTGCCCAATAATACTGGTGTGAAGGCCTCGGATTTCGATTGCGTTAAAGTAGTAGCAGAAGCCAGAGATAAGTGCAATGCGAACCCGGATTCTCTCTCAGCAATGAAGAATCTCTATGAAACTTTGGGAATCTCTGATGATTCCGAAGAGTACATGATACAACTTGTACGCACTGGCGTGGAATTCTTAAATAAACTGATGCATTTTGCTGAGGTGGGAGAGATGGAAGACGAACAGGAAGAGGAGAAACCTAAAGAACTTTCTCCCACAAGCGAAGTGGTGAGTTCATCTTTACTTTCAAACAAAATTTTTAAGTCTATTCAGGATTTATTATCTTCAACGAATGAAGAGTACGAAAAAGTGATCCATTCTAAAAAGGCAGAAATCAACAACCTAAACAGAGAGTTGCGAGATGCTACAATCATCACAGCCAACAATCGTTTTTTCTCCAAGAAAATTGCAGAACGGATATCGCTGGTAGACACAATGAAACTTCAAATGGCTAACATAACCGATAAGCTTCAAACTTTCAAGAAAAACCAGCTGGAAGAAGGGGATAAAGACGATGTGTTTTCTTCGGATATTGAGGTTTCAACACTTGTCAAATTCGATGCGGATGAGCCTTTTATTATCAAGCCAATCTATGAGAAGTTGATCAAGGGGGAGGCAGTGGAAGCCACACCAGAAATTTTAGAGGCTCTTCCGTCTTCTGGTATACTTTCGGCGCGTTTGAAGGCTTATAATGAAGTCAATTCCAGTCTTCAGCAGGAGTTAAATAACTTGCTTGATTACAATGCGTTGACCGCAAAGTTCAAGAAAGTGGTAAGCTTTTGCACAGGCGTTGGTATTAACGAGGTGGACGAGCTCTTAGATGGATTATTAGAAGCAGTTGAGGGGCAACAATAGCGAGGGTGCCGAAGAATGTTAGTGAAAAAATAGAGAGTTAGTAGCGAACACGACAAAATTCTAGACATAGTTGAAGAGACACGTCGATAGAGTGTAGCCTTGATTAGGGCTGATTATATAAGACGGAGATACTCACGAAAAATACCTGTCCAAGAGACGGTGATCCGGATCTGTTCTTAGTTGCAAAGTATGTATTATGTGATACTAAATGTAGAAGACGGTAAAGATGCTATAGGTACATGAAGTGAATGGCGGACTCAAACAAAACCTTCATATGAGCCAAAGGAATGTAGCAATGACGGGTCTACCTTGACAAGTTTCTTGAAGTCGTCACACACAAGATAATCTGTTTGTGGGTCCTTCCCCAACATCAGAAACAACTTTTGCGCTCGTAATTGGGGAGTCTGTTCGTCCGGTGCTAGTTTCACCATAGGCTCCACCATTTTATATATGGCAGAGACAACAGCTAGAACATCATCATAATACACCTTGCCGTCTCTATCAAAGTCGTACAAGCGAAATGTGAAATCGAGTTTTTGATTCGTGTCACCTCGTGCCGTCTGTGAAAGAACAATAATAAATTCCTTGAAGTCAATGTACTTGGAGTTGTCGGTATCGAAGCAACGAAAAAGATAGTGACAATAGTCGGAAGGATCGCCAAATGGAAAAAACTGTTTGAACACTTTGGCAAACTCCTCTTCTGAAAGCTGGCCAGAAGGACAATCACGTAGAAAGCCTTTGTACCATTGCTGAAGCTCTCTCTTGTCGAAAACCGTGCGGTCACGAAGTTGCTTTATCTCATCCTTGGATAATTTAGACACGGCTTTACCCATTCTCAGAGAGGTCAGCCCTTATAGTTGATGTTTTATTACTTTTTGCTGGATATCGAAGTTTGGCCTTAGATCTTGTGGAGTTTTGGTTGCGCGCGCACGACTGCAATCACTATTTCTTGCGACACTAATTTCTATCCCAAGAACAAAGTGCATCAATGTGGAAAAACTCAGTCAGACGTTTGGGCGGGTCACCTAGAGTATGGCTTAACTATGGTAAGCCACAGAATCCAGAATATAACGAGTTGGCTTCGAGGATTGAACCAGTCCGCAGAACAGGCGAAACATTAGAAATTAAGCGGGCTCGCTTGACGTACCAATCCCGGAAGAGGGGGATTTTGGAAAGTGACTTGTTGTTGTCTAGATTTGCCAAGAAGCATTTACACACTTTCAACATGGAACAACTAGATGAGTATGACAGTCTTTTGGATGAGGCTGACTGGGATATTTATTATTGGGCCACTGGCAACTACGATGTGACTCCAATTCCAGAGAAGTGGAAAAATTCGGAAGTTATGAAGAAGTTGCAGGAAGATACCCAGAACAACTCGGGCGAAATCTTGCGCATGCCTGACTTACATTAAACTTGTACATATTTTTAAGATTTTTTCATGGATGAGATTAGTAACGCTCTTTTTGCTCTGACATTACATGTGAAACCCCATTTAAGAGCTTGGACTGCCTAGAGATTAATCAGATGGATAGCGAATATGCTTATAGTTTGCGTCTAGTTGCTAGGCTGAAACTTGTCAACTTGCACTGAAACATGTGTGGATATCCGCATTGCAACACTACAGCTCGTTTAGATAATCGTTCAAGGTTGTAACATATAATCAAGGTCAGGAATGTCATCAAATGAGTAGGTTCAATCTGTATTTTGCTTTCATTTTTTTCTCTACTTTTCTTTTTCTTTCCTCTTGTGCTCTTCTTTCGGCCTCCTTTATCTTCACCTACTCCATAGGTGATCTTTATCCAGTCTTATCGCACCGCACAAGCAACTACAATGGAACTTGAAATCCCCGAATCCCTCAAAAAAGACAGAGACGTCCACCCATATTTGGCTAGAGCTCGAGAATTACACACAGCACAGCCTGTCGTCAGCTACTTTTGCAAGATTTATGTTCTCGAACACATTCTTTCCAAACAACTCCATGTCGGAAATCCAGAAGTCGAGGCTTTCACTGTGGCACTTTTGGACGACACCGAAGCTATCAAGAATAGCCACGAGGACGAGAATGTCCGTGCTGTCCTTGAAAGCAGACAGTTGTCTGTGAATGTTGTTTTCGCCTTTGCCTTCCGCCTTTTCCATAGTTGTCTCGAAGAAATCTCTCATTATGAGGCGTCTCGCAAAATCCTGTTGGCCTCAAAGCTCCGTGCTGCCATCAATTTTTTTAATGTGCTCCAGGTCTTCACAGGCGACCAGGACACAGAAATAGACTTCGAGAAAACTACTGGAGGAAAGTGCACTTCTAAAGAAGAGTTCATAGCCTTTGTGCGGGATAAACTCAAAACGCTTAAATACCAATTGAGCCGGCTTATCAAAGATGAGATTCCAGTGGTGGGTGAAGAAGAGGAATTGCGCCAATTAGAGTTAGATGCCCAAGATGAAGAGAACGAGAATGAGCAAGAGTCAAAGTCGCCACAAACATCTGCACCAGATGTTCCAGAAGACAGTGCACTGTTGAGCTTACCCGGTGTTCCTAGGTTTGATCCATCAGAGGAGGACGATGATTTAAAACTTCCAGGAGCACCACACTTTTTGCCTGATGACGATGTTAGCCATATCAACAAGCAATCGGCAATCCACATGATCCCACCTCAAGACCTGAAGGAGAGCGGGAGTGACAGACCAAAGTCAATACCAGCGAAAAGCTCTGAGAGTATCTCGAAGACAGCAAAATCTTCAAAAGTTGCGACAAAGCTCACCAAAGAAGATATCACCTCCATTATTGACAGCACCGAACACATTAGTCAGATCCAGAAACATGCGAAGTTTGCCATTTCAGCGTTAAATTATGAGGATCTCGACACAGCCGAAGAAGAGTTGAAAAAGGGACTCGAGCTTTTGGCACTTGTACGGCAGTCTACTTAAATTTATAATCGAAACGGCGAAATTTTTTTTTTATTTCGTTTCTTCGTGTCGTATACTTCTCACGCTATCACAACGAGGATTATGTGCGCATTAAAATACGTTACAACTCTATTTTTTTGTGTAATAGATATTTGTACTAATTAATCATGAGCCTAACTCCAGCAAAAGTACCAACTGTCAACGCATGGTCAAACCGACTAGTTCTTCCTAAAGGAACAGAAACTAAATGTAAAAAAGAGTATATCATCTTACCCGGTGTGTCGAACGAAGAGCGTACTTCAGGATCGTGTGAAAGCAGAGATCTGTCTCAAAGATCCTCTGAGTTTCCAAAAAATGGGCAGAAGAAGATGAGATTCGAAACAATGTCGCCTATATACCTCTCGTATGCTTCGCCAAGATACTGTTCTTCGCTGAGTCCGTCCCTAAATTCTACCTCTGAAGAGGAAATATTGCATCCGACACCTGTTTGTGTGCCCCAGTTTTTAGTTGATCCAATACGCTTTGCCCAAACAGAGTGGACACAAGCAAAAGAGAATGGGCTCGTCCTTGAACAACTCGCATACTACTTTAGCCCTGCCAATTTATCGAGAGATACCCACCTCTGTTCATTGTTTGATGACGACGGATATGTGATGCTCCGTGATCTCCTCAAACTCAAACGTCTAGCAAACTTGCTCGGCCGGGATTTGGATCGCCTATTCCGCATAGTGCATTACTGTCCTTTCTTGGAACTAACACCCGGCGACAATGCTAACAAAGCGGGAGTTAGGGTCCATGATTGGCACAAATGGGTTCCTAGTTAGCGTCGAGGACTAGCCGTATCTCTCAAGTAACTTGTTCTTTTTATTCTCGCCCGCCTTTCGCTTCTTCTCCTCATTCTCTCTGTTGCGAAGCATCATCAATGTCGGACTTGCCTCGACATTCAAAGACAAATCCACTGGTACATCTGCGTCCACCTTGGCGTAAGGATCATGCATATTTGCTATTTGAGCCTGAAAAATCTCTTTTTCCTTCTTTTTCTGGTATTCTTGGTTCTTTTCCCAGGCAAACTGTTGCATCTGCTTCAACTCCTTAACATCTTTACTTTCCTTCACAAAGTCTGAATCATCATTGACCAACGACTTAGTTGAGTCTTTTCCCAAGCGTATCTTTCCTCCAACATTAGCATTGATGGCTAAAATGTATGCGGGCACATCTCTTCGATCCCGTATGGCCTTCTCCATCGGATCTTCCTTCAGTGAATTTTGAATTTGTTTGCGGTCAAGCCCAAGTTCTTCTAGCTCGAGCTCATAATCTGTATCATCGCTGTCTTGTTCTGTAAGGGAATGTTGGCTCTTTTTGATTTTATCCCATTTCTCAAAGATCTCATCCCACTCTTCATGCGAATGGCCGTGCCAGCGGTCTCTTTTCGCATCATAATCCCCATCTGCTCTGACTAGGTGACCATCGACAGATTCGAAATTGTCTTTAATACCTGAACCAGCTTGCGGATCGCTGTGATCAAGTTTTTCACCCGGTTTTTTGCGATGATGATAAAGCGCGTCATCAGCAGATGCCAACGCATCGTTCTTATAGTACCATGGTATATTCTGGATGTATTTCGGTAGGTATTGGTTGTTTTCCGCCATTAGATGTACATTCACAACGAGTGTGTTTCGCACTCTTGTGCGGCTGCAACGCAATGCGAAGCATCAATGTGCTACACTACTGTCCGTTATCTGTTCTTTAGGTTATCTATTTATTCTATGATACAATGCACATCCGTCTCTTAAAAGCCGGTCCACTCATCTTCAGATTCCTCTGTCTTGTCTTCCAAAACTCCCCATTTCTTTAATCTTTCATCTTCGGTAACCTCTTCCTTGCATTTGGCTCTCATGGCCTTATTTTTAGCAGATTTTTCCAACTCTTGGAAAGGCTCAACCAAGGTTGCAAGAGGGGTTTTGGCACAAATAGCAGCCTTTTTTGCTTCAATCTCTTCTTCGGATAACTCTGCTTTTTCAGGCTTCTCTTCCTTATTCTCATCCTCGTTTGACGAATCTTCTTCCTTCTCATCATCACTGGAGCTACCCTCTTCTTCATCCTCAACATCATCTTCTTGACTGTAGTCTCTGAAATCTTTGAAAATCACGTACTCTATTTCGTCGAGGTAAATATCACACACATGATATGCCAAAGATTGAGGAAATTTGGTGTCGTTCTTCAATGGGTATTGCTTCAAAATGTCCAAGAAGTCGGCTGTTTCTTTCTTAGGAAACCCTTGTGCTTCTAAGCGGAAGAGCTGGTGTCTCAATACTCTTCTGACTAACATGTAAAATTTGTCAATTCTCCACTTGTCTATGGAATACCATTCCTTGGCCATCACCTCCCAGAAAGCCTGGTGAAATAATTTGAGCTTGTTATCTGGTACCACCTTTGAGAATAGTTCTCCCAAGTGGCCAGCCAAGTTCTGTTGTGGAATCGGCTTGTCACAATACCACATGGAAAAGTAAAGACCTCTCCACAACTTCTCCAACTCGAGGAGATCGAGTTTCGCTGATGACTTGGACTTCAAATAGTTGCATAACGCTTTGAATGCCGCATTTCTCACCGAAGCGTCATTGTGAGCCAATTTCCTGACAAATGTGTTTGTTTCCGAAGGCATTGGGAAACTTTAGATATGAGGCGATGACGATGAGCTCGCAAAAAATGTTCCTCTACTGCCATGTGCACTCCAATATGTCAACACTGCTTGTACGAAACTAGCAGATGGTTATGTCATAATTGGCATGATTATACCCTGGAGTACATTTTGCAAGGATGAAATGCTTGCTAGAGAAATGAGATGAGCTTTTTATCAAGTTATCCACGGTATATACGCTGAATAGGTTTTATTCTGACGAACTAGTGGAGCAAATCACACCTTTCTTACACTACAGATATAGTTGTAACTAGGGCAGATCACTATAGGATACTTAAAAGTGTGTTCATTTGTTATTAAGAAGGAAACGAAATCTTTAGGCATTTCATCAGGTATTTGGCCCGATCAAATAGCTTCGGCACATCAAGCAGCTTAAACGATCAAAGATCTGAGTGGAATGTGCACCAACTTGACAACGTATCCAACGACACCCATCATGACAAAGCCAACACCGACAGCTCTGATGATTCTCATGTATTCTACACTTGTTAGTAAGTTATTCATCTTGTGCGAGAAAGACAGCACACATACCGGTTTTGTTTGGCTTTTGGCATTTTCTGACAAATGCAGAACCATCTTTGAAGAATTCAACAGGAACCTCAGTTATCTTTTCCAAACCTTCTGCCATTTTGTTTATTGAACTGAGTGATTGAGGACTGGAACCGACGAAAAAGTGGAGAGGTGTCCACTACGCGCGAATCTTGTGGTACCCGCACGACAAGATAGCGCACACTGACAAAAGGTGCCAGCTTTCATACATTACTGTAGTAACCGTCATTTATTATACGTAAACCCCTACGACATGAGACCCAAAAAACCATCTTCCTCTTCCTCTGATTGCTCCATAATAGTTTTTTTCTCATTGGCATTCTGCAAAAAGCGCGCCTCTTGGCTCAAAGCCCACATATCTAGTTTACTGCGCATTCCTTCGTTCAAAGCCCATTTCGAAATAATAGCTCTGATCTGTCCCAAATCGCCATTCGATCCTTTGGCATCGATTAAGAGCTTCATCGTTCTCTCATAGAGCTGGCTAATTTTCGTGAGTCTGTCGTTGACCATACTGCGATTAAAAGAATTTGGTGAAACATCATGAAGATGATACTGAAGTGCTAGCTCCGATAAGTACTCGTAGCACCGTCTCTCATCAAAGTCTTCTGATAAAAGAGTTAAATATGTTTTGTAAACACGGGCAGAAAATCCGGGCAGACACTCACGATAACCTTTCCAAAGTTCTTCGATCAACTTGTTTCTTTGATTGCGTAAATCCCCAATAAACTTCAAGTATCCCTCATAGTCAAAGTCTGCGGACTTTTGTGCCTCTTCTAGCGTAAGTGCTACTTCATTTGCATCCGTTGGTTTCAATAGGGTTGTTGCTGTCTTCTGAATGAAATGCTGAAGTGCTCTGAATTCCGAAAAACGTGTCTGTATTTCACACCAACGGAAGATCAGGTCCCAAAAATGCTTGGCGTTATCCTTACTCAAGTCAATTCCATAATGCTCTTGAAAACCATTCATATATGCCATGCTGGAAACATACTGTTTGTTAAATATCATAGACACAACAATGGTTTTTAATATGTTCAAATCAGGATAAAGCGGATCGCCAACATCAAGCTTGGAGAAGCCTGCAACCATCTTACCTCTGGAATTGATACCCCAGTTCAGTTCAATGAGTTTTGTCAATTGCTCCACGTTTTTGGAGTAGGCAATGGAGAAAAGCATGGCAGAAAGTACCTGACGATCAAAAACGAAGTGGACATTGCCCAGTGCTATAGCTTGATTTGAGATGAAGTCATTGAAGATTTCAAGCCATCCCCTTTCCGACATGAGTCGAGATTGGCGTGGATTTAATTCGACTTCATACAAGTCGTTCAGTTCAACCTTCCATAAGGCAGGTGAGGCACTAGCGTATACCTGGAACTTGAGGAGCCATAATCTTGACGTCATATACTTGTAATGCGTCCCGTTGGGGTGCTGTTGTTCAAACCTCTGGAACCACTTAGAAGCAAGGTCCAATTTACCATTGTTTAATTCCATAGAGATCAAATTCTCATAATCGTTAGGGGAAAGCTCAAATGCCGTCACCAATCGGCTCCGATGCGCCTTTGAGTACAAATGTGCCCCTTCGGCCTTAGTAAATAGGAGATTAGCGTACACGGTCCTTATTTTCTCCCGCACACTATGGGCATGGACTAATTTGGAGGAAGTCCGTATTCCCAGACTTTCAACCATCTTCGCAGTTCCGGCTCTTGTAATAAGACCAATTTGATAGCTTATTATCTTGCTCAAAATGTGTGTTAGCTCATTATGGGTAAGTGTCTCTGTCCAGTTCGTCTCTCCCTTCCGGCTGGTCCATTTAATCAAGATTCTGAGCAAAGTGTCGTATTTCTTAGTGTCTATGAGGTGCAGTATTTCATTTTTGATCTTGTATGTTTCTGTCTCGGGCGGATTGTGAAAAGATGCAAAATGTGTCAGCGAAAGCTTGGATACGAACGATGCAGATGGAGAAACAACTGTTGCAAGTGTAGCTCTCTTTTGTGTCGGGATAGTCTCATCCACAACTGGCTGTGCAACAGTTATTGTGGCAGCCGCGGTGTTCGAAAGTGAGCGAAATGAGAGCTTTCGCAAAGTCTCAGGTCTGCGTAGGCTAAACATCGGTCTTGGTTTGATGCTTTACTCGTGGAGTAGACTGAAAAAAAATGCCTGGAGACTGTGCGTTTGGTCACGTGCAGATCGTTCTGTTCCTCGATTTTACTTCACTTCTCTGTATCCTGGAAGTGCACAAATCTTTTAAGGCGAAAAACCAAGTCTCTACTATGTATCTCTTATATATATCTGGCGTCCCAAAAATCTCTGTTCCAGCTTGTTCAATTTATGGTACTGCAGCCTTTAAAACTTTGTCAAATATTGTGCGCACTGTAAAGAAGCAAAGTCAAGAAATCACAAAAGAATCTCTTATAGTTTACTACTTAAAAGTCCATACTTTCAGAGCCTCGCTAGAGTTTGGAACCGAAGTTGTTCTTGGGAAAACCGCCGACCAACTGCGCTGCATTATAGTCTGCTATATTCAACAAACCTTGCTCGTGCGTTCCTCCATCCACCATGTATTGAATAGACTCCTTGGTACCCTTTATAGCCCATTGCTCATTTTGATTAATATTAGATCCGAGCTCTTTGCAGTATGTAAGGCCAGATTCTAAATCAGGCACAATCTTACTAACAAAGCCAAGGGATAACGCATCTTGAGCGGAAAAGATCTCACCAGTCAATGCATATTGATACATCAAAGACTTATTATTTACGAGATTCGACATTCTCTGCAATGATCCCATGTCAGCCACTATTCCAATTTTAATTTCACGAATCGAAAGCCTGGCTCCTTCCACCACCACCCTAATACTGCAGGCAGAGACCAAGTCTAATCCCAAGCCGAAGCAAATACCATTGATCAACGCAATCGTAGGTGTCCGCATCCTGGCAGGCATTGTAACTGCATCTTGAAACTCTCTGATATGCTGGTACATGAACTTTTCTCTATCTTTAAATGACCAATCTTCCTTCCCACTCATTAACCCCATGGCAGAAGTCAAATTCAATCCACTGGAAAAGGACTTGGGCACAGCAGACGAAATTAGAATTATTTTTGTTTCTGGATCATTTTCCAACCCAGTAAGAATCTCTTGATACATTTTCCAATCTTCAGTGTCATAGGCGTTCAAAGTCTTTGGGTTATTGTACTGGACATGAATAAACCCAGGATCAATTTCCGCAACAATCCATTTCTCACTTTTACTGAAATTTTCTGCCTTGAAAACCATATTTTAAACCGATGTAATACCTTAGAGAATATCTAATCAGAAGATTCCATCTCATATTTATCACCATTTACCCCACAAATCTGAACCGAGGGTGCACGGATTGCACGTGATCTGATAAGGTATGTATCTATACAGAGTATTTGCCGGTAGGGATCAGATTTTCTTCCTTTGATGCTATCTCGAGACCCTCGATCATCTTTTGCTTTATCATTTTATTGGCCTCATTGACGGATTCTTCTGTGAGACCTTCAATGAGTAAATAAAGTTTAGGAGGCGCCGGCACGTTACGGCCACCAATTTTTGTCGTTATTGGAATTTTCGTGTTTGGGGCATAGTATTGGCCTTTGTTTGTAATCGATGTGGATGTAGCCTCAATGATAGAACCCAAGCTATCTCTATTAACCACATACCAACGCGCCCTCTGTGGTAAGTCATTAATTGTGATTCGAGAGTGGAATTTACATTTGTCAGGTCCCGAGGTCTCTTCTGCTCTGCCCTCGATAATTTTAAATTCTGGTAAATCGATCTTTTCACCGTTAATTTCTGGTGTTCCTTCGGTATTAGTCCATTTAGTCTTTGTGTTTTCATTCTTCAGAATACTTCCAGACTCCGCTTCATACACTTTTCTCTCAAGCGCCATATGTGAGTTCCTGATTTCGTCTAGTTTATTCAAACCTTTTCCTCCAAACCCGAATCTAAATTTCTCTTCCCCGTCCTTGACTCGAGTCAAAAAGCCGTTAGAAATTTCAACCAACCGTTGATCGATTGCATCCTCTGGCATTTTGCTGAGGCGCATTGCCTTCACTAAATCTGTGATAGGTCGTTCTTGTTTTGATGTAACGAATGTGTAAGCAACGCCAGTATTTCCCGCTCTGCCTGTTCTTCCGACGCGATGGACATAGTCTTCCATATGATTGGCTGGATCATAATTCACAACTAAACCAAGACCTTTCACATCTAAACCTCTTGCAGCTATTGAAGTTGCAATAAGTACGTCCACACCCGAATCATTGTCTGAGAAGTTTTTAATAGCATACTTGCGGTCGATTTGCTCTTTCCCACCATGTATAGTCAAGCTGGGTATGTTTTCTGTTAAAAGCTTAACCATTAGCTTGTCAGCTGAATCTTGTTTTTCCACAAAAATCAACTTCTTGGTACTCGGAAACTCCTTCAAAACTTTCAATAGCTTCTCAAACTTCCTTTTTTCTATGGTATCTTCGTTGTCATTCTCAGTTACTTCAAAAAGTTCAACACGTTGAGTGATTTCTTGGGATACAACACTAATACCTCCCACAATCACCTGAATCGGATCATGAAGTATAGCTTTTGCAAGCATTTCCATTTTGCGAGCGAAAGTTGCTGAGAATAAAATACTTTGACGATCGGGTCGTACCTGACTGAAGATTTTGTTTACTTGAGGCTCAAACCCGAAGTCAAACATTCTATCTGCCTCGTCGAGAACAACGTAGGTGACTCTTCGCAAGTTGCAAACACGCCCACCGTTTGCTGCTAAAAGATCTATAAGTCTCCCAGGAGTAGATACTACAACTTGGCAGCCTTTTTTAAGTTCTGCGATTTGAAGTTCGATAGAAGAACCGCCGTAGCAACAGCAAGCAGAAATGCCCAACTTTTTGGTGAATATAGAAAGTTGCTTGAAGATCTGTAGAGCTAACTCTCGAGTAGGGGAAAGAAGAAGCGCAATTGGCCCGTCACCTTTAGATAAGGGTGGTTGTTCTTGCACATGTCTTAACATGGGAAGAACAAACGCCATAGTTTTTCCTGATCCTGTTTTAGCGATGCTGAGGATATCACGTCCTGACATAATGATTGGAAGAGCCTGGCATTGAATTGGGGTTGGCTTTTTGTATTCGAGTTTCTCTTCTATGAGTGACATGATGGTGGAAGAAAACCCTAATTGAGACCACATCCAAATAGGGCGTGGGCAATTGGAACCTTTCACCTTGATCCCCTCCATCTGTAAGCGAAGTTCTTCGACTTCTTCTTCGGTGAGATCGCTTACTGATTGCAGCTCCTGATAAAAGTCCTTGCGAAAAGGCATGTAGTCTACCAGATCGTGATCTACGACGGACAACTCTTTTCCCTTCTGTAAGTTCTTGAGTCTCAAAGAAAGAAGCTTGTCGTCGGAGTCACTTTCAGCCTCCGAGTCCTCTGTATCGGAAGCTTCGTGTTCTGACATAGCCACATCTGACATCAACTCAGGCATCTGTTCGTTTTCTAAATGCTGAACGAACGCATCAAGTGCGTCCTCCGCTTCAACCTCTGCTCGTTCTTCATTTCCCTCCTTAGCATCATTAGCATCTCCAAACTTAATATCTTTTATAAGAGGTTTTTTGAACACTGGCTCTGAAGTGGATTCGTCGTCCGACTCAAAAACTGCCTTTCTTTTCATTAAGTGCGGAATCTTAGTCAGGGTTTTAGGGATTCTTGTAAGCAATCCACTTTTTCTCAACAGCAGCTTACCTTTAGATTGCTCTTTGCCTGGCTCCGTTGTTTGCCTCCTCTGTTTCCACTCTTCGAGCCTCCTTTGCCGTTCTTCAAGTGGGGTATCTTCTTTTTTGGCATCTGTCGTTCCCGAAGAGTTGCCCTCTTGTTGTTCTTGTTTCCTGCGCTTCCATTCTTCAAGTTTTCTCTGTCTATCGAGCTTCTTTTGTTCTTCAGGCGTCGCTGTAGATGACTTTTCTAGTGGAGCAGGCTCACGGTCCTCATTTTGCGAAGAAGATGAAGTCTTCTTACTTCTCCACTTCGCTAGCTGTTCCTGTCGCCTTCTCAATTTCTCCTCCTTGGATAATTCAGACATGTTAGTCGTTGGTAACAACAAGAGCTTTGGGTAGATGCAAACCTTTATAACTGACTATATTTGGAATAATAGTCTTGTCAGATGTGTTGCATCAATGCGCGCGATGCGCGACTCCACATTTGAAGTAGATGCTGGTCTGTATTACGAAGAATTATAATGTATCTAATTAATTGTATAAGCTTCAGAAGGTATTATAAAGCTGTTGTAACCGTTACGGTTTGGGAATTTAAAAGGAGAATAGGTGGCAAACCGTCCAACCATGTAGCAAGACTGCTTGTGTAATCCATGGAGTCTTCATCATTTAAATGAGTACCAATGACCGGTGCGGGCAACGTCGAAAAGATCACCGCAGTTTCGCCTTGGTTTGAATGCATTTTCATCAACTCGTTCAAGATTATATGTTGGCCTTTTGCAGGCAAGTCATTGAAAGTAAGGTCAGCTAGTTCCTTTTTGAGTTGCTTGTACTTCGCTTTGTGATCCGTTGCAGATACATTTGCTGCATCATGCTTCTCTTGGCCTTGGCCATCTGTAGCACCATCTTCTTCTCCTTCTGCTGACGATTCAATCTCGCTCAACTGATCCAGGGGAGTGCCAGGTCCAGTGATGGAAACTATTGGCTTTATATCGAAGCTGGTATCGGCGTCTATTGCTTTCTGAGAAGAATAAGGTGATATGTTGCGAACTTTTCCACTCTTTCTTTGTCCTCTAGGGTTATCTCTGGAGGACACTGGGTGAGTAGGTTCCGCTGGTTCTTCCGCGAATGTTATAGAGGGTTTGGTGTCTTCATCTTCAATTTCTCCATTGTCTGCTCCTTCGTTCTCGTTGTCATCATCATCATCATCCTCGTCATCTGCGTCCCTTACAATAGATTTGGGGATCTTAACTGCCAGAAAATTAGGCCGGAGGTTTGACCGTGAAGACATCACAGAGAGTTGATCAGATGAAAGAGCATGATTACTACTATACTTCACCTTGAGGGCTGGGTGCAAAGGGATTTTGCCTCTTGGTTTTTGGTTAAGGATTGAGACAGCACTTCTCTCTCGTTGAATCAGGGACATCGTAGTTGGGTTGCTTTCTATGCTTTGTGCTGATGTGGTTGATTGGTAAAGGTTGGAGCTATCTCCGAAACTATTGGTTAAATTGGAATTGGACTCACTTTCGGTATCACTGATACTGCTGTTGCTGTCGTCTCCAGAGTCACTGTAATTAAAAAATCCATCTCCGCCTTGCGCTTTCATATTAAGAGAGAACAGGAGACCCTTTTCATGAAGATTAGAAAGTGTATATCTGCGATTATGTTGTAGAGATTTCCCTAAATTAGAGGGGTCTGTGGGGCTCTTTCCAAGAGCACCCAATGTAAATCTCATTGTATTATCCAGCATGGAAATCGGCCTTGGTTTCCCGCAATCACCTTTGCGGAGTGCTCTCTGTTTCTCAATACTTTTGAGTGTTTCCCGCGCTTCTACCAAGTTTGTCCACCATTCCTCTTTTTCCAATATCTTTGACAAATCTTCATACAGCTTTCTATTGGATGAAGTGACACCATATCCTTTTACCAAAAAGTTGTAGGTGGACAAGGAACCCTCCTCGAAGCAGATGATCTTCACTTCGGCTTTAATTCTCAAAGATTCAAGTAAGTCGTTTAATCGCTTCTTTTCTTCATCCTGCTCTGTAACCGTCTCAACGAAGACAATGATTCTCAATTGATAACCACTCGCCTTCCACTCATCAACAGTAGACAAGATGGAACCAAGCTGCAAAATCAAGGTGTAAGTGTCAAAATTCGTAGATAACGCTGATTTTCCATCTTCTAACATACAGACAGACGACATTTGAATAGGATACAAATCAATGTATTTCTTTCCTTCCTTCTCGGGGACAGACTTTTCAGGAAACCATTTCAGGCCCGAAAGAACGGGAAGTTCTAGTTCACGGAAGTTAGCAGCAACTGCAACTGTAGCTTGCATTATAACCAAATCCTCACTATTTGTACCCATTGACTAACTGAAAACTTTCTTCTCCTCCCTGCAATCGTCTGTAGGTTAAATGCTTTGCTCGCCAGGACGGAGGTTCTACTCCATGGCTTTACAAAATCATAAAAGCTCGATCACTGTGATATTGGGTTTTCATCCCGCCCAATCCAGATCCCAAAAACACGTTTCTTACTCCCCAGGGAAGCGTTGGTCCAATTGCAATTTGCACAAATGCTTTAATCTTTGCCATGTCTCTAAGCTTGACCCACGCGTTCTTCTGCTTTTGTACCTCTTTGAATGATTCAACGTTGAATCCTGATGTTGAATTCAGGTGATCGGAATCATCAGCCAAAAGAACAACATGCCCAAGAATGTACAACCCTCCTTTCTTCAAATGGTTGCAGAATCCAATCAAGTTCCATGAAGTCCGAGGATTGTCACAAAGTAATAGGATCTGAGGCCTCCAATACTTGACGCTCATTTGAAGTTTTAGTCTCAATAAATATTTTCTAACTTGGTGGTAGATAAGAAGTTGAGAAATGTCCCCGAATCTCAGTGGCGGCGTGGAGTAGTGAATCATCATAATCAAAAAAACCAAGAAAACGATAATCGAGGTCGCCGAAACACCATCCACTAAATACATTGCAAGGACTGAAACAAGGCCACCCGTGAATGCTGTTTTGGAGCTGAAGTACTTGAATGAGGGTCTAAAGTTTGGAGCTGATCCAAGCCGTAATAAAAAGCATGCAAGATTTGTAACCAAAAATGTCATGAGAAACGCCATTGTGATTAACGTGGCAATTTCGTTGATGTCTGCAAAAAGAAATATCTGTGCAAGAAACCAAGTAAAAATGATGCTATAGATTTCGGCTCTTCTTTTCTCTGCTGGCTTCTTTTTCGCCATAGCAAACAGATTCAACCCTGGTATAATCCTATCGTCAGCAATTGCATTAAGCATGGACGCCGCTCCGACAACACCCATGATCACAGAAAATAAAGAAGTAGAAACCTCTCCGAAAATAATGATGAGTCCATTCAAGTTCACGGTTTGTATAATTTTAATATCCTTATGAAGCAACTCTCTAGGAACTGAAGCACCCAAAGATATAATCACTAAGAAGTAGAGGATAAAACTTGTTAGCAAACCTTTGAGTGTTCCTTGAGGGATAGACCTGGATGGATTCTTAAGTTCACCTGACATAGACGCACCTGCAAAAATTCCTGCTGTTGCTGGGAAGAAAATTCCAAATAAGTTTTTTGAAAGTTTCAGGAACTCCGGGAGGTTGAACGGAGCCTGCGGCACCACTAGTGAAATGGGGCCATAAATTTTCTTTGATCGTAGACCATGCTATTCCAGTATACTCCAAATAATCATAAGGTGGAGGGAGTGGATGATGAGGCCGCACAAAGATTGCAGAAAGCGGAATTGATAAAGTACTTAGAGTTAATACAACAAAAAGCCAAAACGCAGTCTTAGATACGAGGGAAGACCCCACCATAGCGACTGCTGTACATATCGCAAGTAGCACAGTTGAGTAAACAAGTTGCCACATGTACGAATCCGGAAGGATGGCCATAACGTCTCCTTCTGGTTTGCCAAAATTGACTAGAAGTGGTTCTATGAAACCAACCACATTCAAAGAAGCATTCAATATCTGACCTATGAAAAAAATGATTCCTATCGCTCCTCCGAATTCTGGCCCAAGCGATCGCGAGATCATATAGTAGGCACCCCCTCCCTTGACAGTTCCATTTGTGGAGATAGCTGAAACAGAGAGAACGGTTAATGTGTCGATCGTGTAAGACATGACCAAAAGCAAAAGAGCACCCATAATACCCATCTGGCCAACGATAAATCCAAATCTCAAAAACATCAAGATGGAAAGCACGTTGAGCGTTGTGGGTAAGAAGACACCCTCAAAAGTGCCAAGTTTCCTCTTGGTCACTTTTGCTTTGCGTTTGGTGCTGCTGGTGACGACATTTGCCTTTGAAGGAGGTAGTAGAGGCAAAGTTTCAGACATTATATAAGCCGCTGTTTTGTTAAGAGCGTATTATTCTGTCTGGTGGCTCGTTTTGGAAAGAAAAGGCGGGTTGATCTGCCAACAGGATGCAGTTGCTACAAAGATAAGGCGGGTGCAAGAAACTGCGAATTTCTCATGCACGCTTACTTTAGAGAGAAAGAAAAACCAACTAAAGTTCTAGTGAAAGATTTATAGTGTCTTTAGTGAATACGTATCATTATCTTACTCAAAGGTTACTTAGGCATCCATTTTTTCAAATAGAAGGCTAGTTCACGAATTTTCAACTGATCATAGCATTTTTCTTTTCTGCGCAGAGATTCGTAAAAAGTATAAATTCAAAGAAAAGAAGCTTACTTGTAGATTGAAAACACACAAAAATAAATTTTCAGCCTTACCATACAATAAAACTCAAGCGAAGTTGATAACAAGATAGGAGCTTTAGCCTCATCAAATTAGGGGAAACTTGTCAATAACATGAGACTTCCCCTTTCTTTACGATTACGATTACCTGTAACATCATCGGCCTAGACCGATTCGGCCATGCCTTCGCCTTATTTTTCTGTACGATAAGCCACCAAGATGGAAAATGCGAGTGGCAATCATGACGTGATGTGATGTCGCTTAGAAGGCTTAGTTTAGGAACGAGATAACCATGCTCAGTACAAAATCTTTGAACTTCAGATGACAGCACCGCTTCATTGAAGCCACCTCCCACGTATTTGAACTCTAAAGAGGGCTATTACCATATGATATGGGTCTCACGCCATCTACTTTCGAGCCGCACAAAGGCATCACAAGTTGCGAGAAAGTCTAAGTGCATACCAACGACTGATTCATGAGAACTGCATTTATCAGGGGATGATTTTTTGGCCCAACGAAACACAAAACGGCGTCATATACGAAGGTACGATAAACTCGTTCATATATAGTTGCACCTCTTTTCTTGAAAAGACATCGCTACACCATTAATTGCTGCTGCTGAATCTTTTCACATCTATTCTACTAGGAACGAAAAGGCTCACCACTCTCCACAGAAAAAAAAGTCGCACCTAAAAAATTCAAGTCTAACAACTTTTTCTTCTACGCCACCATGTTCAGATTAATCGCTTCTAACTCCCAAGGTGGTCTTAGACCTGCTCTCCTTCGAAAGGTCAGAAGCAATACCAGCACTTTAAAGTTACCTGGAGCTAATGTCGATCTTGATTTGAATCCCATCCAGTTCCGCACGAATGCCACTTCTGCACAAGCTGCCCCCGCCTCATCTGCTACACCTTTAGGGAAAGTCGACAGATACTTCAGCAAAACTCTGGTTGATCCGTTGCTCAAAGATGCTATGTCAAGCACAGGTAGCCTGGCAAAACTTAACCGGTTTGAAGAGTTACTCGTAACTGCTAACCAAGTGAACCCTAAAAACAGCAACCAGCTGCACAAACAGTATTTCGAGACAATCAACTATTTGTTTACCATGTTTCGTGATGATGCAGTCAAGGATAATGTCACGCGGAGAAACATTTTCCAATATGCCAACCTTCTCAACAATTCTGTCTACCAGAACAGAACTTCCCGCTTATCTGGATCTAGAAACAGAGATAGCGACCAGTACCAGAGTAACACATTGAATAATGACGTGATGTTGAAGACTGCTATTTTAGATTTGGCTGAGAATATTGCCAACGGCCAATTCAAAAATATTTTGGATTCCAACACTTTGAGAGTTTTGCTTCTCGCTATGTTTCAGTTCAAGGTGTATCCGGAAATGATAAGCTTGTGGGAGTCAGGTGTTAATGATGAAACAGTCAGCAAAGTCTACTTGAGCCAGAACATTTTGTCTGTTATTTTGCCTGTTGCTTTCGACGAAAACAGATTCACGTATGAACAAATCTTGCAGATTTACGAGTTGAACACCAAAGACGCTTCTAATGTCAACTTTGAGCTTGTGGGAACAATTGGAAAAATCGCTATTAAGGCTGGCGACTACTCGAGGGGCTTAGATTCTTTGGAGAGTCTTTTGCAAATTTACGAACTGAATGGCAAGGCCAACAAGAGAATGATCTTAAGATCCTTGAGCGAATTGCACTTGAGTTTCATCGGTTCCTGCAAGGACATAAGAATTGCTAAGCACTTTTTTGATAAGGTTGTTGATGGTGATTTGCCTTATCAAGTATTGCTCAAGGCTCCACATGTTCAATCATTGTTTGAAAACTGTGTGGAAGTCAACGAATCTTTTGACTCAATTTTGTACTTTTGGAAGGTTACTGTGGAACACTATACTGGAGAGAATAATGATAAGACCAATTTGAACTCGCGTTATGCTATCTTGAACAATTCGTTTTTCTCGATTTTCTTCAAGTTGTTCCCATCATTGACAGAAGAATCCTACATCAAGTTGAAGGAAGTAATTGCTATTTATGCCAACATCAAACCTGTGGATGAGTTTTTCCTTAATACTGTCATCAGTAACTACAGCTGGAATGACAAGGTCGTGTTTGAGCAGTTGGTTGAGAACTATTCTATCCATAATGTTTCTCGGACTCCCGTTTCGTACCGTGTTTGCTTGAAGAAGATTGGTGACATTAAGGAATACAGTGAGAGCGAAATTTTGAATCAATGGAACGAATCTCTTGCTCATTTAGACAGCAATGGTTATAAATATATCCCAATTGCCGATTGGGCTGCTTTACGTGATGCAACAATCTTGTCGTCTCACAGAGCTGAACGGGAGGAGTTTTATTTGAAAGTTTTAGACGCTTACAAGAACTATCATCAAGATGAAAGAGCATGTTTAAGGTTTGTCAAGTATTGGTTGAACCGGGATGACCAGGTTAAAAAAGTTGCAATTGTTTCTCTCCAAGAACACCCAGAGTTTAACTGCTCGCTAGACATCGAAGTTCCACAATTCAAAAATTTGAGGGAGAATGTTAACTATAAAAAGGTGACCGCTCCAATGTTCAAGCAACGTTAATGGAGCCAAACAGCGGTAATACAGGCAAATTTGTTACTCAGAATCTAAATTGAACTTACTAATTATGTATATAAATTTCAAACTTATTATATACCCGGGATAAATGTTGTCTTGTAGATTGCATGGCAAGTTATTGTTCTGCATCTTTTCTGCAGTCGCACTACAATCTATAACGATAACCCACTTACCACATTAAATACAGACTGGCATGGGGTCTTGTTTTTCCAAGCAGGATACTGACGAAGCCCCCGGAGTGTCAGAAAAGTCCAGAAGTAAGGGTGGGACCACTTCAACTAAAAAGAAAGACGGAAATGTACTCGGTGGAGGTGACGGACCAATTCCTGAAACTACAAAGGCTGCCGCTGCCAGGGCAGCCCAACAACGGTTCGACGAACACCAAGAGAAGAAAAAGATTAGTCAGCAAAAATTGAAGGCCATGGAAAAGACTTCTCGCAAAGAAAAAGGATTAGAGTAGCTTAGTGTGTTATTGTCAAGACGTCGAGACGTGATTAATGAACAAGAACTACTGCAAACGATTATCCTGTGAATACACTGGATATTATTTGGTATTTCATAATAGTTAACGTTTATGCATGAAGTATTAATAATACTTCCTACTCTTATAGTGGGCATTTGGCTGACCATCGATTGCGAGTGATTTATTTAGTAACCAGTTAGGATTGATGAACTAGCTAAGGCGTCAATATGGAGATGGTCAATAATGATTAGTACCAAGGACTTGTAAATCAGTAAGCACTCCATGTACTTGTGGTAGCTTATGGTGATAGGCATGCACGTGATCTTATACGCAACGACAAATACTCAACATCAATTTTAAACTCGTTTTCTTGTGCAACTAACATGGAATCGGCCACGAAAATTCCTCTTTCTCACACCTTATGGTCTCCCCATGATACAGTGAAGGATGTGGCAGAACTTTTGGGAATCAACCTTCCGGAGGATGCAGCCAAAAACTTGGCCATGGACGTGGAATACAGGATTCACGAAATCTTGGAGACGGCCATTAAATTCATGCGTCATTCAAAGAGGAAAATGTTGACTACAGGAGACATAAACCACGCATTGAAGGTATTGAATATCGAACCCTTATATGGCTATGATCAATCTCAACCTCTAGTTTTCAAAGAGGCATTATTTGGCGCAAGTGGCCAAACTTTGTACTATATCGATGATAACGAAGTTGAATTTGAAAAGTTGATCAATCAGGAGCTTCCCAAGGTTCCCCGTCAAACTACCTTCACCGCACATTGGCTAGCAATTGAAGGTGTACAACCTATGATCCCCCAAAACCCATTAGCATCTGAAATTAAGAATTTACCTGCTATCGTTAGAGGTGCGACTTCTTCGGTTTTGAATAATGATTTGTTAAACAACAGCTCTACTACATCTACGGTAGCTGGTGAAGATAGCAAGGAACAAGGGCAGAAGAAAAAAGCGGCCGGCGACAAAGATGTGGAAGTCAAACCGTTGGTCAAGCACGTATTATCGAAAGAACTTAAACTCTACTTCGACAAGGTTGTGGAGGTCCTCATATCCACAGATGCAGAAAAGGAGTCTTTGAGAGAAGCAGCCTTGAGCTCTTTGAGAACCGATCCAGGATTACACCAGCTCGTGCCTTACTTCATTCAATTTGTTGCTGAACAAATTACTAACCAGCTCAGAAATATTGATGTTTTGATTACAATGCTTGATGTTATATCCGCACTTTACGACAACAAAACTATTTTCCTTGCACCATACGTGCACGCTTTGATGCCATGTATCCTTACCCTTCTACTTGCCAAGAGGATCGGTCCCCCCATCAAAGAGAACTCGGACGACGCAGCTATCACAAATCTTTTGAAAGGACAATTTGCTGTTAGAGAATTTGCATCTTTGCTCCTTGAACACGTTATCAACTCCTACGGCTCTTCATACTCCACCCTTACTCCACGTGTCACTCGTACATTGCTAAGAGCATTGTTGGACTCCTCCAAGCCAATTGGCACTCATTATGGCGCACTCCTCGGATTGGAAAAATTAGGGTCCGAGGTCATTAAGCTTGTATTGGTGGGTAATCTAAAATTGTGGTATAAACTGGTTATCGAATCAAGCGATAAAAGTGCGGTAGAGAAGAAGCTCTTACAGGAGAAGGTCTTAGAAGCACTTAAGAAATTGAAGGTTGAATTTCAACCCAACTCCGATGATATGGAAATCGACAACAAGGAAGTATCAGAAGAAGTAAAAGAAAAATTGGAAGAGAGAATTGGGGAACCCTTGGCTAGTCTTGTTTTAGAACAGCCTGATGCTAAAGCCATATGCCGTGGAATTTTCTTTGGCGAATTGAATGTGTAATGCTTGTATTAATAGGAACTGTAAATTAGAATTCGATTAAAAATGCAAAATTCCTTGTATATGCTATTGAAAAGACTCTTTTCTGATGCTATCGCTTCCTGTATGTTCTGAGACTTGGTCGGGATGAAAAAGCTAGAAGTTTTTCAAGATCTGAGTCTGACCCTGAATCGTCCTCAAACTCTTCTTCGCCTTCAGATACTTGTTCAGTGTCACCATTCATCGGGCTTTCCACGATAGTATCTTTCACTGTATCTGAGTGCTCCATTGGAATCGTCTTTTCAGAAATTTCCAGAACAAGACTTTCGCCCGAGAAAAGAATACTTTCAGTAGTATTCGAAGCCATTGAAGCATTAGTGCGTTTAGTGGAAGAGCCAAGTTTGTAGGCTTGCTTACGTTTCGGGGGAGGAGAGCCATTTATAGAGCCGGCGAATGGAGAATGCAAAGTTGACAAAGTGTTGGCAGCGAAGGATCCGACTTCCTTGACATGTACGTTTTGGCTTGAGGAGTTTACCAAACTCTTTCTTCTTTCCAGAGGAGGAAAGCAACTATCTCCTCCACGAACGGGAGAAGATGTGATGCAATCAAAGTTCTCCGGAGGTGCAAGTTGTGCAAACATTTCATTGACACTTAGCTTCTGTTTCTGTGGTACAGTAAAGGATTCCTCGTGCATATGATGCGGTGTCTCGGGAACATGAGGAAGCTCTTTGATTCTATTCGTAGAGGGAGTTTCCATGATTTGAGGATAGCTAGAAGCAGATTGGTGTCTTGGCAAAGATTTTCTCGCTGGAGTTGCTTCCACTTGGACCAACGAATGTGGAGTTGGATCTGCTGGAACAGACTTAATCTTTCTTGCATCTCCAAAGAGAAACAGTTTGCTTTTTTTAGCTTCCTCAGCATCTTGCGATTCCGACCTAACGAGAGACATATCAACTTGTCTTCGTTTAAGGTTTTTAGAACCGAGATTTGATTTGGAACGTTTCAACAGGAATGCTGGTTGAAGGTCAGTAGGAACATCCGTAACAGATCTGTGTAAAAATGGAACCTTATTTGCGGAAAGTAATGTTTTAGAGAACTTTGATGTTCGCTTTGATAGCACTTCTGGTTCTTGCATTTCTTGTTGCCCCGCCTTTTTCTCTTTGCTGTGTGATTCACTTCTTGACGACCTGGAGCGTGATTTTGGTACGTGAAGCTTAGGGCGCAGTTCTTTAACTTTTTGAATTATGAAATTCACAATTTCGGGTGTTTGTTTGTTATAATAGGGCACAAGCACATAAGCTAGAAACCCATACATGCTCTCATCCTTTTCTCCCTTTGTACGACCCAATAACGTATCCCAAATACTCATTTGATCAACAAGCGCAATTAAAGACGTATACAATGTAAATTCGTTTACTTCACCTCGAGTTGAAGATTGTGTGTCTGTAGACGAATCCTGTATTCCAACACCAAGAAATGTGGGAATGATCTTCTTATTGCCCTTTTTTCGACGAACTAGAGACGGTTTGCGGATTTTCTTAGCCTTTTTTTCTTGGACTTTTGCGTTGTCGATCAAAAAGGATGTCTCATCTTTACCCCAACAGAGAATGAGTTCCATTAATATCAAAATTTGTAGCTGTGCTTCTCGAGTTTTTAGTTCTAAAACTACTTTCCTGATTATGTCTTCCTTAGTTGACCCTGCAATATGATTTTTCATAAAAAATTCTCGGCTTTGTTGCTCGTAGATTGAAATAGGTGCAGACTCAGATTTCGAACCATCAAGTCCGTAATTGTTGCTATATCGTAACTCAAGCTGCTCTGTTGTCAAGTAGATGGACAATAGCTTTTCTTTTCGTACAGCAGCATCATTGTTGCATAAATTCTTGAATCGCGACAACGCAGTCTTTGGAAAGTAGGATAAAGGTGTCGTGAAAGAATATAATGTGTTAAAGTATCGCGACAAAAGAAAGTTCAAGGGATCTGTATCCTGTGTTGGAGATAGAGTATAATTAGTCTTCTTCAGGGACTGCGGAACGGGCTAATGTGGGAGGCTTCATTGAGAGTTGGGACCAACCTTTTGGGCTAATGAGGCACATCTTGGAACCGTTTGCCATAAGCCCTAATGTTTTTCTCCGTACTATCAGCTATGGGGATAACACTCCTCCTCATTTTCGAAAGCTTGAGATGGAGGATTTGCAGGAGCATCTAGTAGTTGATATGCATCGCATAACAAACCACACCTTAATAAGTATCCAAAACTAGAAAGTCCATTAGTTCCTGTCTGTTTCACATGAAAACTGTTTTCATCCAGGAGATGACGTGTAATCTCTGGTTGAAGAATGACTAACCTCTTGTTAGCAACGGCCGTGGTATTAAGATGATGTATATGTAAACCTGGAATAGGCGCCAAAACTGTAATTTCTAGTGAAGTCGTGTTTGAAGTGCCCAGAGCAAGCAGGAAATGAAACGGAAACTTATTCTCGTCCGTAGAAGAGATACCATTTTCCATACTTATAGATCCTGAGTCGGCATTGAGTGTCTGTCGAGAAGGGTGTTTCGTAGTGAAGCTCACCAGTTTGAGAAAGTGTGCACACACAATTTACAGAACAAATTAGTATTCAACCATGTATAATTATGCTCTATAAGTATATATTTTTTTGAGATCCAAACACAGAGATACTATACTTAGGAAGTACCAATGAAACGACTAACTCACACATCAAGCCAATCATCGTCGGCGATATCAGTGATGGTAGGTCTTTGGTCAATCAGCCTATTCAAAATGTACCGGATTAATCGAAGGGAAAGATCACTAACAACATAAGGCACTCTCATTTCACCTTCCATAATTTCGTCGACGTTATAGAACGGGTTTTCCTTGTAGATCATGGTGTACAAAAGAATTCCAAGTGCCCATATATCTTGTGGTTTGCCCTCATACTTTTCACCTCTTAAAACTTCTGGAGAAGCGTAGTCAATAGTGCCGACAAATACATCAAAGGGACCTTGCTTAGTATAACCAGCACTACCAAAATCAATCAACTTGATCACACCGAACTCATTAACGATTATATTCTCATCTTTGATATCTCGGTGTACTATTCCTTGCTTATGCAAATGGTAAATGGCCAGAACAATCTGCCGGAAAATAAGTTGGCACTCATGTTCAGTCATATCCTTCTTGACTTCAATATAGTCAAACAAATCTATGGCAGGCGGATTGCCGAAAATGGGCGTCTCCAAATAGTAATAATCAGGATCCTCGAAGTAATCAATTATACGCATTATGTTGGGATGCGGATCGTGATTCAATGTTGCCATAATTTGGATTTCCGACGGAATTGTTCCTAGCAGACGATCTCTGACCCATGTATCCACTAGAATTCTCTGTTTATCAATGCACTTAATGATAATTTTGTAAGCAGGGTCGTTATTATGTTCAGCAAGAACCACTTTGCCATACGCACCCTCTCCTAACTTCTTAAGCACTCGAAATTCACTGTATTTTTTTGTTCTTTTCTTTTCTCCAATCACACTTGGCCAATATTTCGATTTGTTCTTCTTTTCTTCTATTTCCGCGTTCTCCATGATTAACATCTCTTGGTCAGTATACTTCTTGTAATATGAATTTCCGCTGCTATCAGTCTTGACCGTAGTGGCATTGCTCGACAGAGTATCCCGTGATTTTGGGGTCGTTTTTCCATCAGAAGTCGTACCTAAAGAGCCATTACTGTGATTATCTCTTTCAAAACTGGACAGATCTTTAATAAAATTCACAGGTATTGAAAAAGTGGTCGCTCTCTTTGGTTTCCTCGTACTATTATGACGACTTATCTCAGGGCTAGAGGAGCCGAGCTCCATAAGTTCTCCCTCGTTCTTGGGGAAGATACATAGCTGAGAGGGCAAATCAACCTTGCTATTTTCATTACTTTTCAAACTGATATTTGGTAGCTGTGTAGGGGAGCTACTGATGGAAAGTGAGGATGTACTTTTCGTCAATTTGTCCAATTGTTTCCCAATGTTCTTGTTTGATTGACGAGAGTAGGTGACCCACAAAACAAAGATTTCCGACAGGATCACTCGAAGTTGAACGTCAACATGTAAGGATTTTCCATCTCTATGACGTCCCTCAATTCCTCTTGAGCTGAAAAACAATTCTTCTGCATTTTGATCATTTTTAAATGCCAAAAGCAATGCATGGTACTTCCGGAAAAAATGTTCAGGCAAAACTAAACCCGGAACAATCTGCTGATTTGGCTGGTCATCCAATCCAGTCTTCAATATGTCAGAAAAATGTGGAAGAATGTTGTTGATACCATATCCGATAACTTTATTGGATGAAACTCCAAAAAGGTTTTTGGCGATAGCCTTATTGCACGAAAGGACGTTAAAAGTAGAAAAATCAACAACAAACATACCGGCAATGTATGGCATAGAATGAATCTTGATCTTTAACTCATATTTCTCATCATCCTTTTCAAGTGGGTATGAAGATAGAGCACAAGGAATAGTATCGCCATTCAACTGAATAGTGTAGTATCTGTTTTTGTTAATGAGGGCGCTGTCAAGAGAGTCACATTCATCTTCATTCTTGTGACTAGTAGCCAGTTTCTCCAAATCTTTTGCTAACGATTCCGAAAAGACATCAAGCTTTGTAATTCCGCTAGCGTCAAGATTGCTGATAAGTTTACCAGCTATTTCATCGACAGACGTGATAACATACAGTGAATTCGGATATGTCTCAACGTCGCACAGAATGACTAGGTCGAATGCGTCGCACGAGATCTGCTCAAACATGAAAATGATGAGATCTCCTCTCTTCTTCGCCCAGAAAGAGGTCCATGCAAATGTTCCATCAGCTTGTCTACTGATGGCGATGATCTCACCCGCAAAGATGATATTCTTATCACCCGGTTGATTTCTTGGAGTTCCAGTCAACAGTCTTGTTAACCGTTCTGTGACAAAATTGCGGAATTGAGGGGCAATAATGTCGATCAACGTCAAATTTTTGATCATGCTTTTCAGAATTCCAAACATTAAACAAGCCAAGTCATTAGCAGCCTTGAAAGTCCAAGGATAGTCTGCCATAACTGTTATAATAGACTGTGGAGAGGTATGTTTACCTGAAGAGATAGAGTGAAATGGTCGATTTCCAAGAGCTGTGGCAGCTTGCGGTTGCTGAATAGAATTTAGCAAGTTCAAGGCTGTACTTGAGGCGTTTGGCAAGGGCAGAAATGGGGGTGAGCCATTTGAAGCCTCCTCACCCCATATGTATGATGATATGTTCGAAGTTTCAACAAAAGGAGTGGCCAATGCAAATAGAAGTTTGTGCTTTAATGTGCTGTGTCTTTTTTGCACGTCTTCGTCGCTTGATGAGAGAGACAAGTCGTGAAGCGTTGATGCAAAATCTGAATTATGAGAGATGACTGACGAGTCACTTTCTAGTAGCTCGATCAAGTCTTTCAAGTCCTCATTTAAAATGGAATCTATGGGTTCGGAATTGTCATTGTTTTCAGAAATATGTGATGAGCTTGTTCGACGTGAGTTAGACGATGTTGCAAAGCTTTCTGAACGAGAAATACTTGGTCGAAACAAGACGCTCAAAGCAGCAGATGAAGCATTCGTTCTCGTTTTAATGTGATCTTTGGACAGCTGAACTTGGTCCCCATCATTGAGCAGCGGTTGCCTCTGGTAAGACTGAGAGGAGTTTCTAACCGCATCGGCGAGCAACGAGTGGTTCGGGTGAGGAGATAATGGCGTTAATTCATCGTCACTGTTGTTCAGGTCCTCGTGGTGATTGAGGGAGTTGAACCACCCTGGACGCTCATTCATAATCTCTAGAGAACGCTTCAAAACGTTAAGTCGAAGAGCCAACGAATTTGGGGACAAGTGGGCATAAGAATAAGCATGGGAGTTTTCGACTGGGAACAACAAGATATCATCAATACTAGGCACATCATTGGACTTTTTCGGCGCTGATGAAGTTCTAAGACTCATGCTCAACGTTTGTGCTCTTTTCGCCAGCACGGCAGCATCCCGTTCGTTGTCTCCATCTAAATGGAAGAGGGCGGATTTGGGAAGGGACATGAACTAAGAGGAGGGAATCACTAGTGTCGATGGACGGCGCTTGATGGAATCAGGGGAGGTGAAGAGTGAAGTTAAAATGAATCTCAAAGTGGAGAGATAATGCAAACAAAAGGCACTGTCTGAGGCTGGTGGAAAGATACTTTGACTCTAGTGCAAGTACAGATTGAGATTATGAGAAGCGGGAGGGTTAAAGGATGCCTGTCTGCAGTCTGAGATGATTCTGAACGATTTCTTCAATTAATTGAAGAAGCAGGCAAATAAGCAGAGCCGTGTTTTGCACGGAGTCTTGGAGATGGGGTTTTATCCTCGAAAGTTTGTGATCAGAAGAGAACAAACCTTTCAGGATGTTTCGGATCTGAGGATTAGGCCGCACGGCTAAAATGCGCCGTTGTTCTCTGCAGTTTCCTTCTTTTCGGGATAAGAGAACGTGCCGAATAATTTTTAAATACTAGAAACTACCCAAGCTAGAGGACGGAGAAGAAAACAGTGAGAATCACTCGTGGAAGGAGTACAGCTAGTAAATATCTTATTATTTTGTTCTTACGTTCAAAAAATTGGCACTTGGATAGCACTGTAGTCGCACGGTTACTGGAATCCGAAGAATGTACCTAGTATACCAAACATTCATAACAATAATTGACGGATCGGAGCCATTTACTTTGTCACTTTGCGTAAGCAACTATACTATTTGTTGTGCTTATGACGTCTAACTGCATACTTCTTTCGCAAACATCTCGAGCAAGAATAACCTCACGTGCCACGAGAAGGCATATTCAGATAGACAAGGGTAATCATGACGTACATTAAATGGGTATTGATGAATAAACCACGCCAGAGAAGCGTTGCTGAATCTGGCATCATTAAAGACGGAATTCCTGGACGTGCTCATCCAAATCAAGTACATGTGCAATGTTCAGCACAGGAGTCGAACCAACAGCATCCAACACCGCCGGAGTCAGCGAAAGCAGCGGAGTCAGCGTCTCATATGTAGGAGGACTTAATGCACTTACATCTTCATATGTTGGGGGCACCTCGTCGTCCCACGCTATTCCTAAACCTGAACGTTCGGTCACCACAACCTTAAACTGCATTCGCAAGACCCGCGCAGAACCTGTGGGGACGCCCACCACGCTCGAAGTCAGCACTGGAGCAACAGCATCGTACACCATTTTTTTCTGCTGAACGACTTCCTCAGCAATGATAACTTCTACCACCAAGACATGTCCCACATAGATGCCAAGGGTCGGGTCGGCAATGTCGCAAGAAACGTTCGCGCCTGAGCGCAGATCGTCATCGAGAGGCGGGTCGCGCGAAGAAATGCGCAGCGTGTGGCGCACCACGCCTGTCAGGCACGCGAGCGCAGAGATTTCGGCCACAAGTTCAATGCGCCCGCGGCCCAGAAAATCGGATTTCCAGCCACTCTTGACTTCACCATGAGCCACCACACGTAGTTCCTCAAGATATAGTTCTGGCAGAGTAGCAGGAGCAGGTTGCTCTGGATTTGAGGCTGCACCCGTAGGAGACATGGTTTCTTGTTCAGGCAGATCATCAGCTGGATGACGGAAAGGGCCATCGACAAGTCGGTCTTCAATCAGACGGTCTGGTACGCTTTCAGGGTTGCCAGCCAATTCTTCGGGAGCACCCTGAGGTTGCAGCGTCTCCGGAACTATATCGGGCCGACCCATGAACATCAGCGTTTGCACTGTCAGGTGGTGGAGACCTTTAGACTCCGTACGTGGTGAGCGGGAAGCCTCGAGCGCACGCACATTCGTCAAGTGCTTCTCGCAGGCGTGCGCCCGTACCTGAGTGCGTTCTTCTAGGCGCCACGCAAGTTTACGCATACGCCAACGGCGGTCACCATGGGCACTCACCACATTGTCCATGCGAAGCTCGATAGGGAAGGTCAGCTTCGGATACATCACACCTGGGAGAGCCGCTTGCGCCGTAATCTCCGTGGGTGGGAACACACGGACCGAGTTTCTGTCGGCACCACGGAAAACCAGTCGCAGCACGTGGAGCGGCATAGCCACCACTGTTTCTTTGCCCAGCATGCGTGCACGAGCTTCCAAATGGTACTTAACAAAAGAACCCGACTGCGCACTGCCCAATTTGGTCAGAGCTGCCACCAGACCGGGAATCAAGTGCGAGAATGGGTATGCGTGGCTTCCGGGCGGGAATGGCGCAGATTCTGTGAGAACATCCCAGCGGGCCAATTCCGTTTTGCGCGTGGTGCACTTTTTGCACCCTGTCACCGCTGACACTGGTGCAACGAAAGGTTTTGTAGCATGGAAAGTCTGCACAAGCAGAAGCACAACAGAGTCAAGTACAACGTGGCGTTCTGCATCGACTGACAATACACCCAGGAGAATACACCCGGTAGACTCGTGCGCGTGTCCAAAAAGCACGAGGGGCGGCGACTCTATGGCAATGGAGAGGCTGAAAGCTGGAGCACTTGACGAAAGCAGATTAGTGGGAGATATCAGGTTTGTGGGCGTGAGCAGCTTGGGACTGCGATCACTATGGTGGTGCAACACTCGCGCAAGAAGTGACATGGCTGAGAATGGAGCGAGGGCTTGGATGGATGTAAAATGGTATCAGCAGCAGCTAAAGAATAGCACTGGGAAGAAAGTGTCGGTGGAACTAAAGTTCGTTTCTGAATGTGCCAACACACCAACAAGAAGCTAGCAGAGTTTACTGCTTACCTCTTTGAAGCTGTTCTGAGGGAAGATGAACAAAATACAAGGCCCAGAAGAAAGGAGTTTCCAAGGCGCAGGGTTCTTTTAATAAAGAAACAGAAAAGCGACAGTAAAGTTTAGCACCAAAAATGTCTCAAATTGTTATAGCACTCGTAATGGAGATGCAACTGGGAAAACTTAATGTCGCACAAGTTTCACAATCGAAAAGACTATTAGTTCGCTGGCGCGACAGGAAAAAACAAATGAGATATAGTCAAACAAGTAGTGACTTGTACTCTGGACTCAGTGCGACTTGGAGTGAGCACTTTTGGACTATGAGGCGATGAAAGACAAAAAGCGGGGTCTGCCGATGCTAGACACCGTTTTTATGCCGCGTTTGCGCGAGCATTTGCGCGATATCGGCGCGCCGCTACTTCCGTTGGTGTGGGCCACACTTTGCTCATTCTCGGCCGCCCACACTTTTCGCTCTTCAAAACCGGCACCCCGCGCTACATGAATGCGCTCATTCCTAATTGTCTCAGTCACAGATGCCCTGTGTTAGCCTTTGCGCGGTATTCTTATTAGCAATGAGATGCGACTTTTTTTTTTTTTTGGCATGTATGACCTCTATTTGCTACAGATACGTATTGTCCAATCGTCCTTTTGATTAATCTGTTACGTAAACGTCTTTGCGAATTTATTTCTCTGGTTTCTGACGATCTTGATCGTTGTCAACTTTAATCGCTTGCATTTTTCTCTCACTGCCCACTATAGCGACCAAGTGTTTGTCCTGGATATACAAAAGTTAATCTGCGCGATTCTTCACTTCAAGTCTTGTTGGTGCATTTACTCATGGACCATGACTAGCCAGCATCTAATTCTTGATAACGGCTCATATAATATCAAAGCGGGATTTCTGTCACAAGAAAACCCTCTTTTGGTCCATAATGCACTAGCTAAAGCGAGAGACGGTGTCGTGTACATCGGTAATGATTATGTTCCACACACTAACTTGTACTCGGGAATCAACTTCAAAAGACCACACGATCTGGGCCATCTCACATCATGGGAAACTGAGAAAACAATATGGGACTATACATTCGACAAGCTTTCGCCAAAAAAGGAACTTGATCCACAAGACTTTCTGCTCATACTTACAGAAACACCCTTCCAACTACCGCAGCTCTCGATGAATACAGACTTGATCGTGTTTGAGGAATATAACTTCGGCCAGTACTATCGCTGTATTCCACCCCAACTTGTACCCTGGACGAAGGGAGACAATCCATCGGACTTTACGTTGGTTATTGACTGCGGCTTCAGTGCTACACATGTAGTTCCTGTTCTTTACCAAAGAGCTTATTGGAAAGGCATAAAAAAACTTCCAATTGGAGGGCGGCACTTGAACAGTCTTTTGAAGGAAATGGTGTCCTTCCGGCACTATGACATTTCTGACGAGCCTTTGCTCATTAACACTGTGAAAGAGAAAACGATGTACGTGGCTCCCGATTTCCAGAAAGCACTCAAGCACAAGGCCGAGGCCCGTTGCGAATTCGTCTTACCAGATTTTAAAACTACAGTGACAGGATACGTGCGTACAAAGGACACGAAGTTGCCCGATGATGCCCAAACTATCCAATTGTATGATGAGCGGTTTACAGTGCCCGAGCTGTACTTTCATCCTGAAATAATGTTGGACAACAATTCTTTCTCCACAAATTCTGTCATCCAGAATGCATATTTCAAGAATATAACTGATTTGGTTGTGGAGTCGATCATGGCATGTCCAGAGGTAACAAGACCAATTCTTCTGGCAAACTTAAGCTTTGTTGGAGGTAGCGCGAATCTTCCAAACTTCAAGGAACGTCTCATGTCAGAACTAGAGAAAGAATTTCCAGTTAACTGGGTAGTGAAGGCTACGCCACAACCATATGACTTGGATAAAGCTGCATGGTATGGAGGACAGGAGTTGGTTCAACAGGACATTATGAAGGAAATTACGATATCCAAACAGGACTACTACGAGCACGGTGCCAATTGGTGCCAAAAACAGTTTGGCTTTAGGAACTTCTAGCTGTGTATAATACATGTATATTAGGTTTACTATTTTCTATTAATTTACTTGAATCAAATGGTTGAAAGTCAAGTACCTGCTGAATATTAACCAACCATATCTGAACCAAACCATTTGTGAAAAGTGGCCATATGCCATAGCCGCATATGAGACACTAAGCATGTTGAGATCCGAGTAAAACTTGATAGACGGGAGCTGTTTATCAGAATATGCATTGAAGAAGCTGATGTTGATATTGATCTTCAAAATGTTGCTGAATACAAATTTGGAGAGCAAGTCGACAAATAACTCCACATTGGTTAAAAGTGTAAATGAGTACTTCTCCCAGAAGTTCAAACTTTTCAACACATAAAACTTGAAATTGAAGTCTCGCTTGGGCTTGAGATACTTAGCCACGAATTCTTTTGTACCGTGGAACAAAGAAATATGATTGGGGTGATTGGAAACACCTTTGTCATCGAAAGTAATGAGAACCAAAGGCTTAGAAGCATGTGTCACTTCCTTTGCCAAACTTGACGCAATGTCTTGAGCACTCCAATGTTCGTCCATGCCGTCCTTGAATTTATCAAGTACAATGACGTTTTCGTCCTTCACACCAATGATTCGGGCAGAACTCCTGAGCTCATGTGCCCTGATATCCCCAAAGGATTCATCAACTGCATCACCACGTGAAAAGCAAATGATCTTCACTTCATTGTCATGCTTCCTCTTGGTGATTTCAACGAGAGAAGGCGAAAAGAACATCACTTCATCATCGGGATGACCAATTACAAAGAACACACTGGAATTCCTTATTGGCAAGGGAGTTGGGGATGTTAGGGAATTGTATGGGTAGGTCTGACGAATAAACTTATTATTCTGGATCTGAGGATCTGTGAACTTGAGGGACACCTGAGGAATGGCCGTGGAAAGAACAATCCAGATAGCGAATGACGCTATGAGGAATTTGACAATGAACCTAGGTACTAGGAAAAACATGTTTCCAATATGCTGTATAGAACTTCTATATTCAAAATGGGATCAATCCACCAGGGAGATGTGAGTTGCAATCGTTGAGTAGCCCGCCAGTTCGAACAGAAAATGAAATAACGGAGCTTCAACGCAGTCAAAAACCCAAATATTCCGGGTCTCTAAAGACGAGTTGACTCTTTGAAGACGCAAACCCAAAACCGTTGGCTCTCTATGCGGGCCACGTTCTGTGCTTATTGTTGGCTAAAACGTGCAGGAATGACACCCAACGCATCACTGTTTCCCCAATTGAGGAGGAAGCTAAGCCCAAAAACTTGAACAAACTACGCACTCGAATATACTTCTGGCAATACGGCCATAACGCTTTGCATTTGTTTTCGCTTTTATTGTTCGTTCATCTTCATGTCAGAATTTCATAGTCTGATACGTTTTTGGCACGTGTACACATGCGCTTAAGAGGCATCCCAAAAGCCACAATGCGCCTAACGGAAAAACTGGACTTTACATAGTCCTGTCTATTTTCTTGTCATGAATGTATAACCCGAATACCATTCCAAGTCAAGTATAGTTTTCTCACGGTCCCAGCCTAGCTCTTCTTCAAAGGCTTTGATGAACTTTTCGAGAAATTCCTTGCCTTTCCCAGTATTCTCGTCATACTTGTGATACGAACTGTAGGTTGAGATGTACTGGATAAAACTCTGGAGATTGATCAGCTGCTTCAGAATCTGCAAATCGTCCTCTGCATATTTTGTTTCGCCATTGGTACTGGGAACATACTTATTGACTTTAACATTTTCAAACTTGCTGTAGGGAATGTGTTTATCCACCTCAACCAAGAAGTTTTTAAGAACTGTTCTCCCAGGCTGTTCCCAATGGGGACCAAGAAAGTCAGGATTCTCATACACAAAACGACGATATATGGACAGCGCAGAGTCAGCAATGGCAACTTTGGATCGGGTTTGATCGTAGGGCCCATCAAAGGCCACGACAACGGGGTCCGCATAATACCAATATGCTAAAACACCACCAGGTTTTAACAAGTTGCTCGCTGCCGAAAAGAACGAATCAAAATCCTTGAACCAATGAATGCATTCGGCACATGTGATCAAATCAAATGATTGGGCAGGCTCATCCAAATCTTCGACTGCGCTCACCTTGAAAGCAATGCGTGATTGATCGGTAATTCCTAATTGCGCAAGTTTGTCCAGTTTTATTTGGTTTGCCGTTTCAATCATCTTAGGTGACAAATCAAGCCCTACCACTTTTTCTGAGAGTTCAAGCAATGGGAAACTTGCGACTCCTGTTCCACATCCAAGATCGATTGTGGACGATACTTTGGGCCGCCCACAATATTTTTTGAGGATTTCATAAAATGACTTGGGGTAATGAGGACGGAATGCCTCGTATCTAACGCTATCAAAAGCAGATTTAGCAAACGTCGTCATATTTACAGAACTGAGATCGTAATATGGGGAATTTCGCGGGTCTTTATAGAATGTGGAGAATCATTCATACTGTATGTGTGCCGAAGTTGTCGCTCGGAGGAAGCGCCGAAACTCCGAGGTTGAAAGTGTTCTTGAGCTGCGGTTTAACGTAGGTTCTCATTAGAAAGTAGCTTAGGGCAATCTTAAACTGTTAATAAATATATTGAATAAATCATGTCTAGTAAGTTTATCTATATGCTTACTGGAGTAAAAATGCACCATCTTCATCCATCTTATCACTTAATCTATCATCGTCATCTTCTTTGTATACCTCTCTATCGTTGAGAAATGGTACTAACCCGAGAGAGCCGTCTGCTACGAAATCAGACATAATCATTTCGTTGCTATGCATCTTGAAGGGATCAAATTTGAGCATTTCGTCAAACCCATCATCCAAATGCTCCAAGGGAAAAAGCTCGAACAATCTTTCCTCGCTTATCATGTCGCTACTTGAGCACAGCTGCGGTCCAACGGACTCAGATTTACCCCGCTCACCCGTATCTGATGACAGAGTTTCTGGACTCGGGAACTGTCTTTGTGACCCATATTGCAATGATTGTTGGGAAGATGCAAGTTCATCTAGGTCTTTAATGACCTGATGATGTACCATCGGCATCCGAGAAGAATCAAAAGATCTTGAAAGTGCAATATCCTGGGCCAGCTTCTTAAACCCTGAAGCTTTGAACGCCACCTTCTTCCTCAAATCGCCCGACTGCGAAATTTTCTTCATGTTGACTCCTAATATACTGAGGATAGAAAAGTCAAGTAGTTTGAGAGTGTTTTTAGTAAGGCCACCGGAGAGTTCATTTTCTGTTTCCAATTGAAAAGACAATAGAGTTTCCAAAAGAAGTTGTTTCAGATGATGATGTAAAGGTCCACCTTTTATGTAATCAAGACTTCCTTTAGCAACCAAAAGAGAGAATCTTGCTCTTGCTCTAGGAATATTGATTGGAATAGGCAATACGTACGCTGATTTTGAGGCCGTATGGTTGAGAAGCTTTAAAATTTGGATGGATGATTGCTGAATCATCGTCATACTGGAGACAACAGTAGCCACATCAGTCTCTCTCATTGAAAGCTTTTCTTTCATTGACATACCCGCATTATGATGGTACCCATACTTTGAAATAATTGGTAAGTAGATCAAAATCTTGGCATGGTAGTAAAGAAAGATCAAATTAATTTGGGCTTTAGAATACGTATCCCATGAAACTTCCTCAAAATCCGCAGCCTGTTTCCGGGAATCGACTTGCAAAGATAATCCATTCACATCTATCTCAAACTTCAATTCAGGAGGCAAGTCTCTTCTCCAGCAGTCTAAAATACGCTCCTTCTCCATAGACTTGCTCAGAACCTCAACATCCTCAGATCTGCAAAAAATAGAATCCATGATGTTACCTAAAACTTTGCAGTATTGCATAAATGCAAGTGATTCTTTTGAAACCTTACCAAATATGGTTAAGCTTGTGTTGTTGATGATTAATATGTTTTCGTTATTTTTCTCATCGTCATCATCATCGTTTTTCCCACTAAATGGCATAGCACATTCGATTTCGTAATCTTTGAGGAGCCTAGGAATGCCTAGGTTGAGTGAGGAGTAGACATCGAGACAATAAATACACCAGAATAAAATACGCCTTTCTCCTTGCATAGCATGTTGCAAACTTATATTTGCAACACTATTGCTTAGACCCAATACTGCAGCAGGACACCTATGAAGTCGCATTTGCTGAGCCATGGTGATGACTCTTCCTCTTAATTCATAGCATGTGTTGATATCCCCAACTGCAAAACAATACTGTAAGGCAAGTGTCAATATTTGAAGCGATTGCATTGATCCATACTTCGTGATGATGCAATTTGCTTTGATAAACTCGTGGATTAGCTGATGGTATCTGCCAAGTCGTTGTCGGGATTGAGATAGCTTCATCTTACTTGAATTCATGTCGGCATATCTATTGGAGAATGTGCCAAGACTTACTACCAAAACCATTATGGCACCGAACTTTTCGAACAGCTCACAATCCAATACTAGTTGGGTGTCATCTGAATGCCCACTTTCAAGAATTTCTAGTAATTTAAGATAATTTTTTAAGAACATTTGCTTGTTTAATACCGGCAATATGCTACCCCAAGTCAGGAAAAATATAGTCAATAGCTGATCTAGCTCAGCACGAGCAGGAAAATCAAGCAATCTGATGAATTTCAACCCTTCATTCTTGGAGAGTACTGGGCTGTCCTTGTCCATAATTATTTTTAATATGTCCTCATGTTTTGTTATTGCGTCAATATCGTCTGGCGATGGAGACAAGTTGATATTTTCTTTCAAAGCTGCCAAACTGTGAGCAGTCGTAATTGCAGGTTTCGAATTGTATCCGTACAGTTGACAGATTCGAGCTAGAAGCGTGGGAATGAATAGTGTTTCTTCTGTACTTCTTGGAATAGATGCAGTAACCAACCCAGTAAGTAGCCTCTGCTTGTTTTCTTCCTTCAATGTGTCTTCTGTCTGATCTTTCCTTTGCATTTGCTCTATCGCCGTAGCAGCTGCGAAAGCTCCAGGGGCAGGTCCACATTCTTTAATGGGCTGAAGTCCATAACTTTGACTAAAGATCTGACTCTCCACCAAGGATTGAGTGTCTTCCAAACTGAGCAAGCTATTTGTATCGAAGTCTTCATCACTCATGACTGACAGCGAAAGACGCATGCTTCCATCATGATAAAGTGATCCTGCGAGGGAAACGGGTCTTTCGTGGACAGCATGCGGTGCCGCACAGCAGTTGCACGATTCATCATGATTGTGAGTGGAAAGTAGGCCATCATTCGCAGGAGATATCTTTCCAGTACCCAAATTAGGTCCACCGAAAGTGGAGATCGATAGTTTTCTATCAATGTTATTGTTTTGGGAGGCGTGAGCGCCACTTGCGCCGGTCATTGCCAATTGCTCATCTCGCAAGTCCACCAAACCTTGTAGTTTTGTGTTCTCCGCTTCTAGTTGGCGCACACGCTCTTCCAATGTTTCTGTATATCCTTTTGGAAACGCCCTACGGGAAAGCTTGTCGGATACTATGCACTTGAGACCAGCTGCTGCACACAAGGAACAAGCCGGGAACTTTCCGTCACATCTCAGTTTCTTCGCCCGACATCGATCACAAGCTTGGGCAGTCCGAGCATTGGACAGACCCGGTGCTTTGATAGTTTTGCTGGTAGATCCTAACAGCACCCGCAGGCTTTTGGGTAGCTTTGATCGGCCCGTCTGGCCTTTCGGAGAAGATTGGTTGTCTGCTCCACCAAAAATCAGATTGGACATTCCAGAGTCGGGTGGTGGTATGTTCTGTCTTCGGATATCTATAGATTCTTGACTGCAATAGATAGATGCGTCTCAGCTCAAAGGGTCACTTAGTAGAACAGAAGAAGTTTTCCTGTCGAAATCCCAAAAGCGCATATACCTGGGAGGTGACTCAGGCTCCATTTATGGTGGGGTGCATAATCCATGCACTACGCCCCGCAAAAAAAGTCTTGTGCGATTCTCATACCTGACAATTCCCTGACTGCCACTGGCTATTTCGAAAACCGCGAAAGAACTGAAAAAATACAATTTACAGTCCATAGATAGTGAATGACGCATTATTTGCATTATTCACAAACATGCATACATGCGTCACCGAAAAGTGTCTCATGGACTGGCCGGGATACTGCAACCACTGGTATAAGTGAAAAAAACGCAATTTCGCGAGGAACTGTATAATATTCGTTCACTTGATGCCCTCGAAGAGAAGTCTTATAGCCGAAGAGCGCCCTAAACGGGTCCGGAGAAGCCCGAGATTAGTTTTGGACGCAGAAACTTTGAAGACTGAGCCTGAGATCAAAATAGAATCGTCGTTAGACAAACCTCTTAAAGAAGTATTCAGCGATAAACTGGTAACGACAACAAGCTTCAAACACGAGGTGGATGATGCTAAAGTGAAAGTTGAAATTGAAGCTTCGGTCAGTGGCAACACTGACACTTTCGCTTCTCCTGAGATTGAAAGCAAATCTAACGTATTTCAATGTGTTTCGCCTCTGGACATATTGCCTGGTCAGCCAAAAAACTGGAACTTGATCTACAACGAAGTAGTGAAGATGCGGGCCCTCATCGTCACTCCAGTGGATACCATGGGCTGTGAACGGATCCCAGAGACGATTGCTCCAGGACTAATCCGTCGCGACCCTAGGGCCTATCGTTTTCGTCTCTTGGTTTCCCTCATGCTTTCATCGCAGACTAAAGATGAAGTCACATACGTCGCAGTGGAAAATTTGAATAACTTCTATAAGACCAAAGGATTTGACGGTCTCTGCATTGAAGCTATTCTCAAATCTACAGAGGCGGAGATTGACTTTTGCATACAGAAGGTGGGTTTCCATCGCCGGAAAGCCGTGTACATTAAAAAGGCGTCTGAGCTTCTCAACGAAAAATTCAATGCGGATATTCCCAAAAATATAAAGGATACCATAAGTCTTCCAGGGGTTGGGCCTAAAATGGGTCATTTGCTTCTCCAAGCAGGCTGGCGAATCAATCTGGGAATAGGAGTTGATGTTCATTTACATCGCTTGGCCCAAATGTGGGGCTGGGTACCCAAGTCAGACAAACCTGAAAGTACCAGACTAGCTCTTGAGGACTGGTTACCGAAAAAATACTGGTCGGACATAAACCCACTTTTAGTGGGATTTGGGCAAACCGTGTGTGTTCCAAACGCCGGGAACTGTGACGTCTGTACTTTGGCTGCAGGCCTATGTTCCAAAGCAAACAAAAAGCTCAGTAATGCAGCTGTGACCGAAGCCCGACTAGCCAAATTGGCTAAACAAAGAGGTGATATCAGCGGCCTTATCAAGCTAAAGCACGAGTTACAAATGTTGAAGAAAGATTCCAATGTATAATGAACAACTTCGGTCGGAAGACAGAGCGCAGCATCATATAATATCGTAGTAGAGGTTGTTGTTTAAGATTTTCAAATATGATGTTGACCTTCGTTTAATTCATGAAAATAGCTCCTCGATACCCTTTTCGCAATAAGTTTGCTTACCCTATAGAAATGTATCAAATATATCCATCGGAGAAAGAGGCCTCTACCTCAACTATAGACCACACGTCGTCTTAATTTTTAGTAAAGCTATTGGAGAATTCAATGGACATAATTTCAACGACCGAGAGTCCGATTCGGACTTTGGGTAGCATCACATACACCCCAATTATTCCTGTACAGCAACACGAACCCTAACTCCATTCGGTACATCAAAAGTCCGTGCTTATTTTTTTTCTCTCAAAAAAGGAACATATGCTAGCCTTGAAACACCTAAAACGGGTGTGCGTCCATATACAACAGCCACAGCGCAGACTATCGGGAGTTTCCATAACTCCCGAACCTACTCCTTCCATTTACCCTCATTCTCACATTAAACCACCTCCAAACTTTGATGCTACCAAGTTTAGACAATGGATTGAGCTCTCACCGAAGAACGGTAATCCGTCTATCTCCATCATGACTTTTAACTTGTTGTCGCAGCACTATGTGTGGAAGAAAGTTTTTGGTGATTTGGATCAAAACTATCTCGACTGGACCCATTATCGGTTCCCACTTATAAACCAGACCATCTCTCAGTTCCAATGCGACATCATGTGCTTTCAAGAGCTTGAATGCCTGGTGTATGAAAACCTGTGGAAGTCAAACTTCCCGTTGAAAAATTATCTGCTGGTGTATATGCGGAAACCGAATCCGAAATACTGGGGAACAAAACCTTCGGAGTTTATGGATGGTGTAGGAGTGTTTGTCAACTCTGAGCGGTTCGATGTCGTGGACTATTATCCTATAAATTATGGAAACTACGTTTCCGAGCATCCCGACCGGTTTGACTTAACTGATGATGTTGTATCTAGAGTGATCCCTAGAAACACGGTGGCATTGATTCTCAAATTGTGGGATAAGCAGGCCGAAAAAACGGTCTATGTGACCAATACGCATCTATACTGGCTGCCCAAGTTCAATGACGTTAAGTTAATCCAAACCAAAATCCTTCTCAACGAGTTGGCTAGACTTATAGGCGAAGAAGAGAATCCATGTATTATCATGTGTGGAGACTACAATTCCACGCCAAATCTGTTGGTATTCAAATTGTTGAAGGATGGGAAAGTTAAGGTCGATACAGCAGAAGAGTTTGCTGACTTTGATTATGGCCATAAGATCGACGGCGAACCGCTCGATAATGAGTTTGTGAAAAGTCCGTTTGATCTCACTCCAGCATATGGCCCGCTTTTGAAAGACGGGCTGCCGCATAAGTTGGATTTTACTAGCTACTCAAAGAACCTAACAGAGGTGTTGGATCACATTTGGTTTTCATCTGCCACTTTCGAGGCAAATCGAGTGCTTGGAAAAGTTGAGGGAGATTATAGTGCGCAGGCGTCCGGATTCCCTGACAGACAATTTCCATCCGATCACATTCCATTGGTTTCCGAAATCTCCTACATTTGATCTCCTACATTCGAGGAAGATTCATATGCCTATCTTTAAGTATCTCTTTTTGGTACGTGAAATTGGTGCTGTTTGGGTACTGTTTAGGTGCTGCACCGGGTTTGAAGCGATGGACATTTATGATGTACAGGCAGGCATATTTGGGAACGCAGGGCAATCATATTTATGTTAGTATTCAATAGAAGACATAGCACACTTGAAGATCAGTCAATGCCAATTCCAAATTCAATTTCAAAATGACGAACAATTTGTCACCTTTTGCTTGCTTTGGCTTCCCCAAAACGCGGAATCAGTCAGAACGTATGTGGTCGTGCGTACACCCAGTACCGAAGTTGAGCCAAACCACGAAAAACACTTCACAAAAGTCACTCTCCAATAAATCAAGAAGAAGTTCGAGAGACACAAATACACCAAAGGAAATAATAACAGCCATTGAAGTTACATATCTTCTTATTGCTGGGCATTTCGAAATCTTAAACACGAGCCATCCCTGGTCCATTACATGTCGCAATCTTTCTCCTTACACATCTTAAGTGTCTACAGATTTGCCCATCACATATCAATCCATTCCTACAGGCCGACTTCAATCTAGGCGTGTTTTGCTCGCCTATATCTGACTTTTTATCTCATGAACATTAATCACAAGTTTCAACAATCGCAACAGCCTGGCTTACCCTCGCAACAAATTTTGCTCCAACAGTTGCAACAAGGCCAGCCTCAAACCCTGTCCCAAAATAGCGGCTCCCAAGCAAATGGATCTAAAAGCCAATTTGTGAATCAAGATGGACTTTATCCCGACTCTTCGTTTTACCAACGAGGTGGCCCATCTGGTGCACCAGGTTTCTATCCGCAACAATTCCAACAACAAGGCCAACAGCAGCAGCAACAGCAGCAGCAGCAGCAACAGCAGCAGCAACAACAACAGCAGCAGCAAAAACAGCAACAAACACAACAGTTCGGTCAATATCCTGGCCAAAACCCAATTCTTCAACAGCAGGGACCTTTGAATACGCAGAAGTTCATGAACCAGCAGAGTTTGTTGCAACAGAATCTCTTACAGCAACAACAGCAGCAGCAACAACAACAACAGTCGCAAGTTCTGCAGCTCCTGAATGTGCAACAAATGGCTGGTATGCCTGGGTTCCAAACCGTGAACAAGGTGAATTCCATAAATGTGGACGATCCGGGATCTATGTACTGGCAACACCAGGTTTCATTGTGTCAGTTGTCTCGCTCCGAAGACATGCCCCACTTCTATGCTCGTCAATATGCTCAAAACTCGAGGAAGAACAAGAACCCTTACTCAGAAACAAAAAGCGTCACATTAATCGATGCTACGAAAACAATCGTGGCCGCTTTGGAAGAGCAAGAGAAGCAGCAAAAAGCGTCTCAGACCGCTGCCGCTCCTACCGCGTTGATGCGCAACAAAAAGGTGGACTTAGAAGAGGATGAAGAACAGAGAGTCATGGCCAGAACTCAGGGAAAACAATTATGGTGCCACTTGGATTTATCTGGCCAGGGCTTGCTCAATTTGTCCCCAAAGTTATTTCAATATGATTTTTTGGAATCATTATATTTGAATAACAACAAACTCACCAGTGTGCCCTCTGTGATTAAGAAATTGCGTGGATTGCGAGTCCTCGATTTGTCTCACAATAGAATCACTGAAGTTGCTCCGGAATTGGGCTTATGCTACAATTTGCGCTATCTCTACTTGTTCGACAACAACATTAAGACTTTACCTAATGAGTTTCGTAACTTGATCGAGTTATTGTTTCTCGGTATTGAGGGCAATCCAATTGATTTGAAGATCGCGAACTTGATAGCAGAGAAAGGCACAAAAGCCTTAATCAGCTACTTTAGAGATAGCGAACCCACATACCCAGAACCCAACCCTAGAGCATGGCTCTTGCTTAAGGATGATGGTGAAATTATCGATCCAACAACAGATCCGAATGCTTACGCTAACGATCGTATTGGTTCTAAGAACTCAGACACATTCACTTTGATGTCGTACAACACTTTGTGTCAACATTATGCCACAACGAAGTTATACAAGTATACGCCATCATGGGCACTTGAGTGGGAATTCAGAAGAAACTCTTTGAAGGAAGAAATTCTTCGCTATAACACAGATCTTATTTGCTTACAAGAGGTAGAGACTAGAACTTATCATGAGTTCTGGTTGCCGATTATGGAAAGTGCTGGTTACAACGGCTTCTTCTTTTGCAAGAGCAGATCTAAGACTATGAGCGAGCTGGAATCCAAAAAGGTGGACGGATGTGCCACTTTTTTCCGTGCTTCTAAATTTCAATTGATTCAGAAGCAGCACTTGGAGTATAATACTGTCTGTATGGGCTCCGATAGGTATAAGAAGACGAAGGATTTGTTCAACAGATTCATGAACAAAGATAACATTGCGTTGATAACATATCTTCAGCACATCGAAACTGGTGAAAAGATAGTTCTTGTAAATACTCATTTGCATTGGGATCCCGCATTTAATGATGTCAAAGCGTTGCAAGTGGGTATTCTTTTGGAAGAATTGCAATCCATGATGAAGAAGTTTCAGCATACAAACAGTGTGGATGACATTAAAAACTCATCCTTAATCATCTGTGGTGACTTCAACTCCACAAAGTCGAGTGCAGTGTACCAATTGTTTTCCACTGGAGCAGTCTCTAAACATGGTGATTTGGAAGGTAAGGATTACGGAAGATTCACAGATGAAGGATTTCATCACAACTTCAAATTAAAGTCTGCCTACGACAGTATTGCGTCAGACTTTCCATTCACTAATTTCACTCCAACGTTTACAGAAGTGATCGATTATGTCTGGTACTCTACAAACACCTTGCAAGTTAAAGGCTTGTTGGGTAAACCTGATGAAGAGTATTATTCTCATCATGTCGGATTTCCTAACGCACACTTCCCTTCGGATCACATTCCTTTGGTTACAAAGTTTCAAATCCACAAGAAAGGTGTTGCACCAGGAACAAAGAAGGCTGAATTCAAACCCGATTTCAAGTCTGGCTCTTCGAGAAAAACTTGATTCGGTTTTCGAATCGGCAGCAACTGGGTTGCACAAGTCATTGCCTAAGCCAACGTCTTGCGCAACTGCTATTGCGTGTATTTTAGCTTCGTAAGAAATATAACATACTAGAAGTGTTTTTGTATTGCCCCCCTCACAAGTGGGGTAACTTCGGAAAAATATGCCGTCACTCCACGTTATTCCGGCATGATTGAACTAATACATATAGGGTATATCGGAAAAACAAATGCAAGTGCCCTCTTTCTTCTTTTTAGAGTACAATGTCCCTCCTTATCCCTAGTGAATGTGACTTTGAAGATGCACATGGAAATCCAAATGCAGAAAAAATGTATGAAGAGAAGCTTCTGCAACTCTCACTTTCTGAACCGGACAGCTTTAAATGGAAATTTGAAGTTGTTCCCGGCTTTTTTGTCCAGTCGGATCCCAAGACAGATGACTTGAACTTTAGGTATACTGAGCACAATTTGGGAAGGTTGCTATCATGGAAAGAAATCAAGCAAAAGTTGGCTGACCTCAATGCCAACGCGAATGATAACGAATGTTACAAATTGATATTTTGTTGCAGACATGGCCAAGGCTACCACAACTACATTGTTGATAAGTACGGAATTGACCAATGGTGGGAGAAATGGAATGTCCTTGGCCGCGACGGAGACATTGTGTATGGGCCGGATGCCATGTTGACGGAATTGGGTATAAACCAAGCCAAAGAGAACCATGCGGTGTGGGAGAAAGAGATTAATGAACATGGAGCTCCAGTTCCAGCAAAGTTCTATGTCTCTCCTTTGCAGAGGTCGCTGTGGACACTAGTATACACATGGGAGGGGCTCCGGCCATACACGAACAAAGCAATTGTCACAGAGAATTTACGAGAAACCATTGGCCCAAAACCTCTGCGACAAAAGATCCTCCAAGACCGTTATTGCCGAAAGGTTTGCAAAATATGGCTTTGTATTTGAAGACGGGTTCGAAGAGGAAGATATCCTTCATGGCCCAAATAGGGAAACCGCAGAAGACCAGAGCATAAGAGTGAATAGATTCTGCCAATCCATGTTTGATGAGGATTGGGACCATTCGAGTGACAAAGTTGACAAAGAAAAGGCCATCGACAATTCCATCATCTGTACGACTTCGCACGCGGGCACAATAAGACTGTTCATTATTGTGTTTGGACATAGAAGGTTCACGATTTCTACTGGTGGTATGGTTCCGATAGTTGTCAAGGCTACCAGAAAGTGAATCAACCTATTCGATTTAAAATGATTATTCAGTGACATATATAGATCACTAGCGCTTAGAACCTATATTGAACTAAAGTTAGACATACATTAGGAAGATATAAACAGAAAGATTTGTGTACCTAGACAGAGTAGGTATCCACTTTAGCCTCGCTCCGTTTCTGGTCAAATTCGGTGCTTTCACTTTCAACATATTCAGAGACTGTTCCATTACCCATATTGCTGATATCGAATCCATGGGATTTCAAGTAGTTCACGTAGGCAACATCCTCCTTGTTGATAGCCTCCTGATCAACCGAAGGTACAAAGAAAACAGTCAATATTGCTGAAAAGAGACACAATGCAGACGAGATATAAAAAGCAGTGTGAATGCCCTTGTCACCCTTATACCTTCTAAGAATAATGGGGAAAATATAGGTGCCAACAAAGGCGCCAACCTTACCCGTAGCAGCAGCAATACCATAGTACTGGCCTCTGATTGGAGTCGCTGAAGTTTTCGCAGCCAAAATACCCACATTATTACCTGGACCGAATTCTCCAAGGGTGGTGAAAATACCAAAGACAACAACAAACGCAGCAATGTGATGCTTTAAATGTGAATAACCAGCAGTCATTCCAAACCCAACTATAGCTTGACAAGTAAGGCCAACAGCAAGAGTGAGTCTGGGACCGAAGAAATCGGTACAATATCCTCCGAGGAATGTTCCTGGAATATAGAACAAGTTGAAAACCACATTCCAACCCCAACTTTTGTAGATATCACTATCAGGCAAAATGACAGAAAGAATATATGATGAATAAAGGGAGAATGAATAAGCCGAGAAATCGTAAATAAACCAAATGATAGACACCACGATCAATCTAAACCAGTAGAACTTGATTGTGAGCCAAAATGGGAAATTAGTGACGGTCTTCATATTAAGTTTTTCGTAGGCTTCGGAGTTGGTCATTTTTCTTCTCATGAAAAACAACGAGATTGGAGGAATGGCACCAAGAGCCAAAGTCAATCTCCAAACAACAGTCAAATGTCTTTCAGAAAAGATCCATAACAAAACCAATGGGACAAATGAGGAAATGACAAATCCAAGATCGATGCACGAGTTGGTGAACCAGCAAAAGTATCTGTTTCTGTGGCCAGATGGCAATTGGTTAGCAAATTCGGAGGCAATGACAGATGAAGTAGGGTATTCGGCACCAATGGCAATACCCAAAAAGAATCTACATGTGGTGACGGCAGCAAAAGTGCCTTCTGGAGTTTTGCCCCAGGTTGCAACAGCACAGAGAAGGGCAAAGAAAATAAGTGCCACATTCGCCACCAACATGCCGCCTTTTCTGGCATAGTGATCCGAGATGTATCCAAACGACAATTGGCCAATAACAGTTCCAGCAAAAGCAATGGCTGCGATGTTGGAGATAGCATTGGAATGGGTATACTTCTCTTTGTAAAGAAGAGACAAACAGGTTGTGACCGTTCCGATAGAGTTATTGACATAGCCATCGGAGAACAAACCAGCGCCAGAAATGAATGCCGGCCATAAATTCTTCATTTGCACTTTGCGAACGGCCTTTTCGTCTTCAGTTTCTTCAACTGTTTTTTTGTTCAATGTGATCTCATCAGGGAATCGTTTGTACCAAGACGTGAACGACCGCGGCAAATCTCTGGAAGACATTTTTATGTGAGAGACGTTTGAAAATTGGATGGAAGTCCATCATTTCGAAAGTGGGTGTAGCGTATATATACCTACATTTACTTATCTGGGAAGGATTATTAACGGAGATGCATGTAGCCCTTGGGCTTGCCGTATGACAATCTGCAGTACCGCATAATCCTGTGCATGTGTGCGGCTTCGTGGATGGATTATCTAAAAAGACTCGAGAAGGATTAGGTTGTGTCGTGGCTTACACACTGATAACATTCGTAATGAGACAAATACGATTAAAGGTTAGAAAAATGGTTGGTTTTTCTCCCTTTTACCTAGGTGATTGCGTAGCGTTTAAAACTTCGCCTCGAATTGAAAGGTGTCAACGTGGGCAGGCAGCTATAAATCAGTGTCAAACTTGCAGGGAAAACAGCCCTCCATGCAGCAAGAAGGGTAAGTGTTCACGTTTTCTAGTGAGATCCCCCATTTATTATTCGAAAATCTTTCCACCTGCCTGCCACACGTGGCGTATTATTTCATATAAGAGCTGTACGTCTTCGTTTAAACGAGTCCTGCTTCGGAAAGAGTCCATTTGACGTACTGGTCAATATGTAGTATAGCCTAATGAAGAAATTAAAAGTCACACTTCACGAGGACGAGGGGAAAAAAGTCACATTTGTAGTTTACTCGGAACAAATTCTAGGAGACATCTTCCCGATAACTGATAAGAATAAGAGCCATACTTTTGCGCAGCGTCCAGATTATAGGAAAAATAACTGATAAGGGAAATTCCGGGCAACCAAATCGCGGACCCCGAATTTCGTCCTACACAACGGTATTAATGCACCCTGCATGTCTATAACCATCTTCTCGTATTACCAGAGGGATTCCTTTATTGTTGCGAGATAAAGTGGAAGAGTCGAGAAAGAAGGAAAGTGCAAAAAAAAAAAAAAAGGCCGTGTTTCTTGGTTCTTACGTACTTTGTGGTCCATAAAGCAAATTATGCAGTAGGAGTAAAAAATACCATGTGAAATTACCACATTTAACAGTAACAGCTCACACCCCACGCGCTTTCTAGAAACGTCTTGTGTCTGCCACTTACAATCCTCACTGTGAAGAGCATTTACTTTCGCGCTTGATGTTCTTAATGACACTGATTCTAGTATTTTGCGTGTATGCTAAAATCCGGCTCTAACGCCGCCTATCTCCATTCTACCATGTACTTGAGTTTGTCACCTGCCCTAAAAGGGACAACTTTCAAAGTATCATTGCCAATAATTTCTGGAACAACATTTTCTCTCTGGACTAAAAAGGCACGGTCCTTGCAGACAACATCCTCTTCAGATATTCCGTAGTAGTCCCTGCCATGCTCACTGACAAACTTCACGAGATTTTCCAATTTGCCTGCCGCATCAAAAATTTCCGCGAGGTAAGCAATTGCATGGGACTGAGTGTAGACTCCTGCACAAACCCCCACATGTTTCGCCTTGCTTTCCAATGGATGAGGAGCCGAGTCAGAACCGAAAAAGAAGTAGCGTTCTCCTTCAGTGGCCGCGCTGACCAAAGCCCTCATGTCTTCCGGTAGTTTTGCTACTGGCTTGCAAAAGTTAATTGGGTTTCCCGCCCATGAATCAATGGTAAGAGAAAGATGGTGCGCGGTAATAGTAGCGGCAACCTTGGAGGCTGGGTTTTCTTTATGGATTTGTCTGATTGTATCAACTGCTTTCTTTGTTGTACAGTGCTCCAAAATGATTTTTAAGTTGGGGAAATCTTGCGACAACTTCACCAAGGCTGGTAGGAACAAAGGTTCGGCATTAAGGACATGAATATCCTCACCTTTAGCTGGAGGGCGTTCTCCATGGAGATTGAGAACCAAATTGTTCTCCTCTAGTGCCTTGAAAATAGGGTAGAACGAACTGAAGTCGTTTGGATCAACTCCAGCAGCAGAATTAGTAGTCACACCAGCGGGATAGCATTTTACACCATGAATTGCGCCCTGCTTAGCAGCAGTGTGAATGAGCTCTGGAGTCAAGTCCTTGGACAAATAGAAACTCATCAAGAATGTTGTTTTGGGTGCGAGTTCTTGAAGTTTCTTCTTATAGTCAACTACTCGGTCCAAAGTCACAATGGGAGGAACCAAATTGGGCATCACATACGCCACAGAAACACCCCCTTCTCTGACTGTAGGAGTGATAAGTTCCATCATTTTCCCATCACGAAGATGGACGTGCATGTCTGCGGTGATCCCGAGCTCGATTTCAGTCATGGGTGTCTGTATCTTCGAAAACTGGGGTTTCGACCAAAAAATTTTTGGACCCCACTCAGAGTTTGGTCACGTGCACAAATAACGTGGAAGAGTTCATTCTGGACCTTGGGCACATATGCTTGTCGTTTCCCCCGTATCATTGTCTACCAAGTGTGCTGTGTGTATAATCTCTTTACTGTTGGTTCGTTCGGCGATCTTGTCAATAACTGCGTAAATGTCATCTGGTTTGTATTTCCAGTGAAGCTGTTCCACTTGATGTGGTCGCGGCGGAATCCAGATAGTGATCACAGCATAAGGAGATTGAACGCAAATGGAAACCCCAACAAGAGGAACTGTATGTTAGTCTATATACTCTCTTTCCCTTAACCACTTTGCTTCAATTTTGTCAGGTCTGTATACGTACTGCTCATGTCTGCCGGATAATAGAGTTCGTCCTTCAATAGAAGGTGTGCGACAGAATCAAAAAAGGGCACGGCGCAACCAATATCCGCTCTCAAAGTAATACAGTCGCCATGTTCAAGAAGCGGACTTGAGGCTAAAGGCTCAATTCCCATCCGCATTATATGGGTAGAGAGAACTTTTCCCTCGTTCGCAGCTGTTTGAAGTGTACGGTGGATATCTTTCATTTTAATCTCAAGCTGGCCCGCCGTTTCAATTAATTCCTCCATTCTTCCACCTTTTTCGTCCTCAAACCATAACCACCACTTGAAGTAAAGAACGTGCACTTTGCTTTTATATCTGTCCCTGTATAAGAGATATTTGTAGATTAAGCAGTCTTCATGTGTGTGAAAGAGAGTTCTGGCCGCTGGCGCTTCGAAACAAATATATTCATCCTCGTCATCGTGCAACGAGTGGCCCATGAGCATATTCAAGCGATCTCGTACTTTAAGGATACTTGTGGATCTGGAAAGTGGTCGGGTCATGAAGGTGTCAGGCATGGGGGGGTTTTGATCTCTTTGTGAATGGGTGCAAATGTAACGCGAAAGTACCGAGAACTTATCAATTCTTTTGAGGTCATTTCCACTCAGAGAAAAGCTTTGGAAGAGATTACCCTTCGTCAAAATGGTTTCCAGTCTTCGTGATTGAATTGCGATTAAGTCCTCGCAAATTTGATCAAAGCACATTCAAGCTTCATTTCTTACTCCACCTTCATTCTCTACACTAGTTACTTATTTCTTGATGAACTTTATGGTTCTACAACGTAGGCTTTTAATATTGTGTACTTATATTATTTTTCGTCATTTCGGTATGGCATCTTGACGAAAAGTCATATATTGTGCTCGAAATCACTTACTATGTTTCCTTTTTTCCTACTCTTCATCCCATCTACATTAAAAATTCTGGTTGTGTATACACACAAGTCCTCATCATGAGTTCCATCTTTCTTCCCCATCTTAAAACAGGCTGGCATGTGGACCAGGCGATTTTGTCTGAAGAGGACAGACTAGTCATCATCCGTTTCGGAAGAGACTATGATCGTCTGTGCATGATCATGGATGAAATCTTGTACGGCATTGCTGAAAAAGTCAAGAACTTTGCTGCCATATATGTATGCGATATTGAGCAAGTACCGGATTTCAATCAGATGTACGAGCTCGAAGATCCTTGTACGGTGATGTTTTTCTACCGTAACAAGCACATGATGTGTGATTTCGGAACAGGCAACAACAACAAGTTGAACTTCCTTATTGACAGTAAACAGGAAATGATCGATATCATAGAGACCATTTATCGGGGAGCCATAAAGGGGAAAGGTTTAGTGGTGAGTCCTAAGGACTACAGTTCAGCCCGAACAAAGTAGACTACAAAGAATATAAAAACATAATGTCATCAAAGTTCATTTCAAAACTCCTAGTTGGCTATCGAATCTCGTACACCAAGCCCGCATTCTACAATTGGTCCTGCTTCAAGCTTGAAAGTTACTCCTGAACCTCATTCTGAGCATAGAAGAAGTTGACAGCTAACAACTTCGAATCGCCTCCGTGCTTTTTAATCCAGTCTCTCACTCCCGATCCTGGTGTGCCCGTTCCCCAATTGGGTCTGTCTGAAGGCGCCACCAAGTTGGCACGAGGATCTTGTTTATATAACAAAAAGACATAGCGGTGCTTGCCTGTCTTTGGTGGTGGTCCGGGTCCAACATAAGGCAAGACTTCCTTTCCTTTCGACAAGTCTAAAACTGTCGACAATGAGTCCCCAGAGCCGGAATTGTTAGGGTTCAAAGACAAGTCCGAGAGAATCCAGTGGCAGAATTCCGACCACTTGTGGTCCGTATTGGAGGGTGCGTCTGGGTCGGTTAACACCAACGTAAAACGGTCATCTGTCTCCACCAGCATCTCCTCCTCCTGGTTGGGCGAATTGAGGGTGAATTGGATGGTTGGCACATGCTGGGTGTCCTTGACTTTCAAAGTGTTCCCCATTGTTACATGACGTTCGGGGGAGTATTCAATGGTGAGAAGACCTTGTGTGTCAAACTTGTCAACCACATCAGGGATAATTTTGTGCTTGGAGTAGGCGTCATCCAACAGTTGGGAAATGGTCATTAAATTCATTGTAGAGCGCCGAAATATGGGTAGACGCGATAAACGGGGGGCGGCTCTATATATAGCAAACATGAATCCGCTTGCTATAGGAGTCGATATTATATGGCGAGCCTAGCTCTTAAGGCCTTTTATAGCGCTCGGTGTGCACTTAACCCGCAAATTGGGGTTCCGATAAGGTCCGAAATCGGAAGGGCCACAGTTCAGCTTTTCATTCCAAGATTGAAATACAGCGGACCACGAACGTATTATCAGGTCTCAGCCCAGAAGACTGACTAGTACGAGACAGAAAACGGATGGAGTGCTTTCCATTGTAAGCGCATCACAGTGTGCACCCGTGCATCCCTAAATAGGGCCATTATACCCCAACTTAGACTGATTAAAATTAGTATGCCAGATTCAGGCCGAGCTCCCATGGTAAAATTAAGCACTGTTTTCTTTACGTCAATTGCAACCATGTGGAGTGTTTTCTCGGCTCCTTTTGCTTCGTATGGCGCTAAGCCGGTAGAATTACGAAATACATGTTACCGCACTCAATACAAGTAGCACTGTTTAATGCCCACGTGAAAGTACATCAGTTCGTTCATTACCAAAATCAATATTCAAACTATCTTGATCACCTATCAGTACACGCTGTGCATAACTATCGCCTTGACTCGTGAGCATTGTGGGAAATACTTATGAATGCAAGAGAGGCTAGTATCAAACCAGCATTCTCGATCTTAGTCGTCGCTTACCACGTATTCCGAGCCATATTTGCGGCAGTGTCCTCATGAATCATGAGGTATGCAATCTATTATCTTCATCGGAGAAGGGCTCTGGACCTCCCATATCCGTCGTCGCTAGAATCTCTTCGTAGCTAATAATTGTTTTCATACGTTGCGTAGCCATCAAATTCATACCTTTTTCCATCCTTCTTCTCGCTCATCACATCCTGCGACTCTTCCTTCACCGGTTCTTCTCGCCTTTCAAGAGGCAGGCGGTCTGCATTTGGCACCGACTCCGGTGGCCCTTGTGTAGTCTGTGGCCCGCGAAGATGCATTGCAGGTTGATGGAGGAGATGCTGAGGCGTATTTACATAGCTGCCAGAGCGCAGGCCCGGATAAGGTTTTTTGGGCTTTTCTTCTTCGCGCGGCACCACGTCGATCAAAAAGTCAAACATATCACTCTTTGTCAACGCTGCAGCAATATCAGATTTCTGGAGTGTGCGCCGCTTGTTCTCTTCGGCGTGGATCCATGCCCGCATCGTCAACTCCGTGATGAAAACATCACAGCCTTTCGCAAACAATATCGGCGCCTCCGCACTGATCATTCGAACATCTTCGTCTGTCTTCATTACTTTTTTGATGCGTGCCAACGGTAACTGGTGATTCTTGAAATCGTGTTCGTCGTGTTCAATCGAGTTGATGGTTTCTTGCCAGTATTGCATCATCATATCTCTGTTTTTGCCCACAAGGCCCTGACCCACATTACTAAACACCCCGCCCGCTTGGTTCTGTTGTTGTGCCACAGCGGCATCTGCGGCCGCCTGTGCCGCTAGAAGTTCTTCTTCATCAACCACCGGATGGTGTGGGGGGCTGGGCCGGCGCGGCTCAGGCGCATACTGTTGCGCGCCGTTGTGACCAGGGGCATTCAAATGCGGCAATTCCTCATCGTCCAAATACGCTCCGTTGTATTCCATAATAAGGTTAGAAATGTGATGATCTCGGTTGGAAGCGGTGATGGGGTTGAGAGTTTATTTGAGTTACAGCGTCCAAAGTTATGCGCTGCACACAAATGTGTCCCGATATACTATAAGAAAACAAGCTTTTCTTTCGAAACAGTAAACTTGATCTGGGAAATGAAATGGGATCAAGAGTTTGTAGTTGCGGTTACTTGGAATATATCATTGAAAAGATGAGTGCGAATCGGCGATGTGTGCAGGTGCTGTCGCCGAGGCCGAACGATGGTCGGGGCTCGTAACACGCGGGGCTCTGACTCTTCAACATCCTGAACTTCGTGAATGGAAGTGGTTCGTACAAACATCACAAAGAAAGGTGTGTATTACTAATGTGTGCTTTCTGCTGTCATCTCTTCGTCTTGAGTGGTATCAACAATTGTGAGACGATTGATCTTTACACACATAGATTTAGTCCATTGAAGATTTAGAGTAAATATGCACGCTAGACATGCAAAGTACTCGAATAACCTTTAGTTTCCGAATGCTCTGCATTAGCAACTTTGGTTACAAATTGTACAATTTAGTATCGGAAAGATATTGAAATGTGTTGTTTATTGGGCGACATTGACGTATACTAGGTCACCCTACTTTTTGGATCCTATGCTAAGTGACTGAAAACGCTCGCCTATCATGGCTCGTTAGAAATTCCATTTTTATTCGCCTAGTACACTTGCCATGTTCTCAAAAGACTGAGATGCTTGTACTGTTCCAAGGGACCGGTCATTCCCCAACAAAAGTCTTTGTAGTATAGGAAGCTGCCGATAATTCCCACGTAAGTAACCAAGTAAATCACATACTTCAAGTACTTATTTGCTCTTCTCGCAACCAAGTACTCCATAAAAAAACCTGCAACAAATATGGCAAAGTATAAAGCTGGCACATAATGATGCAAGTAAGTGACACGGCCCATTGCGATAAATGGCCAATAATGCAACACCCATCCTAGGAGAGGCAAGATTCCCGCAGACAAAAGGAAGTTCCATTCAGGACCAGTGACATTCAAGTTAATCGCCTGTCTTTGTCCTTGAATAAAGATAAATCCAATGAGCAAACATACCAATGGAATACATACTGTCGTAAAGTATGTTACAAAAATGTTGCCCATGAGCAAATATCTGTAACCACTAAGCGACCAGGCATTCATTCGCAAACCTTTTCTCAAAATAGGCCATTCCCACCATTGTGATTCCAATTTGTCATAATGGTCAGGGTCTGGCACCAACGCGTTATTGGACGCCATCATGCCGTAGTTGATGAGAATGAACTCCTTCCAGAACCTTGGTTTTGGTGCCACATATTGATCCTTAGGCATTTCTAGCTTATCATTCACATGGTCCTCAATATTCCACCAGGAACTCTTGTCTTGTGCAAGAAATGTATTTTTGCAAATCACTTCACCTTGCTGGAAACCCCAAGCTGGATAAGCGTAGCCTGTGGTGGCCAAGTAGCAGCCAAGAACTTTGTGTCTCAATCTGAAGTTGGAAGAGATCGGATGGAGAAGTTCAGGGTCCTCATCTGCAAAAGCTGGCAGAGGTGATTCATATTGCGCTTCTATCTCCACCACCCAATCATCCTTATCGTCTGGAATGTCAACGCCACCATAGCAACTAACTTCGTAGTGCCCTGTCAGAATATGGGCAGGGATAGAATGTGAGTGAAGGAAACATCCCGTCACTGCATGCCGTAATCTTATTGTGTCACCATCTTTTACAAGAGTCTCGAAATCGCTGACAAAATCCAGTTGCTTTTCCTCATCCTCAAGGGTTGCGAATTTTTTTTCGGTCAATGAAGTTTGTAAATCAAACTCAATTAAGAATTCGTTATTGTTATCTTTATAGCCGTATGTGGTCACTTGCTGTTGTTGTGATCCCTCTGGATACCGATGATTATGCGAATGAAGCAAATTTGGAGACAAGCCTTGAGATCTCAATGTGACCAAAGAGCCATAAGCTGCTGAGCGTGGGCCATACCTAATTGTATTTCCTTCTAAAGTAGCTTGAAGGAGTGTGGATATCGAACCATCACCAGGGCCTGATCTGTTCAAGACAGCAAAGTGTATCTTGAATGATACGACGTAAATCACAAATGGAATAACAATTAGCGAAATGATTCTGCTAAGCCAGTGCTGTAAGTATTTTGGCCAAGACAATTTCAATACCAGGCTTTCTGACTCCACTGTTGTTTGATAATAGCGAATTAACAAATCATAGATGATGTAGAGTCCAACTAGAACGGTTACAAACAACCCAACCCATTTGACAGAACACACACAACCGATGGATACACCGGTGTACATCAACCAGCCAAAACCCCTCATTGTGATGAGCTTATTACCGTTTCTGAGAGAATGTATTTTGATGAGTCCAAAAAAAGTTGACACGGTGAAGAAAAGGAGCATAGAATCTAGAAGAATGAACCGGGATAAAGTTAAGGATAACATCTCTAAAGCCACCAGAAGCGAAATGAACCAGACAGTGAGTTGGCTCATTCCCAATTCTCTTGCCGTGAAGTAAGCCAATGGCGTGCAAAGAATGCCAAAAGCGCAATTGAACTTTCTCATGAACATGATACTTTCCCGCAGAGGAAATTCAAGGCCACTCTCAAAAGAGAAAGAACCATCATATCCAGCTAGATATCCCGAGAGTGCAACCAATAACTTTCCCAATGGTGGGTGCACATCGAAATAGAACTCATGTTGTAAGTAATGAGATCCAAACTTACCAAAATGAGCTTCATCCCAAACAACTTTGTCATGTAGCGAAATCTTATATAGCCTAACAAACGCGGCGATGCTTGTAAGGATTGCTGGGTTGATGTAGCTTTCCCAAAGACCATCGCGGTGAGAAGATGGTCTTCTGTCATCGAGCGAGAGGGACAGTGTCTGCTCAATGATTCTTCCCAATTCATCTTCCGATGAAACAGGTAATTGCTTACGCCGCGAAGCTGTGGTCAGGAACTGCGCCGATCCGGAACTGACGGAGTTGGGCTGGGCCATGGCAATGTGAGAAATGCCGAACTTTGTGCGAAAGCTTAGTGGAAAAACTCAGGTTCAATGTGGGGCGCGAACTAGTGGCACGTAGCCCAGAAACTCTAAAACAAAAACATTAAATATTCAACTGGAAATATGCCACCGTATTTGCTGAGATAGCAATATCTTAGGCCGAATCAAATGTTTGTATGGTTTGTATCAATTGATATAGCAGGTTTTCACGGTAGGTTTCGACACAGGTCTATGAGAGATCAAAAACTGTCGTTCTAGCAAATGTATATGGACGTGTTGGTGTGACATGGCCGGTTGTACTTAATGGAATTTGATGCTACGTTCTCGAGCTACAGGGAACATAACTTCGTCTGGAGAGTCTAAAAAATCTATTTCCAAGCCTAAAATTTTCTTCAGATATAATCCTTGGACTAATATTCTCCGTTGATAACCGTGACGGCGGAACCTCTAACTGAAATCTCTTTGTCGCAAGTGACCTTGATTCTGCCTTCTCTGTTCAATACTGTGCCCTGTCTCAAATAAACAACGCCGTTAAATCCTTTTTTATCCCTGAGATACGCTCCAGTGGCACCGGATCCAGATCCACACACTGGATCTTCTTTAATGCCAACTAGTGGGGCAAATGTACGTGTTTCAAAAGTATGCTGTTCGGCGTGCCTTCCCAAAACCTGAAAGCCAGTAATACCCATCTTTTCTGATAGTGCTGATAGAGCAGCAAAATCTGGTGTCAACCCAATCACAACCTCAGCGTTCTCTAGCTCCACGACATACCACAAGGGACCTACATCATAACCGAATGCACCTAATAATCTGAATCCACCAAGGGCACAGCTAAGTTCTTCTAAATATTGTTCTTGGCCACCAATTGGCTTGGCATATGGCAAAACAAACAGAATCTCAACTTCCTCGGCTTCAGAAACTGAGAGGGTCACAAGCCCTGCACCGCATTCTTGAACGATTTTTCCGTTCTTGGGTTCGATCAACCCCGCTTCAAGTAAAGCATGGCATGTTCCAATAGTAGGGTGCCCGGCGAAAGGGAGCTCTTCCTGCAAGGCAAAAATCTGCACTTTGTAATCAGCCTCCGGGTGCGTGGGTTTCTGAACAAAAGTGGCTTCTGATAGATTTGTCCAGGCAGACATCAATGATTTCTCCAGATCTGGTATTTCTTCGGCATTGAAGAACACTGCCACAGGGTTCCCGCGATACTTTTGGGACGTAAATACGTCGACTTGCTTGAAAGTTGGCATGTGGTGTGTAAGTCTCTTTGATGATTAGCGAGGTAAACGGTGCTTGCGCGTCTGACTAATACAGGACCCTTTTGAAGACCGATAAGAATCACGACAAAAAGAAGGGATAGAAAAAAAAAGGAAACCAAAAAACTGAAGTTTCAACGAAATGCGTGACTGTTTGATAAGCGTCTAGATCGATTACAAATGTCAGTTCGTGAGTATATGGGGTAAGAGGAGGTAGTGTATTTATGTCCGTGTTAACGCCGCTAATGCGGTTTTAGGCGCCGGAAGCCGCATGGAAATCTTTATGCGGCTAATCTGAAGGCTCGGATAAAACGGCTTTGGGAGACATGGAGTCTGGCAACAACACAAACTTCGTATTGCCCAGCTGCTCTTTAATTTTAAAGCAGATCATCAAGCAACTCATCGGAAATCCCTTTAAAAAATTGAATAGAATAGCAAAAAGGAATCAACGGAAAAGTGAAACACAAAACCAAGGGCAAACGGCTTACCTCATGAGCCAGCAAGTGCAGGACAAAGACCTTTTCTGCACATCGGACCGGCCAGCCGAAACTTTCCTCTATATATCAGCATAAATATATATAGTGATAGCAAGAGACGATAGGACATCATCACCAAATGTCCGAATCCAAAACAACACAATATTCGGGTTCCGGTTCAGGATCTGGGATAGGTTCAGAGTCTCGCAATACTAGCTTCGACCATAGCCATGAAATCACTGATTTCCATGGACACGAAGAAGAAGATATGGGATTTCCAGAGCGTCAGCTAACGAGAACACAGTCTGTTATTCAAAGAGTTCAGACCAAACTTTCCTTTTTCAATGAAAAGCTAGAGTCTGAAAGATGGATGTTGGTACGCCGTTTCTTCTACATTTACCTTCTCATGGGGCTGTTAATGCTCTCTGTTTTCTCCATTTATTGGGGTTCAATGTATGGCCGTGAGAACCGAATGAAAAATCTACGGATGTTGGTCGTTATTGAGGATGACGAGACAGTCAATGGAATTCCTCCCGTCATTGGTGACCATGTGAGACAAATTTTGCAGCTGCCTTCGGCCCGTCACATGGGGAACTGGCTCATCCAGAACACTACAGAGTTTGAGCAAAAAGCTGCTGAGCACAACAACACGATTTTTCAAGAAATTCAACGCCAGATCCACCATCAGAACTATTGGTCATCGATTTACGTCAAGAAGAATGCGTCATCTGGATTGTACAATGCCATTGTTACCGGTGACACCAGTTATAATGTTTCCTTCAACTCTATTGTCTCGTTTTACGAGACGGGCAGAGACTTTATGGCCATGAACCAGTACGTTACGCCAACTGTACGAGAAATTGAAACGATGGTGACGCAGTCACAATCAGATGTAATGTCGAAACTATTACAAAATGCAAATCACTCTAAGGTTTTTTCCAATCCTGATGCTATTAAAGTTGCATCTACAGGGCTTGATTTCACTTTCATTGATGCACGCCCTTACTCAGATCCAGTTTTGGTTGCGCCTTCACAGGTTCGTTTAATCTATACGATCATCATTACGTTTTTCGCCTTCAATTTTTTCAGTGATATCCATAGACAAGTTCTGCTGATGGGCGTCAAGGTAGTGGATCTCATGCTTTACCGAGTTATTTCTACGATGATCACTTTTTTCTTTATGAGTCTCTTTTATTCTTTGGTTACGCTTGCCTTTCAAGTTGACTTCACCAAAGCGTTTGGCAAATCCGGCTTTCTCGTATACTGGATGACTAACTTCTTGACCATGTGGGCAGTGGGTGCTATGAATGAGGCGATGGGTATGATGTTTATTTTGATTTATCCTCCGTTGATGGGTTTTTGGATGTTGTTCTGGGTTATTCTCAATATTGCACCTACTTTCACCCCTTTGGCTCTCAGTCCGAAGGTTTATCGCTATGGGTATGCCATGCCCATCTACAACTCATATGAGATCACAAAGGTAATTTTCTTTGATACCTACAAGGGCCATATGGGTCGTAACTACGGTATTTTGGTAGTTAATGTGATCATAGCTACCATTCTATTATTGATTATGTTCAAGATCTTCGGTCAGACCATGGCTAAGAGGGCCAGGGCGGAGAGAGCAAAGATTGAGGAAGAGTGTCTCCAGAAGAACTGCAAGGATAGGGCTGCCAGCGTGGACTTTGAAAACTAGACGAAACATGCTTTCCTGAATCTAGTTCGTATCATAAACCTCATTTCATCAACACAGAACTACCTCGTCATTCCCTTCCTATACTCTTCATTTTTAGCAAGTCATATTTATCAAGTCATAGTTCTCAAGTCATATATATTAAGTCATATTTTAATCAACATATTTATATCAACATACCTCCGTCGTGTTCCCATTACCTTTCGCGCCATTTTATGGTTTCGGCAGGTCTCGTCTGGCGCACTCGTCTATTAATTTGTCGAACCACTCTCGTTTACTAATATATTGTAGAAAAGGGCCGCGCTCTAATTGGAAACAAATCGGACACGCAAGCTAGTCATACGTACTCGTTAAATGCTTGGAATTACCACTAGGAAGCAGGTTTTTGATTTTGATGATTTCTGGTTCTCTAGAGATCTGATGAGCGATGCAAAGAATTGCCATACCAAAAGATTCCTTGAATAGGTAATTGTAAGCAATGCGTCCTTTCTCTCAAACCTGTCCCTGTTCTCGTAAAATCATGTTCATCTGTCCCATGCTCGTTCCTCAAAACTAAAGTCAGGTTTTGTGCTTCGTGTCTTAATTTACATTCATATTTCATTCATTTTTCCAGACAAATGTTTTACGACGTTCCTATACTTCCCATGGAGTTTAGCCTCAGCTTTTCTCCACATCCTCCATAGTAGATGGAGTGCATGCACAAATGTTTACCTTGAATAACTTGTATACAGAATTGCTCGTGTTTTGATGGGGCGACTACACACTGTTAGACTTCGCATCATATACATCATTTGAAACTCAATAGAAAGTCCACTTTCCACTTTAGGCCCGTGTTCTATACTAGTTTTTTTATATCCAGACTTCTTTCGATCATCTGATGTCTCGCAAGCCGTCTCAGAAGGACGATATCCGAGGCCAGCTCTCGGATATACAGAAGAAGCTTTTCGGTACCAAGGATAAGACACCAAGTGTGGGCGTTTCTGTCAATGAATCTCAGCCAATCACTCAACCATCTGCCGGTGCAAGTGTTCGAAGGCTGTCCTTAGTACCACAGAGCGGAAGATCTGGAGGTCTTTCAAAGAACAATATGGTGATTCCGCAACCAGCACCAGCATTAGGACCCGAACTGAAAGGCCATGACATGGATTTCGTCGTTGGTTTAAGTGAAAATCTCTTGAGTGAATGTCGTCGCTTGACAGCAGAAAACTCAAAGATGAAGTCGAAGTTGAAAATACTGTATGAGGAAATAGCTCAGTACAAGAGCCAGGTTGTCAATTTGCAAAACTCAAAGTCGTTTGCAGTGACAGCCGAGTCAGAGTTGAAGGACAAAAATTGGGAGTTGGAAGCATCACTTTCGATTCTCAATGAACAACTAGACCAACTCAAGGCAGCAAACGAAAAGTTAGTCAAATCTCACAATGAGTCGACTCTCCGCATATCTTCGCTTCAAAGAGAAAATGACGAGTTGAATTTGAAATCAGCTACACTCAGTACTAACCTACGTCAAGTCCAAGACACGTACGAGAGAGAAGTCACAGAATTGAACACAAGAATCCTGACGCTTAATGACGAAAATGATAACTTGCATATTCAAATAACGGAGATGAGGGACACCGCAGCAACTGCGCTGCTTGCCAAACCCCAGTCAGACAGGTTTATTGACACTCAAGCTACTGTGAATGAGTCCACTGATGAGCCCCAGGATCTCGATAGTATTTTGCAGGAATCAACCGAAGTGCAAAGGGCCATTGCAATTGACCCAAATAACTCCGATTTAAGAGTTGAAACTCTTGTGGCGAATTTGGAGCATTCACAGAAAACTATTTCTAAACTCAAGTCAGCCCTACTCAAGATGAAGATGGAAAATGCAGAAAATTCCGTGGTTTCTGAATCCTTCGTCTCCAAAAATACCCCTAAAAGTTCTAAAAAGCTCAAGCACAAAGATTTGATTGTCGGTCCAGCGGCTAGATCATCGAACTTGTTTTCTCCATCTAAAAGAAACTCAAAGTATATTATCATGAACGAATTGGATGCTCAAAACTCAGCGTCCTCTGATCGTTGGCCTCAAGAAGACAACTGGGATGACTACATTGGCAACGAGGAGTCTACCACTCCCTCAAAGGCGCAGCGGAAAATCTTTGATGACCAAGAGGGAAGCGAGGATAAAAGCGCCTTCCTGGCTACTTCGGAAGATAACCCTCTCGTACATTCTTCCTATTTGCATGACTCGTCCTCTGACCTGGAACCGGATGTTCGTATTGAAAAGCATCGTGTCCTTTCTCACGAACTTTCTAAAGCAGCAGGGGAAATTACTGAGAAGCAGGTTGAAGATTACGCCAGGGAGAATAACTTAGTGTTGCTTAGCCTGGATGCATATACTAAACTTGAGTATAACGACATTTCCTCTGCCCCTCTCGAGAGACTAGTCTCGGTTGTTGAAGGTAAGGGATTTGTGTTGCTTTCTCAACAAGAGCATAAAGCTCTTTTAGATGAGGAAGAAATGAAGAAACGGTTGGAGAGTAAGGGATTAGTCACCATCGATTCTGAAGAGTTTAGCACATTGAAGGATACACGCACGAAGTATGATAATCCTGATCTTTCCTATCTTTCACAGAAGTTGATGACCCAAGGTTATGAACCAATTGAGTCTAGTTACTTGAACGATCTTAAAACTACGGAAAGATTGCTTGAATCTCCTTCTAAAGCTTATTTGGTTTCCAAATGTAAGGCTGCCAAATTAAGTGCAATCCCTGAAGAAGAACTCACACTACTCAGAGAAGTGAAGACAGATCATGAGAAACCTTCCTCCGAGTACTTGACCGAAAAAGCTAATGAGCTAGGTCTTGTTGTGACTTCAGCGAAGCTCTATGATGAGCTAGTTGAGAAAGCAAACTCACCTTCAAAAGACCATTTGGAGTCTAAAGCATCGGATGCTGGGTTTGCTATGCTACCTAGTCACGAGTACAAAGAGCTTGTTGATCCTCCAATTGAAAAGTTATCACAACATGCTCGGGATCGTGGCTATGTATTACTCTCCGAACCAGAACATTCTGATCTACACAGAATGGCACATTCGCCAACTATTGAGCACTTGAAATCTAAGTCTGATGAAAATAACCATAAATTGTTGCATCATGATGAATTCGAGGCTTTGGTTACCCCATCCCTTGAAAGTATAACTTCTCGAGCTGCTGCATTTGATTGTGCCGTTGTGAGGACCGAGGAGCTCAACGCATTGAAACAATCAGCGACCTCGCCTACCCTCGAGCGCATAAAAGAGTTGGCCACTGGCCACCAAGTCATTCCGAACGAAGAGTTTGAGCAGTTGTCTCAATTGGCGAAGAACCCAACACGCGCTCAAGTTCAGAAGAACGCTGAACAACATCAGCTTGTGACACTTCATACTGACGAGTATACAAACCTTTTTAAGCAGGCGAATGACCCACTGATTGAGTTCATTACGTCCAAAGCTGCAGAAAAGGCTTATGATGTTGTCAAAGCCTCTTACCTTGCAAATCTCAAAAATGAGCTCGATTCTCCTAATGTGGAATATTTGAGACTGAAAGCAGAAGAGCAAGGACACGCTATACTTGAAGTTCTGAAGTTGCGTGACTTGGAATCTTTGGCGCATGAACCAGATGTGGCCCATATCGAGAATAAAGCAAAGGCCAGGGGCCTTGCTGTTCTTGAAGCGCAAACATTAGAAAATATGCAAAAGGAACTTGAGGAGCCGCTGTTAGAATCACTAAAATCTCATGCGTCCAAATTTAGCCATGTTTTGCTTCCTGAACTGGAATTTGAGGAGATGGAACGCAAATCAACCAACCCAACAATGGAGGATCTTGAGTCCCATGCGAAGTCACTTAATCATGAATTGATAGATAAAGATGAATTATCACAAATCAAAGAAGCAGCTCGGAAACCAACTTTAGAACATATCAGATCGGTTGTTGGAGATTACGGCCATGAAATTGTGCATAAACATGAACTTGAAGAACTAGAAAGGTTGAGTCATGATCCTGACGCAGAACATGTGTCACAACGCGCAAAGAAATTGGGATTGGAGACAATACTTGCTGAGCACCTCGAAAGTTTGAAAGTCCAGGCAAATCTGCCTGATATCGCTCATATTACTGAAAAAGCTAAAGATTATGATCATGTTGTTATACCCACCAAGGAGTTCTTCGATCTTAAAAGGTCTGCAGAAGAGCCTACAATTGATGACTTAAGAGACCGTGCGCAAACATTGAAACATGTCTTATTGAGCAAGGAAGATCATGAACAGCCAACAATTGAATATCTTCAGGAGAAGGCTGCACTCTACAACCACATTCTCATCTCGTCTGATGAGCATAAGGATTTGGTTGAACATATCGAAAATCCCTCTAGAGAATTCATCGAGAACAAAGCACAGAAGCTAAATTTGGTTGTCGTTCCTGAAGAGGAGCATAAAGATATCCTATCTAAGATCATGACCCCATCTAAGGAGTATATTCACTCGAAAGCATCTGCTCTTGGATTGGTTGTTCTTGAGGACGAGGAGCACAAGCGAGTCATCTCTATGTTGGAGTATCCTTCGGAAAAGTATCTTGAAGAAAAAGCTACCAAATATGGTTCTGTTCTTTTCGATAAAGACGAGCTTGAAAAGTTGCAAAGCGTAGCGGAAAATCCGCCTTTGGACTTCATTAAATCAAAAGCCTCTGTACTAGGACTCATAGCACTTGATATCGAGGAATATCACAAGATGCAAGATGATATTAACTCGCCTCTGTCGGAGCGTATGGAGAGTTTCGCTCTGTCTCATGGAATGAAGCTTGTGGCTAAAGAAGATTTTGATAGATTACAAAAGGAAGTTAATTCCCCTACAAAGGGAGCATTGGTTTCAAAGTTGGAAGCTTTGGGATTTACGGCTGTTATCTCTTCTGAATTAACGGAGCTTACTAGAAAGGCGACTTCTCCAACTATTCTGGAGATATCTGTGATTGCAGGTAAGCAAGGTCATCATGTTTTGCCTGTCAGCGAATTCCAAAATTTAGTTTCTCTTACGACGAATCCATCGTTAGAACACCTCATTGAGAAGGCTTCTGATCAAGGTTATATTCTAATGCCTGAAGCTGAGTCTGAACAACTCAAGGAGGCTGCCGCGAATCCCTCCGCGGATGTTATCAACAAATCGCTCGCTAGCCAAGGTGACTGCAGGGTCAATATAACTGAGTTGGAAAGATTACGCAACAATGCTGAAAATCCATCAATCGAGCTAATTTCAGAGAAAGCTGCAGTGTTGGGCTACGAGATCAAAACCAAGTCAGAGTTAGCGGAGCTTAAAACTTTGGCGTATGAGCCGTCAGTTGAGCATATTGAGGAAGTTGCCCGGTCTATGGCTTACGCTGTAATTCCGATCGATAAGTTAAATGAGATGAAACTAGCAGCCTATGACCCGTCCATTGAACATTTAGAAAATATTGCAAAGAAGCGTGATCTCATCGTTTCATCTAAATCGGAATGGTCATCTATGAAGGGATTGGCCTATAATCCTGATATCGATCATGTGCGGCAATCCGCTACAAATCATGGATTCAGTCTCATCAAGTCTTCGGAGTTGGAATCTTTGCAGGCTCTCGCTCATAAGCCGGACCACGGTCATGTGAAAAAGGTCGCCGGAGCAATTGGCCTTATTGCAATTGCTACTTCCGAATTCGACCACATTTCTAAATTAGCTCATGAACCTGATGTCGTGCATTTGAAGAGGCATGCTGATATTAATGGGTTTGAAATGATTGATAAGGATGAGCTTCTTCACTTAAAGAGATCGATTGAAGATCCTTCTTTTGACTACCTTTCCAGTCATATCTCAGGATTGGGTTACGTGGCTGTACCTAGTCAAGAGTTCGAAAGACATTTGGAGGATAGGGAGAAGGCCAAGGGAATGAAGCTTGTTCCAAATGAGGAGTATGCAAAACTCAACCAAATCGCAGAACATCCATCTCTCGACTTCTTGAAGGATAAATCCAAGGAGCATAAATGTGTCATTCTAGATATTACTGCTTACAATGAATTGAAGGAAAAGGTGGATAAACCCGATATTGACTTTTTGAAGCTCAAATCTAGAAATCTCGGTTACGAGCTAGTTAATGAGAGTGACTACAACCAACTAGTTCATACAATCGACTTCCCAACGAGAGATTATTTAGCTGAGAAGGCTGCAGAACAACAACTTTCGTTAATTGAGACAAATGAATTGAGCTCTTTGAACGAGCAAATTAAGGTTCCTTCGGTAGAATATCTACAAGAGAAAGCTCATGAGCGTGAATTTACTCTTATCACTGAAGTCGAACTTGAAAAGTTCAGAAAGCAAATCGAGAATCCGGATAGAGAGTTTTTGGAGCTCAAGGCTGCTGCAATTGGTTTCACTCTTCTTTCTGACAGAGAATTGAATACATTGAAACAACACAGCGAGAATCCGTCACAAGATTTCTTACACGAAAAGGCTGATCAACGTGATCAAAGTCTTATATCAAAGTCGGAGCTTGCTTCTTTTAAACAAGTTTCTGAGTCCCCATCCGAAGGATTCATCAAAGAGAAAGCTACCATTTTGGGCCTATCTGTCTTGTCTTCGTCCGAGCTTGACTCTTTGCGTAAAACGATTGACTCACCTTCAATCGAGTTCATCAAAGAGAAATCCCGGGCGCTTTCTCATACAGTAGTATCTAATGAGGAATTAGAGGAACTTCGAGGCTTGTCTGAGAATCCAGATGTTGAGTTCTTGACACAGAAGGCTATTGATAAGTCCTTGAAAGTGTTACCATTAGCCGATTATAATAGCTTGCTTGAGCAGGTGAACCAGCCTTCGGTGGCCCATCTCAAAGAAAAGGCCAAAGAAAATGGTCTAGAAGTTGTGGATGCGGAATCTTTGGATTCCATGAAAAAGTCCATTGAAGAACCTTCGCTAGAATTTTTGCGTGCAAGGGCCGAAACGCAGGGTTTTCATCTTCTTCCAGTATCAGAATTTGAACTGTTGAAGGAAAAGGCGGATAAACCGTTCTCCGAAGTAGCCCGTGAAGCAGGCTACACGACCATTCCCGACGCGCAATTTGCAGACTTGAACCGTCTGATCGAAGAACCCTCGCTTGAGTACTTAAGCGAGCATCTGCATAAGAAGGGGTGCATATTATTACCTGTTTCGGAACACGATTCCCTAGTGAAACTTGCAAATGAACCAGAATTAGATCACATTGCAGAGAAGGCGAAACAATTGAACTACTTTGTTGTTTCTAGTGCAGACTACGAAGACTATCAGACACCTTTGGAGGAAAAGATTGATAGGGCTGGGATGGTCCCATTGAAGAAACAGGATCATCGGAACTTACTCAGGGCTATCGAAACTCCGTCTTCAGAGTACTTAAAAGAAAGATGCGCCAGTTGCGACTCAGTTATGGTCCCTGTATCCGAATATGAAGCCTTGCAGAAGTTGAGCCACCAGCTGCTTTCTGAACGAGCGGCAGAAGATAACAAAGTGCTTTTAGATATGGAAGCTTTTGGCAAGCTTCAAAATAGTGATGCGGAGCTAGAGAAACTCACACATCAATTAGAGTCACCGTCGCTAGACTATTTGTCGACCTTTGCAGAGAAGAACCACCGTGTTTTGGTGGATAAAACTGAGTATGAAGATCTCAAATTCAAGCTGGAACAATCGATCACAGACATTGCTCAATCACACTCAATGGTCGTCATTCCGATTTCTGATTTCGATACTATCAAACTGCTAGCAGACGAATCTCTTGAGACGAAGGCAGCCAAGCATGACAAGATAATCTTGGATGTCCACGATATGGAAGAGATGAAGAACAAGATCAACTCGCCTCCCATGGATATAGTCGAGAAGGTTGCAACAGCTCATGGATTCACTTTGCTACCAACAACTGAGTTTGAAGCATTGCAAGCTACTTCTGGTGAATCCTTGGAAGAGAAAGCGCTTGCTGGTGATATGGTAATTCTTTCCAAAGAAGAACATCAGGCTTTGCAATCAACAATTAAGGAGCCTTCCCTCGACTTTCTACAAGAGAATGCCAGGAAGCAAGACAAAGTCGTTGTTGACAAAGACGATCTTGAACACTTGCAAGCAGAGTCCAATCTCAGTATAGAAGAACGGGCTACAAATGCGGGTATGGTTGTTCTACCAGTTCAAGAATACAGCGCTATTCATCTGAAAGCAATGAATCCTGATGTGGCAGATATTAGAGAGGCTGCCTCGAAAAATGGACTTGCTCTTGTATCAGTTGATGAACTTGCTGACTTGAAGTCTCTTCATGACAATCCGAAACCTGAAAATTTGAGCAGCCTAGCACAAAAGATTGGTTTTGCTGTCTTCCCTGTTGCAGAATTGAGCCAACTTAAGGCGAATGCTAGTCGCACATTGGATGACCATTTACGAGACTCACATCAAAAGGCGATCAGCGAAAAAGAGTATGATGAGTTGCTACTCAAGGCTAACAAACCTTCAATTGAGGAGATTACAAAGGTTGCTCTCAATAATGGTATGGTTGTGGTTCCTGAAGAAGAATATGCAAGTTTAAAAGCTAGAGATGGAGAATCTCTTGAATCAAAAGCAAGGAAGGAAGGTCTCGTAATTGTTGACGAAAAGAAATTTTCTGCCGTAAAGGAGTTGCTTGACGAGCCATTAAACGAAGACTCGGGAGAACGTACTTTATCGTCGGGTTTCGTTGTGCTTTCAGCCAGTCGGTACAAAACCCTCAAATCCCCAGACATTTACGAACTTGCGGAAAGAAATGGCCTTAGTGTTATCGATTCCGCGCAGTACACGGAAATTATGTCCAAGGCAGACCAAAGCGAAGATGGACAGAAGAACATCGCACTCGAAAATGAGGATGATTGGGATACTTTGAAAAACCAACTTCGAGACAAAGGCTACGAAGTCGTTCCTAAGAACAAGTATGCTTTCATGTTATCTACTTCGAATAAATCTATTGGTGATGTGGAAGCTGAAGATAAGCTCACTATTCCAAATAGAGGTCCTAGTGAGGAAGAATTGAACAAATTGATACTGTGGTTGGAGGGTCAGGGTTATGCGGTGAGTGCTTCTCAGCAAGACTTCGCTGACGCAGATGAGTCTTTTGCGCTCAATGCTGAAGAATTGAATAAAAGTGCTGGTAGACTCGGTATGGTTGTGATTGCGAAGGAAAAATATGAAAGCTTAACGAAGAACCCTCCAACTTATAATAACAAAGAGCTGTTGGAGGCTGCAGGTGCCGCACTTTCCTTGTCCGTCTTACCAACAGCCGAACTCATGAAAATGAAGCAAAATTTGGTAGCTAAGGACTGTACCATTTTTTCCTTGAAGAATGGCAAAACAGCAAATGAATTGACAAAGGAAGAAGTTATCCAGAAGCTGCGAGACTTCAACTTAATCGTTCTTGAGAAAACTGATTACCAAGCTTTGACAAACAAACATGGCAAAGAAGTTGACAGTGCTTCCTGGACTGATGAGGAGCTTCAAAAGAGAGCTGAAGAACTAGGCTATGCTGTTGTTGGTATCCCTCAGTATCACCTGTTGAAAAGAAGTTCTCTTGTCCTTGATGATGAAAGTAAGTTCAGAGAAGAGGCCAAAAAATTCAAGTTCATTTGCGTTCCGGAAAGTGCATTTGTTGCAACCACTGCATCTAAGGTTGCTGAACCAGGGAACGTTACGCTTATTCCAACATCATACTACAACAAGTTGTCGCGTGCTGACGCCATGAATATCGAGAAGGTCTCGAATGAGGTATTTAAAAAGCATGCAAAAAAAAGAGGCTTTATCGAGGGCTCTTTATTCAACTCTCCAACCACCCCAGTGATGAGAGATACTTCCAAATTTATTCCAGAATCATCAGTGTCCCCAGGTGCTCCAAGCTCCGCTGAAGTCCCCAAGCTTGGTAACATTCCCAAAGCTGTTTCCGTGAACAGCAACTTGCATGCTGTTTCCGACGTTGGAAGCGTCCTCGATTCCATTACAGGTTTGTCCATTGCAACCAACATTTCATTTACAGACAAGTCAATGATTCCAGCTATCACACAGGTTGTCATCGGCGAATATTTGTTCAAGTACTATAGGCGACTTGGTCCCCTTAGTTCTATATCTGCAGACCGCCACGAGAGGTATTTCTGGGTCCATCCGTACTCTTTGACACTCTACTGGTCTACATCGAACCCTGTCTTGACAAATCCATCGGAGGTGAAAACTAAAGCCATTGCCATCACTAGCATTGAGAGTGTGAGCGATAATAACCCTATTCCAACCGGCTTGTACCACAAGAGTATCATTGTTCACTCGTCCACCAAGTCAGTCAAGTTTACTTGTGCTACAAGACAAAGACATAATATTTGGTACAATGCTTTGCGTTACTTGATCAATCGGAGCATTCAAGAGCTTGACTTCGGAGGCGGAGCACGGGCTGCCCTGACGGGACCTCCTCCAATTGCAGAGCTGCAAGAAGAAATGGACAGCTTGCATGAAATGCAAATGGACATGGAAAGTTCTACACGCCATGCCTTCCCAAGATCTTCTACCATCAAACGCAGCCAGTCACTTAACCGGTTTGGCAGCTTGAAGAGATGATCTTACTGAGTACAAACCTTTTCTCTTTTACCGCCTTTTCTTTTTTTTCAAAATACTTTATTAAAGTGATAAACAAAGGTATGAAAAGTAGAATGTGTCACACAATCCATGTGCCCAATGGCCCGCGCATCTATTTCGCTGCCAATAACTGTGTAAACTCCTTGATGTCGATTTCACCATCGTTATTGGTGTCTGCTTCTCTGATCATTTGGTCTACATCCGCATCAGACAATTTCTCGCCAATGGAGGTCAAAACATGTCTTAATTCCGTTGCACTAATTTTGCCATCGCCGTTTCTGTCAAAAACCTTGAATGCTTCGGCAATCTCAGCCTCAGAATCTGTGTCCTTCATCTTTCTGGCCATCATGGTCAAAAACTCAGGGAAGTCAATGGATCCGTCACTGTTGATATCAACTTCGTTAATCATGTCGGTCAATTCACTTTCGGAAGGGTTCTGACCCAACGATCTCATGACAGTGCCCAATTCTTTTGTTGTGATTTTTCCATCGCTATCTTTGTCGAATAAGGAGAAAGCCTCCTTGAATTCTGCGATTTGTTCTTCAGACAACTTTTCCGCCTACTGAGTTAGTATTGAGAACCATAATCACCTATTAGACAAGAACAACGAGCTCGATGACAAGCTGAAACCAAGCAAGATTTAGCTTTAGTCTGACAGTATTGATGAAAGTTGTCGGGCTTCAATTGCCCCCATTGTACATACCATTACGTGTGTGTGTTTTGTGGATCAACGGGAAAAAGTTTGCTATTGACCTTTTGTAAACCGCTCCCGTCGTGACCGATTGTGTGCAGGACGCGATTTCTATTCTAACAGCATTGTTTCGGTCAGTGTAGGAAAAGGCTGAGGTGGCGACTATCTTAGAAAAACGCAATTTGCCAAGATTTCAAATCTTTTGCATTTGTAAAAATGAATTCAGTTTTTCAATAAGGAGATATATAGAGTAAAACTTCAGAACCTTCTCGTATTCTTTTTTTACTGCGGCTGTTCTAGTATCGTATTGAGAACATGTCAAGTGCGAATCTGGGCGAATCTGGGCGGAGACAAGTTATCTTCGCCTGTATTGACGAAAAAAAAGAAAGAGAAACCAACGACGCAAAGAAATGTGCGAATCCATGTTACGAAGAGTTCGAGAATTTAGAGACGTATGGATGAGGATTCTACAGTTCTAGTGCATTACGAAATCTCTTGTAGGATAATACATTCTGCCACGGAAGCTTTTAAGTCGACATCGTACTGTGTATGGCATATAGTGGAGGCTGAGGTTTGGTAGCACTGTGATCTGTAACGAAGCGAACTTGCCGCATGACTTTCCTGTCTGGAGCAACGGATCGCCCTCAGCTTTGCGCGCAACTGTATTTTAGAAGATTCGTACTGTGTTCTGTGCAAGGTTGTATCCGTCGCTTGTTACATTAGTATTGAGCCCTACATGGCTTTATATGAACTTTCTCCTGGTTCAATAGAAGCCACAGCTAGCTACTTTTTGCTACTGGTGATTTTGTATTGCCCTAAGAGGCATTTCCTATTGCATCTAATTACTGCCACTTAAGTACCGAGCTCGCCTTCTCAGTTCCTTTCCCCATCTCTGCCTATTCATCTTTCACTCTCCATCTGTATCTGTTTGTCTGTTTGGGTACTGGATGGAGGACACGCCATACCAGTCCTTTCTTCGCCAACTCGATGACTCTGAGCTTATAGACCACATCTCTGAGCTTAGTCAAGAGACCGATGCTCCAGCCGCTATCTCGACTCCGCGTCCTTCGTCTGTTCTGTCGGATCCCTTCAACGATGGGCTCGACTCTCAACTCTTACGCTTGGGAAAGCAACCTTCACTCTCCTCGCTGGATGGTGTGCCACCAAACCAACTAGCTGTGCTTAACGAAACAGATGCGGACTCCTCTGATGATGAAGACTTGACCCCTGTGGGTCCCCTTCATCAATTTGGTGACTACGCTACTTATTTCCAAAACAAGCATGCCAAACAACAAAACGCTGACGCAGCTTTTGTTCAATGGGAGAAGAAACGCCTTCGAGCTATGGGTAAGGCAGACACTCATGTGCCCTTTTTCTCAGGGTGTGTGATTTTTGTTAATGGAAACACCACGCCTTCTCTTGCAGTTATTCATCGTTTGGTTGTTTTGCACGGGGGGAAGTTTCTTTCCTACTTGGTGAATAAAGGTGCGGCTACTCACATAATATGCGACAGACTTACGCCTAGAAAGCGGATCGAGTTTCGTAATTATAAAGTTGTGAGGGCAAAATGGATATCTGATTGCGTAGAGCAAGGACGGTTATTGGATTGGAGAGAGTATCGTCTTATAGACAATGTTGAGTATTGTCAAAAAAGACTCGCCTTTGACAATATAGAAGCGACAATACCACACACTGATAAGGATAAGGCGAAAGAGGATCTATCAGATGACATGGTTGAAAAGCATAATGATATATTCGAAATCCAGGATGAAGCTAAAATAACCCAGAGCGAGAACGTTGCACATTCATATGAGAATCAAGATTTCATCATCAAGAACCAAAATGTTACATCTTTATTAGGGAAAGAACGTGACAAAAGAGATCTTGTGTTCGAAGAAACTGCGGAAAACTCGTCAGATAAATTGGACCCAGATATTCCCCACGATGTTGCTCCCGAATATCATAGTACTGAAGATATTGCTGTGGACATAACCGATAAATATGACATCGCAGTACATCAAATGCCGAATGATGATATTGAATCAGGCGTTCGGAAACAATACGTGGCAATGGATGCAAAAAACCCTGATTTCTTGGCTCATTTCTTTGCGAATTCAAGGTTGCACCATCTCAGCACCTGGAAAGCGGATTTACGTGCAAAGTTTGTCAGACTAGTTGCTTCCAAGGCGTCGCCTCGGAAAAGCGGTGCAGTATCGAATAGGATTATTATGCATATTGACTTTGACTGTTTCTTTGCCACTATATCAGCCTTGGCCCATCCTAATTTGGATATTAATAAAGACCCAATCGCTGTTTCTCATGGAGGTAAATCATCTGATGTTGCCAGTTGTAACTATGTCGCGAGAGCGAAAGGGGTTTCTAATGGAATGTGGTTGGGAACTGCCAAAACACATTGTCCGGAGCTTAATGTACTCGATTATGATTTTGTTGCGTATGAAAGCGCCTCCAATAAATTCTATAACTACCTAATTGGGAAGAATGTTTTTGACACAATTTTTCCTGTCCTGATTGATGAAGTTTTGGTTGATGTGACCTCTTTTTGCAATCAAGGCGATATTGTGAAGAATGTTGAGTCTTTGAGTCTGGAAATACGACTGGATATTTACAAATTAACGAAATGCCCGGTCAGTATAGGAGCCTCTAAGAATGTGTTACTAGCAAAATTAGCCACTCGGAAGGCAAAACCGCGTGGTCAATTCTACTTGTATGATGACATTGAATCATTCTTGGATGATTTGACACTTAAAGATCTCCCGGGAGTTGGAAGAGGATTGACAGCCAAATTGGCTGAAGAAATGGACTGTGGATCTCAGGTTCTAATTAGACACGTCAAGTCCTTACCTTTGGATAAACTTATTAGGATATTTGGTGAGAAAACAGGATCCAAGATTTTTCAAAACTGCAGAGGCATTGATACTACGAGTATCTCATTAGACTTCAGTAGTGTGGAATCGTTGTTGGGAAGAAAATCTGTATCAGTTGACGTTAACTATGGTATTCGGTTCGATACTTTTGAGCAGGTCGAAACTTTTCTTATGAATCTTTCAAAAGAACTTTATAAGAGGTTATCTGACCTAAAACTATGTGGATCATCCTTAACTCTTAAGCTTGCTAAAAGGCATCCAAATGCTCCCGTTAATCCTCCGAAGTATATGGGGATGGGGCTATGTACTTTTCTTAGCAAGTCGTCTCGCTTGGGAATACCTACTAATGATTGGGGGATTGTTGGTTCAGAAATAAGATCTCTCTACAGAATGTTAAATGTTCCGCCTCAAGAGCTTCGTGGTATAGCTATCAGCATGACAAAGTTGCAAGATATTGAGCAAATGAAAAGCCACCGTCAAAGGACATTGGAGTTTAATAGAGCCAAAAATATGCGACGTCAAGTGAAAGCAAATTCACAAGAATTTCCATTTGCAGAACCTGTGAGCAACGCACAATCTATTGATTGGGCTGTCTTCAACCAATTACCAGATGCTATTAGAAATGAGTTGAAAAAAGAGCTATTACGCAGAGGTATACCAGTATCTGCTAGAGAAAAAAGTCCAACGAAAAGAAGTCCCGTGAAGACGGAGGGCCAAAAAGTTTACATACAACAGTTGTTTCCCACTCAGCCAGATGGCCCTTTCAAGTCCACTCGAGTAATTGAGTCACCAAAGAAAAGAAAAAGACTTAAAACGTCACCCACAAAGTCTATCCTGCCTATTAAAAGAGAAAATTCACCTACACCCTTCAATGATACAGTATCTTATGATCAGGGTGTTTTAGATGAATTGCCATCCACGATTCAGAGAGAGTTTTTTGCAGAATTGGAATGGCAGAGGAAAAACAAGAAACTTGCGACGGTTCCTATGAAGGAAAGGTTCAAACAGATTCAAGTGGATGAAAATACTGTGACGAACAAGGAGATCAATTTGGAATGGCTTAACGGACAAAACAGGCTCACTGAATATGGTGAGTTTGCAAACATGCGCAATTTCGCCGAAATCCAATCTCAGGTTACACTATGGGCTAGGCTGTCTTTGCGTTCGCAAGGGCCACATGTGGAGGACATAAAAATTTTTTCCTCATATATCGACGGCCTTATTGCTTTGAATAACATTAATCGTTGTCTTTTGTTGCTCAGGCTGATCAGCCATGAGGTTAATGCACACCAGTATGCAATTACGCTTTGCCCTCTTTCTTCGCAAGAAAAGCAGGACTATCTTCTTGGATTGAAAGATTGGCAGAAGTTTTATGAACAGTTTAGGCAACGCGTCATTTCAGCATGCAGCCAGCGAAAGATCATAGTAGACATTTAATATATCGTTTCTGATTGTTTTGCATATAAATCAGGTCTTTGTTTATGGGACGAAAGGTCTTTTTAGTGTTTTCTTCCGTCGGCTGCCAATTAAGTGACTTGGTTCCAGCGAATAAAGGTCGACAGTCCTTGGTTGACTCATTGATAATAGCATATGATTTGCATTCGAAGTGTGAGATAATCTCTGTTGCTAATGCTGATTCATCAGATCTCACCGCGTATCATTCACCACAATATGTGGCCAAATTGCTAGAAGTCAGATCTGATGACTTTTCTGATGAAGAAGAAGAAGCAATAGAAAGGCTCAAGAATACTCTTGGTGTAACATGTGATGCTAACAGTATTCGAACAGCAGATAGTGATAAAGAAAATACTCAGCTTGATCATGTTGGCGACGATATGTACGGCCTCGAGTATGACACGCCTGTATTTCCTTTCATGAATGAATATGTTAAGTTCGTGGCTGGATCCTCACTTAGTGCAGCTCGCTGTCTTCTTACATGCGTTAACTCTCGAAGGATATCTATCAATTGGTATGGGGGAAGACATCACTGCTTCAAGAATCGGGCTTCTGGTTTCTGTTATGTCAACGATGTTGTATTGGCCATTTTGAAGCTACGCCAAAAGTTCAAGAAAGTTGCATACGTGGATCTAGATTTGCATCATGGCGACGGAGTAGAACGTGCCTTTCAATTCTCTCACAACGTCACCACTTGCTCTGTTCACATGCATGATATCGGCTTCTACCCAGGAACTGGGGGCTTAAAAAGTTCACGAAGAGGAATGTATAACATTCCCCTAAAACGGGGTCTAAAAGATGAGACTATGGTACAAGTAGTCCGAGATTTCGTCTGTCCTTTAATCAAAGCAGGGGATCCAGAAGTAATAGTACTACAGCTTGGTTGTGACGGATTAGTTTCAGATCCTCTGGGGCAATGGAATTTAACCATTCGGGGTTATTGGCTGGCCGTTGAGCTTATTTTGAAATGCTTCCCAAATGTGTCCTTTTTAGTGTTGGGAGGCGGAGGTTATGATCATACTGAAGCCGCCAAGTGCTGGGCTTATATCACTAAAATGATAATCGGTGACGAATCGGAATGGACGGAAATTCCTGACCATGACCATCAAGAAGATTACTCTCGTGATAGCTTCCAATTTTGGACAGTTAAAAACCAGGAACCGAAAGTCGGGCGAAAGGATGAAAACACCCCAGAGTACCTACAAATGCTTAAGAATCTGTTGGATATATTCATGTGATGCTCTATTTGTTAATCACCGTAGTAGAATACTTTTTCCAAGTGTGTTCTCCAGTTGATGTCCCATGTGTTCTTGCTCTCTTCAATCGCATTCTCCTTGAGCGTGGATAAAAGTTGGGGATCCGACATCGCTTTAGTAATTAATTTGTACATTTGATCCGCCTCGTCAGATTTTTCAGTTGTATGTGTCACCATTCCGTTCACCTGATCTTTCACCAACTCGCCAATCGCTGGAAAATCCAACGTTATCACAGGAACACCAACCCCAAAGAAGTCCACAATCTTCATTGGAAGATCTATACCACTCAGTGATGTATGTAAAGAAACCGCTAAATCGGCCAACGAAAGAATCTTTGGATAATCCTCCAGCGAAAGCCACGCAGTTTTTACAATCACTTTTGGCAGAAAGTTCAAGGAGTCAACCCTGTCAAGAAACATCTGTTTTAAAGGTCCTTTTCCGGTGATTATAAGCAACAAGGGTGCGATATTGCTCTTATTGTCGTCATAAGTTTTCAATGCCCTCAAGAGAATCTCGAAGTCCTCATCCGGAGTAAAAGACGTAGCAGATACAATAATCCTGTAATCTTGGATGTTTTTAATACCTTGGAATAGTTCATGGTTCAGCAAGATCTCCTGCTTTTCATTATTACCGTCGATCAATGGAACAAACTGGCGTGCTGGACGATCGTGAAGTACAATAATCTTTTTCGGGTTGAGTTGAAATTCTGTGACGAGAAATTGTTTCATCTGGTTTGTCACGGTGAGGTTTAGCCAAGCACATCGTCCCAAATACTTCTCGTACAAACGTAACAAGCGAACCATGGGATGGCTCATATTTTTGAACTTTAGATTGAGTATCGTATAATTCAAATTGTGCCAGTCAATTATGAGCAAGGAATTCCGGCTGAAAAGTTTGATAAACACGACGACGAGTAATAAGAGAGGCAATGAGGGGGGGTTCTGTATCATGAAGTAGTGGCTTCCCCGAAGCTCGAACAAGAGTCTTCCTAACTGAACCAATTGCATGAGGACTTTTTGGACAGCAAAGGCTAAGTATGGTAGTTCCATCGTGTTTTGAATGGCATGAATAGGATGGATCTCAATGTTGATATCGTCAATCACAGCAGTGGGTGGTTCAGTCTCAACATAACCGCACAAGTTCACATTGTAATCAAGTTCGGAAAAAGAACGGGCATGGTAGCACATGCGAGGTGAGTGACCGACATCGCCCAATACAAGAATAGATATCGTTTTCCTTTTGCCTGCGCTCCCCTTGTATGTCAAGAAAGGTAGTATGATGTACACTGTGATTGGAAGTGTAAGATAAAATCCGACGAGCCACCAGAGCCACGACCCTCGTTTAAGGCTATCATCGAATGCCTCAATTCTTTCGAAGTTTTCAAACATAATGGCACATCGAAAGACAGGCAATTGCGACTCAGAACAAGGAAAGCTGAGCTTTACGTAAAGGTCAAAAAAAAGGGAAGCAAAAAAGAAGCTCCGCGACGGGGAATTGAACCCCGGTCTACCGCGCGACAAGCGGTAATTCTAGCCACTAAACTATCACGGATTTTATATTTCGCAATTCTGCGTAGTACTAAAAGATGAGAGGACAATTATTGATGTACGGGTTTTATAAATGACTTCTTAGATGATCAACGGAATCATCTATTTCCCTAATGTTTAAGAAAAGGTCTGTCAAGACGGGAACGAAACGAAAAGTTGAAACAGACGCCTATGACCAGGAAAATCAGACGATCATAACACCGATCAAAGATGATCTTAAGAAGAGAAAAATTCCAAAACAGAATGAGTTTAAACCTACACGAGATGTTTGCCACGATGATAAACCTCAACCTGAGGATACATCAGTAAATTACCAGGATCCTGAGAAAAAAAAGGTTGTGGGTCCAAAGGCTGCGCCGAAAAATATTCGAGTTACAACACTCACAGACTTTCAGCCTGATGTTTGTAAAGATTTTCAACAAACGGGGTACTGTGGCTACGGTGATACTTGCAAATTTTTACATATAAGAGACGAAATGAAGCAAAAGAAGCCTATTGAGAAGGAGTGGCAAACTGTGGTAGAGGATCCCAAAGTACTGCCGAAATTAGAAGATGTTCCCTTTAAATGTCCAATTTGCAAGAATGATTATGATAATCCAGTAAGGACGACGTGCAACCATATTTTTTGTCAGAAGTGTTTCCTTCTGCGATATAAAGAGAAGAAAACCAAGTGTTATATTTGCAAAAAGGATACTGGAGGTACCATCCTGCCACTTCTGAAGCAAGAGCGTACAGCTTTAATTGCAAAACAAGACATATAGTATTACTCTGGCAGACTCGTCGCCTCAATATAATCATTCAGGTTTCATTAGTCAACATCCTGAAAAAGCATTGGAACTTCAATGGGATGACCAAAAACGGGAAGCAGGCTTGGCTTCGGGTCAATAAGAAGTTTCGAGTCAAAAAGAAAAACTGTATATATCCATAACCTGAATTTCAGTGGAGACGTTGATATGAATTTCAGGGGAGACATTGATATCTTTGAATACTACGGAGCACATGGGAAGACAGTTTTAATCCTAAACTTTGAGATTAAGACACCACGAGGAAATTAATGTAAGGTTGTTCATATAGGAATCACACTGCGCGTAATCTGAAGGATATTGTTGATCTTTATCGGGCCAGCCATGTACGAAAGACCTGAAGGAATAGAGAATTGCCGTATTTGGATCGATGGCTGCTTCGACTTTGCTCATCATGGTATGTTCTCTTAATTTGTTTCTCTTTACTTCATACTCCAGACTAATGCAAAAGGACACGCTGGTGCCATGCTTCAAGCTCGCCAATTAGGCAAAGAACTTTACGTTGGTGTACATTCAGACGAAGAAATCCTCCTCAATAAGGGACCTGTGGTAATGAAGTTAGAAGAAAGAATGGCTGCAGTCGAGGCCTGTAAATGGACTACACAAGCCGTCTCCGATGCGCCTTATGTTACTGATCCAGAATTTATGGCAAAATATGGATGCAAGTATGTTGTTCATGGCGATGATATCACTACGGATGCCAATGGTGAAGATTGCTATAAAGGTGTGAAAGATTTAGGCATGTTCGTAGTGGTTAAGAGAACACCGAATATCTCCACGACGGACTTGGTGGGCAGAATGCTTTTGATGAGTAAATCACATCATTTCAAACCCATAGAATCTTACAAAAGCTCACTGGAACATCCCCTTTTTTCAGATCCAGAAACCTTGAAGAGGTTTGCCGACTATGCGTCCGACTCCACTGGCTCTAAGCACGGCTCAGGTGTATATTTGAACCTCAATGCAGATTCCGCATTAGAAGCTATTGTTCAGCCATCATCAGAAGTTTCAAGCAAACTCTATTCTGGCATTCATTATATCGATGGAGGCTTTGATTTGTTCCACCCTGGACATATTGAGGTCTTGCGTTTGGTTCGTAAAGAGGCGGAGAAGACAAATTCGAGTGTGGTTATCGGCCTCCATGATGACAAATGTATCAACACATACAAGGGCTTGAACTATCCAATTATGAACCTTTTCGAGAGATCTCTTTGTGTTTTGCAATGTCGATATGTTGACGCAGTTGTGATCGGTGCCCCTTATTCCCCTACAGAGAAGTTTTTGGCCAAGTTGCCGGGTCCTGTATCTGCAGTTTATCATGGACCTACCGAATTGGAGAGTGGTATTTATGATGGGGTGAGTGCTGTGTACAAAGAAATAGGGCCCCACAAGTTCGATGAAATGAACACGGAGTTTATTGTGAACCGTGTTTTAGACAATAAGCAAGCATACGAAGAGCGCCAGAAAAGAAAGGGCTGGAAAGCTGAGAACGAGAAACAACTCAAGCTCAAGGAAGAAGAACTGAAGAGCGTTTAAATCATACTAAATCTAAGAAAATTTTGTAGCTAGATATGCATTTCTAATGTAGTATACTATTCATAATTCGTTAAAGAAAGGTTTAAGTGGCGTCTTTCTCCTCGATCGCTCTTTGGATTTGAGCCTCATTCTGCGAGTGATTAGAGTTTCTTCTTGGTGACTTCTTGAAGAAATTAATGTCACCCAATTCTTCGTCCTCTAATTCGTCACCTGGTTTACCCCAATTGAATTTGCCATTTCCTTCCTTACTGACTTTATTTGGATTTGTGTCAATATGTCCGTTGTGGGTGAAGTATCTTGGTTCAGAAGCACCTTCATGCACAGTCCATTTTTGAGTTCTTGCCATGACTATTGTAGTTTGGATGATTTCTTGCTAGTAATATGAGTTAATATATTTTTCTTGGATTTGAGAAATAATATGATAATGATTGTGAATTGGGGGAAGGGAAGTTCGCTGGTTTTTATAGTCGTCAGTGACCCGAATGTGGGGTCAAGGTCGTCTGCAGTGATGGAACAAATATGCATTGTGTGATTCCTGTGGTGCAGTCCCAAACCAATCCATTGAGCTCCTATTAATCCAGAGTTCTTGCCACAGTCGTAGTTTTATACAATTGGGGACAAGAACGAAATATGAAAGCAAATATCAAAGTTGATTCTAAATATTCATGCAATTGGATATGCTTCACTAAAGCCTAAATGGCCCGAAGTCTCTATCTCCAGTGCGCGTCATCTCTTGTCAGGTCGTTCGCGTGACTTTGTCCCCTTTTACAATTCGAGAAGCATCTATGATGAGCCAAGACCTGTTGAATATTTTTTTTATTGTAGTATTACAAAATAAGCCACTTCTAGAATGTCAAAATGATAAACTCGCTGGTTCACTCAAGAATATTAAAGTGGTAACTACCTTGGACTGCGGTTCCTCTCGGATAGTGATTTTTTAAAATTTGTGCGATTAAACAGAAATATGAACAAATGCGAGATTCTTTCTTAAAAATCCAAAACTTGATTTTCTTTCAGACAACACAATACAATATGGAAATTTCTTAGAGGTCTTATCATTCTCGAACTTTATTGATCAATTACCGTTTCTACGTTGCAATACGAACGTTAGCCTTGAACGGCCTGCATAAGTCACAGCATGGTTCATGTATCTGATCCTCAGACACCAGTTATCAACGACCAAACATGTCACACAAGGAAGATGTCAGAAAAGAAGAACTTGAGACACTTCTGGCAATCTATGAGGACATTGTATCTCTAAATTTTACATCTTTTGAGGGAGTAGCGACTCTACCGATAAGCTTTGATGATGAGATTCCAATTCGGCTCCAAATCGCAGGTGGCAACACATACCGGAGCACCAATATAAAATACCTTCCTGCTATGCAATTCAACTTTTCGCTTCCGGAGGGATATCCATATGAAGAGCCTCCTGATATCCTATTAAACTGCACTGTGATTCTGGAAAAAAATCTATCTGAGTTGAAGGCTACGCTACGGCAATTATGGCTCGATATAAAAGACCAGGTGCTATTTGCAATGATTGAACACTTGAAAGAGACAGTTTGTTGGAATCCTAAAGAGTTAGTCGGATCAAGAATAGATTGTGGAGAAAACGGTATACTATATGACAAGCTCATTGAATACGATGCAGAAGAGAAACAAAAGTGCTTTGACCAAACAACCTTTACGTGCGAGATATGCCAAAGCGATTTAAAAGGAGAATACTGCCTGAAGTTTTCGCCTTGTAACCACATTTTCTGTAACGAGTGTCTTCGCAACTTTTTCATATCACTAATTGATAGTGGTAATGTTGAAAAAGTTCATTGTCCTGATTTCGATTGCACAAAGCGCATATTGGACGTTAGGGAGAAGTACCTTCGCTTAGACAATATTGCCAGTGAAAAATTCAACTTTGATGAATTCAAGATGCAAATCATGACTCCACCCATTGATGCATCTTTACTTCAACGCGTACTAAGTGGCAGCGAAGGGTTAGAACTATATCAGAGATATTTGAGGTTGTTCACCGATCATCAGCACGTTCTCATTGCAAAGATGTTCCCCACGAGGTTAGTATCTTGTCCGAGAGAAAAGTGCCCTGCAATGATCTTCCGTGAGAACATGACCAACAGACTCGTTATATGCCGCCAGTGCCAGTATGCCTTTTGCAATACATGCCGAAAGTCTTATCATAGTAATGCTATTGACTGCGCTAAAAAGAACAAAGATAGACAATACTATGGCATTCCTTTAGAAGCTTTGGAGACGTGGCTCAATTCAGAAAGCCAGTCCCGTGAACGCAGTGAGTTGAAGTACAAGTATGGGCATGATCTAATGAAAAAAGTCTCCGACGAGTATTTGATGGATAAGTTATTCAATGAGTTGTTAGCTGATGACTCACAAGATTTTAGCAAGTGCCCAACATGTGATCTAATAATACAAAGACTGGATGGTTGCAATAAGATGAAGTGTTCGTCATGTTACACTTTTTTTTGCAATCTTTGTGGTATATACTTGGATCATGATCATCCTTATGACCATTTCAATGACCCTAACAGTCCGTGCTATGGTAGATTGTTTCACGGAATGTCTGGAACCGAGGAAATGGTTGAAGTCCCAGGATAGTCGTCATTAGCGGAATTTAGGCTTAATAGTATACTCGATCACGAGAAGCATAAATAAATCGAAGCGCGCTCTCTGTACATTCGCCGTATTTGATACTCAGTCGACAATATGAGACTAAGAGTTGCGTGTGTCCAGTTTAATCCTTTGTTGGGACAAGTTGAAGCAAATATAACAAGGGTGAAGACACTTCTTTCAAGTGTCCAGAAAGAAATAGACTTGATTGTTCTTCCCGAGCTCTCACTTTCGGGCTACAATTTCTCGTCTCCGCAGGAAATTAAACCATTTCTAGAAGATTCAACTCAAGGTAAGAGTTGTTCTTTAGCTAGAGAATTGTGCAAGACGTATGGATGTACTACTGTCATAGGATATCCTGAAACTCACCAGGGTACCACTTACAACTCCGCATTGGTAGTGGACGAAGAGGGGAACGTAGTCTATAACTACAGAAAGACTCATCTTTACGAGACAGATGAGGCTTGGGGATGTAAAGAAAATCCAGATAAAAGCTTCCCTTCTATCCCACTAACACTTGGCAAAGATAGCTCAAGATTAACTCTCAGGACTAACATTGGCATATGCATGGATCTAAACCCCTACAAATTTGAAGCACCCTTCAATAAATTTGAGTTTTCTATTTCAAGTTGGTTGAACGATTCATCGTTAATAATAGTCCCAACGGCATGGCTCTCGTCTGATTCGCCGTCGATTCAGGAAAGCTGGACCAGGGATGAGAAAGACAAAAAAGCATCCGAATGGCAAAAGCGATTTACTGAAAACTCAATTGATGAAGCCAATGTTGAAAGCAAGCTGTTGGTAGACTACTGGATTCTACGCTTCTTTCCGTTCTTGTCCCATCCTGCCAACGGACTTTCACAGAAACCCCACAAGACTACTGTCATTCTTTGCAATCGTACAGGGATCGAAGGAGATGTATTATATGGTGGATCGTCTTCTATTTTGCAATTCGATCCTTTGAAAGGATCAAGTGATGATCTAGACAGTGCGAACCCTAGTGTTGAAGTAGTTGGAAGTGCTGGATGGGCCAATGACCAGGTACTATACAGGGAAATACAAATATAGATCTGTATATAAAACTTCCTTTAAAATTAAATGAGTTTATTCAAATCAATAAGCAAATTATCTAGGTTTGAAGAGAATTATAAATGCTTCTTAAAAAACTTCCTGACAGATATGATTGAAACGAGCTTGCGCCAATTTTTTTGCACGTAGCCCCTCTGGCCAAATGGTTAAGGCATCCGCCTCCTAAGCGGGAGACTCCGGGTTCGAGTCCCGGGTGGGGTTCTTAACTTTTTTTATTTTTACCTTGACGTTAATTTTGTCGAATATATGGTTCAGAACTTAAAAAGGCATATGCATTTCCTAAAAAATCCAACTAAAAACCAAAACTGAAAGCACTCATATCAGGTTCCTCAAAGGCGGTTGAAGCTGCTTCAATTTTCTGAGTGGGAGCGGCTGAAAATTCCAGGAATAAGTCTTTCTCGTCTGCCTTCTTTTTCATATCCTCTGTAACACCATAGTCAATAAAGGTCCAAGTCCTCAAAAGTGAAATCGCCAAATAGTCGCACCCCATTTTAGAATAGATTTGAGAAACTTTCAAAACAAAATCAAACTCTTCGGAAGGACTAACTGCAAGGGAGCCCTTGAGATAATTGAATTTCGATGCTCTGAGTTTACGAAACAAAACTGCCAACAGGGGATCATCTCGTAGGAAAGAATTTGCATCAGGCTTGAAATCAATGAGCCTAAGATTCCTTTTAAAATTGTCAGAAAATTTCTCGACGTTTTGCTGAACAACGAGATGCGGAGATTTGATTAATGCTTGAATCGAGACTTCCTTTAGTTTCATTTCCCAGAAGGCCCAACTTGTCATCCATCTATCTCCTTTGGACAAAGCCTTTGGAAGCACGAAATTTTCGATGATATGCATAACGGATTCATGATCACCATTGACTTTTGCGACAGCCAATGCTAGTTCCACATCGTCTAATTTGCTGCACAATGTGATACAGCAGTCTTTCACTTTACCAGCTAATAAGAAGAAGTAAGATGCGTCCATGTAGCGGTGCTTACCCAAAAGTACAAATGCATTTTTCAGGGCCGCTGTCCTCCACCTATCCTCCATAAAATTATTGCTCATGAACTTAAGAACCTTTTCTCTCTCTGGATGAGAAGCTGTTTTCCAGAGGCCCAATAAAACTTGCTTTTTCTTTATTGCAAGGTAGAAAAGAGAGATAAGTCCCGAAGGATCCCTAGAATCTCCGAATTCATTTCTAGCGATTGTTTCCATGAGGTTTGTCAAACGGTGCTTGTCAATCCAGAAAATAATTCCAACTTTCTTTACCTTCTCCCATGTTAAACGATGATGATAGTAATCATCGACATGGCTGAAAAGCAATTCCTTTTGGTCACTATGAACTGCCCAGCTTATATCTCTCATAGTTAATCTAGATTGTTTAGTGGAAGCTTGAAATAATTTAAACCCACACAAGAACTTCAATCCATTCTCATCAACAGATGATTCGAAGTCGGAGATGCTGCTGACAATGTTCACCACATTCATTAATGTGACTTGTTGATGTCTGGTCAACAATGGTAATGATATTTTCGTTAACTTTTCAATTAAGAGTTCCAGCACAGTAGTGCTGAAAGTGTCAAAAACACCTAGACCAATATCATACTTCTCATGCCTAGGAGGAGAGTTGATATTTGAGAGACGGCGCTTAATTTTTGAACTTCTTGTTTTGCTCAATGCTTCAGCCAAATCCATGTCGAGATTCCATGTTAGTTCGTCTTGAGTCCTAAGACACTGATAGAGCCGAATCAAGATTTCTTCTACAATTTCAATTTCATTCATAAGAAGAGCCTGGATCAAAAATTGAGGATGGTACACTGGTAAAGGGCCATTCAAAATCTTTGCCAAGTCCGATATGAGGAAATGGTTTTCATCCCGCTTGAAGCCAACTAACAATTGTCTAATAGTAGAACCAAGTGAATTGCTGGTGGAAACTCCTGAATTTTGACCAAGTTCGACCCATTTGTCGTCAATAAAAAACTGGTTACCACTTCCTATCACAAGATACCCTCCATCTATCCAGATCAGGTCCCCAATTTCATGCGATGAGAATTCAGATATATCAATCTTTTTCAAAACAGCAAAGGTAGGAATTCTGTTAGTGTAATCATACCGAAGCTGAGTATACAACAAGACGAAACGGGCAAACCCAACAGCCAAGATAGCATTCGCAGTTGATCCAGCTTCCCCAATAAAAGTCCAATCAATATCTCTCACAGGACCATATTCTGGGGGAAATGTTTCCTTATACTCAAGTAAACCAGACTTGGAATCCCAGATAGTAAGTTCAGATCCTGTACCATCCACTATAGCAAGACGGTGGATAAGTGATGCACCATGGATCAAGCTTGCATTCTCTATGCTTGTATCTATCTCATTTTTTTGTACCCAAGATACCTTATTCGTTTCAGGACAAATCTTTGCTCCAATAGATCTAAAGAGCCCCTTTTCATCAATAACAGACAAATCCTTTTCAAGAAAGGTATCCACAGCAGAGATTTTAGTGTATCCTGAATAAGCTCCTGGAAGTTCTTCAGCCTCGAGTGAAAAACAAGCAATTTTCGCTGTTTTATCATCAATTGTAACCCTCCAAGACTTGATGAGGTTTACGTCAAATATGCAAACTATGTTGTAATGGGTCGTGGAGTTGCCCATTAAGCAAAATGCTTGCGGTGCCTTTGTGATTCTTTCATTATCGGCATTTAAAATATCAAGTCTCGAGACTAATTCCGCCTCCTTATCGTCCATAGTTGTTCCATTGCAGTCCCAAATACTTAAATACCCACCTTTCTCCACTACAATTGCAACGTGATGCCGGAATCCACGGGTTGGTGGGCAAATATCATTGATCAAAATAGCGTCGATAATTCCTTGATTGTGAATGTTATCTTCACCCTTTCGGGCAACGTTTAGAATGAATCGCTTTGTGATCAGCATGTCCTTCTTTTTCTCTGGTACGAGAAGTAATGGCTCCCAGATATAATTATGATCAGGGAAATCCAGAACCGAAAGCATGATATTGCCTTCGTAAGACGAGGATGAGGTGATTAACTTTTGAATAGATTTTATGTGGCCTTGGAACTTATTCTTGAGTCTCACGCGAGGTCTAGGGTCAAGCCCTCGATGCGTTCGAAAAGACACTTCAGCAATCCTAATAGTAGATTTCAAACGGTCATGAACCAAGTATGTAAGACTGTTCGTCTCAGGCGACGCGAGAAGGTGTCCCACAGTGATGGGATTAGAGAAGATACTATTGGTGTATTCACCTGAATCTAACTCCTTACCAATATTATTGATGGTGACTTCGTCATACTTTGGAAGACAAAAAGTTTCCTCTGTAAATGTCGATAGCTTTTCAAAAACGATATTATTGGGAGGATTGGACTCAATATTTGAGATGGAATACGATACCGAGTCCATTTGGCCGAAAACAATGAGCAAGTCTAAATTCTTCACGTTTTTCGAGGAGAAAAATTCCACAAAATCCGATTTTGGGTCCATTTTATACAACGATGGTATTAAAGTGGCCTGAAGATATTTGTTTTCGATTATAAGTGCAGTAACAAATGGACTCTTCAAGTCTTGAACCAAGTTAAACTTTGCCCATTGCTTCAAATGCCTGTGTCCACTGAAATCATAGGTAGCCCAAACATTAAGGAACCGATCATTGGTCACGGTATAAAGGACATCATTGCTTTCAGTCAAGAATTGAGGGATGTAGTTGCGCATATTTTTAATATTAACCATCGAGGCTAGAATTTGTTTGTTATCGTCTTCCGATATGGAAGCAACAGCTTTTTCACGCCAACGACAACTCAACAACCACTTATCGCGATCGTGGGCCATATATGTGAGCTCAAATGAAGAATGGACATCATCATAGCTTGTACGCATCCACAACTTGACAAAAAAGTCGTAATCCTCACTATTGTACGTCACAATCTTACTGGAATCGTGGGTTATATCTAGTTGATTCACTGGACTTGCTAAAGTTTGAGACCACCGCTTGTTCGCTTTTATCTCACCATACTCAAAGCCCACATGGAATAACGAGATACTGTGGTCAGTTCCCACAGCCAATTCCTCCTCAGAAATAGCCCACTTCAAGCAGTGGATTTGGGATCCATCCACGTCTAAGATATGCGCTTCTGTCCATTTTGGTACGGACATGTATTCATTCACAGGTCTGAAAACAAGAACCTTCGGGCCTTGAGATATGCAAATGAGCCCATTGTCACCATTGATGGAAACAGCAGTTGGGTCTCGGTCCAAGTATATCGTTTGGAGACTGCGCTTTTTATTATCTGTTAGCGAATAAACGATTAAGTTGTTTCCCGAAGCATAGGCGACTATTCGGTGGTTTTTCCATGCTGCCTGGTCCAAACTATATAGGGACAGGTTTGGATCACCGGGCACGAATTGGATAGTCATGTAATAGAGAAATCGAGTTGGCGCACTGGTGCAATTCTCTACGCAAATGATAATGCGCGCTCGAGGCAAAGCGCCAAATTGGCCCACCCTACAGACTAGTGTTAGAGCAAACTGTACTCTCATTTATTATAGCAATTATATTTGTAAAACATTAAAAACTTACTTCAGATGCTCGATCTTGATTTCTTCATCGTTCAAAAGCTCCTCAATACCATCTTCCTCGAGCCCCGTGTGTTCGGTAATCATGAACAAAATTAAAGGAGCAGCAATGAGCATGGATCCATGAACCAAACCCCAAGAGGAAGCAAACAAGTCCATATATGGCTTCTTCATTGCGTCCAATCTCCAAACAATAGCAGCAAACGCACTTTGCAAAGATTTGTAGAAAGAAGCATACAATGCAACTTTCTTTGGATTGTTGGAAAATGTACCCAAGATCCAGAAGATGAAACTTTGGAAGATGGCATCAAACCCGCCATAGAACATGTACAAAAACATGGGACCGATGTAAGCACCGTCTTTGAAGTCAATTGGTGTCTTGTTGACTACATTCTCTCTGGTAACACCCAACTGGAACTTCAAACCACCACCCCAAATAGCTAAGCCACAAATGAAAACCACAGCGTAACCCATACGTGCACGAACAGGTCTGCTGAATCTTGTGCTATCCAACATAGTTCCGATGCCTATGGCTCCGACCATCTGCGAGAGCCAATAGAGCAAAGAATTTAAAGATCTAGTTCTGACATTGAAACGGCCAGCGTTGAAGTCATTGAACTGATAAGTGTAAAACCAGTTAGAGGCACAAAACATTGGAAACAAAAAGTAAATTTTCCGTTCAGTCTTCAACACTTTCCACATACCCTTGAGCTCATCTTGAAGTCTAGGATACTTCTTTGCAATGACCTTGGTGCCGTCTGCTTTGTAGACCTTATCCATAGGAAGCAAAAATGCAGCCAAGGCAATACCCGCACCCATCAAGACCATAAAGGCAATGTAGGTGCCAGCATTAACATGTGACAGGCCTGTTTCCATGTTTTGCGCCAAAGGAATCAAAGAGCCAAGAACAGCACCGAAGTTGAAGATGACCCAGAAGACCATAATAGCAGTAGCCTTCTTGTTCTCCAAAGCATAAGACATGATAATCGAGCCTTGGGCAGCCCACGTCAAGGATGCACATACACCCAAGTAGGCACCTGCAAATACAGGGAAGGCCTTGTTTCCCTTATAATGGAACACCAACAAAGACAAAGTGTACATGAGGTAGCCAGTACCTCCAAACACCAAGCATGCTCTAACACCGATCATGTTGCAGATGACTCCGCCAACTGCACCAATAGTGGCAAATGTGGAGTAAAGGGCAACATTAGCATTGTCAGCAACTTTTGGGTCAGTAAGACCAGAGTTACCTATACCGGAGATGGCATTGTAACAACCAGGCGTTAAAAATAAAACGAACGACATGATGACGATCTGAACCATAGCATGAGAGTAGGGAGGAATGAAAGAGACATAGCGGCGGTTGTACCACTTCCCTGAAGCCTCTATTTCAGCCCATGAATGGTGCACGAGTTCGATGTGATCTTCAGAGGGGTGGGCAGAAGATTCTGTTTCCACATTCACCTGTTCAACCCTTTTTTCGCTCGACATTGAGAGATTAATGGAAGGTAATTTGATCTAGGTATTTGACAAAGGACACACTTTGGGTTCAAACAAAAAACTGCTGTTAAAATTTGTTTGGGGACACTTGCAACACCTTAAATAAGACGATCCTTAGGAAAGTTTAAACAAGAAGATGGGAACAAAATGAAGTAAAGGGTCGACAGAGACACCTATATATGTTTTCGCTTATCAGCTCACGATCAGGTCGCGTACATGATAAAGCACTGTTGCCGAAAAAATGGAGACAGGTTGCAGACTGACTATGTTACATCATTTGCATGCAGTGCATCAGAATCATACATTATCGACCCCATATCTGGTCGTGTGCCACCTTCTAAAGAAGGGAAGACGGGATTTTACTTTAATACTGTCTTCAGTGACATGCACTGCTCACATTTATTGCAAGGGAATGTTGCCTGAGACAGTATGAGTTAGCAAATTTGTCCTATTGTTTCGCACTTTAGATCCTTAAGGACGATCTTGATCTAACGTTCGCAATGCAACATAGGCGCGATTCCATCCTGTTTAGGTTTCTCCTCCATGTTGCAATCTAGGTCCAGTGCAACCTTCTCTGGAAAAACGTAACGTTGCCACGTCCAGCATAATGCCCTATTGCACCCCACTTGGCTTCGTTATTCTCACCTTTGTAACGGAAAAGCTGTGAAATACATATATAAATACGCAAAGCTGCATGAATGTCACGTTTCCCCGCTCCTTTTGCCGTTCACTTTGGTTGTAAAATCGTGCCATGAAGTTGAAAGTGAAGTAATCGCGATCAGACCCTACAGTTTGTGCAAGATTCGAGTTACAGAAGTTGTCAGGTGATTGTATCTATACCTCGTACTAAAAGATAAGAGTTAACTTTTGAAGATAACAACGGGCTATCTAATTTTACAGTTGGCCCATTTTATTTTGGTATGCGGCTCCAACGGAAACAATGCTTGCCACCAAGTCGTCTATAATCTTGTCTGTGAGAATTGGAGAGTTGAACACCACACGGAAGAATTCACCCTTTTCATCCTTTGTTGGATTTGGCGAAAAGTCCATCAAGTATCTTCCTTGGGAATGGAGAGTACGTGAGATGAATCTAGTAATATTCGTCATATCATCTCCTTCATATCCCTCCGGTCTATAGTAGAAGCAAACCTGAAGACACTGGGGGTGTTCGTCTACCAAAGTAAACCCTGGCACATTAGTAATGCTTTGCACAAAATACTCCACAATCCGAAAAGCATGGTCAACACGCTGCTGCAAGCCATCGTAACCATAGTAGAGCCAAGTTAAGTAAAACTTGAATGCATCTGCTCTTCGTCCACATCCCATGGTTCCATCCGCCAAGTCCATGTTTTCTTCGTCATTCTCTCTTCCGTGGAAAAGATATGGTGCAGCAAGCGAGTTTGCTGTTTGGAAAGTTTTCACATCTGGAAGCAAAAGAAATGAACATGTGTTTGGAGTTCCAAGCATTTTGTGCGGGTTCGTAGTGATGGAGTCTGCAAACTCGCTGCCCTTTAGCTTTTTCTTGTGAACCTCAGAGAAAATAACATTACCACCCCAAGAACCATCAACATGTAACCATACATTGAATTTTTTTGCAATGGCAGAAGCAGCTTGAATATCGTCGTACAGTCCGAAAACAGTTGTACCCGCAGTCGTGTTGATGAAAAGCGGCGTATAACCTTCCGAAATTGATTTTTGAATCGTTTCCTCAAGAGAACGAGTGTTCATTGTTCCATCCGAATTGATATCAACTTTGAAAACGGACTTTGATCCAATACCAAGAAGAATTGCAGCTTTTTCAATAGAGTAGTGACAGTGCTTAGAAGCATAAACAGCGAACTTGAAATTACCATTGCCATGAAGTTTCGTCTCAGGATATTTAATTGATCTGGCGATTTGCATGGCAGTAATGTTAGACCATGAGCCCCCAGAGAATGTGAGACCGCCGCATGTGTCTTGGTGATTCAGATAAAAGAGTCTCGCGTACTTTCTGCCCATATAGTTTTCTAGGACGGAGAGGACTGGAGAGACAGTGTAAACGTGAGAATTCGTGTTAAGAACTGACAAAATTATGTCGCTAATTACACCAATCGGATTATTGGATGCATAAAGTTTGTCAAGAAATCCAGGGTTCCATGTGTTTACTGAGTATTTCAAAACGTTGTCAATGTGGTGGAATAGCAGATCGTGATCGTTCTTCAAGCCCCGCTCGAATATCCCTTCCTCGCTGGTGAATATTTTCTTTAGTTCCAGCGGTTCGTGGAAGCTTCCTAAAGAGTTAGCTTGGAATTTTTCGGAATTGGCATCAGCCGAGGCGACATAGTCTACTATCCTAGGATGGATAAGTGATAACAACTGGTCAAGTTCCTGGACTCTATCCGTTTCTAAATCAGATGAGATCATGGGGAATGAAACTTGCAGTAAAGAATAGTATACAGTTGGATCGGAAAAGCTGGGCCGCGGTTTAAAGGTTTTCATGCGACATTGTTTAGATGCTCGTTACCAACGCTTGAAGTATTTATGAGGACAGCACAAAAAGTAATATGAATATACTAAAGTAGAGATTATAACGTATTCATGGACGAAGAAAAGCTACGGAATCCAAATATGCTCGTTTAATTTTCGATTTGCAAGCGTCTTTCGCATTCAATTATTTACAGGGTGAACCAGGCAGACCTAATGCTGGAGTCTCCTCTTTTCTTCCTCTTCACGGAGCTGCCTCTGTTTCGACAAGTTCCTATTCAAGACGTCCAACTTTCTCATTTCCTCCCGGGCATCAAAGTCGCCAGTCGACAACTTCTCATATGTTTCATCATACTTACCTGTCGACAATGGTGCATTTCCTCTCATCCGTTTTCGCATGTCGAAAAATCCGTTTTTGCATTCCATAAATGCCTTGAAATTGGCGACACAGAGTTCCGGCAAATCCTTCTTCAACTCCGGGTCCGTGAGACAATCCTTGGGCGAGTGACGTTGTATAAGAACACATGGAGATCTCTGTAGACATATAGCAAGTGCTTTCTTTTGGTCTTTACAACTTCAACTGTTAGAATCTAGCATATAATAATTAATAAAACGTATAACATACCTAGCGCCCATTATGAATCTTTGACAACTAAACAAAGTAGAACGACCTGAATCATGAACTGACTATGTGGGGCCATATACACTCCCACAATCCATCAAGTATGCATCTAAATACTCATCGCCCAAGCTATAGAGTTCCAAAGACAATGCCACCAGGAAATGATTCTCTCTTCTTATACAATTTGACTCTCCAACCACCTTCTCTGGCACATAAATCTTTAGTGGGCCAGTTTTCTGGTCAAAAGAAAACGCAAGAATTGGTACTTGCTACTTCTACCACAATCGAAATCTACAGACCTGATACAGAGAAAGGAAAATTGAGAAAGTTGATGGTTCAACATGCATTCGCTATTGTTCAAAACATAGACAAAATACGTTTGACGGGGACCCAGAAAGATCTCCTAATTATTACATCAGATTCTGGAAAAGTGGTGGTGGCTGAATTTAATGAAGCCTTATCTAAGTTTGTCCCCATAGTTCAGGAACCACATTCAAAGAATGGACTCCGAAGGGTTACTCCAGGAGAATATTTATGTGTGGAACCAGACAACAGAGCGGTTATGATTGCTGCTGTGGAACGAAATAAACTAGTCTATAAAGTCGAGATGCAAAACGAAAGTGGCATCCTTAAACTCTCGTCTCCTTTGGAAAACACCTCAAAAAACACATTGACGCTCAACCTATGTGCATTAGATACAAATTATGAAAACCCACTTTGGGCTGCTATTGAGATTGACTATCTGAATTATGAAAATAGAGAATACGACTCTCAACTGTCACCCCTTCAGCTCAATTATTATGAGCTAGATCAGAGTCTCAATCATATCATTTTGAAAAAAAGCAAGCCTGATATCGACGCATCTGCAAACCTATTAATTCCTCTTCCTGCTCCTGCTGGTGGGGTCTTAATTTGTTGTAAGTCGTATCTCATCTATGAGCTGACACCTGGAGGCACTAGAAAATATCTCCAGTTTCCAGTAAGACTGGATACTTCTGAAGTAGTGATAACAAACTTTTATGTCCACAAGCTTAAAAAGAAAGAGTTTTTTGTTTTGGTCCAATCGTCGCTCGGTGATCTTTTCAAAATTACTGTCAGTATCGAAGGGGAAACGCTTACGGCATTTTATGCTACCTACTTTGATACCATCCCAGTCTGCACAAGCTTGAACATCTTCAACAGCGGCTTTTTGTTTGCTAATTCGACTGATAATAACAAGTTCTTCTACCAGTTTGAAAGCCTTGGCGAAGCAGATGACACTACTACACTGTCAGTAAGCGAGAAGTCTGATTTTCCCACAAAAACTTTCTTTGACTCACGAGGATTGAAAAACTTATCTTTGGTGGAGGTTTTGGGATCTCTTTCTCCTCTAGTTGACAGTACAATGCTTGAAACATACTCATCCGAATTCCCAGATCCACTTAAACAACTTGTCACACTTGCATCTAATTCATATATGAAGACTTTGACCTATGGTGTCCCTGTGTCTGAATTGGTTTCTTCGCCTGTACCTATCAACCCCACATCTATTTTCACAACCAAGATCTCCAAGAAATCCATCAACGACGACTATTTGGTTCTCACTTCATCGCTTACAATGAAGTCTATGGTTCTTTCTATAGGCGAAGTTGTGGAAGAAGTTAGTGATTCGGGGTTTGCTCTTGATCAACATACAATCGCTGTTCAACAAATAGGTCAGCACTCTCTTGTTCAGGTCCACAATAATGGTATTCGTCACATACGTAACTTTTTCGACGACTCTGATAACGTGACGAGCAAGAGGGAAACAAATTGGTATCCCCCTGCTGGAATTGTTATTCTTCATGCTAGTACCAACAACGAGCAAGTATTAGTTGGCTTATCCAATAGAGAAGTCTGTTATTTTGAGATTGATCCAGCTGATGATCAGTTAATTGAATATCAAGAGAGACTCGAAGTTACAGGAGGCTCCATAACCGCCCTCGCATTGGCTAGTAAGTTTGTTACAGAAGGGGACAGAAAGAGTAATTTTGCTGTTATTGGTACGTCAGAAGAAACCATTCAAGTCATTTCTTTACTTCCAAAGACCTGTTTTGAGATAGTAACATTGCAAGCACTTTCTGCAAATTGCTTCTCACTTTTGATGATGCCATTGGATAAGGATAACTATTTTGTACACATTGGGATGATAAACGGAGTATACGCTCGTGTGAGGATAGATGTCGTCTCCGGAAAGCTCGGCGATTCTAGACTTAAATACCTCGGGACACAACCAGTATCTCTAAGAAGTTTGGCTTTACCTAACGTTGCCCTGTCGGGTATCCTAGCAATTAGCTCGCGGCCATGGATTGGGTACTTCAATAATGAATCCAACTTCAAATTAACTCCTTTGATTGATATCAGTATTAAAGATGGTTCAGCTTTTTACTCGGAAGATATTGGAATAGAAAGTGTGGTCGGAATTCGCGATGGAGAAATCACCATTTTCACTGTGGGTGGTGAAGAAGGGGAGGGATTCGATGTAACAAATGATTTAACAATAAGCCTGATAAAGTTACGGTATGCTCCTAGAAAGCAATTGAAGGATTCTCTTACTGACTATTTTTTCGTTATTGAATCTGAGTTTGGTGTAATCTCACCATACCTAGAATCCAAAGAAGTGGATGCAGAATATTTCGAGGTTTTTGGATACAAAAAAAAAGAAAACCTGTGGGCATCTTGCTTGCAGATCGTTGATGTCGCTGGGTCTGGAATAGAATACACTCATGAATTTACTAACAACGAATGCACTATTTCGTTAGCCAGCATAAAAATTAGAGACGAGGAATATTTAATAGTGGGTACAACAGAAAACTTAGTCTATTCTCCACATTATTATAGTGGGAATTCCATCTACACCTTTCGGATAAAAAGGAACGCCAAAAAGAAACCTGAACTCGTTTACTTGCACAAAACTACTATTGAATTTCCTCCTTCATCATTGTGTGCTTTCAATGAAAAGTTGCTAGTTGGAGCTGGTAATCAATTGAGACTTTATGATGTTGGTCGCAAACAACTCCTTCGCAAAACTTCGACGAAAATCGATTTTTTAAGGCGGATCAACAAGATTCAGCATATTGCAGGCGATGTAATTGTTGTATGCGATTCTAGCGAATCGGTATCTTTTATGAGGTTCGATCAAACAAAAAATCAATTCATTGCTTTCTGCAATGATACGGCAAAAAGACAAATCACTGCCTTAGAAGTACTAGATTCTCGCACAGTGATAGCCGGTGATAGATTTGGAAACATTTTTGTTAGCAGGATTCCGAAGAACGTCGCAGAGCAATTAGAAAATAATGTCTTGATGAAGTTTGAGGAGGAAACATTAGGTGCATCAAGCTCAAGGCTCGATAAGCTTTGTGACTTTTATACTCAAGACATTGTAACTTCTTTGCATAAAGGCTCATTTGTTGTTGGGGGCTCAGAAAGCATTATCTATACTGGTTTACAGGGTACGGTGGGCATTTTACTTCCTTTGGCTACTACACAAGAGGTTGATTTATTAATGAAACTTGAAAATCTGCTCAGAGATTATTTCAATGATTCATTTGACGACTTTGATAACACAAAACAGGGATTCAACTTAGTGGGTAGAGAGCATTTAAAATTTAGAGGCTACTATAATCCAGTCGAGAATGTCATTGATGGCGATTTTATCGAGAGATTTTTCGAGTTGAATCCAAGTGCCCAAGTCAAACTAGCAGGACGATTAGATAAAAGTCCAAGGGATATCGAGCGGAAAATTTACGACTTAAGAAATAGAGCCGCTTTCTGAATATTGCTACATATATATCTTCACATTGGTTCAGGAGTAAAAGAGGATATGTAAATCATCATAGTTTTTAATATACCCTAATGTTTGACTGGTTGACGCACTTGGAGTGCTTACAAAGAGCACCTTAGGTAGGTGACCTGTTATGCCAATCAATCATTTTTTTTCTTCCTGTTGACAAATTTCTATGAGACCAAAGTAATGTTTACGATTTTGTTCACATCATGATGGTTTTCTATTTAACTTGCTAAAAAAATGAAAGAAATAGAAGGAGGGCATTCTTCAACGAGAGACTATTCTGACAGATTGTCGCGTTGCGGAGAAACGTTTGTTGGGGAATCATTTTCTTCGATACTTCTCTTGATGGAATTGCCACCCTTACTGAAAGTAGGGCTTGTCTGTCCGTTACTGAACTCGCTGTCCTTTCTACCTGGGGTCTGCCCGTTCGGAGTACTGAATTGAACAAAGTTCCATAATGCTGGAGAAGACTGTTGAGCATTGCCATTAAATCCTCTACCCCGTTGTCCTGATACTTTCGACCCGCGTTCTGGAGTGAACGCCTCAAGTGGAGCTATTTTCTTCGGAGATGTGAAACCAAGCGCTAGGTCAGATGTATTCGTTGCAGTAGGTGCTGTCGAATTCTGCATTGATTCACTTGTATTTGTAGGATTGGACGAGTTAGAAAAGGAAACGGGGCCACCATGATCGGCTTCCAGATCTTGCGTATGTTGGGTGTTGGGCTTGTAAATATTTACATCAGGGACCATGCTCGATGTGGGTACGTGATGACCGTTAGATGTAGGCTGTGGAAGACTATAATAACTGTTTCCATTAACTTTGGGTAGTTTAGGCAAGTTCTGGTCTAGCCTCGTATGCCTCAATGGAGATGCTAACTCTGTTGTCTTTTCTCCATGAGTTGGAATATAAGGGGGATTGAGGTGCAAAGGCTGAGATGCCTGTCCATGCATTGAAGGGGGTGCACCAGTAGCTTGATAGGGAGTTCCATAAGGAATTGGGTACCCATTAGAAACAGACGCTTGTGGCTGACCAGGTGGAAGACCCACGTATGGCAATGGTGCTTTTTGAGAAGCGTTAGGAATTTGATCGATGGACATCGCATGACGATGATCAAAGGAATTGCTCCGAGAATGGTCTTCACTTTTGAAGTAATTTTGAGAGTCTGGAAGTTGAGAATGTGTAGCCAAATGAATTTGTAGGGTTCTGGATACGGATGAACCACGCCTAGATTTCAGCAACGTTCCACTTTGGATTTTTTTCATGAAATCCTGTTTGTAAGAATCGCTAATTTGCCATTTCATACCTTTTCCTGGCTCATTAGGGCGTCTGGGCACTTTCTCAAAGGCTTTGTTGAGAGACAAGTTATGTCTAATAGAATTTTGCCAGCCGGTCTTGGAGTATTTGTAATATGCATAATGAGATGAGATCCATCCATAAATTTCGGAAAGGGACATGACACCTTCAGGATTTGATAAGATAGCTTGGGTGATCATGGTAGCGTATGAGTAAGGAGGCTTGATGTCTTTTGCATCTTCCCTAGAAAGGTCTTGATCCAAATTATTCTGTAGAGAAACGGCGGATACAGCAGAAGGGGAATGGTTCAAGTTCGTCTTGTCGAACATTTGGAAGCTAGATATGCTCGAAAATTGGCTCATTCCATGAGAAGCATTGTTACTCATGACTCCACTAGCACTGCTCATGGAGCTTGTTCGAGAGAGCTTATTCGAATCAGGTTTATAGCGTGCTAAACATACGTTGAGCATCTTTTGCAGTATACTTGGAGGAGCGTCTGGCAAAATAAACATCATTTGTGTTCCACCAATGTCCAAAATTGCACCCGAATGTAAAGGCGTAGAATGCTGGGATCCAACGGCGATTTTTGTTCCATCTACACGGGCACCGTTGCGGCCTAACACTTTCAACTCCCAACATCGCAAATCAATGTTGTAGGTGATGACAGCATGTTGACGCGAAACAACTTTGGCTGGACCCAAGTCGATATCCACTTGTTGTGCTGGAGGGGCAGCTCCAGGGATATTATCCGTATTTCTGCCTATGGATATGGCCAAAGCTTTCACGTAGAAAGTCCAGTCACGACCAGCAATTTTGGCATATGCCTGTACCTCGGTTGCCAAGTTCTTGTCATTGGCATAGGTTGTGGAAACATTTGTTCTTTCTTCTGGAGCTTGCAATGTCGAAATGACAGCATTGATTAGGTCTGTAGGATCGTCAAATTTCGGAAGGTCCTCTTCACGAGGGCGTTTTTGATCAGCCATTATAAGGATTCTCCGAGTGGATATATGGGCAAGAAACTAGTTCAAAAGATAAGCAGGACCACACGGATTAATAACCCAGATTTAAAAGCAAAGATATATTGGGTTTGTATCTTTAGAGCGGGGGATGACAGGTGGTGTAGCAGACTTATTGGTCGTTAAAGACAATGGTAAACACACCAGAATGCAAGATCTAGCGAAGGCCAATACGTAGTTCCCAATATTAGAATAGGAAGAGCCTTGATAATAAAAGCAGTTTAGTGGCCAAAGGAAGTAAGTTTTTATCCACAACTTTGACCTACGGAACCCAGGTTAGCTTGAAGGATGATAGACCGGTTTTTTGAGTATGGTGAGAAATTTCTCTGGACAAAACAGTAGGAGTGCACACAGCCTATGGCTTTATCCAGAATACAGGGAGCAACTGAAGCTACAAGCAGTATGTCCAGAGACGAAGGAGAAAGCTACTCTTAAAATTACACATGAAGGAAAAATAAAGGAGCCCGGAAGCCCAAATAGAAGAAAGAAGACGAGTTGTTTAACCCCACAGTGTAGGCGAAAGTCTACCTTGGGTGGTGTGCAGGATGTTTGTTTACACCAACAAAATGCTCAATGAAAATCCCGATCCAAGACTTCTCGTGACATTTCCAGGGGAAGCACGTGCTCACAATACGAGAACTGCACAGAGGGTTTCGTATTCGGTTCTTTCACGCATATAGACATGTGGAGCACTTGATGCGCGCACCAACATTTTACTCTTTTAGGAGCATTTTCTGATTTGGATCGGAATTCGCATCCTTAAAAGGAGGTGGTCACTGGCTTTTCGTAGTTAATAGGAATCACGAAAGATTTGACTTGTGTGTCAAAACCACGCGCATCGACAACCTCTTTGGTTAAAATGTCCACCACTGTATCTTCCTCTTCCAACCGCTTTTTGATCAAGTCCGTCTCGTCTATAATGTCGAATTCATCCTCTTTTTCTTCGTACTCTTCGTTCTCTTCAATCTCAACAAAATCCGGTGCCAAAGCGCTCCACTTCAGCGGAAACTGAACTGTCCACAAGTAAATTCTTCCACTGTCTAGTCCTGTAGACCCTATCATACACCTAGAACTATTCCACTTGACGTCAATGAGCTCTTCATGGCTTCCTTCTAAAATCTTGATTAATGATCCCATCGAAGTCTCCCAAACATACAAGTCGTGCGAGCTTTGACCAAATGTCGAAGCCACCAAAAACTCAGAATTATGATTGAATGCCACAGTATTCCATTGGAGTCTGTTGACCATATCCTGGTATCGATGCTCTATTTCGAATTCCCACAGTTCGGGGTTGTTGTTATTGATCATATCAGGCAACTCAACTTGACGAATGATTCTGTCAGACGAGTTCACAGCCAATTTGCGCCCATTCACGGAGATCTCAAGTGTTTTGATATTGCTGTTGGTGATTTTCACCAGATGAACCGTCTTTAGACTCTCCGTAGAAATAATATTAAGCCATCCTTTGCTAGTTCCCGCGAATATGTAGTCTCCCAGAGAGGTAAATGCTGTCACCAAAGTCATATGCTTTGTACTCTTCTTTTTAGGGTCTTCGTCGTCTTCTCCTTCTCCACTTTCGAACGGTTCTGTTTGAAGCTTCGACACTTTTATTTCAGATTCCGACTCCATGTTGACAAAGACTGGGTCGTCTTCAAAAAGTGATGCAGTAAACATCAAGTGGTTTCGGGGATGCATCGACGCCAGCCAAATGGGGCTATCAAACTTGACCTTTCGAAGTATCGCTGGATTCTCGTCCACCACATCGACATTTGCTTTGCTTAAATCCCACAAAATACAATACCAATCTTGTGAAGACGATAGTAGGTAGCGGCCACATTTCGACCATTTAAGTGAAGTTATGGGTCTGACATGTCCTCCACGACTTAATATAGCAACAGGACTACTAGTCACAAGATCATATATGACAATAGTACCATCACTGAGGCCAGATGCAAGGTAATCTCCTTTTTGGTTGAATTGTATCGTGACAGAATGCCCGTACTGGAATGTCTGTAGAAGAGTATCTGGGTATTCCTTCGTGACCGTGAACGGATCCTGAAGAGACAAGTTCATAGTCAAAAGTAAGGTTATTTATTTTCGAGACTATGTGTTTTGGAGTCTCCACAAATGACAGAAAGGTTTTTTAGCACCTTGAATTGGACAATAGCACCTTTTAAGAAAGCTGAAGTACTATAAGCGATGTCTCATTTTGTGCGAATTTCACAACATGACATCTGTGCTAGTAATTGAGTGAGCGACATCAGTACGACGATCGAATCGCCCTTTGTGAAACAAAATAGAACTTTTTTCTGATTCATGATAAAAAAAAATTCTTTACTTTTTTGTCAGGACCGTTAGACTTCTAAAGAGAATGCTTCCACTTACCTAGAGCCTGGTGGCTTATCTGTGCCGTGTGCAGTATCCTACTGATTCATATACTGATCTTGTTCAACGTAAAGACAGAAACCAATGACGGAAACTAACCTGTCTTCCTCCTCAAGCATAAGGAGTACTAAAACTTCAGATGCTACTTTATCTCCTTTTCGACGAAAGAGGTTTGATGATCGATCACAAACAGCTATAAGTTATCACCTTGCAAATAGTTCCACCGAAACCGAAAGTCTTGATCTTCGGCGCCTACAATCAACGCAAAGTAATTCCAATATCTTCACAAGCTTGGTGCATTGGAAGCCTGCTAGAAGTATGGAACATATTATCAACTCAGAGGATTTTGTGAATTCTTTTGGCAAGCCACTTTACCTTCAATTATCGCCTTTACATGTGGCATTGGGGACAGATAAGGGTGTTATTGTGGGTTTCAACTACCATCAAGAAATAATTTTCGCTCTATATGTGCATCCATTTGCTTCAGACGTTCATTCTTCTGTCTTCCATTGCCCCGTCACTTGTATTACATTCTCTTCGGATTCAACCTTTCTTGCAGCAGGGTTTATGGATGGAACAGTGGCTACTTGGAATTTGAATTCAGCAAAGGTCACAGTAGGGAAATATTCTGCTCTTTTCCCTTATGGCATTATACACCCTATATCACTTGAGGCCAGATTTGCGCGTAACGCTCAGGGACACTTAAAGGACGTTCCTGTAAGTGCTCTTCTGTTCATAGGAGGATCCAACCATCAACTAGTTGCTTCGGATGCTTCTGGGCTAGTGTTCTACCACTACTTGTTCAAAAAGCTTATGCGTAAGTACCATGTTACGCAAAAACTTTTAGGGAAGAATGACACCAACCAGAAGGAAACTGCTGGTAAGTTTGTCATCAGGGCGTGCAATATCCTCCCAATTGGGACAGTTCCACAGATAACGGATCAAATGGGTGTCATCGCTGTAATGACTAGCAGAATATTTTGGCAATAGTTTCTGTGTGTTCGCTCAACAATGCAAGCTCAACAAACCCGATCACTCATCTCAAATTATCGCGATCGAGGCATGTGTTTTTGAATTCCGGATCTCTGCCTTTAGGCAGCCTTGCGTGGTATCCTTGTATTAACCTCAATGGCAATGTTTGCAATGCCAAACTAGCTTACGCATGGAATAATGTGCTCACGATTCTTGAGATTGATAACGGAAAAATTCCAGAAAATATCAACAATATTCTAGCCGAATTGAAAGATAAGAATAAAGGAATACCTCAACTTATCATCAATCGAAAAGCTCGTTGGATGACATCAAATAAAGAGCAAGCTATCTTAGAGTTGAAATGGCTTAATTCTGAGATTTTGACGGCTTTGGTGCAAAACCCCGAGTCAACGGAAACAACCTTAATTTTTTTATATTATGCCAATAACGAAAAGAACTCCCAGCTCATTGAAGTTGGAAGGGACGATATTGACTCTCAACAAATATCGTGGAACGTGTTAGACTCTCAAAGCAAGGAGCATATTTACCAAGGATCGTTCCAGATATTCCGCCACACTATGATGGCTTTAGTCAATTCACACTCTTTATCAGAAAAAAGTGTAATAATTGGCAAAACACTTAAATGGGCTGATAAACTTATGACTTGTTTGGCCAAAAAAGATTTCAAGGCAGCCTTAATCCATGCATGCGAATTTTACTACTCCGACAATTATGGCAGATTGATATTATCTGGATTGCCTCATACAGCCAAGGAAAGACATGAAGTTGTCCGTCCTTTTTTGATTCAGATCATGAAGGAGGCCGTGACACCTTTATTCGAAGTTGAGTCAGCTAACGGACCTCTTGATGAGACCCTCCTATTATACCTACAAATAATAACAATGTTGGCGAAAGACTCAGGGGGACAGATTCCGGAGAATTTACTTGCAATATTAGAATCTATCGACGAAAAATATGAGGACAAGCACGGGTTTTATCAGCATCTTGAAAATTTCATTTTATCTCGACAAGTCCGAAATCTATCGCCAACTTTATTCAAAAACTTAGTGGAATATTATATGAAAGCAGCGGAAGGTAGCAAATTAACTGAAATGATTTGCATTTTAGATGCGAGCACATTGAGTATTGACATGACCTTACAACTCTGCACCAAATATGATTTACGTGAGTGCAGTGTTTACATTTGGAACAAACTTCTCCACGACTACAAGACTCCTCTTATAGTATTGATGAATGATTTGAACTCCTCGAAATATGACGAGGAGCAGAAATTGATAGTCTACACATACATGACGTATATATTGAGCGGACGTCAATTTCCCAGTGATGATTTACTAAGTGTTGATGAAGAGAAATTTGCTCGAGGACAGGTATGCGAGATAATTTTCAGTATGAATCCATACTCTTTACTCCATGGTACAGTTGTATCTGGTGATTCTGTGGATGTCTTATTTCCTCAGTTGTACCAATTATTAAAATTTAATGTGTTTGAAATGCTTGTGACATTGAATGAATTCTTCGAGAACCCTTGTTTGAATGCCGAAGGTAAAGACGCCCTCAACAGACAATACATTACAGATGCTTTACTTGACGTGTTTGATGCAAAGAAGGAAAGTTTCAACCAGAGAGACTTCGTGTACCTTGCTATTTTCATTGCCAGGAACTACCCTAAATATTACCAATTCATAAGGATTTCAGAATCCACTTTGGAGGAAACAGTTGATCGTCTTTGCAAGAACCCAGACGAAGACCTTCATGAAGACTGTGAATTGTCTTTGGAAAGTTTGCTACCTTTCTATGATATGCCTAATGATTCCCTTCTTATAGAAAAGCTACGAGCAGCAAAGTTTTTCAATGTTCTTTTTGGAGTATACCGGTCTAAAGGTAATTTGCGAAAGGCTTTAGAATTGTGGCTTGAAGGTCGGAGAACAGAAACATCACACTCGCCGGACGAGAAGAGAAGCTTAACTGTTTTAGCCACTACTCTTGAAAGTACATTTAGACGGAGCCAATCAAACTATGAAGAGAAAAACCAATTAACAAATTTTATTAATATCCATTTCGAGGAACTTGCGAGATACAACGTGGAAGACATGGTGGTTCTAGCCAATACCTACAATGTGGAACATCACTTGGCTGTACTCAGCTGTCAGGATAACAAACTTGCTTTTCAATATCTAAACGCGTTGTTTACAAAATACGATACAACTATAGAAGCTTCAGCTAAAGCTCTACTTCTTAGTAAATATATTCAGCTCATTGCTGAATTTGATCCAGAGCAGCTTGTGACAATGCTAGCTAACTATGGTACTTTTTTACGACCATTCAAGAAGCCAAGAGAGGAGTTGAAGTCATTTTTCAAGGCAAAATGCTTTTGTGGTGCATTAAGTGTACTTTTACGTCTAGAGGGTCGCTTTCAAGAAGCGGTTAATTGCCTTGCGGATGCGATGGAGCAAACTGTCGAGAATAACGAAAATATCTCCTCGTTGAAAAGCAATTTAGACCTTGCAATGTCGATATGTTCTGAAGCGAAGGACGACAAATTGTGGAAGTTCCTAGTGCAAAAATTAGTCGTGTTTACGGGTACAGCGGGTCCAAGTGCTCTTGAGTTGCTCAACCAGGGAATTTATCAATGTTTCCGCAAAATAATCGAAAATGGCAGTGGCATAAACTCACATCAAACATTCTCGAAGGTTTTCAATGACATTTTGGAGATTGCCACAGTTTCCAACGTGCGGTCTATTCTTCAAGATGTGCTTGTGTCGTTTTTTTTCGAAAGCGAGACACAGAAAATCGTATTAACCAAGATGAATCGGGAAATTTACAAATACATGTACCACTTAAAACGAGACATTATTAAAGGATGGCCCGTCAGAAACATGAGGTGTACCAGCTGCAGCAAGTCCATGTGCGGTACAGACGTCTCGATTGAAAACTACCTGGTTTGGGAAGACAAGATACGTGAACGTGTTTTTCTAGGCCCCGCTGAGGAGACTAAGTATACGAGACAACTTGGACTTATTGTTTTCAAATGTGGCCATGGATATCACTTACAATGTCTTGATGGTCTAGGTAGTCTGACCGTTTGTGTTATGTGTGTTCCGGAATGAGACACACGACGGGAAAGGTGCGAAGCATTCTCCTGAACAACATGCATCGGCTCGGCATGTTGATGTTATTGCGATGAACCACCAAAGAATGGCTAACATGTAAGAGTGAAAAAAATCAAAGCCTGAATAGCACCATTGGTTTACGAGGCACGTAATTTAGATCAAAGTGAATACAAGAATAGAAGAAAGATCCAAGACAGGGCCAGGTTGCGAACAAAGGTATTAATAGTCTAATGAAGCATGTTATGCAGGTGAAGGTGCCTGTGTCTAGTGCGAAACACAATCACCTTTCCCTTTTTGGAAAGGTTCAAAATAGAACATGCGATTTAGGCTGAGAAGCTAGACTGTATACTTGAACAGTTGTGAGCCTTTTGTATTATACTTCTCCCTTTCTTCGCTGCTTTCGCCAACGTCACCTTTCTCTTCATAGGCCATGAATTCTTTCGAGGACGATTTGTTTGGCGACGAGAAGTTCCATCACCGTATGCCTTCGCATCAAAGTGAAAATACTGCTGCCGATGAGGACGATTTTTACGAAAAACTAGGCGGAAGCCTTTATGGTGGTTCCAGCACCACAAATTCAACAGCAAAGTCTCATAATCTTCGGTTCCAAGAACCGGATCGCTTGAACACATTTTATGAGTATCCAGAAGCAGGCGACATGTCATACTCTGGAATCGAATATCCGCCTTCGGCTTACAATCGCTACAGTCGTATATCGACAGTGACACCTGACTTAGTCAACCCAGGATCACCGCCTGCGGTTCGTAACTCTCAGTATCGCTTCCTGAATGTGTTGTTACCTGGTCAGATGGAAACAAACGACTATAACGTTAATCTTTTGGAAGAAGCAAATGAAACGGATGATCCATTTGGTGACGACGACTCCTTGTTCTCTGACACAGGAGAGGAGCCCGTGCGCAAAGCAAATACGCTTCGTCGCAGATTTGGCGATGCCGATGAAGATGACTTTACGCCTCGGCTCAATTACACTAAAACTATTAAGAGAGCAAAGTTGGTTCATGGAAATTATGTTATTGATGCTCCGGTGCCTAAGAGCTTGCTTGAAAAGTACGGTCAGCTGCTTGGTGATAGCAATGAGACGTCTTTTGTGCGGTACTCTGGTGTGACTTGCGGCCCTTCAAATTTCGGTAAGTTCAACTACAATCTCAGACAAATGCTTTATTCCCCTCCACGTGAAACGGAACTCATGGTCTGCATAACCATGTACAATGAAGATGAGATATTACTTGGAAGAACACTTGAAGGTGTGTTCAATAACATCAAGAACCTTACAAACAGACGGGAAGCAACCTGGGGTGATGGTTCGTGGAAGAAGATTGTCGTGGTTATAGTCAATGACGGTCGTTTGCAACTTAATGAAAGAACCCAAAAACTCCTCACTGCTCTCGGTGTCTATCAAGAAGGTTATGCCAAGTCCAAGGTTAATGAGAAGGTTGTCAAATCGCACGTTTACGAGTACACAACTACAGTGGGTATTGAGCAGGTCACGAATGACAGAGTTCACTTGAATGTAAATCTGACACCAGTGCAGCTTATTTTTTGCTTGAAAGAAAAGAATGCAAGAAAGATCAATTCGCATCGTTGGTGCTTACAAGCGTTTGCATCGCTTCTCAATCCAAAATTGGTCATGTTGTTGGATTGTGGTACTAAGCCTTCTAAGGATGCATTCTACCACTTGTGGTGCTCTTTCAAGGACCCAAATGTTGCTGGTGCATGTGGAGAAATGAGATGCGGTTTGGGTCCTGGGAAGAAACTTTTGCTTAACCCATTGGTGGCGGCGCAAAACTTTGAGTACAAAATCTCTAATGTTTTGGATAAACCAATGGAGTCTGTATTCGGTTTTATTTCTGTCCTTCCTGGTGCCTTTTCTGTTTACAGATGGGATGCCTTATTGAATGTCGATGGACAGGGACCTTTGGAAAAGTATTTCAAGGGTGAGTTTTTGCATCTGAGTACTCAAATTGATGACGAAGAGGATGATGAGATCGAGCTCAAGGAAAAGAACTTTCAAGAGGCCGGTATCTTCACTTCTAACATGTACTTGGCTGAGGATAGAATTTTATGTTTCGAGTTGGTGGCCAAGAGAGATAAAAATTATGTTTTGAGATACGTTAGTGCTGCTAAAGCAGAGACTGATGTTCCAGAACATATTGATGACTTTGTCTTGCAGCGTCGTCGTTGGCTTAATGGTTCTTTGTTCGCGGCTGTATACTCTATCATTCACTGGACTCAGCTTTGGCGCAGTAACCATTCCCTTCTCAGAAAACTTTGGTTTCAACTTGAGTTTTATTACCATGCGCTTACCGTCTTGGTGTCATGGTTTTCTTTAGCATCTTTCTTCTTGGTGTTCCGTATCTTGACAAAAAACTTGGGTTCTAAAACTGTCGGATTCACGCTTGGAAAATATTTGTCCATCATTTTCTTGTGGATCTATGTGGCATGTTTGGTTTGTACCTTTGTTTTGGCTTTTGGTAATACTCCAAGAGGTACACGGAAATTCTATTTTACGATCACAGTTTTGTTTGCCATTATGATGGCCTATTTGCTTTTTGCCGCCGTTTATTTGGCAATCCGTACGGTAAAGCTCGTCATGGACCAAACGCATAATCATTTCGAGCCATCCATGCTTTTCCTGAATGAAAAGTTTAGAGATTTGGTGGTTTCCATGCTTAGTACTTATCTCCTCTATGCATTCGGAGCCATTTTGCATGGTGAACCATCATTCATGTTCACATCTTTCTTACAATATCTCATGCTTTCGCCATCATACATCAATGTGTTGAACATTTATTCCTTCTGTAACATTCACGATATATCGTGGGGTAACAGAGACGTTCCTCAAGCTAAGGACTTGGGCTCAGCCAAAATTACCGACAGAGGCGGTGAATTGGTTATGACTGTGGTTCCAGCATCGGACCAGGAATTAGAAGAGAGCTACAATGATATTTTGGAAGACTTGAGGGTCCCACCACCTGCTGTTATCTCTACCCCAAACAAAAAGCAACAAGAGGACTCTTACCATGCCCTTGTACGTACAATCACCGTTTTGGTTTGGATGTTGACAAATGGAATTTTGGTGGCTATCGTTTTGAGTACAGGTGGTGTGAAAGATAAGACATGGAATGCTGACCACAATTCCACCATTTTCTTGACTGTGATTTTGTGGGTTGTTTGTGGTTTGGCTGCATTCCGTCTCTTTGGCAGTCTCATCTACGTGATACAAAAAATGGGAAGACCTATGAAGTGGTGGATACAGAAGAGAAAAACGGTGGATTAAGTATTTATCTGTGTGTGTTAATATTTAAGAACACGATTTAGGGAATTTTGGCTAGAGTGTAACATAATGTAAAATTGTGCGTGAACGAGGCACGAAACGCAAATCCATTGAAGGGCATGGAAAAAACGAGCAAAACATACAACCAGCACAAACATCAGGTTAGAAGTACTTACCTGTTTGGGTTTATTCAAACATCCCCACACGGACTATTAGAAGCACTGGTTGTGGAGCAACTACGAAAGTCGTTAAAGACAGTGTACCAAACGCTTTACATGCAGAACCTAGTATTAGAATTCTCAACTAGAGTGGTTGGACCGGCGAATACAAGAGAACGGAAAGAGAATTAAAGATGCATGAAGACACCAAAAAAAAAATTCAGCAATTTAAAAAAGAAAAGAAGAAACAGAAATTCAGCATTCAGGAACCAATCCATATACACTAGATTCTGCAAGCCAGAGTGGGGGGGATCTCTGCCACGGCCAGTATTCCTCCACCTGAGCTTCGGAGGCCTACTCGCCGGAGTTATTACGGAAATAGCCCACAGCTACTATATGCCCGAAAGACAGAGCTCAACGGCACTAGTGGGGAACTCATGAAGATTGTGCTCAGAAGAATTTTCATTGGCGGTCCCCCCCCGCACTGATGACGAAATCAAAAGCCACCACACACTACTTGGACGCATACGACATCAAATCACAAGACCAAAGGGAAGAATAGCCGCATAACGGTTTTCAGGGCACCGAGTAGTGCCTCGCGACAAAGTCGGGCCGATCGGCGAATGAGAGTGAGCGTAGAGCGGATACTCGAGGACGGTACAAAGAAAAATTCTTGTTGGCATACAAGTACAGGAACGGAGCATTCAAAATGCCTTACGAACGAATTGACCGAAGCCGATCGGATTGGTTGATCTGAAGATTGTTCAAGGGCCAGCAAAAGCCAAGACCAGGGCTAAAGCGCTTAGATTGTGGCCTAAGATTAAATGCATAAGTGGCCCGAATGGGCCGAACACTATTAATGGGGTCCTTAACACAAGTCGCACCGAAGTGCCGATGCCGTGCACAATAGACTGCTAGTTCCGTGCGACATTTCTGAGAGATTTTTAGCCATCCACTCGTTCCGAACGGCTTGACCGGACATTAGAGGATGACACTACTATACTGTGGATCTTTCTTCTGCAAGGAAAATGCATTGGGAATATCTTGCTGGCAGTTCTAGTGTGGACAAGTTTCTGGTTCCTGTGCCCAAGTAGGAAAAAAATGCCCCCAAACACTCATTTGGTGCGAATATCGGCTTAATCGGGTAATACACTGGTGAAGCATGGTGCAAGCAGCATGTCAGCCAGATGCAGAGAAAGGCAAAATAAAGAACAAAAAAAAAAATAGCATGCGCAAAAAAGAAATGGCACTCACTAGTATTCCGCGACATTTTTCACCGCTACAGGGCGTTATCTCTTGTGTTCGCCGCCTGCATCCTGTTATCGCATGAGCACGTCAAACCGCTTTTCCACACCTTCCCGAGCATTTCATCTGCTAATGTAGTATGGGGTAAAAATACCCGGCCAGCAGACTGTGTCGCCAGACTTCAAGCTTCAATCGGGGCGGACCATTTTTCGCTCGTGCCTTAAGCTCATCCGCCTGTATCATCGGGCTCTTCGTATGGCAGCCGTATGACAGTTACATATACGATACCTACACTTGCCGTAGCTTTACTCGCATTCAAAATGTCGCTAGCCGTGTGACCCAAAGTCACATACGACATAGCATTGCGGGCTTACATGAGAGGACCATCATAATTTCACACCAAGTCAACTGCTTCAGAAGTTTGTCCGGAGAGACTCATCGGAATTTCTGGTCGGGTGTTATTGGTTAAACGTGGCATCCCTCTCCTGCGCACAAGAGCCCCACCCCAATGAAAAATACTTGGAAGCATGTCACAAAGACGAATGTAGATTAGGCTGATTGTTGAAATCAAGGGGCCTAACCTATTACACGATAGTGTAAACAGCATATCGTGTAGCTGCCGCCGGGAAACGACATCCCTGGAAAAGCAAAAGTTTGCTCCGGAGATACCTCCGAAGCATCCTCATGTTATATGCAATTCGACGAGACTGCGCTGCTCCAATTAAGAAGTTTGTTTGGGTGAAAGTGGTGCGCAGCGACATTTATCCGGTAGATAAGCCGATAGCGACATCCTTTCCCAAAACGTCCATTTTTGTTTATGCAATAATTCCCTCATTTCTCAAAATTAAGATCGGCAAGTTGCCAGGAAAAAGGAAAAAAATTACAATATAAATCAAGCATTCCCTGTAGCCGTCTAGACGAATTTTTTCTTTTTTTTCTTCTTTCATCTCTTGCCCCCAGTTGTTAATTTGTATTCACTATGAGTGCAACCGAACCAACAAACGAAAAGGTCGACAAGATTGTCCAAGATGATGACGAGGATGAGGACATTGATCAATTAATTCTCGACTTGCAATCCAACCACGGTTTAGGTGACGACGACGAAGAAGAGGAGGAAGCTGACAACTCTTCTTTCAAGGCTGTTCCTGAAGAATTGTTGCAAACTGACCCTAAGGTCGGTTTGACTGACGCTGAAGTTGAAAAGAGAAGAAAGAAGTACGGTTTGAACCAGATGGCCGAAGAACAAGAAAACTTGATTCTCAAGTTCGTTATGTTTTTCGTTGGTCCAATTCAATTCGTTATGGAAGCCGCTGCTATTTTGGCTGCTGGTTTGGAAGATTGGGTCGATTTCGGTGTTATCTGTGCTTTGCTTTTATTGAACGCTTCTGTTGGTTTCATTCAAGAATACCAAGCTGGTTCTATTGTTGAAGAATTGAAGAAGACTTTGGCTAACACTGCCAATGTCATCAGAAACGGTACCTTGGTTGAGGTTGCCGCCAACCAAATTGTCCCAGGTGACATTTTGCAATTGGAAGATGGTGTTGTTATCCCAGCTGATGGTAGAATTGTTACTGAGAACTGTTTGTTGCAAGTTGACCAGTCCGCCATTACCGGTGAGTCTTTGGCTGTTGACAAGAGAGGTGGTGACTCCTGTTACTCTTCTTCCACTGTTAAGACTGGTGAAGCTTTCATGGTTGTCTCTGCTACTGGTGACTCTACTTTCGTCGGTAGAGCTGCTGCTTTGGTCAACAAGGCCTCTGGTGGTACCGGTCACTTTACCGAAGTCTTGAACGGTATTGGTACTATCTTGTTGGTTTTGGTCATTGTTACTTTGTTGGTTGTCTGGGTCGCTTGTTTCTACAGATCCGTCAGAATTGTTGCTATCTTGAGACACACCTTGGCTATCACTATCATGGTGTCCAGTCGTTTGCAGCTGTCGTCACCACACCATGGCTGTCGTGCTGCTACTGCTAGAGCAGCTATGTTCAAAAGTGTCTGCTCTGAGTCTTTGGCTGGTGTTGAGATCTTGTGTTCCGACAAGACCGGTACCTTGACCAAGAACAAGTTGTCTTTGCACGAGCCATACACTGTTGAAGGTGTCGAACCAGATGACTTGATGTTGACTGCTTGTTTGGCTGCTTCCAGAAAGAAGAAGGGTTTGGATGCTATTGACAAGGCTTTCTTGAAGTCCTTGATTAACTACCCAAGAGCCAAGAACGCTTTGACTAAGTACAAGGTTTTGGAATTCCAACCTTTCGACCCTGTTTCCAAGAAGGTTACTGCTATCGTTGAATCCCCAGAGGGTGAGAGAATTGTTTGTGTTAAGGGTGCTCCTTTGTTCGTCTTGAAGACTGTCGAGGATGACCACCCAATCCCAGAAGACGTCCACGAGAACTACCAAAACACTGTCGCTGAATTTGCTTCCAGAGGTTTCAGATCGTTGGGTGTTGCTAGAAAGAGAGGCGAAGGCCACTGGGAGATTTTGGGTATTATGCCATGTATGGACCCTCCAAGAGATGACACTGCTGCTACTGTTGCTGAAGCTAGAAACTTGGGTTTGAGAGTCAAGATGTTGACTGGTGATGCCGTTGGTATTGCTAAGGAAACATGCAGACAATTGGGTCTTGGTACTAACATTTACGATGCTGAAAAGTTGGGTCTTTCTGGCGGTGGTGACATGGCTGGTTCTGAAATTGCTGACTTTGTTGAAAATGCTGATGGTTTCGCTGAAGTTTTCCCTCAACACAAGTACAACGCTGTTGAGATTTTGCAAAACAGAGGTTACTTGGTTGCTATGACTGGTGATGGTGTTAACGATGCCCCATCTTTGAAGAAGGCTGACACTGGTATTGCCGTCGAAGGTGCTACCGATGCCGCTAGATCCGCTGCTGATATTGTTTTCTTGGCTCCAGGTTTGTCTGCTATCATTGATGCTTTGAAGACCTCCCGTCAAATTTTCCACAGAATGTATGCTTACGTTGTCTACAGAATTGCTTTGTCTTTGCACTTGGAAATTTTCTTGGGCTTGTGGATTGCTATTTTGAACAGATCTTTGAACATTGACTTGGTTGTTTTCATTGCTATTTTCGCTGATGTTGCTACCTTGGCTATTGCTTACGACAATGCTCCATACGACCCAGCTCCAGTTAAGTGGAACCTTCCAAGATTGTGGGGTATGTCCATTATCTTGGGTATCATTTTGGCTGTCGGTACTTGGATTACCTTGACTACTATGTTCATGTCCAAGGGTGGTATCATCCAAAACTTCGGTTCTATTGATGGTGTTTTGTTCTTGCAAATCTCCTTGACTGAGAACTGGTTGATTTTCATCACCAGAGCCAACGGTCCTTTCTGGTCCTCTATTCCATCTTGGCAATTGTCTGGTGCTGTCTTGGCCGTCGACATCATTGCCACCTGTTTCACCTTGTTCGGCTGGTGGTCTCAAAACTGGACCGACATTGTGTCTGTTGTCAGAACCTGGGTCTTCTCCTTCGGTATCTTCTGTGTCATGGGTGGTGCTTACTACTTGATGTCTGGTTCTGAAGCCTTTGACAACTTCTGTAACGGCAGACCAAACAAGAAGCCACAACAAAACTCCAGAGCTGTTGAGGACTTCTTGGTCTCCATGGCCAGAGTGTCTACTCAACACGAGAAGTCCTCTTAAGCAGTTTTCTCCTTGTGAGCCTACTGCTACATTGCAAATTTTTTTATCGACTAGTCTACCATGGCTAGTCAACAACATTTTTTTCTGATTCCCGATCCCCGTCATTTTTAAGTTAATTTCGTATTACAGTAATAGATAATAATTATCACCGGGTGTAGCGACGATTTGTTGTGGCCGGAGTGTTCGGCTGAGGACGCATATGTGGCTAAAGCAATGCGGCTGGTGTTGGATGCCCGAAAAAATGTCGCACGCTTTTGTTCGCCCTGCAGAATGCATAAGGCATATTGCCATATATGAATTTTAGCCGTGGCGATTCCGATTGGATACTTAATCGTTGGTATGCTAGGGCGTAACTATGCATTACTCTCCTTACCCTACTTGATGTACTGGGCTAATATGCCTGTGGTCGTTCGTGCATACCCAAAAAAGTGTGCCATTTTAAATTATAGTGTGGGACAGAGTGGTACGACGGGAGAACCGGAACCAACGACACCTTTGGGTACTTGTGAAGGTTCGCTGTCTTTCAGGCAAAGACAACCATTTCTGCACCATGGTTCATCTTACCCGGCTATTCTTAAGGAGCAGGGAAACAAAGTTAATTCGGGCAGTGGCTTGCAACAAGTTACTTGCCGATAACAAACAATGCATTGTAATCTAAACCTCGTCCTTTAAGCGACGTCTAAAGAACCCACGTGAAAACATAAGAAAAATGCTTATGAATTCTTCTACTGCAGAAAATAATTAGGAATCGCCAAGAGCAGTTTAGGAACATGAAACTGTTCCCTGCTCTTTCTTTAGGCTCTATGGTTCGTGTGGACTGTATATGTATCTCTTCCTGCGACTGATGGGTGCAATCGTATACAACGACGACAGGGAGCAAATACAGTTTATTGGTTCACATTATACATGAGTTGGGAGTATCTTACGAGAGTACTTTCGACAAGTGATTTACTTCATACGCTGGAAGCACAATGAACTCCGAACGCCAGCGCTAGGCCTATTGGGAAAACAACGGCGTACATCCATATTTTGCCGCATGTATTTCCATAATGGCTAATGTAGATACCGTCTGATGTAACAAGCAACTATAGGATATATTCTCTCGATGATTTACAGTGATAAAGATACCTACTTTTAAAGTTGTAGTAAAAGAAGGCATCGGGTGCAGGATTTCACTCGCACACGCCTAGAGGCAATTTTTTTCTCACTAGGCTGATCGGATCCTTTTCTTACCCAAACAGCTGGACTTCGAAAAAGGTCTACTTCATTGCTGGCAAAACCACTCGCGTCTTCCACGGGCAACTGAAGTTGCTGCCCTCCTTTTCGTTTTGATTTAGCATTCGTGGCATCTACACTTCCAACCTTTCCATATCCACTCTCATTGGATCATCCAAATCACCATTAGTTGCACCCATTGTACATTAGCCTTGGTTCCTCATTTGCCAGCTTGCATAATCCAGCCATTCCCAACTTCATTTCTCTTGTATATTAGTTCCTTTGTACATTAGCTCCAACCCTATCAATCTAGCATGTCCGCCAATTTGCAATCTCGGTCAGCGTCTGTTTCGAACGCCCCTAACGATGCTCTGAAAGGTGGAATCCGTTCTTCGTCCTTTAGCACTGCATTCTTCAACAACAAAGACGCGCTGAGCTTTTTCTACCAAGAAGATACTTCGAGATCAGCCGATGCCTCAAAAGACACTTCTGCCACGGCACAAGACTTGGATATCGTTGGCGCCTTGAGCACGTTAAACTTGGATGAAGACTTGGAATCCAATGTCACTCAGGATGCAAACTCATCCACCTCTTCTGCTGGAAACACCGATGGAAAGACATCTAAGCATTTTGCTCCGCAGTTCTTGAACTCAGCATCGGGCCCGGCTCTGACTATGCAAGGAATGCCGCCCAACCACAGCTTGACACCTAACCCTCCTTCAGTGGCCTCTTTTACCAACTCGCTCTCCAATCTGAACACTACTCCTTCCACCGCATGGAGCACAAATTTCGTTCCATTTTCTGCGCCGCCATTTGCCTACTCTGTTGGTGATCCTACGGCAACTTCCGAGTTGGCCATGCTGATAGCTCCTTTCGAGTTACCTGATGATAAAAGTAAAGACAAGCTCTCCTCGTCAATGAAGACACATCTTGTGAACGCAACTTCTTCACCACCAATGCACTCTTTTGGCGGAGTTTTGGACTCTCGTTTTGCGTTCACCAATTTCCCTGAGAAGCCTTTTGATTACAACAGTAAAGAAGATGAACACAAGGCGAAAAAGTCATTTGACTTCGAAGCTCAAAAGTACGACTTTGAAAAGATGGGTCGCCCCGCCAGTGTTGGCCAAATGCCTTTGAATGGTCCCAATGTATGGAATCCACCACAACAATTTGCACACCTTGGAAACAGACCTCAGTCGTATGGTGAAAGTGCCGTAATGGAACCTTTTGGGCCCGGCCATATGATGCCTACACCCGTTCCCAGCAGATACGGCAACGGTTACTCATCCCATCACAACTATGGGGTAAATGATGGTCACCAACATGGCAGCGGAAACCGGCGTCACAATAACTACAATCATATGAACGCGGGGGTCAACGTGCACCGGAAAATGCATAGCAGAAGAAAAGGCGACGATGCCGCAAAGTATGCCAATGCTAAGTTACTGGACTTTAGTGGTGACATTTACTCTTTGTGTAAAGACCAACATGGTTGTCGGTTTTTGCAGAGACAATTGGATTTAGGAATGGAAGCCAAGCGTTCGGAAGAACTGGGCGTTTTGAGCAACGAGGTGGCTGCGACGATGATCTTCAACGAAATTTACATGAAGATAGTCGAATTGATGACAGATCCGTTTGGTAACTATTTGATCCAAAAGTTATTTGAGAATGTTTCTGCCGACCAGCGGCTCATCTTGGTGAAGAATGCTGCTCCCGAGTTAATTCGAATTGCTTTGGACCCCCACGGCACGAGAGCATTGCAAAAGCTTGTGGAGTGTATTGACACAAAAGAAGAGTCGCAGTTGATTATCAACAGCTTGTCCCCTCACATTGTTCCCTTATCCAGAGATTTGAACGGTAATCACGTCGTACAAAAGTGCTTGCAGGAATTGAAAGCAGAGGACAACCAGTTCATTTTTGACGCAGCTTCGGAACATTGTATCGAAATCGCCACACACAGACATGGATGCTGTGTATTGCAAAGATGCTTGGACCACGGCAATAGTCTGCAGCGCAAGCAGCTCTCTTTGAAAGTGGCTGAGAATGCAACTAAGTTATCTTTGGATCCATTTGGAAATTACGTTGTTCAGTACGTTTTGTCTCGGGGTGACGAGGAGTCTATCACGATTGTGTTGAACCACATTCGTGCCAATGTAATTTCATTGTCATTGCACAAGTTCGGGTCCAACGTGATTGAAAAGTCATTGCGCATTAACAAACTTACGAATGAGGTAATTGCCGTGTTGTTGGAAAATAGTGATAAGTTTAGCATGTTGTTGAACGATGCTTTTGGTAACTATGTGCTTCAAACCAGTTTGGATGTGGCTAGTGCGTCAGACTTAGCGAAGTTGGCTCAGAGCTTGCAGCCTTTGTTACCAAACATCAAAAACACCCCCCACGGAAGACGCATTATGACAAAGATTCAAAACATTATTTGAGATCTTTTGTCTGCTGTATTTTAGTTGACTGTATAATAAATGAATCGTCATGTACATGTATGTATTTAATGTTAATCTTGATTGTTCCTGTACATACAGGTCAGTACTTCAGACAAACTACACTGACAGCCGCACTGGGTGTTATAAGCCTCCGTGGTGGAAATCCATAAAACCACTGTTCTAAACCAGGGTTGGCTCTTGTTCTAGTACTAAGCTGGGAATCAGAGATGGAATCTGATCTGAAACCTAAAATCAAAAAGAGAAAGTATTCGAGAAGAGGTTGCAAGGAATGCAAAAGACGGAAGATCAAGTGCGACGAAGGGAACCCATCGTGCTACAATTGTTCTCGTTTAAATAAAATTTGTGTTTACGAATCGAAACTGCAATTCAAAGATGCGAGTACTGCGAATGATTCCTATTCTCCTGGTGTGCTGATTGTGCCTAGACCGGAGAACGAACTGACCCTCCATATGCAATTCTACAATCCTAACGATGCTACCAAAAACGGCATAAAACAAGAGGATGGGAGCGTGTCGAAAGAAAGTGCTCTTTCTCAGAAGCCAGCACCAGTGATGCTACGAGATAACTCGCTAGACTCCGCGAACCAATCCAGCTATAATCATTCCAGCTATCCCACGATGTCTCTCAATGGGAGTGTTGATGGAGAGCAACGACCAAATCTTGGGAGCACGGGCCCTTGTATAATAACTGCTTCTACACACACAAGTACGTCTTCACAGCTGCCGCATCCGGGGCTTGATGCAATGAACCCAATGGACTTGAACAGTGTTGACATGCGCAATCTATTCAACGAGGCAAGTGGTCTTGTGCACGATATCAATCATTTGTTGGACCCTGGTATGGTCGAAGGTTGGAGCGGGAATATTACACCAATAAGCTCAGCGGGGCATTTACTCAACGAAACAACAGTGTACCCGCTAGGAACGAACAACAGTCCGGCAAGTTTGAACTCAGAGGAAAAGCTACACTTTCATATTGATGAGTTTTCGAGCAGAATTCATGCTGACTCGTATGTGAGCCCATCAGGAATTGCAGAGTGCATTGTACTCTCGAATACGGAGTTAATCCAGCAGTGCATTACTGAGAATTCATTGGAGCAACCGCATGTAAAATACTTGATGACACTTACAAACACAGACCTTTCCTACCATATTTACCCATTTGCCTCGCTGATAGACTCTAACGAAGTGATGAAGCTTCTACTAATATACCTGGCGAAATGCCCGTACTTACTTACGTCGCTTCTCGCCATTTCAGCAACCTTTCAATTTAATCAAACAGGCAAGCAAGCTCACGATAATGCCAGGCAAAAGTACATTACCGTTTGTTTCAAATCCCTTAATGACGCTTTCACTGAACACTCTGGATTTGAAAATGCTGAAATGCTCACAAGCAATATTGAAAAGCTCCTTTTAACCGTTTTGATTCTCACGTCGTACTTCACAGCAACAAATTTTATACTGGATGAGAATATCTTGACATCTTGGAAGGCTCATCTTCGTGGCGCTAGAGATCTTTTGCTTCACTACGGTAAAGTAACCCGCAGCAGCTATAAGTCTGAACATTTCATGTCTGGCGGCCTTGCTCTTGCTAAGTGCTGGTTTTTTGCCATTGAAAGTGCTGCATCAATTCATTCCTCATTTGGAGGCTCCTTAACTAAGTCAAAAGGAGCAACAACGACCGATCTCGACAAAGATAACGAGATATTCAATCCGCCACATATGCTGCTTGACAACGAAAGCTTAATTTATTGGGAATCTGGTGTCTGTGATATGGAAGTGAATCCCGAGTATCATGCAGCTTTACAAAGGGTGCATATGCTTTGCTCAAGTCCATCATCATCGGAATTTAATCTTTACTGGGGGTTTACATCTCGAGCTGTAAAGACTATTCTCCTGTTCAGCACGATTATGGATAAGGTCAGATCAAACGGCTACAGCCGAGTTCCGTTGAGGTGGATCGCTCATCTATTCAAGTTGACAGACGAATGCGCCCAGGAGATTATTGTGCCGAATGTAATACTTCGAAATTTTGAAGTACCGTTATCCAGTTGCGGCCACCCAGATTATACTGGAGCTGGAGCTATTCTGTTTCCATTATCATGCTTTGTCGAAGATAGGACCGAGAGCGGTGAAAAAATCGTCTATTCATGGTTTGATCTCTCACATCAGATTCATGTTGACAACCTTTTCATGAAGTTGATGGTACAAGAAGCATTTCTCAACCTTCCGCGAAACCATTACCATGTACAAGAAATGATTAAGAAGTTGTTTGGATATTTTTTCTTCATTAAAAAGAAACTGTCTGCTAATTATGCAGAGGAGAAAGATAAAATAATTGTGGAAAGTGACAATTACTACTTGAGTCATCCAACATTCGACAACCGGTGCATCATGATCCAGTCTATATTTCGAACCCTATCAACACTTGTGGTGTCAGATGATGAGTTTGAAAAAATCGAACTTTTTTTTATGGGTCTTGTCAAGCTTGGTAATGGTAGTTCGCTTAGCACGTTGGATATGGTGGCACGCTTTAAGGAGAGTAGAAGAAGGAAAAAGGCCGAGACTGACAACGATGGTGAAAATGATGATGAAATTTACGATTACGAGGACCTGTGCGATATTCCTTTTGCATGAGATACATAACAAGGTTAAACGAGTATTATGATTATATGACATGATCTATAGTGCTATGGTGTGCAGGTCGTGCGGAGTAAGCCATGCTGTCAGTTTCAAGCAACTTATGTGCAAGACGTAGAGGCAAGCTACTTCTGGCACATTTCATGGTACATAACCCAAAAAAGAAGGAAAATTGAAGGAAAAACAAGTTATAGAGCTTACCAATTGCGAGGGCTAAAAGGAGACGCGAATGACATCTCGTATAGAATCCAGAAATCGCGTTTAGAACTTATGTGCACGACACAACAGTTGCAAGCTTGCCGTGGAAAAAACGGTTGCTTGTAAAACCGGTTTTTGTTTCTTTTCTGATAAGACATGTCCGACGCTACTGAATCAACACAGCTCATAGAGTCTACTCCAAAAGGATACTTACCAAAGAACGAAATCGAGTATGAGTTCGGAGGCCCAGTGGGTGCTCTTGGAATGATGATTGGATTTCCATTGTTGATGATCTACATGTGGATCAGCGCTCAATTCTATAATGGCAAGCCAGCGTGGCCCGCAGAAGGACAAAGCTTCGAATCTTTCCTCAAAGTATTGTGGGTGTATTTCCGCGACTTTGGAATTCCATCTCCCACCGTTGTTGCTGTTTTTACAACATTCTTCGTTGTTCAAGGCTTCTTTTACTTGACTTTACCTGGCGTGTGGACAAAGGGCCAACCATTGACTCATTTAGGAGGCAGACAATTGCCATACTACTGCAATGCTATCTGGTCATTCTACTTGACAAATGTTATTTTGCTTGGTTTACATTTCGCAGGCTACAAAATGTACTTCATCATTGACCATTTTGGAGAAGTGATGACTACCGCTATCGTTTACGGCATGATAATGTCTATTGGCTTGTACTTGTACACTCTATTTGTCTCTGGTGACTACCACAGAATGACTGGAAACCATATTTATGATTGCTTCATGGGTGCACCTTTGAACCCAAGAATTGGCAAGTATTTGGACTTGAAGATGTTTTTTGAGGTCAGAATCCCTTGGTTCACTTTGTACTTTATGTCGTTAGCCACCGCTCTTTTGCAGTACGACAAGTATGGTAAGGTTTCACCACAAGTATGCTTCATCGTATATGCCCACTGGTTGTATGCCAATGCCTGCTCAAAGGGTGAAGAATTAATTGTTCCTACTTGGGACATGGCTTACGAGAAGTTTGGCTTCATGTTGATCTTCTGGAATATTGCAGGTGTGCCATATACCTATTGCCATTGTACATTGTACTTGGCCTACCATGACCCTAGCGAGTATGCATGGTCTACCGCATACAACACTACCCTTTTCATTGTTTTGACTATCGCATACTACTTTTTCGACACTGGTAACAGACAAAAGAACAGTTTCAGAAGAGTCATGGCAGGCAACACTAATCTCCGCAAGACCTTCCCTTACTTACCTTACTCGGATCTCGTCAACCCTTCTTATATCAAGTGTGAAAATGGATCCATGTTGTTGACGGATGGATGGTACAAGTATGCTCGTAAAGCACATTACACTGCTGACTGGACACAGTCTCTCACCTGGGGCTTGATTTGCGGGTTTGCATCGCCTTTCCCTTGGTTTTTCCCTGTCTTCTTCTTCATCGTCTTGGTGCACAGAGCATACAGAGACATGAGAAAGTGTGAAAAAAAATACGGCAAGGACTGGGACAGATACTTGGAGGCTTGCCCATACTTGTTCATTCCATACGTGTGGTAACCTGTGTCAACTTGTTTCTACGTCAAAAATAAACATAGCTTTCTCATTAGCTGAATAGTGATTCATACTTCCTTGTCTAGCTCAGATATAGTTCTAATCTAGCTCACATTTCTGCCTAGTCTAGTTCGGCAATTGCCACCAATCTCTCGTCAATCTCGTCTGGAGTCAAAATACGGAACTCTCCTTCGGTTGCCACACCAATTTCAATATCGTTCTTTCTGAAATCGGTTCCCAACACTGAGCTCAATGCAGTAATTGCAAACTCAACAGTAGCTTTCCAGTCACCGTCCACGCAATCCATCTTCTTGAACTTTTTCTCCAAGTACGTCGTGGCCTCCTGCTGTTTAGGACCTGTAGACACGGCCTTCACACCAGTGTAGTATCCAGCAGGGTCGCATTTGAAGATTTGAGGACCTTTGCCCTCGTCTTCGAAGTCGACTTGGCAAAACGTCAACGCCACACCAAGCGGCCTCATGTATGCCCTTTGTGTGTAAACTTGGGACATATTGGCCATTCGTTTGGAAATGCTCTGCACAGGCATTTCGTAACCGTATTTGTATCTAAATTCCGCAGCCTCGGATCTTGCTCTCAAGGCTAAAGATCTGGCGTCAGCAATAGACCCCGTTGCTAGCATTCCAATGGAAGGAGTAATTTTAAACAAGTACGACACTGTGTCTGGGTCCAAAAGCTTGTCTGGAATCTTTTTTTGCGAAACCAATACGGCGGAGTCTTTTCCCGTAACCCCAATGGATGTGATGTTGGCTGAATTAATGGCCTTAAAGGCGTATTCCACTTGGTACAATCTTCCCTCGGGGGAGAAAATGGTGATATGCCTGTCAAAACCGGCTGAGCCTTATTGAGTTAGAAAGAACACATGGAACACAAATAATAATGATACATACTCGACATTGATGTTTGGATGTTAGAGCGTTATAAGTTTGGACTTGAGAGTTGATAGTGGCGAGCAAAATGTCGCGCGCTTTCTCGAGGCTACGACAATGTCGCAATAAGCTCAGTAGCCACATACCATGGCAGAAAGCGACAAAACACAGTATAGATGAAGAAAAAGAGAATGCCTACAACAAAATGTCACATAATGAGGTAGTACAGGTGTTAGACAAAGAACTTTGATGCTCTTGTGGTCATTCTTTTCTTTGCAACTCGTGCTGGTTGAACAGAGCCAGCTGTATGGGACACCTGTACACCACGGAAAGACATGAGTAACAAAAGTAAAACACTTTCTTTCTAGACTTGAATGCTAAGGCTGTGGTCCAATGTCTTCCACGTTCACCAATGATGCCAAAACGGAGGCCCATAAGCCCCTATATTATCCGCAGCTACAACTGAATCTAAAAAATGTCTCCTATCATTTTAACCCTGATGTATCTCGTTACCATTATGGCCCATACCATCCAATGAAACCTTTCCGCTTGATGCTTACAGACCATTTGGTGGTACTGTACAAGCTCCACGAAAAGATGGATCTATATTCTCCCAGAAGAGCCACTAAGGAGGAACTTTTAGAGTTTCACTCGCAAGACTACATGGATTTCTTGCAATCAGTGACACCTGAACTTGCATCGAAATTGGGCGAAGACAAATTGGCTCAGTTCAACATTGGTGACGACTGCCCCATCTTTGACGGCATGTACGACTACTCTAGCATTTACGCCGGCGCTTCCTTGGACGCCTCCAGAAAACTAATAAGTGGCATGAGCGATATAGCCATTAACTGGTCGGGCGGGCTCCACCATGCGAAAAAATTCGAACCCAGTGGGTTCTGCTACGTGAACGACATTGTTCTTGCAATTCTTAATTTGCTTCGTGTACACCCACGAGTCATGTACATTGACATCGATTTGCATCACGGAGATGGTGTACAAGAGGCATTTTATACTACAGATCGTGTAATGACCGTCTCGTTCCACAAGTTCAACGGGGAGTTTTTTCCCGGTACTGGCTCGATAGATGAGACTGGAATCGGTTCAGGCAAGAATTTTGCGGTCAATGTACCCTTGAAAGACGGGATAGATGACGATTCGTACACATATCTATTCAAGCTGGTTATGGAACCGCTTATAACAAAATTCCAGCCTACGTGTATTGTACAACAGTGTGGTGCAGACTCGTTGGGTTATGATAGATTGGGCTGTTTCAACCTAAATATCCGAGCCCACGGTGAATGTGTTAAGTTTGTGAAATCCTTTGGGATTCCAATGCTAGTATTGGGTGGGGGTGGATATACACCGCGGAATGTTTCTCGATTATGGTGCTATGAGACTTCGGTTTTGAATGATGTGACCTTAGAATCTAAGCTTCCTCAGGATATTCCCTCCTACGACTGGTTTGGTCCAGACTACTCACTTCACCCGCAATTGGAGGGACGTCTAGATAACAAAAACTCCAAAAAATATCTTGAAAGTGTGAAGCAAGAGATTTTGGAGCAGCTCAGATTCATTAACTATGCTCCATCTGTACAGATGCAGCAAATACCCCCCGATATTAGCGGGTTAACGGAAGAAGAAGAAGAACTTATAAAGGAGCTAAATGAGGAAAGCGACGAAAAGAGATTGATCCAGGAAGAAAAAGATAATGCTCGAATTGGGGAAATGTTGACCTCGTGAGAAGTTTTGTATTATAGAGACCAGCTCTTGGTCAGTGTAGATTAGTGTGCAATAAATGACTACAAACATAATTCATATTGAATTAATGATTGCTTATTCTTCTATTCGTTTTTTTCTCTACAGAACAGTCCATGGTTGTTACACTAGGGTTTTTTTCATCATTCTGATCCATGTAATTTGAGCCTTTTCAACGTGATAAGTATTTTGTCCGTCGCGCAACGCGCTGCATGTTTAATAATGCATTTGTAAAAGAGCGCATAATCAAAAGTCAAGTCTTTAGGTCCCAAGTTCTAATTCTCTAATCCCACTTATACTGCAAACGAAAAACATATGCCAGGTACCAAAATTCGATGGATATACAAACTCTTACGGTGGAATTAGACCCAGCGTCTAAACGGAAAGTGGTTAATAACCGCTTCAAACTTCTTGAGACTATAGGTCAGGGCCAATTCGGGAAAGTAATGTTGGCCGAAGACATATCACCAGATAGAACAGAAGATTATGTGGCCATTAAGACCATCAATAGAGTGGATAAGACGAAACTCATTACGCGAACGTACATGAGCCATACATTGAAAATCAAGAGGGAAATTCAGATAATGAAGGAATGCAATCATCCGAACGTCGTCAAGCTATATCAGGTTATAGATGATATGAAATTCGACAAGATATTGCTCGTGTTGGAGTACTGCCAGCTTGGAGAGATTGAATGGAAGAAATATAATCATTACCACGAAAAATACTTCAAGGACCCGAACAAGAGTATTACCCTTAACAAAATCCTACGAGACGTTACTAATGGCCTAGAATATCTACACTCATACAAGCATATAATTCACAGGGACCTCAAACCATCAAACTTGTTAATCAGCCGAGATCGGACAATCAAGATATCCGATTTTGGAGTGAGTCTCATTTTAGAAAATAATGCCAATGATGATAAAGAACTAGGGAAAACCATGGGTACACCTGCCTTTTTTGCACCAGAGCTATGCCAATTTGTGAATAAAAGGCTTCTGATGTTCAATGAGAAGGATCTTTTGAAAAGCAGTATTGATGCCCGCATAGACATATGGTCGCTTGGTGTCATCCTTTATTGTTTATTTTTTCATCAGCTTCCATTTGAGGGATTCAATGAGTTTGGTCTTTTCAAAAATATAGTCAATGGCGAGTTAAAATTCCCTAACACGCAAAAGGGATCCCATGTGGAAGAGCAAGATTTGAAAGAACTTGATCTCCTCAAGAATCTCATTCGCAAGCTTTTATCCAAAGATCCTCGCCATCGTCCGACAATAAAAGAAATCAAGGAAGACCCTTTCACTGTTTTTGATTTGTCTCCAAAAGAAATTGAAGACTTCAAAAATTTTAACCGAGATATTATTAATAGCCAATCACCGCTCCAAGCTGAAGCTTGGGCTTCAGACAACAAACTAACTTCAAAAATCAAACACTTTTTTGTCGGAAAAGCTGAGTCGACAATGACTCCAGTCCCACCAAGTCTGCTCCCAATCACTGTGAATATGAAGCCTAATCAAGAGGAGCCACCAAACCTCATGGACTTGGGACGAGTGGATGACCTACTAGATTCGTATTTGGATGACTCTTCTTCGCTTGGCTCCATTGAGGACGACTCAGAGCCAGAGGTTCTCGATACGAACCACTTGTTATCATCACTTTCGGAGAAAACTTCGCAGGCGGAATCCGAATCGACGATTAAAAATTCTACTTCGAGTAATTCAAATCTGCTGAAGCTTTCCCGAGGCTCAATCCCCCCACCTCTAAACTTAGTATCAAGTTCATTCCACAGTCCAACGAAGAGCGCACATACTACACCCTTGAGAACATCGCCAGCACGGAATACGCCTACCGCAAATGCAGTAACAATTGGTGCTGGGTCACCACTGTCACTCAAGTCTATTTTTAGTCCATCCCGACGGTTCTTCTCCAGAGCAAAGAAGAATGCAGAACAAAAGGCTGGACCAGCTACAATAAATGCGCTACTGTCGCCATATGAACGAGGAAGCCTCTCGAATTACACAGATCTCGTACCGCCACCATTATTTGGCCGTGATAAACGACACTCAGGAGGTGAACTGATACAGAGTTGCGATAGTATAGACAACGGGTCTCGCAAAAATTCCATCAGCTCTATTCACTCCAATCCATTTTCGCGGATCACAAGTTCCAGCTCCTCGCTTAATCTTCATGCGTATTTGACGGACGATTCACATAGCAGAAGTAGCATGGAGCGGAGCTTTGGTCGCAACAGTGTAGAACGGAGTAGCGTAGAACGCAACCCGGAACGCAACAGTATGGAGTACTCATTGGCCAATGAGATTGAGTTGGTTAGCGATTCTGAATCAGAGGAGGCGAACCGAACATTGACTATGGAGTCAGTATCTCGATCGGCTTGGGTGAAACGAGGTTTAGCCGAGGCAACTAAGCAACCTTGTAAAAAATACACGACACAGATACGATTGGATTTGTCTAGCCGTTTTCGAAACGGTGAGGCATCACTGAGCGTCAGCGTCGCTTCCCAATGGGGTAAATGCAATACAAGTGAGTGCGTCACCAAACAAGAGCGAAAAAGGTTTAGTGAGACCAACGTTAATGACTAGCAAGCCTAAATGAGTTTAATAAAAGTATAGTAGAAAATTGTCACCAATGCACAGAAGGGATAACGCAAGCTTATTGGAGATTTAGCATCTGAGCGGCTGGAAGCAGGCTGACGCAAGAGAACTTTCTCCACATGCGCGCTGCACAAAACGAAAACAAAACAACATGTCAATAGTAAACAAAAAAAAGATAAACCGTTCTTCCCATTCCAAGAGGCAGTACCAAAGTTTCAAATAATGGTAGACTATTTTAAAATTAGAAACGAGCGGAAAAGAAGCACCGCAGTTACTTGGGGAAAGTAAGGAAAAGGTCGCGGTGCATACACTATGAAGTGCGCGGACCCAAACGGGAAACGTAAACACCCGCGCAGAACACGGAGCAAGGCACAAAACGCTACCTACAGCTGCAACGCTACACCTACAGGAGATAGAACCCAATAGATGTGAGCCTAATGGGCATTAGATGGCTAAAGACATAAAGAAAAACCTAAAGAAGAAAGTTTAAGCTCGATAATTATAGAAGGCAAGGCGCGGATATGTGCATCACGGCGCTTCTTTCCGGCACACGGAACCGTGGTGGGAAGGATCTGTTTGTGGGTACTCGATTTGGGAAGCATCAACTGCGCGCGGGCCAAACGCTCCTGTGCAAGAAACGAAGGCCCCACTCCGGTTGTTTTCTGGATCTGACTACTGTGGCCATCATACTCCTCTGGACAAGCTAGAATCCGACTGTCTGAGAAAGAGTGTGTAAGTGGCATTCACCATCTGACCTTTCTGATCTCATTGCACAGCTGACATTGGTCTACAGCCATCTGGTCATCAGGATGAGGAATAACCGTGGTTTCGCCAGGCCAAATGCGCAAGCGGCGCCCTTTCAGCTCATTGGTGAGCACCTTGGAATTGGCAGCGGCACGAGCCACACATCCGTTCACACATCGGGAGAAGGACGCAAGCGAAAGCGAAAGCGACAGCGACAGAGATACCACGTTGGAGGATTCAGACTGCGATCTGGAAAAGGAAAACTACCCGATGGATAAGTACCCCCTCGATTGCTACGCGAATAAAAAGTTGACGGAGCGTTCCTATGAGGAGAATCTTTACAGCCAACGACACTATGAGGAAAGCGAGTATTCGGGAAATACCTATGCTAGCCATCACTACGAGGACAAACTGCACGACCTGAGCTTTGTGCCGTTGGAGGATCTCAGTCAGGGCGAGCCGCCCACAGGCCACCTCCGGCACACGCCCATCCGCACGTTCCAAGCGGCGCAGGAGCTGCTCCCGCGCATCGACGCCGAAGAAATGGCGCGCATACTTTCGGGCGCGCGCGCCGGCTTGTTCGACGAGTACATTGTGGTGGACTGCCGGTTCCGTTACGAATACCAAGGCGGACACATTGATGGTGCCATGCACGCACCGCTGCAGAGCGAATTGCAGCACATGTTCTTTGGCCGCCCTGTTCTGCGCCGCACACGCCTTCTCATATTCCACTGCGAGTACTCGGTGTTCAGGGCGCCCACAATGGCCAGCCACTTGCGAAAGTTGGACCGCGCCCACAATGCCCACCGCTACCCGTACCTCCACTATCCAGACATTGTAGTCTTGGATGGCGGATACCGGCGGTTTTTCGAGACCCACCGCAGTCTCTGCCAACCGCAGGGATACGTGGAAATGCGTGACATCAAGCACCGCGCCACATGCGAGACCCAGATGCACCGGGTACTTCAGGCGGCCAAGCTCACGCGCGCGCGCCTGTTCCACCACCCTCCACGACGCTGTTCCCTGCATGCGCGCCTGGCGTCATGCAGTGCTTTTGACCCACCTTCGCCTCTTGCGCGCAAACGTTCGACCAAACTACGCCGCGCCGATCTGTTGGCGCCGCCCGCCGCATTGTTCCACCGCGCGCTGCTGCTGCTGGCGCTGCTTGCACTGCTGCTGCTGCTGCTCTGCTCCGAACCTTCGTCATTCGCGTTTCTGTCGAGCGACCTGCTCATCGAGTCAGTGGCTACGCCGACCGGAGACACAGATCTATTTGATGGGAAATCAGATTTGGAACGAAGTTTCACATTCCCCAGCAGGCCGCGGCTTGCCTTAGGCGGGCTAAGTGCGTTTTCATCGCCCCCCGTGAGCTCGCCGCTTACAGGCGCGCCTGACGATATTAGCGATGCACCGCTCGAATTGCGCGATGTGCGCACTCGCGACCGCCGCGCTTATTCGTCTTTAGGCGCACTGCCTTTTGCGACCTTCATTGACGAAGTTGACGAAGAGGGCGACTAGAAGACTAGTCCCATGATACGAGCACAACCAATGCAACGATAAGATGAAATTAATATGGCCTCCGAACAGAGGATAGTACCCAAAGACACATCATCATAGATTGTGCATCTGTTGAATGTGTTCTTTGTTCAGCTACATAGACGACTTTTATGCTCCCTGTAGAGTTAGCTTACAACTTCGCTCACGAACGAAAGCCTACTTTCAGAAACAGAAACATTTCACACTCCTGAGACATAAAAATTCACTAAAGAAAACTTCTGTCTCCAGTAGCTTTATAAACTTGATAAGCCATGCTTCTACATTGAATACAGCTTACACTTGCTTTCGCTCAATAAACCATTCATTATAAGTCATGTACTAGAAAACTACAACTTGCCCTTGTCACCAATCAACTTAATAGCAGCATTGTTGATAGCGATAGTCTTCCTGTCCACCACATGAGTTTGGAAAATCACAGTATCACCTTGCTTCCATGCAAGAACCCTCAAGGTTTCACCTGGGAAAACAATGCCGGTGAATCTACCCTTGATTTCGTTAAATGGTCCAAACTCATCCAACAATACCTTTGCACTCAATCCATAAGTGCACATACCATGCAAAATAGGATCATCAAATTTGGCACCTTTGGCAAAGGCAGGATCAATGTGCAATGGATTTCTGTCGCCTGTCAATCTGTATAAGGCGGCTTGGTCAGGCGAAGTCTTGATATCGTGGGAGAAAGTAGGCTCACTCTTTGGCGCAGCAAAGGAGTTTGTAGCAAACGATCTGCGCTCCACAAACTTTTTGTTGTCACACTCACAGTTTCTGATGAAAAGAGTAGCCTCGTTGGAGAAAAGCTCCTCGCCAGTCTCAGTGTCGACAGACTTTGATCCATGAACGACGATAGCATTAGTTCCTTTTTGGGTCAATGTGATGGGTTGGTACGACGTTGTCACTGATGCCTCAATTGGAATTGGGAACTTGTTGATTTTGATGTAGTGTTCGCCATGCAACAAAAGCATAGGATTGAAGTTTCTCAACAACCTTGAAAAAGTCAACTGAGACTTGACAGAGTTAAATGTAGGCAAGTGTGTAAATGTTGGAACAACTTGGAAGTCCAGATCGTTCTCATACACATACTTCAATTCCTTACGGGTGGCTCCGACTGCAATATTATACAAAATAACATCACGGTCGTTCCAAGTAAACACAGGATCTGGCATCTTGTCTGGATTCTCATCATCATCATCATCTTCCTCTTCCTCTTCGTCCTCATCATCGTCATCATCCTCAACAGCACTCAAAAACGCCATAGATGCTTCAGTCGTGGTAGTTGGGTTTGCAGTTCCAGTAGAGAAGTCAACAATGTCAGCAAGGTGGTCACGAACAAATTCAGGAGTAATATGTTCTTCTTTAGAAGCAGCACCTTTAGCTCTTTGCCATCTAGTGGCGCCAATCCAACCTCCACCTCCTTCGAAAATCTCACCAGTGACAGGGACATTCTCAGAAGCCAAGAAAATTAACAATGGCGCAACCAACTTTGGAGGATATAAGTTCTTATCTTCCTCTCTGAAAACGGTCAATGTCATAGCCGTTTCCGCATGTGGTGCCACAACATTAACCTTAATGTTACTTCTAGAACCTTCAATGGCGAGAGTCCTGGTCAATCCAACAATAGCAGCTTTAGCCGTGGCGTAATTGGCTTGACCAAAGTTACCATAGATTCCAGAGGTCGAAGTGATATTCACAACTCTGCCGTACTTCTTTTCAAGGAAATGTGGCCATGCCAATCTAGTCAACTGGTACGTGCCAGCCAAATGCACCTTTTGAACTTGTAACCAATCCTCATAGGACATTTTTGCAAAAGAACGGTCTCTCAAAATTCCAGCATTGTTGACCAAAATATCGATTGTGCCATACTTGCCAATGACATTATCAATAATCTCCTTCGCCTGGGAAGCAACATCATGTTTGTCACCGTGAGCATCACCACCAGCCTTCTTAATCTCTTCGACAACTTGAGAAGGATCTTTAAAGTCATTGACAACAACTTTCGCGCCAGCCTTAGCAAAAGCCAACGCGTAGTCTCTTCCCAAGCCGGAACCAGCACCAGTAATCAAAACCACTTTTCCATTCAATGTCACTGGATCAACACCAGCAGTGTCATTAGGTCCCAATTGACTGGCGGCTTTTTGCAACTCAAAATAGTTATTGAGTTGATCTGGATGTTGAACCTGCAACAACTCTGGTTTACCACTGCTCTCGAAATCACGGATTTCGTCAAACTTCTTTGCTACAGCCTCCGGTGTAAAGGAGTCATCTGGCTTAAATAAGACACCCCCTGAACGTTCCCAGCGGATTTGGGCAAAGAAACCAGCAGCAACTTCAAAAATTTTCCCGTTGATACTCTCATTGGCGTCTGAAGACAAATACAACACCAAAGGAGCAACCTTGTCAGGGTTCAACTTCTCCAAAATTGGAGGGGGCAAGACCTTTTCAGTCATTCTAGATCTGGCCAATGGAGCAATAGTGTTAGCCTTGATGTTGTATCTCTCGCCTTCTTTTGCCAAAGTTTCAGCAAAACCAACAAGACCCATCTTGGCAGCAGAATAGTTAGCCTGGCCGAAATTACCATACAATCCGGCTGGAGAGGCGGTGTTTATGATTCTGCCGTACTTTTGTTTCCGGAAGTATTCCCAAGCGGCTTTGGTGACTTTGAAAGCACCATTGACATGAACATCAACAACCAACTGGAAGTCTGCATCAGTCATCTTCTTGAACTGAGAATCTCTCAAGATACCGGCATTGTTGACCACGACATGGACAGTACCAAAGTTTTTAACGGCAGTTTCAATGATTTTTTCGCCATCCAACACGTTGTTGTAATCAGCCACAGCAATGCCGCCGGCACTCTTGATCTCATTAACCACAACATCAGCGGCCCTTGAATCTCCGCCTTGACCGCCCAAAGAGCCACCCAAGTCATTTACCACAACCTTGGCGCCTCTTTTCGCAAACTCCAAACAGTAGAATTTACCTAAGCCACCACCAGCTCCGGTGACAACGACAACCTTATCCTTGAAGGAGACAGTCATCGATGAAAGTATATATAATGGAAAAGATAAATAAAGTGTAACTCAACCTTTGTGAAAACTAGGGTTTCTAAAGAGAAGCGAGTTAGTTCGAGTTTGTCATACCCTTTTATACATCCACTCATCTTTTTTTTTTGCGGGGTGCGCTTGTGAAGTTTCCCCAGACATACCGAGGTGTGCACAATGAAGCCGGAACCCGCTTAAGTACGAACTCCGCTCTCGCCAGAAAAGAAACAGACTTCCAAGAATAATCTAGGGGGGTGCGTTTGCTCCGCGGACAAACTGTTTGGTTTCGTCTGGCTAAACGTTTTTGCAATATGGCTTATATGGTGACACCTCGGTAGAGTTTTTTTTTTTTCAGCCACATGGTAGACAATCGGCGCGCAGTATTGCCAGGCTCATATTTCCACGCTCGACCTTTTCCCCAGTACCGAAAAAAACTACACTCATGACGGACCGAGATCCTCGGATAAACTACACCCGTACATCTTCACACATGACCACCCATGGTTTGCACATGCTCCGTGTGGGGCATTGTTACGTAGCGGACAGAAGATTTAGTTCCGTGGAATCCTGACCAGTAAAGGAGGAGAAATGAAGAGATAAAGAGAACCTTGAAAGAGGAACGAAACTCAAAAAATTATGCGATGTTGTTACGACGCAAACGATCGCACTCTTGCGCAGTGAATTGCTTCCTCCACTGAAAAAGAGCCGCATTTTGCCTTGACCCCAGAGAAAGCTAAGTAGATATACAGGAACTGCCATTGTAACATATCCCATAACAGCTCGCATTTGATGCTGACGAAACCTTCCTCCTGCCCAAAGAACTTGACCGCTTGATGTGAGAAACCTACTAGCGAAAAAACCAGATGGCGTTTCCAAGTTTTCCAGACGTTTCCACAGGAACTTCAAGGCGGGCACATCCGTACATCCCATGCCCTGATGCAAATGAGGAACCTGTCTGGTCCAATTGTACATGCGGCAGTTCTTTTGAGACTTAATTCAACAATTTCTCAACCATTCTAAGACTTTTGCATATGGCCCAGGAGGAAGTTTCGTCGCAGGAACAGGCCAGCCCCGCTTCCAAGAAATCTTCCAGTGTACTCAATCTCAAATACAAAAAGTTCACTCGCTTCCAACTATGGGTTTATGATGTTGTTGCATGGATTTTCTCGGTAATTTTCGATTGTTTCTTTAGAGAGATCAGGCCAAGAGGAGCTTTCCGTCTTCCAAAGCAGGGCCCAGTTATATTTGTGGCTGCCCCTCATGCTTCTCAATTCGTGGATCCCATTATTCTTATGAATCAGGTCAAGAGAGAATCGAACAGACGCATTTCGTTCCTCATCGCCGCAAAATCCTATGCGCACCCTGTAATTGGACCCTTGTCTCGTTTACAATTGTCAATTCCAGTCAATCGGCCTCAGGATATGTTGGTGAATGGTACGGGGAAAATTTCGGTTGATTTCGAATCGAATCCTTTGGTAGTCAAGGGTAAAGGTACATTTTTCACGAAAGAGTGTGCGGTGAGAGGACTTCTTGCTTTACCTCAATCACTTGGTGCCTCAGAGATTGCTGAGATTAGGTCGGATACAGAATTGGTGATCAAAAAAGAATTCAAAAAGTCAGAAAAGGTCGTCGAGTTGTTGCAAAAGGGTACTCCTTATAAGATCGCTGACAAGATTGACCAAAAACAAGTCTACCAGTATGTTTTTGACCACTTGAGCAACAATGAGTGTCTAGGCATCTTCCCTGAAGGCGGTTCTCACGATAGACCGGATATGCTTCCATTAAAGGCCGGTGTTGCAATAATGGCGTTAGGTGCTATGAGTCATGATCCAAAGTGTAATGTGAAAATTGTTCCTTGTGGTATGAACTACTTCAACGCTCATAAGTTCAGATCAAGAGCTGTTATCGAGTTTGGTCATCCAATTGAGATCTCCAGAAGCTTGGTTGAAAAGTACGATAACCCCAGTACTCATCGCGAAGCCATTAAAGAGCTTTTAGATACTGTAACTGCCGGATTACGCGCAGTTACGGTAAATTGCCCTGATTATGAAACATTGATGGTTATTCAGGCCGCGAGACGTTTGTATGCTGGTAACTTTGCTCAATTTTTGCCTTTACCGATGGTGGTAGAAATGAACAGAAGATTGTTACTTGGTTATGAAACCTTCAAAGACCGCCCTGATATGCAAGAGTTGAAGAAGAAGATTTTGCGTTATAACGAATTATTGAAGCTGATGAACTTACCAGATCATCATGTGGAGGACTGTGATGAAAAGCATAAACTCTCGCTTTTGCCTGTCTTTGTCGGTCGGATATTAAAGTTGATATTTTTCCTCCTGTTGTCCCTTCCTGGTTCCATTTTGTTCTCTCCCGTTTTTATTTTCTCAAAAACTTATTCTAAAAAGAAAGCTAAAACTGCATTGGCTAATTCAACAGTGAAGATCAAGGCGAATGATGTCGTTGCAACGTGGAAAATTCTAGTCAGTATGGGATTGGCTCCGGTCATTTACAGTTTTTATGCATCCCTTGGTGTTTGGTACTGCAAGCGTCATAATTATTTTTCGTCATTTGGGTTATTCAGCACTTGGCTAGGATTATATCTTCTTGGGGTCCTAGTGACTTATTCTGCATTGATTACAGGAGAACAAGGTCTAGATTTACTTAAATCTATCAGACCATTGTATCTTTCGATCTTTTCGGGTTCCTCAATAAGTGAATTGAAACAATTCCGTAAAGATTTGAGCCAAGACATTACTGACGTTGTCAACAAATACGGTATTCAACTTTTCCCTGACGATTTTAACTTACTCGAGGAGAAGGGTTCAACCAAAGAACCCTCTATCGTGGATGAAGCAATTGAAGAAATGAAAACTCAAGAGTTGAGAAATCGAAGAAACGCGAAAAAGCTCTCTCAAAAGACAATCGTGGACGAGTCAGACTCAGGTGTTATTTCGGATAGCGACGTATCTGCAAAAGATATCCTCTCCGATACAACTTCAGAATCCGCTTCAATCAAGCACACAAATTCTTATACGAACATACCCATGTTCTCAGATTACGATTTGCACATGAATGCTAAAAATTCTCAAATTGATATCAAAAAAATCACAGGTTCAGTATTATCATCCACTACATCTATGATTGATGATTATGGTCTGAAAATTGCACACACACCTGTCTCGTTACTGAGTCAGGAAGAACATGTTGATGGATCTCCTGTTGAGATCAACTTTTCCACTAATGCAAGAAATGTGCGTAGCGCAGAGGAGACTAGGAAAAGCTTGAGCGAGAAGATCAAAGACAAAGTGAGGAAAAACAGAGACAAGAATGAGTGAATCCTCAAAGATAATGTAGAATATTCATTACATATACGTAAGAACTAATCAATGTATTGCTAATTAACGTTTGCCTGCCTCTCGTAAAACTCTGCGATTTGGCTAGACGTAGTGGCATCTTCAACACCTTTATCCTCTCTAGTTCTGATAAATCGTGGAAATCTCAAGGAAATACCTTTACCATACTCTTGATGAGATGCTTTGTAAATCGGACTCAAAGAGAGATCCGCAGTCAAAACTTCAAAGAGCAAGGTTGGCTCAAGCCATACATCTGGAACAGCATTAGAATTCTTTGTGTCGTAAACGTAGAAAGGCTTAGGCCTAGAAATCTCCGTTGGTTTCAATTTAGCGTACAACGACGCGAGGTCCTCGTCAGAAAATCCTGTTCCAATCTTGCAGGTGGTTTCGTATTCTCCCGTATCATCATTATAAGTCGCCAATAAAAAGCCACCATAAGATCCCGTTCTCTTACCTTTACCAACATAAGCTCCGACAACCACTAAATCTAGGGAATCACCCACACCGGCCAAGTAATCCTTTTTCAATTTCAACCAATTTCTTGATCTCTTTGAAGGCTCATAAAAAGACTCAGGACCATGCAACATTTTTACCATCAAGCCTTCACATGAATCCTTCACTGATTGATCTAGAAATGCTTGAAGTTCATCTAGGTCCGATGAGTTCTTATATGTTGCGTACTGAAACTTCCCTTCTATGGTTTTGAAGTTTTCGAAAAGACAGCTTCTTCTCTCCTCTAACGACTTCGTGATAAGAGACTCATTATTGTAGTATAGCAAATCGAATGCGAATAAGCAAATATGCACCTTAATATCACTTTCATTAACATCTTTCCGTTTTCTAGTTGACAAGACTTGAAAGGGAAGAATTTTTTGCTTCTCTCTATCCCAGGCGACAGCTTCGCAATCTAAAATCATAGACTTTGGAGACTCCTTTTCTTCCAGATTAGTTGTAACTTTGATGAAATCCTTCACAATCGAAAGCAAATCCGGATATCTCTCTGACATATCCTCTGAATTACGGGAGTAAACTCTGACGCTTCCATCAGCGAGTAGATGAACCTGGGCTCTTTCCCCGTCATATTTATACTCACAAGTAAATTCTTCACCCTGAAATCTATCCAAAATCTCTCCGATAGATTTGGTTGGTTTAGCTAACATTGGTTTGAGGGGGACACCCGGAGTTAATTGGCAATGCTCTAATAAGTTGAGAATCCCATACTTGTGGGCGTTTCTGATTATGATCTCGTAATTAGGTATCAATGAAAAGGCCTCACGAATCACGTTCTCCGCCTTCGTAAGCTGTTCAGGCAGAATTTTCTTAGATGTCTTGTTCTCAAAATTCAAGAACGCTTGAGCTAATGCGATTAAAACAGTCTTCTCGGCCAATCCAATACGTAACTTTCCCTCCAATGATCTGATTAGAAACTTTGCTTCGCTGCTTTTCATGTTACAAGCCGTGAGCATTTTGTTTATGATGCCAATCTTTCTTGTTTGCGAGTCCTTTCCCGTAGACTTTGCAATTTTAGTTAAGTTTTCAAACACTGTGTCAACATCCAAAGGAGCAGGTTTGAACATAGTCGGTTGACCCAGGCGAGATTTCTGAGCAACAAGGCCCAAGTCACCAGCCTCATGATAGTCTTTTTTGATTTTGGCAGCCAGACGACCATAACACTCGCTGATCGCTTTGATAAGCAAAGTCTCACCAAGACCCAATTCCAAATCCGGTTCGTAATCGGGCCCAAGACGATTAATGAAAAGATAGACAACGCGTACCAAGTTGTCTGGACTTGGATATTGTTCTAGGACTTCTAGAAGGAACTCTGAGACAAGAGCAGTAATTTTTAAACGGCCTGATTCCTTTTCGATTTTGTCCAATACGTCAGTAAGCCGAGAATATGGGATCTTTGCATTTGGATTCAATTGTTGATGTTGATGGTTTTTCTTGGACATGTCAATAAGCCGGCTAGCATCCTCAATATTATCGATAGGTTCATCGCTCTTTTCATTGACGAGCTCAGCCGCATCACTACTGCTTTCTTCCAGCTTACTTGCTTCTTCATCCTTGATACTCTCTTTAACCTTCCCTTCGGTTCTTCGTAAGTCATCAATCAGGCGACTTTGATCAATTGGATGAGTGGATCCTTCGCCTTCATTTTTTACTATGTCTTGATTCGTTGGCTCCTCGACACGAGCAGATTTTTTGGGCAGCGGTGACACTGTGTCGCTCTTTCTTTTGTTTTGTGTCGAACCTTTATTCAGCCCAAAAAATCTCAATATCGATTGCTGTTCCATGTGATGTAAATTATAAATAGGACGGACGTGGTATTGGAAAGCAAGTGGTAATAGGAGGACGCGTCTCTTTGAGATGATCGAAAAGAGCATGAGCTGGTCGTGTGTAGGTGCTGTAGGTGCGTGTAGCGAGGCGAACACCTGTAAGACTATTGTTGCAAATAGTTACGGTCGTTGCAACTGAAAGACTTTGAGAATGGTTACGATAGTAGTAAAAATATTCGTGACGGGCAATGGTATGAAACTGTCGCTGGATCTATATTAAATGTGTTATGTCTCTGGGTGAGAATGCGCATCATTTTGGCTTCCGCTTTTTACTTTTCAGCAAAGGTCGCTACCTTCCTACATTATTCCCACATAAATTCAAAAATTCAAAAGAAAAAGAATAATAAGCAAACAGTCGCGAGAACAGAATAAGCAGAAAGTCACCAAAAGCACATTTTTGATCTTCATTTCTTCCTGTTGAATCTAAAATCTTACATGTCACAATAAAACTCCATCCGTAGTCGTGCGAGCACCGCGAATGCGATTAAGTCAACTTGAACGTCTTCAACTACAACTACACCACATTATGCCACTCTTTCGCGAAGAAAACTTTTTGGTGGTCCATGCCGGCTCGGAACACACTCTTTTTCTATTTGGCTTGCGTGATTCTTTGACGCCTCCACAGTACAAAATCCCAACTGTCGTTTATTTAGACACCACCGCCAATGAATATAAAGCATCCAATCCTACTGGCACATTGCAAGAAATTAGACCCATCAAAGGTTCGCGTATAGTGGATGTTCCCGCTTTCGAGGCACTTTTGAAGTTCATTCTACAGACAATCGTTGCGAGCAATCCGATTGTCACCATTAATCAAATTCCATTGCTTTTGATTGTGCCTTCGATATCTTATTCTAGATACGCAGTGGAGGAAATTACCAGATTCGTCTTTGAGACTTTAGAGTTTACCGCTTTCAACGTTTTGGATTTATCTGTCGCTGCTGGTTTTGGCGTGGGTGCCACCTCCAGCGCATTGGTGGTTAATGTTGGCCATGAGTCAACTCAGATTATGCCTGTTGCGAGCAACATGGCGCTCAAGTACGCCGGGATGCGTTTAGAAGTGGGCGGTAAGACTATCGATGAAGATTTGCAAAAATTGCTTCCTCACTTTTCTGCGCAGCAGATACATGCTTTGAAAACTTCTCCAGTCTATGAGGTTTTAAATAACCACGATGACACTTTTTACTCCTTGACGGAGTTGGATGAAAATAAGGAAAGCTCAGCGGAGGAATATGAGGTTGCCAAAATTATAACCGAAGACACTTCTGAGGAAGAGAAGAAGGCGGAGGATGCTAGACCAAATAGCGAGTTGGAGAAAAACTCTTTCGTGGACCCTACAACCGGTAGTAAGATTGTGGTTGGAAAGGAAAGATTTCAAGGTACTGCGAGATTAGTGCAGACCATAGCTGAAGCTATTGGGCAGTGCTTGCAAAAAGTTCCGGACTTGGACAAGAGACAAGAGTGTTACGATAACATAATCTTTGTTGGCTCGACATTCAATATTCCTGGTTTGAGACAAGCTATTATACTTGAAACATGTCGCCAATACTTGGTTCTTCCACCAAGCACTAAAAAGAAGTCCAAGGGAGATCAAAACGGTATTAATTCTACTCTTGCTTCTTACCAACAAGCAGATGAACCAACCGAAAGCAATGAAGCCACTGGGGCCACTCAAGTGCCATCTTCCATTAAAATGGTCAAGCTTCCAGACTACTTCCCAGAATGGAAAAAACCGAAGGACAGAGGTGGATCATGGGCAGACGCCTACTTTTTAGGTGCCGAGATCTACGCGAAGCAGATATTTGGTGCCAACTCCAACCATGGCGATTCTTTCATCGACACGGAAATTTACGAAGGAAGGGGACCACTAGCCATTTGGGAAGTATCCATCTGATTGTACCATATATATACTGCGAGTTTGCTACATGAGACTAGCATTATAATCATTAAAAGTTAAAGAAGAAAGCGTACATCAAACTTCGTTGACATTGGCGAGAAATTTTGTGTAGTTTGCTCGGGTACCGAGAATTGATGTTTTACTCATCATAGTGTCCAGTCTATGCAAATGTTGACTAGTTTCGTCATTATGTGTTTTTTGTACCTCCATTTGGCATAGAAGAGGCAAAACTGACCCGTCAGTGTTTTCCGTTGAACGTCTGGGGATTGGAGGTAGATGTTTATGTTTAGAGTCACGGTCTAACAATTCTGCGGAAGAAGACGAATGCCGTCTATCCCTGTCAATAGGCCTTTCAGGGGAGGTAGAAATCCGAGGACAAGTATTGGGAGTCGGTGAAAGCAAATTTGGCAACGACTGCAATTTTTGGCCCTCCATATTCTTCCGCAGCATGGGTGTAGTCTGGCGAAGACTTGTAATCTTAGGGCGACTTTCAATTTGAGTGCTCTTGACGGGAGAAGACGTTCGGCTTTTTCGAGTGGGCAGCTGATCTCTCGATCTGCTTCTTTCATTGGCCTTAGGCCTGGCACACACATGGTTGGGAATTTTAAACTTGGGTTGCAAAGTATTACCTATTGGGTCTGGAGATGGAGAAGGAATGCCAGCGGGTGCTGTAAGCGTGATGGCAATCGACTTTTTGATTTCACTCAACAGGAAAGCAGGAAGTCTGCCTGTGTACCATAGTCCAGCTACACTAATGGCTGCCCACACAAGAGCTACTTTGAGTAGGTGAAACAAAATGCCAAAGTAGTAGGATACAAAAGGCCCACACTTCTGGACGATATACATGAAGACCATACCACTAATAAAGGGCACTATTCTGTCTGAAATGTTGTCAATCCCAATTGAAGAGACGCTGTTCGAGATTGAAGTGATGATGGAGTTCATAGCGACTTTAGCTTCCTTTTCAGTATTCGTCATTGAACCTGATGCTGAACCCGATGTATACGCTTTTTTTGTCGTCAATTTAGAAGTAGGCTCTAGGGTGGAGGTTTTGGTGGATGTAAAGCCCTGATCACTGGTTGGATGACCGTGCTGATTTTCATGTTGTTTTGTTTCCCCGTCGGGAAGCGCAGAATCAGCCAATTGAAAACCTAAGGCAATGAGTTCGTTGGAACTAGGATACGGCTTTCTGGGATCGCATGGTTCGCTAATCGAAGAATCCTGGGACTTCCGCCGAAACACATTGTCTGAGCCGCGTACAAAAAGATTGGCCTTTTTATGGACTGGGCTAGACATTTCTCAATGTGAGACGTTGAACGAAAATACTGTGGAATTCAATGGTAGGGATGTATTGTTATGTTCCAATAGGTAATGAAGAAATTATGTGAAATCGTGTCACAAGTTTACCAAGATACTGGGGTATGGTTGTCCGGTGTATATGAGATCCATTTTTTTCCTGATCCAGATATAAATAGGGTGCTGGTTGAGGCGCGAGATAAAGCACCGATCAAGCGACCCCAAAAAAACCTTTGTAATCAAGTGATGCTTTGTATTTTAGTACAATGGATGTTTGCATCAAGCCATAGTACCAACTTTACGTATTCTATTTTTAATATCCTCAGTGATTTTTTTGTACTCCTCTCACTGATGTCTGCAATTAGTTGTGGTTCTTATCACGTCGGAGCCACAACCGATACATCCTGACCTTAAAGTCCCCATTCGCAAGTTGGCAGAAAGTGCTGAAGCATTCAAAGCATTAGAAAGCTGCCATAAATCTAAAGACAAGAAGCCAAATCAGAAAGCATTCCTACTGTTGACAATAACATACGGTGTTTAATGTCACCGCGATGGTGAGGCTGAAGAATGGAAAAGCACGCCTGAACGTACACCTGAACGCAACACATGCAGAATCATAACGTATAGCAGAGAGGGTGTTGATCGGAAACGGTCTCTCTGAAAAATAGAAAATCGGCATCAGAAAAAAATGTAGTGAGTATGTGAAGCATAACAGGATAGCATGGCATCCGAAGGTCTGCAATTACTTTCAATCTATAAGCGTGTTTTAATCAGGTAGTCCAATAGCCCTTATGGCTCATCCGGATACCTTAATGCAAAGTTTGAAGTTGAAAGTAGAAAATAATCAGCCAGATGATATGCAAAGCTGGAAACGCCATAAACAAAAAGAGGTATTAAAACTACTTGTTCCTAACGAGTAAA